GCAATTGTATGTACAGCGTCTCGGGAGAATGATCACACTTATCACTCGTCACGAGAGACGCCCTACCCCACCTTCACCTCACTCTTCACGTCGTCACAGTGCACATCCTCACGGCGCTTCTCTTCGCCCACTTCACACTTCTCTGCACTCGCCTCTCGGACTCGGAGGTGGATCCACACTGGCCAAACAAACCTGACCTCATGCCATCTCCAGCCATCTCCCTGGTCCCATTTGGCGTTTTGGCACTGACAGTAGCATCACCGAGGAAACGCCAGAGGAGTAGCATCTGAATCTTCATGAGAGGCGCTAGAACTCTGTCCGTCGAGGGCTTCCTGCTTCGGGTGCCACACCACACATCACCTCTTCCTCTTCGCTGTGTCCCGCTCACACGTTGCAATGCAACGCGCCAACGGCGCATGGGCCGGGCGGCGCCTCAGAAGTATGAGAAACTTGAGTGAAAGACGCCGAGGGAGTATCCGCACGGTGTGGAGGTGCGCGTGTTTGCCACAGTAGGAGCGTGGCCGCCGTGGCGTAAGGGGGACTAGACGTGCGGCAAGCGTAGGCAGTTCGCGAAGGCGAACAAATTCCCTTTTTCGCCTGAAATCCAAGTCAAACTTCGAGAGTAGCGCGAAATCGAGAGGTGAATTTCAAATGCAGAATGGAGGGCGGAGGGCGGAGGGTGTGCAGAACCGCAGGCGTGCTATCTCTTCGCTTCTCCGAGTGCACGCTGCTCAAAGCCGAGGACGAGCGTTCAGTAAAAGAGAGTCCTGCTCGCAAGAATTTAGCTGTAGAATTTCAAGCGCGCGTTTGAGACACGAAGCTTCGACGCATCGTGCCGGACGACCGTACACATCGTAGCAAAGGAGCACCCCAGAATTCACATTACGCACACTGATGCCCATCCCCACATGCGTCCCTGCACGCGAGTCGAGCGGGGAGCGCAACTTGGGGATTCGGGAACAGACATTGAATACACACTCTGCGAGCCTGAGGCACAACGGAGACTTTGAACTCAGGCCTGCGCGCTGAGCATTTCTGTTGGCTGTTGGCTGTTGGCGTGCGGACAGGCGGGTTACTTGGACTTGGATACGCACGCCCGGCTTAGAGGAGACAAGAATGAGTGCGCGAGCGGGTGAATGGGGACGCATGAGACTAGAGACGCAGATGAGGATGCGCTATCGTAGGATCGTAGCCCCTCTCTGTCTACGCCTGTACAGATGATATGTTTTCTAGTGTTCCTGATGGTGGAGACTCCAGAGAGATCAAGGCTTGCAACTCTAAAGCTGAAGTGCGTCATCTTGTCCGTGTAAGAGCCTATACCAGATTGAAGGAGCGGACATTGTCAGGTCGTCAAGGCGTATTCAAAAATCCTATACCCAGGCGTCCTTGTTCTGCGGAATCCGGGAGCAGGGGATTAGAACAGAACAGATCATGATTAGTTCGAATAATACAAGAGATTATGATTTCGATAAGTCGATGAGCGTTATCGCGAGAGAGGAAGGCCAGACGGAGATCCCGGAACGTCATCACGCGCCGTGACGAGGGGGAAGAAACTTAATTTTCCGGATGGGGGTGCAGGTCCATAATGGATTGATGGAGATAATTATAAACCCCGAATGGGGTACCGGTGAGAGTGAGAAGGTTCGTTGTGAGAGTCGGCGTCGAAGCCTGGTTGGGCATGTGGTGTGCGACGCCGTTCGGCGAATTAGCAGGGCGTACACGTTCTGACTATGTACCAGCAGCGGCGGGAGCGAGAGAGAGCGGGGGAGGAGAGAGGAGGTGGGTGAACGGAGACGATCTCCGATATTCGCCAGCAATAATTTCAGTAAGAGGTTGAGAGATGAAAGGGATCGAGGGCCGAGGTGGTGGCATAGGAAGGGGGGCCGTGCACTGCCGGTGGCGGCGTGATGGCGTCTGGCGCCGAGAACAATTCGAATTTCGTGCCAGACACAAGACACCCCGAATTTAGCATTTACGCAAAACGTTACGTGAGCCCTTACAGATTTGGCACAGGTTGGCACGCAGGGCTGGTGGGCTGACGTGGGCGAGTAATTTGGATTGGGCTTCGACGAGCGCCTCGTGTTGGGCAAAGTACATGCGCCTGCATCCCGAAGAGAGGAGGGAGCGCGTGAGGATGGGCCCGTGCGTCTGTACTGCAGCGTGCCCCGGGAGTCGCAAGAGCGCCTTGCCTTGAGCTGGATATGGAGGGACGAGTCGGAGGAGGGCTGATGGGGCTCTCTCGCTTATCGAACGGGTCCCATATCGGCTGACCAAATGGGGCCAAACACGACCACGGAAGCAAATTCGTGTCTCTCCCAAATACCGCACCATTTGCATTCCTCCTCCTCCTGATATATTTCGAGCACTTTTGTGGGCGCCTAGGACGTCGGTGGACCAAAAGCGCGCTGCGAGACTCGTGTTGTGGGCGGTGGATCGGTGGGTGATTGGGCATTTGCGACGAGCTGCCGGTTCATGGCTTCCTTACGCGTTTGTGGGCCCGGCGAGATCTCCTGCCGATCCAGGGCTCGATTAGATGGGAGTGCGCTCAGAGTCTTGAGGTTCTCAAGTGACAAGTCTTCCTTAAAAGATTACACTAAGGCCTCGTGCTTATAGCTAGCGATACCCAACCCTCGCACGCCCACGTCTTTTTCTCCCCCGCTATTCCTCATCGCCGTCGCTCTGCCCTCCTCCGTCCCCGTCTCCAGCGCTACCACTGCCTACTCACCCGCTACCATCCGCAGATATTGTCGAAATGCCCGCAGAGAGGACGAACAAGGCGCTGAAGCGATCGGACTCGATGGGTACGTATACTCACGCTTTGGTCATCGATCGTAAGACGGAACGCCCACGTTGACGTCCCAGCGCCTACAGGCAATCAGTTTGTGTGGGCCCCCCAGCACGAGTCGCAGTCTATCCCTGCACCTGCTTCCTCCGAGCAGCTCTCTTTCGCAACTAACATGACCCCGTTTACCTTCAACGACGGCCCGCCTCCGCTCGTTGACGCACCGCCGACCGAGTTCATCCTCTTCCCCCCGCCCGAGGAATCCAACGGCAACGGGGGCGCACCATCCAAACGCACTCCCCACTCCAAGAAGAAGCCCGAGAACCACATCCCGCGCCCGCCCAATGCCTTCATCCTCTTCCGCTCGTCCTTCATCAAGAGCCAGCACGTCTCCACCGAGGTCGAGACGAACCACAGCACGCTCTCCAAGATCATCGGGCTCACCTGGCAGGGCCTCTCCGAGGACGAGCGTCAGATCTGGCACACCAAGGCCAAGGAGGCGCTCGACGACCACAAGCGCAAGTTCCCCAAGTACGCCTTCCGCCCAGTGCAGACCCGGACGAAGGGCGGCGCTGCAAGCGGTGCGGGCCCAGGCGGGACGCAGCAGCAGGAGAAGAGGAAGGTGCGCGAAGTCGAGCCGAAGGACATCAAGCGGTGCACGAAGATCGCGCAGCTCCTGGTCGAGGGGAAGAAAGGGACCGACCTCGAGAGCGCGATACAGGAGTTCGACAAGCACCATGTGCCGGAGATCGTGACGCGCTTCGAGGCGCCGATTACGGCGCGCAGCTACAGAAGGTCGTCGTCTGCCCCGGTGGAGGACACGGAGAACTCGCGCGCGAGCGGGTCGTTCCTCCAGAGCGTCATCTCTGGGTCCGTTTCGTCCCCCTCGAAGAAACGCCGCGCGGCGAGTACGCGGTGCTCGACGCCACAGTCGCTCCGTGCCTCGTCGCCCAAGGCGACTCCGAGCCCCGTCGTGCACGCCCAGGCCCTCCCGCTCAAGCAGGAAACTTCGATGGTAAGTCCGCTCTATCGGTATCCCCTCTGCCCACCCCAAAGTTCTCACTGTCGATCACAACGTGTTTGTCCTTTTGTCCTCTAGGCCTTCTCTGCGTTCTCGTTCGACAACATCGCCTCATCACCCCTCCCAACTACGCCCTACGATCAGAGCGAGTTTGTCGACCCGCTCTCCTCTCCCTTCGGCGATGGGCATTTCAATGATGGCCACTTCAACCCCGGCCTCACAATCGACACCTCGTTCGACATCAGTATGGCGGACTGGCCCGCCACGACCTCCACACCCTCGCCGATGACACCCATGTCGCCTGCGCCCACAACGCCCGAATACCTCCTCAGCCCCAATCTGAGCCCCATGATCTCCTCACCCACGCCCTCCTTCGCTGCAAGCTTCGACGCATTCGACCAGCTGCACGAGATGCAGGGCAAGCAGACGCCGTTCTTACTCGACGACTTCTCGAGCCACTTCGGGATGGACTTCAGTTCGCCGTGCGGCGCTGTGGCGGAGCAGCACCACCTGGGCGGCGTTGGCGTGCAAGGAATGTGTGGCGGCGTCATGGGCGACGCTTCCATGTACGCCCAATACCAACATGCCCAGCCGCAGATCGTACCCGCGTTCAGTTCGTTCGACGCGGTCGACGAGGCGTTCACGGGTTATATGAGCGCCCATGGTTGGTGATCGGTAGACGATCGGGATCGGACGATGATCGTGCGGCGCACCGTCGGTGGCTTCGCTGTCAACATTGGCGCTGACGTCGGCATCGCCCGACGCGCCGCGCGCTTCTCAGGACGATCGTCTCTGGCTTCGCTCGCTGTTCCACGTGGGGGATCCCCGCCCCGCCCTTCCCGCCTCTCTTTCCCGCCCGCTCTGGATTCGGATTCGGTATTGCCTTTTCCACATCCCTCCCGATCCTCGACTCGATCTCCACTTTCTTGCTTATCTCTTCCTTCATTTACGGACGCCCTTCATTCATTTTCTTTCATTATGTGTATGTATTATATCGGGCTCTTTTCCCCTTCCTCCTCGCCTTTTCCTTTTCCTTCCGTCGACCTCGACCGACCTTTCCCCTTTCTCCACCGCGGCCGTCCTCTCATCCATCACCTTACCTCGCTCCCTCCTTATTCCACATCAGAACAACACCCCGTCAGAACTCTTCTTCCCTCCTCCCACTACCCCATCCATTCGTACCCACGTACTTTGCGAAACCCTCCGCCCTCACCCCCACTCAAGCCCCGCTAGTTCTCGTGTTGTATTTTCTTTATTTATAGCGCCACCCTCCCGGGCTTCTTCTCCACGCACGCCCACACCTTTCTTCCCTTTTCGCTCGCACTGCCGACCGGCTCGGACCGGTATCCGACCCCAGCACGTACACACTCATTCGCTTTGCCTTTCATTTCCTGCACTCGAGCTTTATCTCTCGACAACGACAACGTTCAAACGTTCATCGACATCCCTCTACAACAACGATTTGATTTTGTCGTCGTCGCGGCCATTACCTCCACCGCCGACGGCAAAGATCTTCATCGCCTTTCGTCATCCCTCCTCCCTACGAAACCGACTTACCTCACCCTCCACATCCACATCCGCGTTTGCACCTGCATCTACTTACTCGGCGCCGCATCATCTTCTCGATTCTTGGTTAAACCCCCGACGGTCAAACGAATTCGAAAGTCCCGATAGGGCAAAACGGAAATGTACCACCATCCCAACGCCCGCCCAATCCACAATGGTGGTGTACGTTGGTGCGCATAGAAGGTTTATCTATTTTCTTTTTCTTTTCTTTTTCCTTATTCCCTCTCCTCGCTTTCTCCCTGTTTCTCCTCCCTCTGTTCTCCGTCTCCCTCTCTGTCTTCCTCCTGCTGTCTCTTTCCTCTTTTTTCTATTCCTGTGTTCCCGGCGCACGCGCACGGTCGATCCCCTGCGCGACTCTAATTGCATCGGGCGTGTTGTTATTTATTCGTTTCCCTGCATCCTCCGCATCGCCCCCAACCCCAACCCACACCCACACCTTACGATTTATCTCCAGTATCCATCAATTGCCCAATATCGCGAGCGTCACCCTTAATACGCCCTGCGATGCGCCGTCTGCACTGCATTATCATCTCACGTCGAATCCGAATTAAATGACTGGTGTTTCCTTCTCTTGATGTGTGCGCCCAAATGTGTGCCTCTTCGTGTGCTCGCCCGTATGTTTTCAGCGCGTGTGTTCTCGAATCGCTGTGCTCCTCGCAACTCGGTCTGCCTCAAGCTTGATAGCGCACGTCGGATTCAAGATCTCGAGTCTCAATGGCCAAGTTTTACCCCCTGGGTTGATATTTCGAGCCTCAAGATGTCTTTGCTTGAACAAGACTCCCTGCGCCTCGCGATTGTGCGTAATGAGGCGATGTGTGCCAACTACTATGACGAAGACTCAAGGCCACCGAAAATTCGATGCTGCGCCCCTGCATCTCGAGCTCTTCCCACCAAGCCCGTCTGCCCGCCCGCCCTCGAAGCGTTTCAACGTTTCAGCCGCGTACGCATTCAGCAATGCCCTCATTCGACGATCCCGTCTGCTGTCTGTACCTTATCGATTCGTCCTTATAGTAAGTATGTCCTCTGGGTAAGTGCGTGCACCTATCTATTCCCATCCGTCGAAGTACCTCTGTAGAATTCTACATAGAATCCTCGAATATATTTTCCCGCCTTCTCCTCCCTCGCCCGAACATGTAATCGTTGATTCGTTCCGAACTTCGAATTCCCCAATTGCGACATACGGCCGCACGAGTGAGTAACGAGTTCTGCCCGACTTCCCCAAGTCGCATTTTACTGATGTTTATTTGTTTAAGACACCGGCCGGGCGTCATGTGAAGGCCTGAACATATGGGACGCCGAGCCGCTGAATGTCACTCGGGGTGAGCTCCTTTTGGTGAGGGAAACCCAGGCGCTGGGCGATGGAAAATCATGGAAATGGATTTGTTTCTAGAAGTAAGGATGTAGGAGGGGGCATTGGGTCCGTGCTCTGGGTTATCTGATTCCTTCGCAGTTAGAGAGCGCGAAGGCGAAGGCGAAGGAGATGTTGAAAGATCAACGCTTGATAAGACCCCACGATAATCGCTGATATCCAGCAATTTGAAGCGAATTTTGCTTATCCACCTGTGGATCGTCGACGGCCGTTCTAGGACATTACCTTTAAAACGACCGTCTGTGCTCACGGTGGGAGCTTAAATGACACCAGCGCCAGTGCCAGAGAGCTAGTGGCCGAAACGCTCAGCTAGAAGGCAAGAGAAGGACATCGGAGAGTGCACGAGGACTCGAAGAAAGGAGCACATGGATAGGACGAACATGACCTCGACTCGAGACCGAATGTTCGTCTTGGCCCTCCGGACCGCGACGTCCTATGAGATAATTTCGCCGAAAGCGTGTCTCCCGCCTCGCTCGGGCATTGGCACTGCAGCTATCGAAGCCTATGTTATGAGACCTTTAGAGCCCAATGTAAGCCATTTGGCTCGACGTTTTCACCGTCTCCGATTCTCCTCGTCGTCACCGTAATCACTCGTTCATAAGCCTCGCCGTTTGTGTCTGCTCGACCTCCCAAACCGGCCACCCCGGCGTCGGTGGACGTCCAACTTCCAAGTATCCTAGCGATATTCAAATCTATGAAACGCACCCCAGTTCCTTACAGACCCGTCGACGCTAAAACAAGCAATATAGACATAAGGAGAATATTTGAATTCAAGTGATAGAGTTGCAGGAGAGTGCTCGAAGGAGGCCGGGTTCGAAGCTATCATGGCGTATTCGCATCATGCGTGGATTTTACCCGAACCGTATGTAGGACAAGGGAGATATCGAGGCCCTTTATTCCGTAAATGAGGATCTGTAAGTAGCATAGATGAGTGGGGAAAGCGGCGTACGATGTGGTATCAAGGGACCCGATAGATGGATATTTAATAATAATACAAAGGCGTCACCGAGGATGGGTATGAGTTCCTTCAGGTTTGCTCCAAGGTTGTGGTCAAAAGCAAACGCTCCGCTGGTCTGGTTCTCTTCTCCCTTGAAACGTGAAGCTGATCCAATGAGAGTTTTTGAGTGCATCTGGGTAAAAGGATGAAGATATCCTGGCTGTAGAATGGGCCATCAGGTGGGCGCTCGAGCCCGACCCACACCATTATCTACAAAGTACTTCGCCCATGCATGATGACCCCACACCGAGAAATATATATATATCTCAAATAAATGGGCATAGTATCTCTATCTGTGGGTCATCTATTAGATCTCGAGCGAGGCTACGAGACGCTAATATCGTCGTACCTTGACCAGGGCAAAATTGTATCATTCTTGTGGAAATTAAAAGCGTCAAGAAACTTTATATCGTAGGGTCCGAAACACTCTTCACCTGACGACTTACGACTAGTGAATACGTCCCTGCGGAGGGAGGATTAATGACATACATATCGAGGCCGTTGGTGCAAGAAACGTCGTTTATGTAGATCGCCCATCCTGGTGAAAGTGATCGTTGAAGTTCCCTAATTGACGTTAGCCTGGCGGCCGCTCTCTGCGTCAGATTATGTGAGAAAGTACTCTCTGACAGCAAGCTTGAGAGAATTTTCAGATGGAATTTTCTCACTAATAAACGAACTGTTCACGCGATATACGCACCGACCCAAGTCCCTTGAGGCCAACTCGGAAGGATAACAAGCGAGAGCGACGATAAGAATCAAAGAACAGTTGTGGGCGCTCCCTCGAGCTCTGTGGGTCCCGCAATATCTTCCCGCCTTGCGTCGTCATCAAGGCAGACCTGACAACCATGATGAACCTGTCAATTGGTGGAGTCAGCGTGAGTGGCGCCTTTCCCGATTGGACACATTTGGTTCCGTGAATTGATGTGCCGTTATTCAGGGCGAACGTGACACGAGGCTACCGTACGCTTAGCGCTTAGCGCGGACAAGCGCGGACCAATCCGGTCGCCCCATCAGACTTCCGTTGCGTCTCTTGTTGGACGGATTACGGAAGTATATTATTAGGCAAGTACATAGAAGCATTCGCTGATCGAACAAGCTTTCGTTCGACAACTCTAAAGTACGGCGGCCAGAGCCCAAGTGATACGTGAAGGGTGGTGATCCTGTGTCTGGCGAGAATTGAGCATGGAAGACCTTGTGGAAATATAAACGTACACTACTTCACGGACGCAGGAAGCGTACAAACAATCTATTTATCTGAAATTTGGCCTTGTACTTCAATACCTCCTAGCAAATGGTGAGTCTCCTAGGTGGCGCAGCATGGCCCGGTATCACAACCGAGTCCCGATTGTCGGAGCCAGAGGCCTCTATGCACATCCTCTCGGCAGGATAAAAAAGACCTTTATGGCGAATCATCATTATTAATAGCCTAGAATCCTTATGTACTGCATTTTTAACCTCTTTTCACGGTTGGGAATAGGACGCTCCTACGAGCCTATACGCGGAGTTTTAGCGTGAGGAACCTACTCATCGTGTTCTATGTCAAAGTCAGGGTCTGAGTAGCATGAGACTTCTATCAGTAATCTGATTAGAATCAAAAGCATTTAGGCCTCAGGTATCACACCGGACGTTAGAGAAAGTCTCGCCAATAGAATGCAAGAAAGGTCTGTACACTCGATACCTTCTGAAGGCTTTGGTATGTAAGACTTGGTATCGACGAATCCTTTCGAGAACGACTATCTTTTCATATCTATATTTAATGATCAGTCGGAAGAGTCGATGTATAGCGTCGAGATGCTCATTACGTCGGGCTAGACTATATTCATTAATAGCGGAGGAAGGGAATTGAACGCATCAACGTTTCAAGCATATTGAAGGTGCGTGGCTTCCGGAGCATGCAGTTTCGATTCCTCGTGCGGCCAAGGGGACAGTCAAGTAGATATACGAAATTTCCAGGTCCCCTTACGAAGATGTTATAATCACGATGTTGTGTTTCTGGCCCCGCCGAAGCGCTTCCTCGAGCTCCGATTTGAATAAGAGCTAAACACAAGTTACCCAAGAATCCGAAGAGCCGACAGAAGGGACGGATATGAGGTACAATGCGCTTGGGCATAGGGCAAATCCCCTCTAATATTAAGACTTCGAATGAGGTTCTTGGGAGCTTATCCCTGAAGAATAATAAGTAGGGTCCTCCAGAAGGCCGGCGGAGAAGTCTCCTGATGGTGTAGAAACGAAACTCATTTTATTCACTCTCACTGACCTTGTTCCTCGAGGGTAGAGCGAATGTCACTGCAGGGATAATGAACTAAACGAGGATGAAAGACTTGAACGTATCCTGGACCTCAGTCGAAACACTTCTCAAGATCGCACGGGGTACGATGGTCGAGGACAGTAGCCTAAAACTCGATTAAGGCTTCCCTTTGAATGCACCTAATAGTGTTAACATTTGCGTTATAAGGCTCCGACACGAGGCATATACTAGACTGAGATGACGTGAAAACACCATGCAGCATCGAACCTAATCCTCGTATGGTGCAGAGTACAGAAGCCCATTTCGAAGTCCCTTGTTTCGCAGAGTGGGAAGAACCCGGCCCAGGGCACCATTTCGGCACAAATATGTCAGGAATCGTGGTTCATTTCAGGTGATGTCTTTCTAAGGCGTCTGCAGGTTTTACTGTTGCTTTGATGTTTCCCACTGTCAATTCGAAGCGAGTTCTCCCTGAAATATCAATGGCGTCATGGAGGAACATGGTCTCCAAGTAAAGTAGAGCCCTGAATTGTGTGGCGCATCAGGCGAAATTTCCCGCGCATGCGGAGACTCCCTTCTCGGGTTCTCCTGCCGGTTTTCATTCTCGCTTAGAGGTGCATTGAGTACAACGTGATCATGCGCCAATATCTATACGTAGGAGAGAAATGAGACTTTCGTGCTCGTGGCGGAATTAGTCGGAAGCGCTGCGAGGATATGTCGTGGGACCGCCAGTATATCTCTCTACTATGCTGGTGGGATCCGACATTGTGCATGACCGACTGAAACCATTAGCCACCCGGCCGTTAATCTCTGTCTGAGTCCATCCGATCTTCGATGTGGGCAGCGTTCATCTGGTATCAAGACAAGACCTCGTTTCACAATGTCGGGGATCACTCCCGAGATGGACATCCATGAGAAATATGGACCCACAGGCAATGTGTCGATGCGGATGATAACAGAACATGTTCGAACGTCTGATATTGGCGAGGCAACATTCCTAACTTCAGTATTTTTAGGATAACTTGTCAGAAGCATCCGACATAGAATGCAGCAGCAGCGCGGCTCGGCTGGAGCAGACCTCACTCTTCTTGGCCGTCGGGATGAGATGATTGGGGGAATAGAAGGGAGAGTTATCGGTGATTTGTCAAAAATTTTATCATGCAGAAAGTTCGAAAAGTCCTATCGTCGACGTGGCTCATGTCCACTGCAACGCGGATCTCATGCGGCCCATGAGATCAACTTCGAAACATGAGACGGAATCTTGTCTTGTTCTCTCAGCGGCAGAACAGGAGTCGGGATCAGGCAGTCGCAATCCTCGCATATTCATACCCTCCGTTAAGAAAAATGTGGTCATACATACTCAATGACTAATGCTACAGGCCGGTATTCATGTCGACGATAGGGAGGGAATACAGGCACTTCGTGAAAATGCGAGCGAAACACAGGAACACCGAGATAAATAGGCCTCGCGGTCGCCGCGAGCAACATGGCCCGTAGGGCGAGAATAGACGTAGCAATAGTTATGGGGCCCAATAGTCCGTGCGAGTCGGCGATTTGAACACTATTCGTGGCATTCGTATGGGCGTCCGTTGTCGTCCGTTCAACGCCTCCTCGTCACTAAATTGGAAGCTGCTCGGGCCATGTACCTCTGTTCGGTCTGTCTGCGCGCGAATATGCAGAAGCACTCGACTCGTCAAGATCGAATGGAGTGAGCGAGACATTCTTTGAACGAAATGGCGACATCAGCGTTAAGTTCGAAGGTGCTGCAAAAACGTACTGGACAGCCAGGAACCGATAGGGAATGGCGATCTGTGTAAGAATCAGCTCATGTTCGATAATATAAGTCGACTTGAGGAAGCCGTACCGACGGATTGAAGTTAAGGAGGATATTTATTGTCGACAATGCTGCGAAGAGCAATTTAAATAGATACGCAAGGTCGAGAGTAAACTTTCCCTCACCGAATAGATAGAAATAATATATGATCCCTGAGACGCGAAGATGAAAATAAGCATGAGGACATATCCGGCCCAACTATCAGGATATACCTTCTCCATAGACAGTCCGGAATAGTGTTGAGTGCCCTCTATAACTACCTAGCAGGAAAATACTTAGTCTGGAACCGGTGTAGACGATGTTTACTCACAAGCCCTGACGGCAGGGATAACCATGAGTATTAGCGAAACTAAAAGTTCAATTTCAACAGCCAGAACAGTGATTCAACCCGAGCCCCATACCGGTATCCCAGATGAGCATAAAGATCCAACTCAAAGTAATAACATCACTGGCGGAAAGCACAACACAGCCTAAGAAAGGCGGCGCCACAGCGACGACTGCAGGGAAAGAAAATCAGAGATTGCTCGAGGAGAGAGAGAGTAGGCTTCAAAGCGAGTTAAGGGAAACGCACACCGGACAGAGCGTATGAATTCGACCAGGAATACCGTGGGTGGAATCCAGCACGCAGCGAAGAGGATGGGAAGGAGAATCGTCATGATATGGTGTCGATTCCACACTGCCCATATACGGAATACTAGGACAACTGTTCGCGCAAGGACAGGATGTACGTAGAGGAGAGGGAGGAAAAGTCAATTTTGTGAAACTCGGAGTTATGGGAAAGATACGCACCTTCTGAACAAACAAACCCTAGTAACATGAGCCCCTTCCCCACGTAATTGACCCGAGTACAAAACTCGTTGGTGAGATTTGATCCGAACGATACTGAAAAGACGACCAGAGGGGGCTTTGAGCGACTACCGGAGTTTAGAGCGAGAAGGCGAACTCACCGTGCATCCCATACCACATGATATCAAGGAATGGAACATACCGTTGGATGAGGAAGATAATCTTCACGAACGTCCATTTACCCGGCCAGATGTACCGCACCTCCATCCCGAAAGTCAAGAGATAGTCCCACAAGAATATGACAGTGGCAGCCACTACAGAAACCACGCAGATTAGATAGATGACCAGAAGACGATCGCAAAATTGATTACGCACAATCTACGCTCTGCGAGGGTTGTCACTATCGACTGAGGGGAAGCATCTGAAAAGTACTGACCTTGACTACCATTAACACGCGCAACCTTTCGATGAGCTCTGCAGAGTTGAATGGTCCAGCCATTGTCGCACGGCGACACAATAATATTGGAGAGCGGATAGGTTTTGGGGCGTCAAGGAAGGAAGCCAGAAGCCACGCATTTAAGACCATTTAGATCCAGGGTAGTTGAGACATAACTACCATGGCGCTAGGACGCGAAGGTAGTATTGGCCTCCTATCGGTGCTCGATGACTGAATTATCATCCCAACATAACCGCCCAGTCATGAGCAGGGCGCGAACTGCGAGCGCCGAGAGTGGAAACCATTCACTCCATTAGTCCATAATCATTGACGGCTGGAGACGCCTATCGCTCGGAAGCAGTGCTGCCTCTGCTTCGGGTTGTCAGTCAGTCGAGTAATGACGCCATGAGACTGGTTGCGCCTTGCGTCGCCGTCCGTTGCCCACACGATTAACACCCCTATTTGTATGATTTGTGAGCAACCTCCCAGGCGTAGCATCAGAAGCGCGGGTTTCTTACAGACTCCAACAGAGGGGCTCGCGCTCCAGACTAAAAGTCTATTGACAGCTTCCTGGGGTTGCATCAAAAGACGTAGATCCTCTGCAAATCCGGACGCCGTTGCTGACATCGACCATCGAAGAAGGTCTACGAGAATAGAAATCTGTAAAAGAGGGTCAGCCCACTTATCATATCCGTGAAATTCGCAAGAAGGCGACGTAAATACCTCCTCCGAAATCTATCCAATGGCTTCAACTACCCAGCTGGCACCATCCAAAAAGGTACTGCGTGGCGGCAACGACTGATGGTGAGGCAAAGACCAAGGGATGAGCACGGTAAGTCTGCAATGGCGAAGGGTGACACGCAGACTTCACAAGTCATCGTCAATAGCACCACACCCGCTCATTGCGAGGGAACGCGTATATCGAGTAACGACAACGATCTTCGCATTTAGAGACTCGTCCACAGCGCAGCGATGTATGGTCGACAGGAACCAGCCCAGGACGAAGGTATCTTGGTCGGCAGTGCAGGCAAAGAAGTTTTCGTCATCCGGGTGGGTGTCCAGTTTAAGTTCCTAGAGGGTCCCAGGAAGTTTCTTGGTATGAACAGTGACGGTATCCGCTTTTGAATAGTGTCTATGGCCGATGGAGGATGTTGAAGAACAGGCAACGTTCGATTTGGTCTGGCTCATCTTATCAATCGAAAGCTTGGCAAAAGATTACGTAGCGCCAAGTCCCGGTCTTTCGTCTCGCAGATGAGGTTTGCCCTCCGACTAGTTCGTAACATGAACCGAATGCTGGAGATGGTATGTATAAGAATTAATTCTGATACAAGGTTCGACAGCAATGTACACATACATTTCGCTGCGCCATGCACAGGCCTCGAGGCATTCTAAACTTGAAAGTTGACAGTGGCATCTTCACGGAGCCTCGTCTATTCTGAGTGTGCGAAAGACTTAGGCAGCTTCAATCGATAGACAGAGCGCTCGATGCAGGCCCCTCCATCTTCTCTCGTCCCCACCATGTCAGAACGCCCAAGAGCAGACATCGAACACTTTCGCAATGGAAAGGATGTCGAAATCGAACGATCGCATCTCGAATCCCATCAACATGGTATGTGAGCTCTCATCTCCTCGAGCTCTCGCGACGTTCTTGCTGGGCGCTCTCTGAACGCTTCGCGGCTACAGGTCCTGGAGGCTCCATCAGCTTTGGCGAATCCTCCAGCGGTATGAAGATCAAGAGCTCGATGCTCAACTTCAGCGTGGGCTCGCCGGGGAGCGGCGGTGGAAGTGAGTAAGCCTCGAGGCTGAGACTCGATCCTAATGCGGAACATACGCTCGTCACGTAGGCCCATTTTATACTCCAAGTCCGAGCCCGCTAGGAGGACCGCAGTATGGTGCGATTCCAACTTTCGCTCAGCGTGAATCACCCCGTTTAACGCAAAGGCAGGCGCTTATCCGTATGCATTTCCATATATGAACGGGCTACAGCCTCCGCCACCTCCCCCACAATATGGATATGGGCAACCGCCTGCAGCGTACCCAAATGGTGAGTGATTTTGCCCCCACCGTATTCAATTTAATGACCTTGCCCGCACCCTATAGCGAGCCCAGGCGCTTACATGAACCCTGGATTGGGAGGTGCGCAATATGCCAGGCAGCCCATTAACGACTTGGAATTTAACACACGGCGACCGCAGGTCCTTCTCACGCGCATGTTCACCCTCAAGCCGCGTCTCCTACCTGGGGTGGGTCGTCTCAGGGACAATATCGGCCAGGTACGTCCATCTCTCCACCTCTCCATCTCCGAAATCACCCATCTTTATGACGACTACAGGTTTCACCCCGACCCATCCAAGTAGCCAACCACAACATTCGCATAGCGCCCCAGCAAATCTGAATCCATCGCGTAGGGCTCCAGGTCCGTCACCCGGAAACCAGCACAGGCGCGACGAAGATTACGCTGCGGAAAGTGACAGCGAGGAGTCAGAAACGAGCTCTGACCAAGAGAAGTGCGACAGCCACAGAAGTGACGAATCAGATTCTGAGTCTGAACAATCCCGTTGGCACACTACGTCAACGAGAACGAAGGTAGCTGTCTCCAAGTCCGCGCCGGCGATGGCACCTGATACAAATACCGTCCCTATTCCTGTCATTGTTGAGCCAAGGAATGAGGAAGATGAGGACTTCGAGAAGTCTGAAGAGGCCTCTCAGCCGGTGCCAGCCCTTGCTGCAAAGAAAACAAACACAACGGCCGAGATCGCGGCAAGCGAACCTGCTCCGGTTGTGTCCTCTACACCGACGAACAGCACCGTAGAAACACAGCCTGAGGCCCAACCCATTGCACAACCGGTACCGGTGCAGGCAGAAACGACTGCGGCTTCTTCTCTCGCGCTACCACCACCCTCGGCTTCTGCGACGGCTATGCTCGCAGCAAGCGAGCCCACTCCCGTTCTACCCTCTGCGGCCCCGAGCAACACCACGACTGAGCCACAGAATGTCATATCTGCTGATCATTTTGCACCTGCGGCAGCTGCTGCCGCACCTCCGTCGTCTACACCAGCGCAGCCAGCGTTGCTTCCTCCCACGACAATACCAGCGTGGACTCCGCCGACACCATCACCGACACCACCACCAGTCCAAAGGCTGTCTCCATCTCAGACCCAAACCCCCGGTTCCAGCCTAGGCGGGTCCACAGTCTCGAAGGGAAAAGAGAAAAGGTGGATATTCTCTTTTCGCAGCTCAAAGAGAACGGAAGAAAGCGCAGAAGATGGAAGAGGGTCGCGCGAAAGACAATTCAAAGAAACGAAGCAATTTTTTCTCGAGGAAAAGAGACGCACAGGATTGACGAGAAGCAGGTGAGTAATTCGAAGTTGAGGAACGCCTGGCGGATGGGTTATTTCTGAGCGGAGTACAAGATCGATTTCGGTGGTTTCTTCAGATACACGAGAGGGTGTTGAACGCCCGGATGAGAAGGTGACGCCAGGTACCCTGTAATAGTGGAGTCAGCCTTCGAAAATATATTGCAGTCGTGATTTTGTAGGCTATGAAGTTGTGAATTATGGGAATGGCGGCGTTGAGCGTAAAGGGATCGAGAACTAAAGAAAGTCATGAAACTTCGTGAAGAAGCGATGGGGAGGACGAAATGGCGACCAGCGATCCGAAGAGGAAATGAAATTAAAGAAGATCCCACGAACCATTGGTCGAAATAAGTACGGTTATTTGACTTGATTTACGGTGGTATGCAGGGTCGCTGTAAATTCACCGTAAATTTCGCACAAGCCCGGATTCCAGCTGCTGTCTTAGCCCCGCCGAGCAGATCCACGCCCGAAGCGATGATTGACGATTGGCGAGATGCAAACCCGATGCGGGTACAGGAGTCGGCGAGAGTCTGTTAGACGTTGTTGCACTTTGCGAATGTAATTTGCAGAGTTGTGCCCGCGATGGCGAACCATGCACCGGAGGACAATAAGAAATACATTTGTCATTTTCAATAACCTGCTATGGTGTAACGGAAATCAGCCGTGTTTTGTAAGTAGTAAGCCTGGGGGTTAACCGCAGATGATCGTTCAATTCTCGCGGATAGACTTTTTATTATTAATTTGGAACCTCAACTACATGCATATTCTAGAAAGTCAATGTCGTCATGCATTTTTTTGCATGGCTACCTCTGCAGGACCCTCAGCGGGTAGGAGACTCGAGTGCCGTCTCTAGGGCAGTCTTGATTGTGTGAAGTGGCTGAGTGGCAGGCTGGTGTGGGCACAGTCGTTGGTCTGACATGGCTTCTGCCATATTCACGAGGTGTCCAGGAAGACGGCAACTCGGACAGAAAGTGAATGCTTCGTGATCTAAATTAGATCCAAGCTAGCACCTTTGTAAATTCGGGCCCGGTAATAGCATGCGTAGTTGGAAACTGGCCTTGGCAAATTTGAATGATGCGCGGTGTTGAGCTGCATCATGTCAAGAACTTCAGATCTGGATCTTGTAAATCCTGTAAATCCAGCTGAATTTACAGTAAATTCGTCGGCCATAAGTACTTATGTCTACTTATGCCTGCAAAAGACGATGCTTATTTTCTGCAGTGGGATCAAGCCCAGAATAGACGCTGGTCCAACTTTGTGAGAGCGTGATCATCTTTCACGATCATCTTTGGGTTCCTCTGTCTGGTTTTGATTATTCCACATACCCACCATGTTCTGGCATCCACTGGCTGCCTGGTGGGCCCTTGTTTCAAAATTACATCCCACAATTAGCCAGAACAAAAATAGGAAACTGATATAAATGCCTCAAAGGAGACTTGGCGAGAGACATTGCACTGTTTTCTCCTCACATTCTTCTCATCTTGTCTTGATCGCTGAGCGACAGCTATGGGAATCCGTGACTTGTGGAAGGCATGTCAGAATTTCTTCTGGGTGATTGGGAGCTGACAAATTTGTTCTAGACCCTCTCTCCTGCCTTCGAAACCAGAACCCTGACACAGGTGTCAGTGTTCAAGGGATTTGAGAAGAACCGCTGACTGGAACGGTGTATCAGGGTTGGAGTGGACAGCAGGTAAATACGGTTGCTTGACAATTGATCTGTCTCAGCGCTAATATGCCTTTGCTTGCCAAGTGTGTGGTTGAATGAGGCCCAATGTGCCATCGGCTCATCTACATGCCATGGACCAGGGACTCAAGCCGGGGAGAACCCAGTTCTTCAGATTCTCTTCTATCGTCTCTGTCGAACTTCTTGCTGCCCCTATTATCCCCATTTTTGTTTTTGATGGTGCAGGCCAGCCGTCGCAAAAGCGGGGCAAGAATGTCAAGAAAAAACCTCACTGGCTTTCTGGGCGCTTTCAGCTATTCATTGAGGCATTCGGGTTTTCATGGTACACGGTCCGTTGTTTATTCACTCATTGCTTCTCTTTCTTTGAGACTTGATTAGGCGCCGGGTGAGGCTGAAGCCGAACTTGCAATGCTGAACATGATGGGCATGATTGATGCTATCATCTCCGAGGACAGCGATTGTCTGGTCTTCGGCGGTCTGTGTGTTATTCGCCTGTATGTTCTCCTTCGTATTCTATTCTCCCATGATGCTAACTGAAATGTAACTAGTCAAAACACCAAGGACGCTGGTGACCAGGTCACTATCATCACCGCTGATGCCGCCAGATCGCACACTCGTGTTTCACTGACTCGAGAGGGTATGTTCCTTTTTGGGATTCTTGGTAAAGGGGACTACTCGAAGGCAGGTTTCTATATGGCCTTCTCATTTCTCCACTGAGAGTATGCCTCTAGGGACTCGTTGGTTGTGGAGCAAAGACAGCTCAGAAATTGGCTCAGAGTGACCTTGCTGTCTCGCTCTTCAGGGCTGCCTTGGAGCTACCCAAGGGGAAGCTGGTAGACTTCCTGGCTGATTGGCGAGAGGATTTCAAGCTGCTCTTGGCTGATGATCCAATGGGATTGCTGGGACAAAGATACCCCGCTTTAGTGAAGGCTGTTGGCAACACGTTTCCATCTGCCGATGTTGTCGCTCTATATGCACAGCCAGTGACTTCATGGTCCTGTGGAAGGGCTCCAGACACCTCAAATTGGACTTTGCGCCTGCCCGATCTTCGTCGCATTGGAGCACTGTCCGAAAAATTGTTTTCCTTGGCATCACAGGACAACATATTTTCGACATTTTCAAGCAATGTCTGGGAGGGAATTCTCGTTCGTGACCTGCTTAAGGTAAGATTTACATTCATTTCTTGAAGCCCTCATAAAGAAATGACTATTATTTTTGCTAGAGAGCTGTCAACCCAGACCCTACACCCGGATACACCAACAACGGGTTTTATTCCGGTCACATTCTCAAAATCCGAGGCATCAAGCTTGGTCCGGGTCCGACGCGCTATCATCCTGATGTCCCTGGCTTCTGTCTTTCAGTATCGGCACATATGCTCGCCCACGACACCATCTTGGCACTACCCAACGATTGCAACAAGCCCGAATGCCCACCAGGCCTTCAGGTCATGAATGCCTGGGTGCCTCTCCAGATCCTGGAGACAGCCTTGCTGGCCCTTGTCCAACATTACTTCACTGCTCATCCAACAGCAGTTATTGTTCAACATTGGACATCGGTAAGACCCATTCTACTGGATAATCTATTAGCATTTTCTGAACTAGTTTCCGATATAGATTTTACCAGATGTAGCTGTCCCTGGTGATGATGACAACGACACAAGCTCGGTCTCATCAACGCCACTAAGCTCAGGTTCAGATACAGAGATCCCTGTGGCAGGACCCTCAGACACCCACGGCTCCTCATCTCACAATGCCATCGTTATTATGGACGACAATGAAGATGGGGACGTAGATTCTGACAGTGATCTTCCCTTTTCACCGTTTGTTGAAAGCTCGTCACACACCACTGGCCGTCGTCAGAGCCCAACAATATTCCTTGGTATGATTGACTTGTGCACACCCTCTCCCTCTCCTTAGATAGTATCCTCTCATATTTTAGAATAGTACAGCTGGACATTTGTCAGTACTCGTAGCTCAATTGCACCTTGTGATCGGTGAGGCAGGATATGATCGAGCGGCCATGAAATTCGAGACTTGCTAGTGTGGAACTCCTAAATATTGTCTCTCTTTACTACTCCGTCCTCGCGACACCTCACAGCACCTCGACAATACAAAGCTATATTCTATTCTACATTCTCCATGGGTAAAGGAACAAGGAAAAAGCAGGGGAAGGCCCAACCTTCTCCTCTCCAAGTGCCATCGACCGCCGATCTTGCGTCACTCCCAAATATGGATGCACTCTGACAGCTGCGGGATGCACAGGTCAAGGAATATACGACGGTGAAGAACACTGAGAGCTCGTACAATGGCCAGATTGCCTGTGGAAGGGCATTCCTGAAGGTCCTCGTTGATGGACGAAGGGCGAAAGGCGAGGAGGTCTGCAAGGACAGGATTGTCACCAATGAGCTTGCAAAGGCATTCAACGATAGTGGGCCAAACGAGTACTCGGCGACGGCACTCGAGCTGTTCCTTGTCCACAAGTGTTTTTCGCAGGAGCGAGGGCTCAGCACTGCGTCCAGCATCCATGGCGCTTTCGCAGCCTTTTGGGACGAGATGTAAGTCTTGAGTCAAGTTGACTGAAAGGCGGCGCACATACTGATAGACTCCTATTGTAGGGGTGATGGACAATACTCCGGTGCATATAGTCTCGACAAGGAGACTGGCAAAGTGAGTGGCTGCCCAGCCCGAGCTCCCAATGTCAAGGCCGTCATCAAAAGTGTGAAGATCCAATCGAAGACGCAAGGAGCAGCGGCGACACGCAACCACGCAGACGCCATGACACTCGAAGAGCTTGACTGCCTTATGCAGTGGTCACTGAAGGAATGCCCTGATGACCTTCTCAACGATGACTCACTGATTCTCGATATTGAAACGCTGAGGTTCTGTGTTGAGCATGCACTGATGCAAGCCTTCATGAGTTCAGCATTCATGCTATGGACACGGTAAGCAATGTCCCATTCAAGCGAAGGCTAAGATACCTGATTCCGCAATACTTTAGATGCTTTGAGCTCTTGAGTTTGCAACAGAAAGACCTTGCAGAGGGGTGCAAGGGGCCATCACCACACTTCTTTCCGCACTTCAAGGTTCATCTGACCCACCGTAAGGGGTGGCAACAGGAAAAAGGCTACGACGGTCCAAGAACGAGTAAGATGTCAAACCACTCTCGCTGAGGAGGCTGTGTGAAGTGCTTAACATTTTGTCAGGCAATGTATACGATATCTATAAGCAGGATATCACTGCCATCGACATGAACTTCCACCTTATGCGGTGGAAGAGCCTGTTGGAGCGCTTGTATGGTTCAAAGCTCGAAGATGAGGACTGCCTCTTCCCATATATCTCCCCTAACGGGGTAATCCACATCAGAAGACAAATGAGCTACGACATGCTTCAGGCATCGCTCACGAAATTCTGCAATGGGGCAGGCGTCTCAAAGAGGTACACAACCCACTCTTTCCGTCGAGGCGGCGCGCAGTATCGATTCATGTTCGCCCCAATCGGCCAGCGGTGGACCTTGAACCGCATCCGCTGGTGGGGAGGATGGGCTGTTGGAGAACATGTCAGTACCACGAGATTTCATTCACTGGTTTGCTTACCAATACCGAATAGGTCGATACACTCATCAAATATCTTGTCGATTCACTGCAAAGCTATGAGAATGGACATGGTGATGCCCTGCATCCCATCCCGATTGAAAAGGACGTTACTCTGCTAGGCGATCATGTCGGGCTCGCACCAGCTACGAACAGTGACATCAGTCAATTGCGATCATCGTTCCTCAGTGAAATTCAAACCGAAATTCAAACCTTATCAACCACCATCAACTCCCAGCTGAGCGCGATAGCTGAGACAGCATCAGCAACCCATCTCCCAACCCACGAGGTGACAGTGCAGCGCAGCATGTCTCGGGAACTCAGGTCTGCCGAGATTGCCCCGTATCCGCCGACTAAGTTTCGCAGCTCTGTCCAGCTCTTGGCCAGTCAGAGCCCTGGCCCTGAGGTGGATGCCCCAGCTTTGCATGAGTCCCTTCCTCTTTCGAAAGTCTCGATACCAGACTTGGGCCAAGAGAGAGGCGCATGGCGGCGGGCTATTTTTCAGTGGATGGCAGCCGACGGCGAAACAGGCCTTGCGCTCAAAGATTGGCCACTCGAGTGGTACACGGGAAGCATGAGGACTATCATGGGAAGTAAGCGCAACCTTCGACAGGTTGTTTACGAAGAATACGCAAGGTACGAGTCGTACCTTCTCATCTGCTTTTTTTCCCCCCATTCTGACTTCAAAGGGTTGCAGGCTTGGTGCTAGTGATGCCCGCTTTTTGGAGGTCTACCCAGAGGCCGAGAAGAGCTTGACAGACCTAGTCAACCTCATCAGGAAGAGGAACAAAAAGATACGGGCGAGCAAGAACGGCTCACCAGCGTTCCAAGCATCATCTGCTGATCGAGCATAGCACATCGTATCTGGTCCACCTCGTAACATGACATCTAATAATCTAGATATACAATCAAGTAAAACAATGACCGGATTTATATTACTCACATCTATATTACTCACATCTTGTATCATATTTACAATTTAAACCAGACGATTGGGCTCAACGTGCCTTGAGATGTGACTGTGATGAGGGCCATCAGCACACATCCATTAGGGTTGGGTTGCTTGTTGTTAGAAGCTTGAGATTTATGCATAGAGGGTCAACAGGACAGAAAAATGGATGGGGAGAGCTTACTAGAGGAGGGACGAGCGCAGCTAGCAGGAAGGGACAACGAGACGAGCGAGTGTCGAAGGGCAAGTCAACTGTTTACTATTATTTACACTAGGGCCGAGGGTTTACACCACAGAAGGGAAATTGTCAAAAAAGGGAAGGTGAGCACTAGTGAGGACACCTGTTGTCCTATGTGGCGCACGCTGAGGCACAAGAGGCGCACGCCCAGCCATGTGGTGCAAAGGACAAGCGCACGCGAGCGTGCAGCCGGTGTGGAGAGGCCCCGCCCTGAGCCGAGCCGCATGGAGGGGCAGAATGGGAGGGAACCCGCCAGTCACGTGTGCGGAACTGCCTAATCGGGACTAGGGTCGCGCGTAATCCGGGCCCAGCCGGTAAATTCGTCGGCATAAGTCTCATCCCACACCTGAACCATCTCCTCAACTCGATCAACCCGAACCATCATTTTTGGTCTGCATCTCATTCTCTTCTCAATCCGGAGCCAAAGGGACATGCACGCTCCTGCAGGAATAAGCTGCGTTAGGCATGAACGGGAAAACGAAAATCGTGGCACGAACAGCAGCGCTAGTCCACACCCACTCATCTCATCGTCGAATGGCGATAGGTGTAGAGGAATTCGTCCTCTATGAACGGCAATGAAGGGTCGGCGAGGCTATAAACGAGTAAAGGGGGGAAAGCGCGTCAAAGCGAAGACGTATGCGCTAAGCAAGAATAGGATGATCACAACGATGGCTGAAATGAAGGGTGAACGTTTGAATTATTTGAGCCAAAAGTAGGATAAGAGAGCAAAAAAGGCAGGGAGGCGCGTTGGAGAGAAACGAGAAACAAGATTGATATTCCCGGGATGGAGACAACGACTCAGAGACATTCGTTAGCAGCCGTGCAGAAAAGCGAGAAAGCGGTTGGAGACGGTTGAAAGAACGAAATATGCACAAAAGTGTGTATAACGACGCTCAAAGACATGCACGTATAACCCGTTATCCATAACGAGAGAAGACGAAATGAAGCAGGTGAAGAAGGTAATTGGAAACTTACCTGGCTTCATATGCGGTACAAGGAGCATTCGACTCTGCGCACTCATCCTGCCTCTCCGACCGCCGCACTCATTCCTCGAGTGTCTGATGACAAAAGGACAAAAGGACAAAAGGACAAAAGGACAAAAGGGGGACTCTGGGCAAGAAGTCCATACTTTAGTCTGGAAATATGAAAATGACGAGCAATGGCTCACTTCGAAACTCATATCAACGCCGCACACGAGGAGCATTCGGCGTCGCCGTTGAGATATCGGGATGGGACCGAGCGCTGCCCTTCCGGTCAAATTAACGCAGAAAAAGAGCAAGAATTGGCTCGCCAGGAAGGCTTCAAGTTTTCGATGGAGCGCCTCCGCAACGCCTCCCTTAATTCGAAGTCGCAAAGGCACTGGGAGGGAGAAGAACTTATGGTTGAGAAGATGAAGAACGACCGACGCGTTCAGAAACGGAAGGCGACTCTTTTGTTTGGTCGACGTTGCTCCAAATTTGAAACTCCGAAATTATCTTATCTTCAACCCAAATCTGCGCTCCTTGACCAAGCTTCGACCGGCTCTAGGGGCCACAAAACCTGAGAGAACAAGTAGGGAATTTGGTCTTCTGACGAACGGCCCTTACTTACCCATGGTAATATTATTCAGATGGTAGCTGCTGCTCCTGGTCCTCGCAGTGCCGCAACGGTACCAGTGGAATTGGCAACCAAGTCAGAACCGATGGGCAAGCTCAGCCGAGAAATCCTACTCGACATATTCTCGTTGAACGCGAACATGGAAGGGGATTCCTTACAGGAGGCAGAACGAATATTCGATTGGAAGTACCGCGGTTTGACCACGATACTCAGCACGTCGCAGGTCTGTCGTCTCTGGCGCGATTTGGTTCTATCATCTACATCGTTTTGGGGGAGAGTCATCGATCTTTCCTATCTCTGCCACGCGAAGCCCGAAGGAAGAGAAGAGATATTACGTCGAACAGGGAGTGCACCGCTATGGCTGAAAGGGGAATACGTGGTGAAAGACGACACAACCGCAAACTTCTTGATCTCTCTCCTCACCTCCGAATGGGAAAGGATCGTCAATATCCATTGTGCCCTCGATTGGGGAAGTAGATACAAAATCTGGGACACTCTGAAACGTCCTTCAGCTGTCCTTCGAGGCTTCCGCCTGCACCCCAGATCGTCGCCTTACCTCGGTAAATTCAAACTCTTCGACAACGATGCACCCCTGCTCACAAAATTCCTCTGGGTCGACTGCCTCTCACTTGGGGTCGACTACCCTTGGATCTCACAGCTCCGTCACTTCGATATATTCTGCGAACGCGGGCGGGCGCCCAACCTAGCCTATTGGCTCAACCAACTGCGTCTGATGGAACATCTCGAGGTGTTGACGTTCAAGGGCCATTTCAGGAGCCAGTCCGACTCGGTCAGCGATGCCAGGACCTTTCCTACGGTTCACCTCCCCCGGCTGACCGCACTTAATGTCGAGGTCAGCGACGACAACCTTCCGCCGATGGTGGCGTTCCTCGACCGCGTCAGCGTCGAGCCGGAGTGTCGTGTCAGCATCAGATGCACCAAGTCGAAAGCACACCTTTCGAATGTCAGAAGGATGCTTTACGAACAGTCTTTAACCCGGTATGCGGCAGGTGCTGCCAGTAAGGCGAAAAGCCTCTCCTTATCTCTTTTCAATGCCGGTTTCGCGTTGCAAATCCCCTACTCATCGAGCCAACACTCTGCTCTCCTCCTCGACGCCCTCGTCTCCTTCCATTCCAACACCGAACTCACGGAAGCTTTCAGACCAATCAATAGCTTCTCGCATAGGACCGAATTCGCCCATCTGACGATCCTCCGTTTCGAATACGATGGTTCGCTTTCTCCACCAACGCGACTGGAGGAGCGTTTCCTCTACTCCTTGGTGAACATTGAAACTTTGTACACGACCCCACACACCCTCGACCAAGTCATGAAGTTACCTGGGACCCTTGACGGAACCTACCAACATACGCCATTCCCGAAGCTCCAGACGATCTTTTCCCATGAAGGCAGTGCCACACTCCTAGAAGCCGATCCGGCGGCGTTTTTCAAGAGGCGGGTGCAGGAGGGACGTCCTATTCGTACCCTTCACGTCCCACGCAACGGACCCCACTACGGATGGCATTTGGAGGACGTGGACGGGCTAACAGTCGTCTTTATGGAAAGTAGCCCAGGCGAAGGGTGTGATACCAGTCCTCGATTGCGAGGAGATTTCTGAAAGGGGCACTGGCGGAGGAGTGACATAGGATCCCATATATTTCAAGGTTTAGAGAATTGAAAGTTTGTTATATAAGGTATTGTTCACACATTTCTCGTACTCTAACAAAACGCTTCAATATCTTCTACCCCCAAGTTATCATACCCGAATTCACTCGACATCGGACCATTCTTCCGCCAACTCTGATCTCCCATGACCATTCCACCGAAGCCATTTGCCTTGAATTTCTTCAGACCCGGTATCGGAGCCCGCAGGACAGGCAACAATGTTGTGACAAGTCCTAGGCCTGGGTTTCTGTCGCGCTAAGTAGCTGGGAGACTAAAAGAAACATCAGAATCTCAGATCTCTGGTGAGATAGCACGGCCGTACCTGCACCCATTGGCGCCTTCGAGCCTCGATTTATGGAATCCTGCGAATCGAGAATTTTTCTTTTGGCCTTGCGTCTTTTCCTCCGCACTACAAGTCCGTGAGATGGTGCGGCGTCTGGAATCGTGCAGCCTCCCTTCAGTATGAATGCGGTCCTTCGAATGTCCGTTAAATTAGTGCACATTACGAGGATAACTGGACCATCTGAAGGATTAAATTGATAGGAATCCCATCCTTGGGAGAAGGAGAAAGCACACCCAACCGTGGCTCTCGGCAGTGCCTATGCAGCGTTCGGTGAAACTTCGGATAATTACACCGTCCGTGAATCAGAAGCATTTGCATCTATGTTCATTCGTTTTATCGCACAACCCACCGAGCGCCTGGCCTGCTGGCTAGACGCAGATTTCCTTCTGCGCTTATGAGACTTGCACGAGTTCTTTTAGTCGTCCCTAATTAAATAAGTCAGCTAAGTCACTGACCGAGAAGGTCATTCTTGTGCTCAATGGGAGTGGCATAGCTCCGACGGTGAGACCTTTCTCTCAGTGGACGATTTGTTGGAAATATTAGGTTGCACCCAATAACACGAAAGAAACGGCTCTTCGAGGTACCCCATTGCCCCTCATAAACTACAGGACTGTGTCCACTTTTGAAGATACCCGAGTTGATCAAGATCGCCGTGGGGGGGTGTATAAATTCTTGGTTCGAAATATCGATCAAGGACCTGAGCCAGTGCTGCGATAGCTAGGTGTCCGAGGTGGATCTGTCAGCACGAAGACTAGCAAGAATCGCGCGATCCAAGTGACTCTGGCGTAACGGGTCTGATGGTAGTAACCGTTACCTGGAAAGGGACGTGGGAATGTGGCACACAGCGCCAAATCGAGGTCCGGCGCCTAAACAAAGAGTGTTTCCATGCTTGGAATGACCAGTAAAATTCGTGCACCTCACGCAGAAGAGACACACTATCAGAGGCCTTACTTATACGAGAAATGAAACGTTTGAGTAGTGGAGGAAAGCACCTCCAACAGTGTCTCTCAGCGACATTATTTCGCCGTTCGGTGAAACTTCGGCAAATCACACCGCCCATAATAGCATCGATTCTGGGTTTCGAGAAACGATCAAGGGTCTGACCAGCTGGTCTAGCACGACGAAGATTCACATTCTGTACGTAGATCCTGCACGAGTTCCTTTAGTCATTCCTCACAATATCAGTCAGCGAAGTCACTGGAACCCAACCCCACGAGCACGCAAGGCTGTCGAGAAATGAAGTCAACTCGCCGTCTTTCCACTATATAAAAGGCAAACAGGTAACTTCGAAAATCCAACGGCATCCGTTCTCTCCTCGACTTCCTTTCCAACTTGCCAATCTCTGGACTACATATCTCTCATGGCTCAAACCACGTTGTCTTCCGACGGAGGCCCAGCGGTGACCCTCGCGAAGCTCCTGTACTTCACCGAACCAGAAGGTGCCGCTCGCGCGTACCACTTCATCAACTCTGATCCGGCCACTGGGCAGAGGAAGAAGAACTGGGAGTTCGACGAGAGGCAGGTGTCCATTGAGAACCTTCGGGGGAAGGAGGACACAGTCTCCCTCGACACGACCGGCTTCCAGTTCGCCAAGCACACGACGGCCCACACGAGCTTCGCCAATGACGAGGAGATCAAGAGGGAGTACTATCCCGAGAGTATCGAGCTCATCAAGAAATCGACTGGGGCGACTAGGGTCGAGCTATTCGATCATAGTAAGTACCGTAACATCTTTAACAGAGTCTTACTTACCGCTCTGTTTCCGTACAGCTGTACGCCGTCACCACCCTGGAGATACGGAAGACATCCCCTCCAAGCGCCGGCCTGTTGCCCAAGTTCACGTCGACCAAACCACAGCATCCGCCATCGCCCGCGTGCACCGTCACCTCCCCTCTGAGGACGTCCCAAAGCTCCTTAATAGCCGCTTCCAGCTCATAAATCTTTGGAGGCCGATCGGGAAGCCGGCCTTCGATTGGCCCCTCGCGCTGTGCGACTACCGCAGCGTCGACCCTGTCAAGGACGTCACTCCGATCGCGCTGATTTATCCCGATAGAGAGGAGGGTGAGACGATGGGCGTCAAGTACGGTGATCAGCATAAGTGGAAGTACCTTTACGGGATGAAGCCAGACGAGGTCGTGTTGATCAAGTGGTACGTCGTATGTTAGGCGTAGTGTAGCATTTGCTTATGACATTGTCCCTCGCAGCTTCGACTCGATCCAGGACGGTAGCGTTGCTAGGTTCACGCCTCACACTGCATTCAGCGACCCCAACACGCCTCCTGGTGCACCTCTCCGCGAGTCCATCGAGCTCCGATCTCTCGTCTTTTACGACTAGATCATGCGGAACCTGCGTGAATACCAGAAGTAATGAGTTTGATTGCGAATATGTCAAGAGATTGTATTATAAACCTGTTGAATATGATTACGATTTGAGTTCGATGTGGGAGCGTCGAGGAAGTATATGATAGAATGGCGAGTTGAAGAAAGACAAAGAAAATCGAGCTCCTCTGTGGCTTCGACATTAGGAACAATCGTCTACTGTAACATTTATGCGTCAGGGTAATACAGAATGGGACATTTGCTATAGACCTCTCTTGCAACGGATCTACCAATCGTCACTCAACGTCCGACTCAGGCCCAAAACTCCTAGCTTTGTCCTTGGAACTAGAGGAACCAGGTGACCTAACGTCATGGAGCTGGTGAGATTCAACGTGGACGAAGACCTCCGGATGAGTCCGAGTATCGATGAAAGTATTCTAAGGAAAGGTTACAGATCCAGGTCAGTGGAATTCGAAGTTCTCAATTAGCGCCATATCGACTGACCGGTTTCATACTCGTAACCCGAGGGTCCCGGTTAACGCTCAGACTCCCCAGAACGCCCGAGTCGGTATTCTCTGACTCGCCGAACTTCCAGCCCTTGCGTGAGTTCAGCGAAGTCATAAGGGATGTAGCGTATAGACCGCCAAGTGCACCACCCAACATTAGGTGCTTTCCCGACGGCTGGCATTTACTGGTTAGAGGAGATTCAAGCATGAATCGGAGGTCGGCGTACATCTGAAAGGAAGAGGATCATGTCGCCTGCGGCTACGACCATGGTCACAAGGCCTGTTTGCATCGTCACTGTAGTAAGGTAGAGTTGGAAGAGATAGGCTTCGTAGAGATCAAGAACGGTACCTCTGATGATCCGCTTTACCATGAGATCTGACCGCGGAAATCCGCTCTTGTGTCGATTCTGCAAGAGACGAAAGAATGAAACTTCCCCCTTAGATCAACAGAGAAGCTAGAGACCCCATACCCTAACGGTAAATAAGTCGCCAGTAAACGGAAAGGAGGCGTATAGATCCTCACAGATAAAACACCAAGATGCTTGTAATCGCAACGTCGCAAGCAACGGCAGCGGCCAGCCCGAGAGTGATGGTTCTTTTGAACTGCTTGAAATTGAGCAAATTTGACCCACGAGCGATCTCGCACGTTATGGCGACTGTCGCACCTGCGCGGAGGATACGCGGAGTATGAGTTAGGCGTACGGGATGCAGGATGGCGGAAATTCTTGCCTCCACTCGTGAGTGCGAGGGCGGCGACGAAGCCACCCGTTAATTTTGACTTCGTCAACGCGTACACTCTCCAGGAAAAGAAAAGTTGGACGGAAAGAGTGACGAGGCCCTGACGCATAGATAAGTTCTGGATGTTCATACGAGACGAAATCGGGGAGAGAGAACAACATTCACCGTAACGGCAGGTTCTTGAGGGGACGAAACAGTTGCAAATCAGGTCAATGCCGTCACTAAAGAGGCAATATCGCTCACGAGTCGCCAGTACTGCGAGTGAGGATTTCATTGAGGACCAAATACAATTAAAGTAAGATAGAACGCACCCCAGTAAGGACTTGTCAACATCTCCGCATCGCCTGGTTAATCTCTAAGCATCTCCCACGGGACAGGGGAAGGAAGGGCGTACCGAAGAATGGGATCAGAACACGATAAAGGTATATGAAGAGGAAGGTGACGCTCAATGTCAAAGTTGTATACAAAGCTGCAACCTGGTTCGAAACGATGAGAGAGGTGAAAAAGGATGCGGCGGGACTGAATGCAATAAAAACGGGGTGCCATACGAATATCTGGAGCCACACCTTGTCCCTAGAGCAATTTTTAACACCATTGCAAGTCAGAAACGCGAATCAATTGCTTACTTCTTCGAATATGCAGCATAATATCCATAGACTTGGGTCGTCATCACCCCCAGGAGGAGAACGTCGAAGCAGAGCCCAATGAACATCCAGCCATGACTGGAGATGTCAATATCAGCCTACGACCAACGATAAGTCGGAAAGTATGAGCTACTCACAGTGCCTCCGCTGGACTGGCTCTCGCTGACAGCTGCTCGCCCAGCATCGTGAACATGACCCGTGTGAGAGAGAAAACCGCGACAACAGGAGAAAGCGATGGAGCGTCTTTTCAGGTAGATTGCGACTCTATTGAATACGTATAAGTGGCGTCGTGCATTGTCTCCGAGATCGCCTAGAGGCAACGGCGGTCGGTTTGATTGGCATTTAGGAGTCCATACCGAAGAAATGCGGCGGGAGCGCCCTTCGTACCTCACCAATCCAGCTAGATGACTGATCAGGGGATCGTCGTCGTTATGTGCGCTGAGTGGCCGTCGTATCGCGAGAGCGGCGCAGGGGCGAGTTCAGACCAGCACTTCCAAAGAACAAGCAAGCTCCTGATTTCTCCCGATTCTCGATCCTCCTGAGCATCACTGAAGAGGTTTCGTCGCACATTGACGAACTACAGGTGCTGTCCTAGTCGTCAGTAGTTCTCACTATAGTGCACTATAGGACCTACATCAGGAGAATGGTCCCTCTCATTATCCTCCGCAATGGCGCGGTTTTCAAGGACAAGTTCGATTGTAGAGACCAAGGACATGCGACAGATTTCTGACTCGAAAGTGTTGGCATTGAAATATTGACGCATAGTAGGCAGAGAGAATAAGAGACAGGTCGTGAAATAGAGAGTGTCACCTTAGGAGACAGTGGCGGGTTCGTGAGAAAGAATGATCAAAACGGGCGGCTGCCATCCGGACATCGAGGACAGTTTTCTTATGCTACAATATCGGTCCTGGTACCCCAAGCCAATCTGTTGTATCTACTCCCCCTCTTCTTCACAAAGTTGGCCGTCAATCGCGGATTTCAGGGCAAAATTTGAAAGCCACACTAAGTACTGATTATACATCCTTTCATCGATGGCCTTCGCACTAATGAAAATGGCCGTGTAGCGTGAAACCCTACAGCATATTTGGGCGGCTTTCTCATCTTTGAATATGGGGCTCGTGTACAGTTGTCAGTTGAAAAGGAATTTTTTGGACAATTCATGATGCAATTTTCAAAACCAAAGCCCTTTGCTGGCGGACGTTATAATGGCCCCGCCACCTTACAACCCAGGATAGCTTCCATTGGTATATGTATAAGGCTATTGAGCTAAGGGTAGTGGGTGACCAAAAAAGTCCATTTCTCACGCGTGTTAGGCCGCTGTGGCGCACGCGTTTGAAGGATTGTGTTTCGATGCTGGACGTATCACGCCCGATGGTGGTGCGCGCTTGTCAAACGATCTTGAAATCTAACGTTCCTGAACCATCGAGAGTAAGAACGTCACCTTTCGCAACCTCTATGCTTCAATTACCCAGCAGGTACATTGTTCTTCCTGTAGAGCGGCGACTTAGGTACCCACGCTCGTCGATTTTTCGCCAAGTAGAGGAGCAGAAGATTGAATGCAGCTAGAGAGCCATAACTTCTCTCGAAGGCCCGCATGGTTCAACCGTTTTGATAATGAGCATCTACACGGCGCGATGCTCTACTGATACTTCTACATCTTCGGCTACCAATTCTATGTAACGCCAAATTAATGCTTCTATAATGATGCGAGAATCAGACGCCGGTTACACGCTACTCCGACCCCAGCGTGGACGCTTTCGCATCCATGTAGGTGAGATCTTTGGTTGTCTTGACGTCGCGTAGTTCGTGAGACTCGACGTGCACAAAAACCTCCGGATGAGTGGTTCGAGCATCGATATCCTGGAAGGACAAAATATCAGAACTCTGGTCGGTAAGTTGCTTATCCAAGGCATTGCACTTGCCTTCATGGTCGATATTTGAATGTTGCGGTGCTTGAGATTTCCGCCAGTGATGACTTGCTCGGATTCTGTGTTCGTCGTATCGCCGAACTTCCATCCTTTCCTCGAGTTCAAGCTGCTCATGAGCGAGTTGGAATACAGTTTCGCGAGGGGATAGTTGATCATCAGGTGTGTTCCAGAGGGCTAAAGAAGACGTTCATTGAGGAAGGAGAAGAAATAGCTGCGTGATACTCACGTCTACGAGGTACACTATGAGGTCAACGGTGGCCACCACCATTGTTAATAGCCCAGTTTGAACGACAACTAAGAATTAATGGACGTCTGAGCGGACGAGCAAGATCGAACGTTGCGAGTACGCACCCCGGATAATCCGGTCGATCATCAAATCGGACCGTTGGAACCCAGTCTTATGTTTTTGCTGATCGAGGAAGCAACGTGAGACGTAGGCACGCTGTGTCCAAAGAGGTGCTCCTTACTCTGGAAAGAATGCTACATTCAATAGACATTGACGAGGATTCAGAAGCGGTCACTTACAAGAAAATGACAAGAGTGAGGGTAATACCGATGTCGCAAACGACGGATGCCACAAGCCAGAGGATCACAGTGTGTCTAAACGCGTCGAATTCGACGAAGGTCGCGCTGCGACCCACCTCGACTCCGGTAACAATCGACGACACTACATAGAGAGGTACATCAGCCGGCGGGTGGTTGGGAGGTGCGACGAACTCACCTCCTCCAGTGATCGCCAACGCAGCAATGGTGCAGCCGTTGATGAGCGATTTCGTTAACAAATATGCGCGCCAAGCGAAGAAAAGCTGGACCATCATCGCGATAACTCCCTAGAGAAATAAAGATGTGGTCAGCTTCAAGGTGAAAGGTCAGAGAGAAGGCTAGTGGGCGTACAGTACTAGCAGGTTCTAGGTGTAGACACTCCATTCAGTCGAGAGCGAACGTCGAGAGGATGTGCAGCATACCGGCGGCGAATACTGGAGGAGAAATCAATCTTGTATTAGCGAACTGAAAAATCACTGACTTACGCCAATCAGACTTTCCTAAATTTGGCTCGTCCCCTACCGGAAGAGGCTTAGTGCTGGAGTAATGGAACACACTAGTGGCTCTTACCAAAGAAAGTAATGAGAGAGCGATAAAGATAGGCGAAGATGACGACAGTGTTGAAGATATCGGCAGCATAGAGGACTGCCACCTATTGGGCATTGGGTTTACCGATGCTCTCGTCAGTCGGAAGAGGCGGGTGAAACTCACGAAGGTCTTGATCCATGGCCGATCTCTGAACAAAAGCGTGCAAAGTGAGTCACAATCGCTCATAAGAAACGCAGCGCGCACCGTTTGTACGTCGAGTAGTAGATATACACCTGAGCCGTCATCAACCCGAGGAGGAAGGCATTTATCAGAAACCCGATGAACATCCAACCATGGCTGGAAAGTTGATTCGTTGAAAGAGGTATTCGAAAGGTGCAGGATACAGGACACTCACGCAAACTCTGCCGGCCCCAGCAAGCTTAACGGACTCGGTGCACCCATGATGAGACTAGGGACGAACGGCTGGAAAACGAGAGTGCAAGTGTATAAACACGGGGAAGCCACTCTCTGCTGTCAACTGCTGTCGCGGTTATAAGGAAGAAGACAACCTGACGACAGCAGGCGCAGAACACTCATTTGCATCAGCTCGCTAGGAGGTATTTTATCCCCTCCAAGAGGTCAACGTGAAAACCGAGAGAAAACCCTGGGAACACTGACGCGTAGGGGTGTCAAGGTGCTGAGATCGCCCCCCTGTCCAATCTTCTGGGTGAATCGTGCAGAGATTCCATTTCAGGACGACAAATGACGCGTTGCTTGGAGCGATAGGACGTTTAAACGCCTATTCCCATCGCCCTAGGGGCCAGTGGCGTTCTCTTGAGCCTTGGGTTCCAGCCTGAATGAAAGCGCTAGGGGAAAGAATTCTGCAGCGATCCCATAAGCCTCGTCAGAAACAAGAACTGCACAGAAGAATTCGGGCCATGTGAACTGACGACATTGTTCGACTTCGAGAAAGGGCGTTCCTTCGCCCTGCCGGCATCTCCGAATGAGGACAACCGCCACCTTGTAACGAGGCCCGAGGGTGCATGAAATCTCGGCGGGACTTTCCACTTCAAGCAGAACGTACCCAAGCACACGCATTGATCGAGTGCACATCATTCTTTGAGGGGGGCGAGTAGGATCAAGCCAGGGGGAACGGCTGAGCATGCGTCGGCACCCTCGAATGTCGGAGTCATTTCTTCGATCGAATATGTGCGTGAAATTTAGAGAGAGAGCGGAAGAATGAAGTTGACGGATACAGCGAAAGAGTGGGGGGACATTTCAGAATATCCCTGCGTAATTAGTAACCTATTGAACTCACCTGCGCTCGGGAGACCTTACGGGCTCTTCACCCTACATGTCGCCAAGTGCACGCTGACCCCGCTCGGCGCCCCCCGCAGGGTGGCTACCAATCATTGACTTAAGATTTTAGGAAGCCATAGGGTCGAACAAGGGTGAGGCAAGGTCCTTTCCCGTGCAGTGATCGGTGGGAGACAAGCCGCGTTAGGCAACTGCATACCCTCTGCCTAGCATGACAGTGAAGACTTGAAATTTTGCAACTGCCATTGAAGACTTCAAATGCAGTTCCAACGTCTATTCATGACTGAGGCCCAAATCTCAGGACTGTCGGCTAGTGGGCAACTGACTTGAGTCTCAGCATCAATCAGTGGTGAGGACAGGGGCTCTGATAACGTATCTTGCAAGGGAGCGCTAGCGGGCGCTGGGCCTTTTGGAAGACTTTCTCTGTCGAATATTCGTGAGCCAGCCCAAGACTGAAGTACTGACGGTCTAGTTGTGAATATCGTCCAGTCCAGGAGAAAAGGTTTTGAAGCGATAACGTGGCGAAGAAGCAGTTCCTGGTAGGTCTGGACCCGAGCCCGAGTTCCCCTCATCTTCGCACTGAGAAGTCGCTTGAAATTCCTCCCCTACGTCACAGGAGGGGAAGGAGAAGGAGAAGACACTTAACCGTAGATAAGCCCGGCCCGGTTCCTGAAACCAGCACAAATTTCGGTCCCGTGATCAACGCGATGCGTGTCGCGTCGTGTCGAATTGTCGCCAGTCGCTATTTGTCGTACGACGTAAAGTGTCTTAAACTATACGTCCAGTGAACTCCCAGAGCTGGACGTTCAATGGTGTGAGAACCACAATAGCATATGTAACCATACAATTTGGCTCACGAAGCGCACGATGAGTGCGGTAAACCGCAGAAAAATAAAATCCACGTGGTTGGTGAACCGACTGGCCACGATGGATGGCCGATATGGGATTAATATGTATATAATGAAAGCTACAACATAGCGAATCTTACCGCCAAGCGCGGTCCGCCCCCTATAAGATATAACCAATCGGTCTTAAAGTCTGCCGAGCTTAGGGTGTGGGCAGGCCGGATCTCTGGAGTCTGAGGATATCAAAGGTGAGAACGAGGATGTGATTTCAAGTAGAAAGGGAAATTTGACAGTATTTTTTGTTTTGTTTTTATGGTTAAGTATGCAAAAGAAGTTCAAGAAGTTCAATGGAGCCGTAAGGAAAGACCAAGTATTAGTTGAAGGCGCAAGATGGCACGGGCTCAGATTGATCTACTGCGAATTATTTAGGTTCGACGAGTCGGTCGTTACTTCATGCCGATCTTAAGCGGCAACGAAGACCCATTCCTGGCTGGACGACGCTGCGGCGAGCTCAATCTGGAATATTTACTACATTAGATGGCAATTATAAGCGACTAGATGATGACGCACGTTGTTGCCGTTGAGGGAGAAGCGGCGCTTGGAGGAATCGTTGGCCATGATTGGGCCCTTGTACGAGTTACTTCCCTCGTCCCTAAAACACTTAGTTAGATCATTCCGTGGAAGAATAAAATGGTCCATACCATTCGACGCTGATGATCCACTCGACACCACTCGTGGCGCGAGTAATAGCCTGAGGAACCGCGGACGAGGACAAAGTCGTCTGGGCGAATCTACCGGACTTGACGCTGAGGGCCCTCATGATGCCGTCGCCGGAGATCAGCCACTGCGTTCATGAGATTTAGTAGGAGAGCAAGGACGATACGGAATCCAGTACGACTCGCCTTCTGGTCATCCGCGCCAGAAGGCGACGCAACGAAGAGCTGCTGTCCGTCAGTACCTGGGTTGACGACGTTTCGGGCGGGGGACTCCGTAGTCTGCACGTGGTAGACACCGGGCGGAAGAGCGAAGCGTTGGGCGGACATGGTGTAAGAAGGCTGTTGAAGAGGAGATGTATGCTGTTTAAGCTCGAGAGGCGACTCTGGGGGAGGAGGGCCACAGCTTCTGGGCCTTTATACTTTTGAACGGCGGCAGACCCTCTTAATTGGGCAGACGGCGAATCACCAAGCGGATCTCTTTGGAACTAGAGTCAAACTATGTCATCCGGCGCTCCTCAGTCCCGAAGTTGTTATATGGGTAGGGGTGTTATACAGAGCTCGAACTCTCCGCCGAGATCTATAGGAACCTTGAATAAGGTGACCTGAGGCCTGTCACCGTCGTAAGCAGAAGCCCCGTTTCATTTCTGATTTAACAGGAGCCCATTCCCATTTATGGAGTCCTTCTACGAGCATTTTGGAATTATCGGGGCTCATCAGTTCCGACTTCCTCGAGAGGTGAAGTCGCTGGATTCAATCATTTTACTCCCACTATGCCCCCTTACAACTTCAGGCAATTTCAAGTCAATTCTCGAGTAATCCACACCAGCACCAATGGTATCCACACCCACGTCCACTGGCTGAAAGGCAATCAAAAGGACCAGGAGTGCGTGAACACGCCTACCTTCGTGCGCCTCCCACTGCGACACTCGGCGCCCGAACCACCGATTAAGGATAGAGTAACAATTTATCCACGAATGACACTGTGGAGTGAGAAAGAAGCGATATTTGGATACGAAGACTTCTACCACCGTAAATTTTGTGTTCTGGAAATAGACCAACGATCCGCAAAGGTCTGGCCGGTGAAATGACACGAGAAGATCATAGCGAGGAACTGCAGCAGAGATTCTGGAGACTGACGTCAATATACATAGCGTCGGACATTCCTCATATCTTTGCTGCGGGTGTGTCATTTAGAACGGAGGCCTCGTTTTGGCAGACCCAGAAAGGAAGTTCCGTTGGCAGATCAATCAGGTGCCACACTTCCCTTACATTGACAGGCGGTTCCATTCGAGCTGCCTCGGCGAACTTGAATTCCTAATCAAACATATTCAAAGCAAGAGCACGAAGTAAGAAGTCTGGAAATAGTTTTAATTTTAAAAAGCGGACGAAGACCTCTTGCGAGTCTTATGGTAGTTTGACTCGAACGCCCAAAGTGTTGACGATATTAGGCGCTCATGATTTGCCGCGCAGGCGCCCAGGTTCTGATGTCTCTATTCATTGGACCTTCGAGTTCCCATAGGTCAGAATCAGATGACGGTCTCTAGACATGACCAGTACGACGACCATACGTTGATTTGACAACAACATGGCGGAAGACAATGTCCTCCGAAAGTGCCATGACGAATGGAGCTGGCACGTAAGGCTACAAGATGAAGGAGGCGGACGACAGGAGTTGACTAAGTTCCTTGGAATATAGCTAGGTATTCACCACCGGTCACGAAAGACGCGAAGGCGAGCCGAAGAGTGGCTAGGAAATCCGGGCACCACAATAAGGTTGCAAGCGCATGATGATCAAGAGAGCGATCCCAATAGACCGGTTAATTGACCCGTCCGTGTGGAGAAAAAAGATAATTCTTGACAAGTCATCGGCGAGATACACCCCCGTCATTATAGATGATTTACGGAGCAGTTCGTCCCCGAAATCTGTGAGAGGACGGCAAGCACGAAGTCGAGACACCGCTTCACTTCGATGAGAAATAAATGAAATCCATTCTTTTATGTAGCATTCTACTATGTACAATACCCACACCACTACCTGGTCCTTCACCTCCTCTCATCGCATCCGTGTTTTCATTAATGTATAACGTTCGATGCACAAGCGCTCATTACCCACACATACCCCCGCATTGCCTTCCAAGCTTACTCCGACCTCAAGCGCTGAGGGCCAGACGAAACGACAAAGGGCTTAATCCCACTTGTCGATCTTCATCGTGCCCTTCTCCATCAGGTTAATGTGGAACTTGAATGCATTCTGAAAGGGTAACCAATCATCAATATTTCAACTGTAAATGTAGAGTCATGCAGGACTCACCCTAAGCATATGCGGCTCATGCCCCGACCCGCTCCTCAAACACTCGAACAGTGCACGGTCGTAGTACTCCTTCAGGCTATCCTTGTAGTCTGGGTGGGCGCACTTCTCGATGATGAGCGGGGCGCGCTCGCGCGGGCTCAGGCCACGCAGGTCCGCAAGGCCCTGCTCGGTAACGATGATGTCGAGGTCGTGCTCCGTTTGGTCGATGTGCGAGGCGAAGGGGACGATGCAGCTGATACCAGTTGGGTCTTTCTTCGTTGGTCGGCTGTGATACGGGGTAAGTCGTGGAAGGAAAATGATATGGTTAGAAGAGGTACGTACACAGAGGGAGTGTGCATGATCGAGATCTTGGCGTTTCTCAGGAAGTCAGCGGAGCCGCCGAGGCCGTTGAGCATGCGTGATCCGAGGGCGTTTGTCGAGTTAGCGTGGGCATACTACAGGGCATCAACGTTAACTTTAACCGTAGAGGGATGGGAAGCAAGGGCGCGTACGATGTCGACTTCCAGAGGCGTGTTCATCGCGATAACACCCAATCTTCTGATGAGCTCGGGCGAGTTCGCGACTTGCTGCGAGCGGAGAAGGAGCCTGTCCTTATAGCGATCCCAGTCTACAAGCCATGGATCATCAGCTGTCATACAACCAACAGAAGTGGAGAAACGCACTCTTGTAGAAGTGCTCAAACCCTTCCGGCGAGAACTTGATACTCGTCGCCGTCGCGAACGCCAGCTTGCCCGAGTCGAAGAACTGGATGAACGTATCCTGGAGCACCTCCGTCCACACCTGCACCTGCTCGAACGGCCCGTCCGCGAGCCCCCCAATGATCGAGTTGGCGACGTTTCCGATGCCTGATTGCAAAGGAAGGAGCGAGGGCGGTAGCCGTCCAGAGGCCACCTCGGACGAGAGGAAATCGATCAGGTGCCCGGCGATGGCGCGCGACTCTTCGTTCTGGTGGTGAAAATAAAATGTGAGACCGATGTGATGAAGAGGTTGATTAGGCAAATGCGCACCTCAGGCGCGTTCTGCCCTGTGTTGTCCGGATGTTTCGACTCGACGATGGCGACGACACGGTCGGGGTCGATCGGGATGGCCGTCCGTCCGATGCGGTCCTGGGGGTGGGTGACGACCTAGACAGCAGCACGACGTCAGGAGGAGCGTATGAAAGTAGATCACCACCAGAAACTCACGTAAGGCTGCCTGTTAGGTGGCACGAACGAATGGTTGATGTCATGCAGGCCCTCTAGGCTCGGCACCAGCGTATTGACCTCGATGATGATCTTCTCTGCCGACTGCACAATCTCCGGGGTTGCTCCAACCGAGGCGCCTAGAGTGATAGCAGACGTTAGAAACGCGTAGGGAATGACAGTCATAACACTAAACTAAGGCTTACCAGGAACGATATGGCCATCCTCCGTAATGGCTGTAGCCTCCACGATGGCCCAATCCAGGGGCTTCCTTGGGTCGCCATGGTTCTTTTTTAGACTGTAGTAGCCGTACGTCAGGTCCTGGGGGAACACTGCTCCGAGTTAGGGCTAGAAGGGTGCAAAAGGGAAATCCACAGGACGTACTGGACAAGTGCTTGTCGGCGAATTCGATTCGGCCTTCGTTGATGCCCTTCGCGATTTCACGCCCGACCTGATGCGGGTATCTGCGTGCGATCCTATGGGGAGAAGGTGGGGACCGAGGTCAGCAAGAACCAAGGAACACGGGGATGGGTAGGGAGAAGGCGTTGGAGGGGATGACAAAGGTGATTGGAGAAACACGGGCGAAGAGTGCTCTCTCACTGATTCCCGCGGACAGACGTATGAGCTTGCTCCCCCTGCTCTGAACGACGGAGCAGGAAGACTGAGGACGGCCCGAAACTGCCAAGCATGACGTCGAAACACAGATACTGCTGTGAATCGAAAACACGCTCGACAAGAGCAAACCAACACGCTCTGCCTGCTTCACGCCGACAGATCACGAACTAGAGCACCGTTGACTTCGCGGAGTCACTCGGAGGAGCCAAACACACGCGCTGAGGTAACGGCGAACAGCGATTCGACGCGTTCCAGTGGTCCATCCATCGACGGGCAAAGACGGGAAGGGGGGAGGGCGATAGAATGTGGAAGATAACACGAAAATGAACGTACATGTCCATCTTTGCCCACCGGTCCTCGACTTCGGGGCCCACAGACGCACCGACGAAGAGGTTGAACTTTTTCTTCGTCGCGGGATCAGCTTGGAGGTTGTTGGCTTCTACGTGGTCTGCGATGGCCTTGGGGAGTAATGAGCATAGTGATGAGATGTGAGAAGGAGAGAAACGCACTGTGGGGACTGCTTTTGGGTACCCGACACCTGTGAACCCGGACCAGCCAATCTATGCACGGTATTGGAAGAGATCGCGAAAAGCGGTGGTGATGCACATACGTAGTCATCGTTCTGCACGACGTGCCACGTCAGTATCCGATTGCGTCCGCAATTTGTGTCCTGTACTCACCTTGAAGAGCGGTGCGAGATCCTCCGGCTGCGCGAGCTTCTTGAGATAGCCAGGACGTCGTACACGCTCTTTGAGAGCGGCCGAGGCGACCCCGCCACGACCAATGGCATTACGGAGAAAAGGTGTCGGGCGCATGACCTACTCCAGACAGAGAGAAAGGAAGAAGAACGAGGGGAAAACCTGCCGCCAGTGGAACGGGACATATTTTAGAGTCTCGAGGTTAGGGCCAAAGTAGAGCCGGCCGGTAGCTCGGCATCCGCCAAGCTCTGTTCTCCGAGGTCTGTCGTGATCATCTTCTCCCAAAACCCCACGGGGTGCGGGGTAGAGTTCTTCCTAAAGACGTCTCTGACTCTCTGTCCCTGCTTGGATATCTGCTCAGCCCCGATAAGAAGGCCATCCTGGAGCAAATGACCCTGTTGACCATCAACTGCCGACATTTTGAGCTCATCATCGACGACGAGCGCTGCTTCCTTGTCTTTTTGGTGTCGTCGCCAAAGTTTGCTAGGCCTCACTATATTCCGCGACGCCGACAACTGCGGTATATCATCGGAACGACTTTCTACAGCGTTGGCGGCCCTCTGGAGTCTGACTGTCGCCGATATGCTCACTAGTGGCGGTGGGAGCTTGCTCGTATCCCAGGCTGCTAAAGATGTCTCCGCTTGTGTCCCTGTAGCTCATCGAGCAAGATAGCCGGCCACGGTTCGTCTTACACACCCGCCACGGTGAGAGTTTGCTCATACCCTGTTCTCCAACTCTAAACACTTATCTCTAGGCGATGAGCAGCTCGGTTCCCACATCCGACATCGAACACCCACCCTCACTCCGAGCTACGTTACCCGAGGGCGATGGGAGCAGCTCAAGGCCTTATCGCAGCCCCGACACTCTCTGATCGCGCTCACATCAAACCATCTTGCCTAGCACGTCACCGAAGCATGACTCGCCCGAATCCTCCAGCGGGTCCTCGGAGCGTCGTCTGACCTGTTCATCAACGTCTGCCGCCACCTGCGAGCTGTACGCTGCCGCCCCAGCGTCTAGTATGGGCGCTTAGGCCCAAAATCGACAGATCGGTGGCAAGAGTGGCAACGTCAGCGCCACTCCTGTCGCGTCGTCCTTTACGCCGAGGATCCCTTATTTGACGGTCCGTCCGGCTGGCCGCATGAAATCCTGGACGACGAACCTGAGATGGAGGGCAAAACCCGGGCCATTGACGTGCTATGGGTGCGATATCTATTCGGCCCGCGCTGCAAATCTTCTGGATGAGCTTGTGGCAGCACCTCTCCTCGAACTCTGAATCACAACAATCGGTGGCTACTTTTATCGGGTCGGGGAACCGAATATATGCGCTCGACATTCGAATTTCTGAGCTTTCGTCGGGTCTTCGTTGGTTGCAACGTCAAACAACTTTCACCTTGGATTCAAGAACGCAGATCGTTACAACATAGACCACCAGGCGTGTTCTAATGGCATTCATTTTCTATTCTCGTCTCATTAATCCCCTGATTCTAGCGGAGGAGATTGGCTTGGTAAGAACGATTTTGGAACGATTAGAATCGCAGGTACGTTTTAGTTTTCCTGTGCGCTGAGACTTTCCTTAAACTTCAGAGGCATTGTGGGGCTACTATACCCAATAAATGAAGTGTCAGGATGCCATTTTCTCTCGGATTTCGGTGGACACATGTTGGCATCGCTCCGTGCGCACAACGAGTCGAGTTTGACGATGAGGGCGCGGCTGCCGGACCGGCTGTTGATCCGCTTTGCCAACTCTCCCACACATAAAATCTGTCGATTTCGACCGGTGTTCGCCATCCAATCTCCAGTTCCTTCAGTCACTGGCTTCCAACCTTCAACGTGTCTCTTTTTCGATGATATCCGCCAGGCTCCCCTTTCTACCGACGGTCTGCACCATCGGATTCAAAATGTTCTTTCCCGACTCGGTGAGTGATCCCTTCCCGTCGTAACGTTATCGCGGGGACTAAAGGATATGGACAACGTAAACGCAGATCTTGGGCGCAACCAGTGCTCGGAATCCATTTTCGATGCAAGGAATAACCTCATGCACTGCCTGCTGCATTGCCTAGCTCACGACGCTCGAGCAGGAACTCCTGCCCTGAGCGTCGTTGTCCGTCAACCCTTCGGCGCTTCTGGACTTTTTTTCGACCAAGAAGTGGGGCGTGGGCCCCAATTACTTATACGATATCGGTGGCAATGCAATGCTCTGACTCGTACGTGGCTGGCCCTGACGTGTTCTGACAATTGATTTCCTGGAGATTGACGTTACTGATTGACAGGCTGTACTAGTATCCACGTTGCACTGCTTCGGTCCATCTTCTGCTCAAATTCAAGACCTCCTCTGGTTGAACATCACCACTTCTTCGACCGTTCCTCCTCTTTTCTTCCAACTCTATCTTAAAAGACCGCCTCGTGAACACGACAGCCAGCCAAGACATGCTGGAAGCTGCCCAGAGTGTTAATATCGTCGACTCGCGGAGTTACGAGGTCAACGGCGACCTGCATTACCACGACCGCAGGGAAGGACAATCAGCTATCGCGTCAACTTCAGGTCTGTCCTATCTCAGCCTTTTTCGCGCGTCATTTCTCGTTCTTACTTCGTCGCCGTGTTGAGCGGTAACTCTGGATTCGAACTTGGTTCTTGTCGAAGGAGACTACCATGATCATCGTCGCGTCACATGCGACAACCCGGGGATGCGCGAACCTGGTGCGTATCTGGTTCGTGATTGTGGGTTGTTTAGCTGTACACCTTAGAACTATGTGGCAGGAATCGAAGCTCTGGGAAGGATTATATCTACCCAAGCGCTTCACGACTCGCCAGAGCGCTATCCTTTGCAATGCCACCCCGGTACCCGCAAGAGGGTCCTAGAGTCAATACTTCGTTGGATCGACGCCGACCCCTCCCCCTCTTGCCGCGTTTTTTGGCTCTACGGGCGACCGGGTGTCGGCAAATCAGCCATTCTGAAGACTATTACCGATGAGCTGGCAGCGACACGTCCAGGAACATCAAGACGACGGCTTGCGGGAAGCTTCTTCTTTCGACGAGGACTGTCGTCTTGCGAAAACGCCATCCACCTCTTCCCGACGCTGGCTTATCAGATGGCGTTGAACGTCCCTGGGATGCGCAGCGCCATCAACCAGGCCATGGTTTTCGACGTGACGATTCCTTCCAAAGCGTTGGAGGTGCAGATTTCCAAACTCATAATCGAGCCGTTTCAACGTGTATGCGGCGCCAGACAATCCGAGAATTCGACGTTACCTCCCGCTTCAATTGTCATTATCGACGGACTCGACGAGTGTGCTGAATCCTGTCATCAAAAGGCGATTCTCACCGCTATCACAGCAATGTTTGTCAACCACCCCGACATCCCTGTCCGCTTTCTTATCGCCAGTCGGTATGAGCACCACCTCCGCTCTGCGTTCGACAGACCGCCGCTGCGTGACGTCACCCAGCGCATTTACCTCGACGATTCATTCCCAGTCCATGAGGACATACGGTTGTTTTTCGAGGACAAATTCGCCGAGATCTATAACGAGAATCTGGATATCATGAAATCGTCTGCGCGCCTACCGTGGCCGGGTCGCATGACCATCGACATGCTCACTGCTCGTGCTGCTGGCCAATTCATTTACGCGGTGACTGTTGTCAGATTTGTTGGCGCTGAGGGATGTCATCCCTGTAAACAATTGGACAATGTCTTGGCGAGTTCGAAGGCTACCGCGACCCGGCGTGCAGACGTTGGGTTTTCCGCGCTTGACAATCTTTACATGCATATCCTATCGGCCCATCCAAATCAGACGCTGATTCGTGACATCCTTCAGCTCGTTCGCAACATGAAATGTTTCTACATCTCACCTCGGAGTATTGCTGCTCTTCTTGAAATCGATGAAAGCGCCATCTCCTTAGCAATCCGTTCTCTCAGCTCTCTGTTGGCAATTTACCCCACGATTTCAGAGGAATCGAATGAAAAAACCACGCGTTTCGCAGCTTTGTATGGGAGAACGGACAAGGGTATTGGTTTTATTCACCGTTCGTTGACCGATTTCCTGGAGGATGCAAGCCGATCTCGTAGGTTCCACATTTTTCGCTCTGACAGCCATGTACCGACTTTACTCCGCAATCTCGCTCTTCGTTGTCTACGCTCGATGACAACGTAAGTGGATATAGTTCTCCCATGATTGCAAGGACTGACTGCGATGATTGATTCTTTGCTTGGGCCTCTCTTCAGTAGGGATGCACCGTGGTAGTAGTAGTAGTAGTAGTAGTAGGTATACCGGCATGGTCCAAACGCTGAACACCGGTTTTCCGGGAGTATCAGTATGCGGGCAAGCATCTATCGCATACCGTCCCGGGCTCTGTGCACTTATATCTATCAAGCCGCATCGCGTTTAAGACCGCCCTCACGATACAGTAAGCCCACATCAGCAATTCCTGATTTTGTTATGCGTGCTATACGAGGGTACATAGCACTCCATAATTGGGGGGGGTATCCCAATAGTTAAGGACATGCATTACAGTGCTATGGTGTGTTACGTAGCACTACGTAACGCGCCATAACACGCTATACCGCCGAAATTGAGGCCGTTTTGACCCTCAAAATCACGATTTGCTGATGCAGAGCAAAGAGACTCGAATTTGCATTCACATGGATGGAAGATTGCAGCATCTCATCATGGGCTAGTGGACCTTAGGAAATTTGTGTCCTCAGTTTTGGTGCCCATTAGTTTAGTTTTCCCGAAGCCAGTACTAACATTCAGAATGTGCTATGGTAGGCTTGTGGCTTCCTTGAGGAATAAATGATGCTGCTTGTCCTCCAAATCAATGTGCTTTCAATACGGCCTCGTTATACAGCACATGTGGATCCATATCTTCCATCACAGACAGTCCATAGGGAATTGAGTCATTGTACTTGTTTTCTTCGAGCATGAACATGGCATCGTTCAGGAACGAGGACCTCAGGCAGCGGTCCATTTATTCAGATGACCATTTATAAATTATAGTTGCTCGTATTGTACGGACCAACTTTTGGGACTATTACAAGGGGATGGTTCTATTAATCCAGCACGCACTTTGCTTGCCTTTTTAATTGTATTTTCATGTCTATTCCCCCAAGAGAATCACATTCACGGAGATTTTGCCACCGAGCTAGTGCACACTTGTTTCACCAGTAGGCTCTCGACAGGGTAAGCCACCTAATACATGTATAACGCGACTGTGGGCCGTAATTGGCGATGTCGACTACATAGCGCCTGACTTCTCTTGTACGAAGACTGAGGTGAACGCGACTGGAACGCGATGAAGTGCGCGGACCGGCTATCTCGGTTGGGAATGATGCCGGACTCCGGCGGAAGGAAGGAATGAGGAACGATCGACCGGCAGAGACGAAAATTTTCGTACGAGGTCGTCGTCGCTCTCAGTGACGGGACGGTCCCGAGCAGCACGCTTTCACGGGTATTGACACCCTCGCTCCTCGCTGTGTATTCACGACGATGCTCTCTACTCCACTGCAGCCCCCCACAAGAAGAGAAACGGCTACAACCACTGATAAGGCAGATGGCGAGGGAGGTGACACGGTGCGGGGATCTCGAAGTCTTGCGATGACAACAATAATGTAGTCGTAAGGCAAGGGAGGTTAGGAGATGTAGATGTAGGCCTGAGACTATGGGTTGGGCACTAACCGGTCAGTGACGAGTCCCGGACTTCATGGGCAGGTGTGGGGAGCGTGCAGCGTAGCAGAGTCGGGCATGGGCAGTCAGCGCCGCGCGACGATGGGGAATGGTGGGCTATGTGGGCGAAGCCTGGGTTTCTGCGAGGCAGGTCCAGGTACGACGCGGGGGGGTGGTTTTCCGGTTGATGCGCAGTCTGGTTTCGCAGGGCCACTTTGGTTTTCTCTTCACAATTCCATTACTTGCCTCTCTGACTACGGTAGCCCAGTGGGGTGCTAGTATGTGTAGTCTGGGAGAGCATAGCGCGTGTAGGAGCGAGTTCGCAAAATCGATGGTGGTGGTAAAGGTACAAAACGTGGGATCTACCCGAATCGACGTGGAGGCTCGCGGGTTCTACCCGTACCAGAACATACTCTCCGTCTTCCGCTCCTTCCTCGCCTTCAGTGTCCACGCTTAAACGCATGATGGGATGGATGAAATCCGTGCAATATGAGCTTTTCACACCCCGCTTAACCCTCGTCAATGAGAAGTTCATACCGGATATTATTCCTATATTGATATTTATGGAAGATCTCTGTCATGGGTACGAGGTGTGTCTGACTCCCGTAAACGTTGCTGTTCTGGTTATCTTATGTGGTGAACTTAGCGGGACCTCACCAACAGTTCTCAAACATACCAGAATCAGGCCAGGAAGACCAACGCGCTCTGCAAAACAGCTGTCCACATTCTGTATGAGCGCGAGAAGGATAGAATCATGGAAGTTGTTGAGATCATCCCTGATGTTGGCTTTTGTGATCGAGATCAGCTGAAGAGGGGGGGGCTGCGGTAGCTCAGGTGGCACTATTGCGGACTTACCCCCAGGCTTGCGTTGAGCTCTCGAGTTCGATTCTTGCTGGTTGCATGGATAAACACACTTTAGACACCATGTGACTTTTCCACGCCCCCGGATGACACCGTCTGGGCCTCTGTATTAGGGAGCGACTACGTCTCGCGTGTTCTAGACCCAAGGGTCTGGAGTGACCGTACCTATGCATGCTCACATAATGATATCAGGGTCACCTGGTTCTCCTTAGTCATCGAAAAAATGACTATGCCAGGAAGGGAAATAGGGAGCCAAGGGACAAGGTTGTGTGGATCTGCCGCTATGCGGCGAGACGGCTAGAGCCGACCCTTCGGGACAAGGTTCACATGATCTGCTGGAGCCTGCTGGGTGTTTCGGTGCGCTGACTTCCCAGAGTACGTAAAGCAAACCAGCGAGACGGCTAGAGCCGACCCCGAGGTGTTAATACCAAAAGTACTGGAGGGTGGGAGTGAAACTACACGAAACGGCTAAAGTCGTCTCCTAACACGGACCGCCAAAGAACCGTGTGGCACGTGAATGATGGAACAAACCCAAACCCATAGGGAGGTTGTGTTGGATGCCGGTCACACGAACGGCTGCTTTCGGGAGCTAGGGCGTTACTATGTGCGAATATACGCGATCTTATGCTTAGGTATATCGAAGCCCTGATTAGTGTAAATAGTTACGGGATGTCATGATAATTGGTATGATCACGGACACTTAGGGTATTACTTAGGTCACGCCGCTGATAGCCCGAGGATTGGATGTTCCCTTACGGTCATGTACGGAATGATCCTCGTAAATCAATAAAGAACCACATTCATTCATCAGCTGAAGAGAGGTCTTTCATTCACGCTGCGACGAAGCATTCGGTCTCGAGGATCTGGTCGAGCCTGATGGCCCCTTCTTTTCCAAAGCCGCTGCCAGCTCTTTCCTGACGAGAACGAGGCATCTTTTTGACCGTCATCTCACCGTCAGAAGCGCGGAGATCATCGTGCAACGTTTTGAACCCCCCGAAATGCTACGCCAATTTATGACAGAACCATCTGAGTCGCCTGATGTTTACAGGCGCTTCAGAAAGACTGTCTTTGACATGGTTTACCAGTCTTTATCGTTGTATTTTCTTCATGGGATCCCGTTTGAAGAAATAAGGCAAGTTCCATTATTCCATGCATGGCTTATCCTAAAGTAACTTGATAAGGGAAAGGCGGGTTCGTACTTGCGGGCGTTTATTCTGGGAAGTTTGTTTTGAACCTTCGAATCTCAAACCGGAGGACGCATCGGATGCGTGTCCTGAATTACGAAGAATAATATCATTCCTACATCAACATGCACCACGGTTCATTTTTTCCGAACACTCGCGGGTTGTCGATGAAATAGGGAATTGGGCGTTTCAAAGACTCCAGGTAGTGTAACTCTGTTACAAATATTGAGGTATCTGAAACATCATACATTGCCAGCCTCTCGAAGATCGCGAAATGTGCGCCGACATGAAATCCATCCGGAGGATCTTGCACCAATTGTATGTAATTCTATGCTTTAAGAGTCCGTTTTTGATCATGAACACCATTCAGGATGCACCGCATTCGCGATATATTCATTGGGGAGGTGTGCCAGTCAATAATTAGGTATTTCGACAATCCCTCCAGTCGTGACCTGAACTTCATACTCATGCAGCGAACTGTAGTAATAGATTGCATGTCCCTGGAAGGCGCAATGTTTTCGACGAATTGTGCGCGGGTGGAAAGTTCTTCCAAGTAGTGGCCATTGACGCAGACGAGGAAAGCGGCAGCTCGGAGCTGAGGAGATTCCTCGATTGCCTTCGAGACCCCGTCTGCAGGTCCAGAAATGGAATTTTCAGCCACAAGAAGTATCAAAAAGCGCTGGCTGAGTGGTGTCATCGTCAGGACCTTGTACGCCCTTTCTTTGACCCTAGACCATGTGCTTTTCAACTCATTAACGGCATGGAGGTAATTTCGAAAATTATGCTTCAAGAGCACCTCGATGACCGCCAAAAGGCCCGGTTATCTAGCCTCCAACGACAAGTCGTTGACACGTTTGTATCGAACCCCTTATTCGTTTCAGAAGATGCAGAAGCTCACTTTATTCCGTCGTGTAGCTTACATATATTCCGCGAGACACTAATTTCCGACCTTTGCCCATCCCTGAAGCAATTCCTCGCCTCTCCGGTGGACGATCCCCTTCACGGTGCTATTCTTATTGCTTTTTGGAAGAAGTCTGATAATGTCTACACTGTGCTCGTCTCCGATATCGAGGACAGTGAATCAGAAGTGTCCAAATTGGTCCATCATTTTTATATCAATAACTACGCTGATGTATTCCGAACTGGAGGGCAAAAAGTGTTTCTCATGACTGAATTCATTCAGTGGGTGACTAGAGCATAGAAAGTAAGTTCGTCTGTTGCTTTAAAGCACTGGACCCTCAACCTTCATTAATCTCACTTCAGAAAATAGACCAACTCGTCGAACAGGAAGAAGTCCAAAATGCCCGAAACTTTCAAGCAAAGTTAACAAACATGTGGCCAGCATTCTCCTCTGGATCCTGTGTTCTCATTCTTACCTTTGTGTAATAGAATCGCGCGTTATGATTCATTTTTAGCGCCAAAGCGTCCAAGACCTACTAGTCTTTCTTTTTCTCGTTCATGGAGTCTCCATTCGCTTTTTAGTTGGTAATAGGGTTAAATGATTCAAAGCTTTTCTCAATCCCATTTACTAGCTGAAGAATGCCCACTCCCAAGCTGCGAATTCGTTTATACCGTGCCTTGCGAGTGCTTTGCTCGCACAGATCTATCGGTTCAGTCGCTAGAGGATGAAATGAAAAGTGACATCTTTATTGAGAAGGAAGTCTTAGTACGCGCCGGGTGTACTGCACCAACTCGTGGCCGGGCCGACGACGCCGTGTCTAAGTTCCCATTTTTGGCCAGTTCGGACCTTGGAGTTTGACCCGAGTGAAGGCGCCATTTCGCCCTCATCCAACGCAAGCTAGTCATGCATTCAGCCAAACGCTTCCCAACCTCCCAGGTTTCTCGCCCCTTGAAGGACCGATTGCGTAAACTCTCGCCGCATGCCTTAAACGTCTTGCAATGTCGTTGACGACGGACGGGAAGAGATTCAGCCATGGTCCTCCAACACGACAGATCGGGGTCGTTTCTGCAGTGTTCATCATATTCAATCGAATAATTGGGACTGGGTGAGTGATGCGGGTGCCCTCCATGACCGCGAAATTTGGCCTTAACACTACATAGGATATTCGCTACTCCAAGCACCATCCTGGGCCTCAGCGGAAGTGTAGGGCTCTCATTGTGGGCTTTCAAAATTCAACATGAACAATTTCCGATGCTAATTGACGGTTTAACAGGCTGATGTGGATTGTTGGTGCTGCGATCGCCGCCGCAGGTATGCAAGTCTACATAATCTGGGGAACCGTTAGTCCGTCCTCTGCCGTTTTGGACAACGATATGATGTTCTTTCAGGCTCTACCACATAACGGAGGGGAGAAGAATTACCTCGAGCACCTATTTCCAAGGCCCAGACGGCTAATCACGTCGATCTATGCAGCAAACGCTGTCCTCCTTGGTGAATTCGATTTCTGCCTTTCCGGTTGGCTTGCACACTCATCACATCCCACAGCCTATGCAGCAGGCAACTCATTGGTATTCGCCGAATATACGCTCGCCTCCGTTATGCCGTCAAAATCGTTTGAGGATTCGACATCCCTGCTCTCGCCTGTCCGACTAGTGGCCTTCTTTTGCCTAACCGGTGCACTACTCCTTCATGGGCTACACGTATCCGCTGGTCTTCGACTTCAGAACGCTCTCGGCTTTCTCAAGATCGGCATTTTGGTCATCGTCGTCGCGGCAGGGTTCATCGCATTGGGCGGGAATCTGGAAACCGGAGTTCCGTGGCTAGGCAACTTCGATAGTTGGGAGAAGGTGTGGGAGGGGACGAGGACGAGTGGGAGTGTTTTGTGTTCGTGTCTGTACAACGTACGTCCTCTCGATCTTTTCATAACCCCTTCAAGCCTTAACGGGATGCCATAGGTTATCTGGTCTTACGTTGGCTTCAGCAATGCCAACTATGCTCTTTCGGAGATGCACAACCCAGCACGGACGCTCCGCATCGCAGGCCCACTCGCCATCGTCACTGTAACGATCTTCTACCTCTTCTACCTGCTCTGCAACTTCGCCTACTTCGCCGCTGCATCGAAAAAGGAAATTACGGGCTCAGGCAGGCTAGTTGCTGCGCTGTTATTCAGGAACGTCTGGGGCGAGCGGACGGAGCGCATTCTCAATTCCTTTGTCGCACTCTCGGCTTTGGGCAACGTGCTTTCGGTGGTAGGCCTTCATCTTTCGAGCTTTCGTCTTGGTTGACTGACTTCGTTGCGTGCCAGTCGTTCTCTCAAGGCCGAGTGAACCAGGCTCTCGCCAAAGAGGACATTCTCCCATTCAGCAAGTTCTGGTCGTCTAACTGGCCCGCGAGTGCTCCTCTGGCAGGTCTTGGTCTTCGTACGTCCATTCTTGCTCGTCGTCGTCGACTTGATTCTCATTCCTCTTAGATTGGGTTGCCTGTAACATCGTCATCTTCTCTCTACCTGCAGGCGACGCATACAACTTCGTCATCAATGTCGTGCGTCCCTTGTTCAACATTTCTGCAAATATGTACTGATAGTGTCGACAGATCTCGTACCCACTCGCCGTCATAAACGCCACGATCTCCTTCGGGCTCATCTACCTCGCTCTCCGTGGCTCGCCAAATATCAAACAAACCGAACAACCATCGAGCTCAACACCTCTCCTCTCCTCGTCCCTCAACGAATCGCAGCTGGAATTCTCTCCGAAAGCCTCCCTCATCTACCCAGCTCTCCTCTTCGGGCTAATGAACGTCTTCTTGTTCGTTGTCCCGCTGACGAAGCCACCCCCTGGCGTTAAATTCTATGAGCATCTTCCGTATTGGACGCACGCTGCAGGGGGATGGGGTATTTTTGTCCTGGGGGCGTTGTGGTGGGTCTACCATGACAGATATCGACGCCGTTGATTATGAGACCCTCGGTCCTGGAACACCTGCATAGATGTAACTACGCAATTAATAGACGCTCGGATTTTCCTTTATAATTCTTTTCGCGGACCCGGAGCTTTGGGATGACGATGCGTAAGAACAAAACGCAAGGGACAATAGCACAAAAGAAATAAAAGCGACCTTGTCCCTAATTGGGCTGTGGGCATTTACTCACCCTTGTCCTTATCAAGCTATGCCAACCTCTACTCTACTCCTTTGCCTGGCTCGTTCCTAATTCCTAGGGCTGGACACCTGCTTAGCCTATCGTTCCACGCAATGCCCCCCTTATATGATAACTTCGACAAAGAATACTCCACCGGAACTCTTGGACCGCCTTTCGCGAGTCAGGTCCTCGCATGGTCAGACGGATATTATGCCGACGACAGGCCAGGGGTAAGTTTCATCCATCCCGTGCGACCATTCGTATTAAAAATCTCCTTGGACAGCAAACTTGGCGAAAAGACTACATACTTGAGAACCTATACACCAAACGCGACATCTCACAGCAGCTGAAGCAGTTCGACGACTACCTTCAACGGCGGACGAGGCAGGTCCTCCGTATGGGCCGCGATGCTCATGGACGGATCTACAAAGACCTGCGAGAGCTTTATTACTCGTTCAGCGGAAAGGAGTGGCCCTCGCAGATCGACAGAGACGGCGACTGGATCATGAAGGATGCGTGGAAGGATCCTTACAGGGACGACAATGAGAGGTGGAGGCAGAGATGAACTACGGCAGTTGCTGACGGTACTGTACATGCCCATACAGGGGTAAGGATGAGGTTCAGATCCCGAGGTAGTCATCGACTACATTCTTTCTCAGCGTAGGCAGGGTGACCCGGAACACGAGAATCTGGCTATCAATGTCGAGGCCCGCGTTGAAGGGCTGGCCAAGGGCAATACCGTCGGTAGAGACAAAGTCATTATCTGCCTGAAGAGGGGTTTACTACGACGGTAGCAAACAAGTTGAAGCGACGTACAGCGGTGATCATAAAATAATCATTTGGATATGCTGGGTCGCCAACTGGAGCGAGAGCGAAAGACTCCCATTTCGAGGCTACGAGGGCCCTGTCGTCCGGCTTGCCTACGTGTTCTCTATGAAATAAGTCGACCATGACGAGGGCAGCAAGAGACAACAACGCACCGTTGTGCAACCCGAACCTGGCCAGCTGGGTGGCATTAAGGTAGTTGACGAAAGGCACGTAGGTCGCAGGCGTGATGGCTGGGTCGAGGACACCACCAGGTGAAATCGGGTTCGCTGGATCGTCGTACTTCGTGCCATGGATATCCGTAGCATGCACGATGGAGAACAGATCAGCTTGCCTACAGAGAAAGGAAGGACGCGAGGAGTCGGAGGAGGCCCATCTCAGAACAAGAACTGGGCGTACTTGTACTTCGAGGTAGCATCATCTCCGCCCCTCCCATCTCCATCCCTCGAGAGCGCCAGGAACTTGCTGTCTCCAACCCAGTAGGTCTCACTGCATGCCAGGGTGTTACCTTTGGCACTCTGAGGCAGAGGAATGACCCATTCGCCCTTCAGCCTCGGCGTTATGAGGCGGTGGGATACATTGTATGCAAACAATCGGGTATGGCGAGACTTCGACTTAGAGGACCCTCCATCTTGAATGGTCGCTGATTGGAGCATGGCATACAGCGTTGAGGTACTTGGATCAAAAGCTAGGTTCTCAAAACCTATCATACGAAACATTGGGCATTTGAACAAATGTTATGAAGCGATAGAATGCCTTACCTTGGTTGGGTTTGCGACCTGTTACTGGGTCGACGGCGGAGGTAAAGTTCAACTGCCCAGACGCATTGCTGGGAAGAACCGCGGCGGGTGGTTGGATGGTCTGCAGGAGCTGCCCAGCAGCCGAGAAACGGTAGATATAGGGCCCGTATTCGTCGCTTATCCAGTACCTACAACACACAAGCCAGTATCGTTAGGCACAGCAGAACCACGACATCGAAGAGTAGACTCACGATCCGTCCTTGTTGGTCACCAACCCTTCCACATCCAACGACAACCTATCATCCTCTTTCGCAACGACAGGCATCTCAGGGTCTCGCAAAGGATTCAGTTCGAATCCTCTTTGAGCCCCCCGGACTGCATTAGGATCTAGCCCACTCGTCGTCTTGCGTTGGCGGTCGTACTGCAAGATGGTCTTCTTATACTGAAGCTGCAGTGATCTCGCGCCGGCTTCGAGGGTCTGGTTCGCCGATTCGTAGTAAGGCGACAGAACGAAGTCGATTTCATGTTGACGGGCTTGGTAGTTAATTGTGGCAACTCTGAGAGTTGACGCGCCTTCAGCCGGCTTGGACGAGGTTCCAAAGAGAGAAAAACGTACACGTTGTATCCGCGATCTGGACGAGCGACGAGGGTGCCATAGAACTTCCCTCCCTTCTTCCTCCATGTCCCTCGTTTAAGAGCAATAGCACTACCAAATCCTCCGAGGGTATCGCCGGTTGATTCCCGAAAGTTAGAGGGAATATAGCCAAAACCCACAATCCCCTGCATCGAAATGAGTAAAACAGGACTGCACGAGCCGAAGAAACATACCTTGTTCAAGTACGTCTTCCCATCCAGCACGGCAGATGACACTATACTGGCCAGTATCCCACTAGCCGCGCTCGTGGGTGACGCCGTCGCTGTTTCAAAGCCTGAAGCTACGACGACCGCCAAGGCCAATGGCGCGGATAGGATCATCGCTGATGCTTGAGTCGGACACCAGTGGACCCATCCTCGCTTTAAGAGTCGGCCTCTTCAGACGAATTCGGGTAGGATATCGAACGTGCGCCGCATTGCATATGGTGGTGATGTCAGAACAAAGTTCTTGAGATGGACCTGTCAAAAGATGATTGAATACTGCTATCCGGTGTAGGAAAAATATATCCGGCTTACCACCGAAATGTCGGACATTAACTTTCGAGTTCGCAAGTTTCTTGAGGAGTGGAGGTTTGTAGCAAGCGGTAGTAACGTAATTTTCTGTTGACCCGGACCGTGAAAAGCGTGACTTCGGTCACACTGGCACCATCTCGAACGTTTGAACAGGTTTGAACTCGCAAGCTGAGTCGCAACCAACCAAAGTTTTCGTCCAGAGGAAGTCAGCCGAGTCAACCCGCCGGGAATCGCTTCACCCGACGGTGCGCGAAGAAGGGACCGCTCGAGTGAAATTCAAATAAAATAAATTCTACAAATGTTCTCTTAGATTCGTGCCGAGGAGCACGAGCCGAGTCAACCTCCAGAATCACTGCTTCCTGGAAGCATGTTATCACAAAGGCAGCAGTATTTTCCTATCATACCTGGGAGAAAAACTGTGGACCGTAGAGGCCTTCTACCTGAAGAAGGTTTGCAGAACTCAGAGTAGGTAACCATAGTCCCATACATTCCACCAGGGCTTGAGCGCTAGCGTCATTCTTCGTCTCCGAATCATTGAGTTGCGACGATACCTCGTCAACATATAAAGTATGAGCTTCAACTTGGCGAGTTTTGCCCACCGTGGAATGCCCTGATGTTGAAGGCGGAACAGGCTGTCGAGGTCTGTCCATTTGTCCTGAACGCTTGCATCGGCGCCCAGTAGAAGGAAGGCTAGGCATATCGCCGTGATGGCATTTGGAGAACGACAGGTCGAGAGCAGGGAGGTGAACCAAGATACGGGGTATCGGCGCGATTCAGAGACAAGAGTCAGCAGGGCGAGTTCCGTTAGCGAGGGTAGGTCAACTTAATGCAAAAATTTAGAAGGATATCCTAGAAATCATGATCAGGTACGCTATTCTCCCTGAAAAGAAGCAGCATACCTGGCCGATCAGCCGTCAAATCGGTGGAAACTGTCGATGTGATCTTCAAAGGCGCGCAAGCCCGTTGCGTAGGCCCGGACTTTGAGTTTAGACACTTTGTCGACATGCAAAGGCGAATTGTCGTGCAGGACACTTCCGAGTCGTATCACCTCGCAATCTAAGGTGAGGTCGACGATGTTTAAGCTACGCGGACGACATAATTTCCCCACACGAAGATCGAACGAGACAAGGCAGCTAGATGAAGAGAATCGACAGCTTGCGGGTGGCGGAGAATGGATGATAGGATTCTACCGTTGCTGAAGGTGACCTCGAGGAGATTTGGATTCGAAAGGCACGCCTCGAAGGCGCGCAAGAGGGGTGAGGGAAGGGTGAGCCACGTCACAGGCGCATCCAGTTCCATCTTCCGCAGGAAGGGAAGCTTTCGAGTGAGAATGTAGCGTAGACTCTGCTCGTCCTCCGGTAGCGGAATTGAACATTTGAAGATGAGACCTGCATCGACGATATTGAGCTCTTGAATATACTGCAGTATCTCGGGCGCGCATGGCATCGAATCTCGGCCACCACCTCTGCGCTTGCCTTGCTCCGAAACGAGTGGGGTCGTATAGTCGCCTTCCGGAAGATGAGCGATGGCGAAACTCTTGCAAGTGAGAGCGAGTCCGAATAATGACTCCGGTGGGCAATATATGTTCATGAGGTGATACAATACGTCGGGTGGAAGAGGTATTTGCCAAATAACAGGCGAAGTGTCGGTTGAAAACATTGTTTAGCGTTTATAAATCTCTCATAGAGGTTGTGAGAGGCTCTCCTATGCAACGAATACGAAGCGCCGACCTTCGTGTCGGTTTCGTCTGATGCCACATGGGCGCCTAACGATGTTCCGCCGCCTAAGCGGGCGCTTGGTGAGACGGTGACCGAAAATCGTAAGGTCAGTCAATTTATGGACTTATTGAACATACGGACCCTTGAGTGAAGATTGCAGAAGCATGGGAAGCTGGCAATGTTCGTACTGAGGTGCTCATGAGCTGTGGCTAAGGCTGTGCGTGTGAAGGTTCTACCTGTTGCAGCGCGGCCCGGACGGGTCGTTGTTGGGCATAAACTCAAAACACTCCGAGTCGGTCCTACTGTATCCGACAATTTCACTTAACGCTGCCATCATCTCTGGGGGCATGTCTCTACGTTGACATCACCGTCATTCTCCTTCCTTCGAACATCCTGAAAACCCATCTCACGTGTACGATGGCGGTCTTATCAAACGCGAGGAACGTGAACATCACTGGAGGCAACTTCACTGCAATCAATGGGCAGAGTGGATCGAAAGGTATGACTCCATTCGCTTCTCTTGAGAGTGTAGGGGGTGTTGAAGTTGGACACATGGCCAGGAATGGATCTTTTGCGGGAACACAGTGCACTTGCGGCACTCCTCAACTCCAATGAGCGCTTCGACCCACCGCGATGCGATGAAGACACGCGGGCGGGTATCATTCAAGACGTTATGGCGTGGATTAACAGTGACGACCATTCGGCCTCGATGACTGTACTCCATGGATCAGCAGGCGCCGGTAAATCCGCCCTGGAACAGACAATCGCAGAACGATGTTTGAAGGAAGGCATCCTCGCAGCAAGCTTCTTCTTCTCTAGGACGGCGCTTAACCGCAGCGATGGGAATACCTTGATCCCGACTATTGCATACCAGCTAGCCCAGCTGTCCCGTCCCTTTCGACAACAAGTCCTCGAGCAGGTCGACCGAGACCCAGGTGTTTTTGAGCTTTCGCGGGAGGCGCAGATGGAGAAACTCGTCATCAAATGCCTGGAATTCCGACGACCGTCACGACTCAGGCGCTATCTCAGAAGGCTCTCGTTCAGGACACCAGATCCTCTATTTCTGCAACGTGTCGTCGTCATAGACGGGCTCGACGAGTGTAGCGGCCACGATGTTCAGTGCGATCTTCTCCGGATCCTCGCGTCTACGATCCTCAAGCTCCAATTACCGATCCGAATACTCCTTGCATATCGCCCAGAATCACACCTGATGCATACTCTAAACCATCATCCTGCTTTGAAAGCCATTCCCGTCCGCCGCATTGATCTTGGAGATGACCCTCATGCGGACGCCGACATTCACATCTTCCTCGTCAAGGAGTTCCAGAAGATTAAAGACACCCATCCCCTCCGGGCTCACCTACCACCTTCCTGGCCTGGGGAGGCCGTCATAAGCGATCTCATCGCAAAAGCTTCAGGCCGATTTATCTACATGTCCACAGTAATGAACTATGTGCGATCCCTCAAACACAACCCCGAAGTCCGACTTCAAGTTGTTCTAGGCTTATGGCCGTCTCAGATCTCCTCCGACCGGCCCTTCTCCCAGTTGGATGTTCTCTATAGCTTTATATTTTCTAGGGTAGAGGATATCGACACCGTATTTCGCATATTTGGTATTCTATACCTCACCACCACTTCGGCCGCTGTATTTGATCTGCGTCTCGAGGTGACAACTCCAGCATTTCTGGAACAAATATTCGGTGTACAACCCGGAGAGATTGAGCTCGCCCTAGACGAGCTACTGTCTCTCATAACTATCGCAGATAGAGGCCAGCCGATTAAAATTCTTCATGCGTCGCTGTTCGACTTCCTCCTCGACGAAGACAGGTCTGGTACCTTTGCCCTTGATCTCGCGTTGGCTCATGAAACCCTGGCCATCTGGAGAAGGAAATGTATCGACGATATAGAACACAAGGGTTCTCCCCCTTCTCTTTACTTCGCTATACCCTGTTTCTAAATTTCTCTCACCTCGCTCTAGACTGGATGACCATGCAAGAACATGTCGCTTACTTCTTGGGACATTCGAGTCGCTCTCCTCTATCAGACGGATTTATTACCACCTATCTTGACTCGGTCCATCTCCTAGACAGTCGATGGATGACTTTAGGCCACGGAGCAGAATATTTCAAGTACGATTCAGCAATAATCGAGTCCTACCACAGACTCTTTGACCGTCGGGTAACTCTTAATCATTGCCCTTCGAAAGCGCTCTCTGACTATTTTGCGCTTTCTAGGAAGTCCTCAATCATGACTTTTCTCTCAAATTCGTGCATCGAATCTGCATGGACATCCGACGTACTCTTTTCGGTTCATCGAGTATATTTTGCGAAGGTCTGACCATCGGGTTGCGTGATTACTTTGAACCTTTTCTCGAAAGGGCGGAACTCATGGGTGATATTGTGAGCATTATGATTTTGACCTCTTTCCGGCGAATCTCTTCTTATCGGCTCTTTCTCGGTTACTTCTTTCCAAGGTCAACGAGGACATGATAGATGACACCATTACAGCCGCAAGATATCTCGTTTTCCTGAAATCCGTTGCGTACATCCCGATCCAATGTGGGATGGAAGATCATGGAAGCCTTCTTGCCTTCATCTTTCACTCCCAGTGGAATGGCGACGTATTGCCACCTGACGCGCTACGCTTCGCCATCACTCTCCTTCCTTCGGTGATTTATGACCACCAACTCGACAATTTTCTGATTTGGTCCCCCTACTCAAGGAGAACGACCAATGAAGTCCAACCGAGCGAAATTGAACGCAAATTCGATCGGGAAGTAATAGCCTTCTCAAAGGTCGGCTTATTCGCTCACGTGAATCCAGACGCTCACTTTCCTCCCAGCGAAACGAGTCCGAGTTCGATCAGGCTACCTGGTCCATACTGAAGGACAGATGGGGATTCAAGTGACTGTCGATTTCTTTGATAGGTGTTACTCGATTCATGTTTTCCTTCAGCTTCCAACTTTCGCTTTCTGATTAGTATCCTTAACCCTCTACAAGATTCTCGACTTGGTAGTCTGTTGAAAAAATTGTTAAGTTCTATTCGTCTGGCAAATACATGGTTCGACCGCAATGGCCGCTCAATGAATTTTTTTTTTCGAGGTGAAGAGCGGAAAGGGGTCCACAGCGCCTTCGGCAAGCCGGTTCCGCTTGGGTTCAACAAATCAGGAGCCTGTGAAAGTTTACATAACCACCAATCACCATCTGAGAACGGGCTGGGCCAATCTCGACATCTCCCTCCACTCAAACCACCTCCCGCCGATAAGTAATATTTTCCCTCATTGGTCGTACGCGTCCTTGTAGGGCAATTTCTGATGGTATTACGATCCCGAGAAGCCCCAGTTCCGTCGTCTGTGGCCCCATGACTTCAAGGCAAGTTTCACGACGGAACCACGAGAATGGTGCACTGGTAACAAACTGCTTAATTACGGGTTTCTAATCAATATCTAGACAGTTGGATTGTAGGCGCGTGCTAAGCCAAATGGAACAGCTGCGCTGAACCCTTAGGCTTACAGCTTACGGTCTAGAAGCGACATGCTACTGGGTCTTTTTCTGCTCGAGCTTGAGCTTGAGGCCTGAGTTTCACTTCAACCCTCTTCTTCGCAACAGTTTCTCTATGCGTTCGTTCTCCGTCGCTGCCTCTCTCTCGGTCGCATTTGTCGCTTGGCATCCGTTGCCCAGCCCACTGTGGGCGAGGGGATTGGGCGGCTTCATTTCGACACGTTTCCCTGCACCATTCAGGGGCTTGCTCCTAAAACCCTGCCAATGAGCTAAAATCTCAGTTTTCTGACGACAAGCTCAACTCAGCGGTGTTGCATTCTGATCACGCTCTGATGAATCCTTTGCCGCAAGACACAATGATGAGATCGTCGGCCTAAGACTTTGGAAGTCCAAGGAGAAAGCACCCTCCTTGTCACTACATTTCTCGAGAGCAAGAGAGGAGACCCACGAGATACTCTGGTAAGCTTTTGATCTTTTCTTCGTGAATATCGAGTCGATTGAAAAGGGACTTTCCAACTTCCAAGGCTGGGCGTGATCTGAATTCCCATAAACGGAATGAATTATGGACCAGTGGCGCAGACCGCCACCGGGAAATACCCCACATTGGTAGCAAGCGGCGGATGCGCGCTTGCCGAGCTATTCAGGGTATCCTCGAGACCCTCGTTCGCCTGTATGTACAGGAGCTACTTTTTGAGATATAACTACGGTGCCTGATTTCGTCACTTGTCCCCCGCTCGTCTCCCTACCCATACTCGACGGACAGGTTGTGGGTTGCTCCATAGAGGACCTTCTCGCTCCAAACAACCCTCGACTGCTTGTTCCTGCCGTTTCTTGGTCTATCCAACATGGCGAAAGGTCCTGCAGAGTTCGCGTATGTTCGTCGCCTGCTTTTCTTGATTCATCTTCTTATCGCCCACAGCCACGGATGGATGTTCATCGGGTTTTTCATAAACTGCCTCCTCATGGGCATGATGACGCTCCAGGTGTACAACTACTATGTCACGTATAAAAAGTGAGTCTTGGAGTTATTTTCATGGGAAACCTTTGCTTACAACGTGCGGAACGTAGAGACAAGCTGTGGATAAAGATCTTTGTAAGACGTTCAGACTGACGTGCTTCAAATTCGCTCTTAGCGCGTTCATATCAATAGGTGGCAGTTTTATATTTTGCCGATCTCTACAACACTATGATCATCTTCGCGTATCTCTACCGCACGCTCATTACATTTTTCGGTGAGGACGGTTCGGTCAATTATCTGATTACTTGCTTATACCTGCCTTCGTTACAGGCGACGTTGATAATTTAATTAAAACTGACTGGCGTAGGTCCTTTTCCCTGTCCTTGTTCCCGAAATTGATCACAGATTCGTTGTCTAGTCTTTGCGAGCGGTACGTTAGTTTTGCCTTGAATGCCGTCTTGGAGTCTCATCGAACCCGCTCCGTATTCAGAGCCGGCCAGTACCGTAAGTGATGGCCATTCTATACCGGCTGGACTGCTGAACATCTCCCGATAATCCTAGGGTGTAATCGCAACCGCGGTCCAACTTTTCTTCGCTTGGCGCATACAGGTCTTAACCAAATCGTTGATCAAGGCGCTCGTGATCGCGTCGCTTGCGATTACAGCTGGCGGTACGTGCTTTACTTTCCTACCTTCCTTCGTCCCTGATCTATCCATTGCTTAGTATGCTCTATCATCACTGGTTACGAGGTTGGGCGAAGGGAGACTTTCGCGTCCTTCGCGTCGTACAAGCATATCGTGATCATCTGGCTGGTGACTTCCGTTTTGTGCGACATTATGATTACCGCTCTTCTTGTCTTCTACCTGTGAGTCCGCTACCCTTCATTTTTCAGGGTGTTCATTCCATTGACATCGCCTAATCTTCCAGGGTAAGAAGTTGGGGTCAGAACTGTCGTCTGTCCTTCCGCTCTAACATTTCTTGCAGCGGAAACATAAAACCGGCTTCCAGCGTTCGGACATGATGATTGATAGAATAATCCGAGGTGTGTACAGTCAAGACTTTATGATTTCCTCTTTCTAGAGATATACAGTCGCCGTGCAAACCGGTCTCCTCACGATGATAGTCGCTACCGCCGACCTGATCGTCTACCTTGCGGACGTAAGCTCTCTACTATCTTTCCTGGTTCTTCGTTTCGAATACTAACAATTTCATTACGTTTCGAAGCCAACCGGAACGCACCTAATGCTCAACTACCCCCTCTCGAAGCTCTACTCGAACTCTCTCATGAGCAGCCTCAACTCGCGCCGAGGATGGAAGTACGACGAGAGCGCAAACACCGATACTGACCCGGTCATCACGACGGGAAATATCAAGCAGCATAACATCCAGATTACGAGCATGAAGGTACATTTCTATATTTTCTCGATAAACGATATTTGTAGAGTTCTGATGATGACATCCGGCAGGACACGGATGCTCGTACCCACCCAGAGGTGTTTGTTCACGTCGAGTCGCATGAGTTGCGAGACGTTAAGCCGAACGATCTGGAGTATGCGAGTAAGCGCCGATCGTTGGCTCCCTAACTCGCGCACCCGGTCAGGGAGTATCTATCGCATCTCCTGTTATGTTGAAATACCCTCGAGAAACCCATCAATGTAACCTTACGACATGTATTCCTCGCTAGACCGCATGTCAATGAAACTGTACCTCGAAGTTCAATAAAAATACCATGTTCCTGTTTTTAGCAAGGCTTCAACAAGACGCAATGATTAGCCACCTTCAACGAAGCTTTCAGCTCTTGAGACCGTTAATTTTTTGATATCCCATCCTACAAGTACATATCGGTAAGTACACGAGGAGGCAGATGCGGATGTCGGGTTGGTGGGATGTGTCATGAGGCGTGGTAGTGGTTGTAGCAGGTACCGGTTGAGGTTGAGGTGGAACAAGAAAACGGAAAGAGAATGAGGGAACTAGGTACATAAATCGGTTCATAATGTATGCTGAAAAATATTAAATCGCAGGAAGATTTCCCGATCAATGAAGGAAGAACATGAAGACGTCGACTCGAAGAGAGGCCATGGCCAGCAGTCATCACCTCTTCTCCGATGTGGAATTCGTGTCCACATCAGGGTTGTGTACCCGCTCGCCCGCGAGGTTGAGGTTGTCGGCGGCATTTTGCTGGTCGCCGAGGTACCAGTTGGGCATAAGCAGCGAAAGGGCGAGGGGGACGACGGCGAAGACGGTGGCGGCGATGGTCAGAATCTTCATAACGTCGTCGTACGCTGCACATCCACGAGTTAGTCTCGAGGAGGAAAGAAAGGTGCCAACAAGGCTTACCGAGAATAACACCCTCGCGTACGGGGTGGCCGCGGGGGTAGGCGGCAGCGGCGACGATCGAGCCGTAGAGCTGCGTGCGAGTGGCGTCATCGAGGAAAGGGAGATACTCCGCAAGCTTATCTGGCATCATGGCCGTCCAGATGGCACCAGCTAGAATCACCAATTAGCATACAGTAAAGAGAAGGAACGTCCAAGGACGACATACCAATCGTAGTGCCGATAGCACCACCAATTTCGGTCACCAGCAGGACGACGGCAGTGACCATCGCAACATCGACGTGGGGCACAGCGGCCTGTGCACTGACCTGGCTGGCGACGGCCGCGAAGCCACCACCAATGCCCTGGAGAAGCTGCGACCAGACGATCTCCGCGTCCGACGCGTTAGCCCCCCGCGAATGGATCATCAAACCACAGCCGCTATAGATCTCTTCGTTAGCATGCTAATTGTTGAATCGACACTGAGGTCCATAGACGTACAGCAGACGGATGCAGAGCCCAACAACGAGCAGGGGTTTCGCGCGGTGGATAAAGCGCATGGCGAGACCCGCACTGATTCCGAAGACGGTGAGAGCGACGGTCTGGGTCTGAGCGAAGTACGTCGCGTGGAGCAAGGGCCAAGGCTTGACGACAATGACGAAGGAGTAGAGGTACGCATAGGAGATGTAGAACGAAACCTACGAAGAGTTAGAGGAGTAAGCTTGGGAGAGTAGGGATGTGACATACGAAGTCGAAAGCGCCAACTGCGCCAGCAATGACCACGCTGCGGTTCCGCAGGAAGCGCCCAGGAACGACGGGGTGCTTGGCGAATTTGATGTCCCAGAGAAGGTATACGGGGAGGAGGACGATGCCGACGACGAGCATGGCGATAATGGAAGCTGAGAAATTGTGAGCAAAATGCGAAGACTAAAGCAGACAAGCTGGAAATAACTGACGATTCTTCCAGCCGCTCCTGGCGCTCCTGCTGAGAGTCAAAGGAAGGAGGATGAGGGCGACGGCAGTTCCGAGGAGGACCAGTCCAACGACGTCAAGCTTGTCGACAGTGCTGAGGAATTTATGTCCAAATGACTTCGTGCTGCTCCGTGGCTTCACGATCCCCAACTTCCTCGCCTTCCGCTCCGCCCACAAGAGGGTGATGATCAGCGGGCTGAGAGTGGCGGGTACAAGGATGGCGAACATGCCATCTGGGAAGGATTCAATAGTGAATAAAAGAGAGAAATGTTTGCTCACATCCCCAGCGCCAGCCAGCCCCAGTGATGATGTCGGCGGCGATGTTCGACCCCACGAAAGCATTGATGATGAACGGCATCGACATGAGTGCGGAGACCAAACCGCGCCATTTGAGGGCCGTGATATCAGCAATGATGATTTGCGTTAGCAATTGCAGACCCGTGTAACCGCTGAACTGATATTAGATAAAGGTGAAGGTCCCGCGAGCTATGGCACGTACACCGCGTAAACCACGATTCCTCCGCCGATAGTCTGGATGTTGTTCGCCGACGCGATGACAATGTAGCCCACCACGTAGAAAATTACTGTGAGACGTTAAAACGCGCGAATTCCCAGTTGGAACAAAAGCACGCACGGACAAAGACATATGCCAACCCTCTTGATCCAACATCAGCAATTTTCGCAATGACAGGCTTCCCCACAGCGACTATCGCAACATTCAGCAGGACCAAGTTCGGGGATAAATTTAGCCTTACTGATGACAGCTTGTGCGACCTGAATCGTGCTGATTAGACTGTGGTTGCCGAAGAACGACGCGGCGAACGCAAGGTAGTTGTACGTCGTTGTGCTGTCCAAGGAATATATGTACGCGGCCAGACCCAAACTGCAGGAGACAATTAGAAAAGAAAAAGGCGAAAAATATGAGACGCACCTGATGAAAAGGAACCATTTGGAGTATTTTCCGTACACCTTGTGGGTCGCTTCCACAGTCAAGACACCCAGATGGGAGTCATGGTCGTCTGAGGGTGTGGAGGCGCGCTCGACGTCGGAGGGGCTCTTGTCGCTCTTGCGGTCGGACATGGTCGAGGGAAGGAAGGGCACGCCATGGCTTTCACGTCGGAGCGAGGTTATATAGGCGGCGAAGAGGAAGTTCTTTTCAACCAACACGCCACACGGCCATCTGATAATTTAGCCATCAGCGCCAAGCCGTCTTATCTGATAAAGAATTATCATTATCAGATTAGCGCATCTCAACATCTGACACACCTGGGTGCCTGTTCTTCGCTCTAAAGAGCACCCTCTTCCGTTACTTTGGGACTCACTCTGCGGCCTGGGCTCCCATACGCCACGGGCGAACAGCCGTAGCATGTGCGCAGTGCACCACCCGTGTGAAATTCCGCCCGAACAACCGCGTCAAACGGACAGCCAACTTTCGCACGCACTCGCTTCGACCATGTTGCTGGAGGTTAAAACCGGATCCAACGTACTGGTATGAGTTAACGTCTCCCGACCTCCCCTCCAACTCCATAGGTACTCATTTCCCCCCAAAAAATCAGACAGAGCGAGCGCTTAAAGTTGCCGCCTCCTGGTTTCGGAGTACAACATGACCCAATCGGACCGATGCAGCGTTCCCAAAGTTCAGCGTGCATAAGGCACGCTATAATTGCTCTTCGGTGCCTCCGCCCACCACTCTGGACATCCGAAGGGCCGATAGCTTTCGGTTATACGGGCGAGAGCACTGTCTGCTCAAACGAAGGAAATTTATCCATATAGTCGCATTATGTCATATGCCATTATTCAACTTGGCGATCACGTTCAGCAGAGAAGCAGAGCAGGAGCTCATCCCAGGAAATGGACCTCAGTGAAATAGAAACGTTTAGGTAAAATGTCACTGTGTCGATATAGTCCTCCTCGCTGACTGTTCCCTTAGCATTTTGGATGGATAAGTATCGGAAACGCAGGTAGCTCCCAAAACTCCGAGAACGCGCCCAGATGGACTCGACCTTAAACCATGCTGAGAGGTCAAGAACTCGACGAGAGGACACTTTCGTGGACAATTTCTGCCGTTCTGCGTACCGCGTGTACGGTTGCCGAGCTGCGTCAGGCAGGATTGCGCGAGTGCGACGCGCAGTGATGGATGGAGTCTTCTCCCCAGCTGCCTCAGCCAGACCACATGGACCCCCCCGCGACACTCTCGGGCGGCATTGGTCCCCGGGCACGAGGCTTGGCAACGTCGTCTGCCATAAATAGCAAGTGTCGGCGCCATGCCAAGCCCCCTGCTCATCGTCCGAGGCAGCGGCTGGACAAATTAAGCGGAATTATATGTGTATTCCAATCGAGGCATAACTCTACCATAAGGACTATAGTAGCTATGATAGCCATAGAATAAAATGTGAAATGAGTAAGCAAAGCAGCACTAAAAAGGGACAGAATGAGCGGGACAAATCACATAAAAATAGGGAATAGGGAATAGTGCAGGAAAAGCATACGGTATCAAGAGAACGGAAGTGGTGGCGCCCACGACGTGATGACGGTATTTAGCGCCGGTGCCGTAAGTGGAGCACAAATATCGCTGCCTTCAACTCTGGATTTATGGAATTCTCATTGAATGGGTGATCCCACTGAATTATAAGTATGTCCGAGTCGTGTCAATACCTGAAAGATGTCGTATCCCATCTACGTCAGAATTTCCTGCCACCCCCTACGCGAAGTTTCGATCTAACTTTGGGCAGATTCAAATTCAAGGAAATACCCCCTTCTATGGGATAAACATCCGTCTATTAGCACGTTGATGGTAAGATGACGTACGGCGCATTCAGTCTAGTTGATCGTCTTTCCGCGCAGTTGACTAGTGACCCCCAAAAAATTTCTGAAGGAGTTTACATTGATCCTCCTCTCATTTTGTTGGTCGTGGACTCTGATGAAGTTTCGAATTCATCTTGTCCAACGATCTGTCCAACGGGTCACGGTCTCCCACTTCTGAGCCTTTCGGAAAGGCACTTGCATAATTGTAAACTATTTCATGGAAAATTGACTACCCAAAAAGAAAAGAATAGAAGTATTTGGTGTATTTTCGACGCCAAGAAATTTTGAAATACCCTGGAGTGCCAACATACCCTGCTCGCTGCCTCGGACGATGAGCAGAGGGCTTGGCACGGCGCCGACACTTGCTATTTATGGCAGACGACGTTGCCAAGCCTCGTGCCCGGGGACCAATGCCGCCCGAGAGTGTCGCGGGGGGGTCCATGTGGTCTGGCTGAGGCAGCTGGGGAGAAGACTCCATCCATCACTGCGCGTCGCACTCGCGCAATCCTGCCTGACGCAGCTCGGCAACCGTACGCGTGGTTCTTTCGATTGCTCGGATGCTTCCGTTCCCGTCCGGATCAGGAACACTTCCTTTTACCTCCGTTCGTCCATCTTGGCACGGCGTCATTCGGTGCCTCAACCGGAATGCAATAGACGCACAATCAAGTTGAAGAAAATGGGCCTGAAGAAGCACTCGGTACGCACTCGCCAAGTAGTCTGTTCGGTAAATCATGAACTGAGTTCTTCTTTGATAAGCGAGCAAGTTGTAGGTCCAAGTTCCCTGTTTGTTTTGCCGGTCACAATGAAGGAAGCGTCCTGAGATGCGTAAAGGTGATGCGGTATGGTGAGATATCCGAGATATGCCTACCAAGACTACGCTGACGCATTTCTTCATCAACTACGAGAAGGAGAGCTACAACGCAGAAACTTGTGATAACGAAGGGATTGTAGATAGAATACCCAGCGATTGAGTATCTCCCACAAGACCCCGCCAGCGTAGGTACTCATTTTCATAGGTATGAGCTGCCACCTGTCAGTTCCTGGAGAGATAGGTTATACAGAATATTCTACAAGGCCATGCAACGGGAACTCTCCGTTGTTGACTCGGATACGCTCTGCCGCTTCAGTTGTAGGGAAATTTGAATAAGCGTCAAGATAAAATTCTGCATTTCATGCTTTTATTTTTGCACAGAGTACATGTATCCCTGTGGCCGCCGCACTGTCCTCACCCGCCTGCATTTTCGAATCTCCTGGTCTGGCGCAACGGCCCGAATCATCCGATCAATCTAACCTTCCTCTTTCGGACAGGTCACGCGTGTGGTCCGTGCGCCTTGTCGGAAACTTGGCACATCGTTTCTGTCTTCCCCCATATTATTTTGCCCTGCGCACCTCGTATGAAACCACGCATATCCGGTTAATTTACGTTGGATCTCTTGTACTCTTTCGCTTTAACTGATGCCCTGCGAACACTGTCAAATTCGAGGGGAGCTCGAGGTGGATCCGTCGCCCGTCCCAAATTTTGGGGCGCAAGGAATTTCTCTCGAATTTATCGCGATCTCTCAGGACTTCCGCGAATGTTTCCAAGCTCACGTCGGGTCATTTCCTCTCAATTATCCAGCCTTTTAGTTCTTCGGTCTGGTGCTGCGCTTCTCTTCGTCTTCCCATTGTTCTCAGAATTGAACATCGATCCATCGGCTGTTGGCATCAACTATTTCGAGATCATACAAAGGATGGGTGCTCTGCGTCTTGAAGCCGGCGTTTGAACCGACGATGAATCCTGACTCTCCCCTGGAGGAAGAAACGATGCTTCGATCTGTTGCCACTTGCAGGTTTCAGAGAATCTCTCAAGCATCTTCTCGATCTACCACACCAGTGCGTTCTCAATCTCAATGGTCTTCCTTGAAAATTTCCCCTTACCATTTAAAGCTTACGTAACATTCATTTTCTTTCCCTTCGCTATTGTCTGGCGAAATGGGCTATTCGGCACGCAAACTGGCGCACAATAATGCATCTGCATCATGGCTTTCTATCTCACGCCGAACTGTACACCTCAGGCTCCAACAATAGGCGTTGACTGATTGACTCGGTTCTGGAGGAAACTTCGTCATGCGGTGTCAGTTCCAAAACAAAAGTGGTCGCCATGAGCAAGAGATGCGGTCACTGGTGGGTTGTATAAAAGGGAGACGGTAAGCTCGCTGGCTTCACCTTCATCACCGAGCTCGCCTCGCTCACTGCCCAACCACCAGCTTCATTTCCTATTCCGACACGACTGGATCGCGTCTAATACCTAGCCCCATTGTCCACTACCCTACACATCGTCTACTCTCCACCCCACCATCAACATGCAGAGCGTTATCGTCCCCGGCCCTCAAAGCATCCACATCCCTCCTTTCAACGCCCAGTCTTTCTACCAAAGCACACCCTCCCTCGATGAGCCCAGCGAGCTCGCTGTCACCATCGGTGGACCGCATGGGCACATCGGGTGGGAATACATCCGCACGCTCGTCTACCGCTTCCTCGAGACCCGTGCGCACGCCCGCGCCAACACGCTCAACGTCGACTGGCGCCACACACCCGCGGACCGCGAAGGCCGGCGCGGACGCACGGTCCTCAAGGCGTTGTTCTTCGCCCTCGGTAGGCCCGCCGTTATCGAGAACAACCCCACTGGCCCGCTTTCCGTCCCGCACGCTCTCGGGTCGTTTCGCCGCTTCTCTATCGCTGTACCGGAGGCGGTGGCTGATTTGGGGTGGTATGATTTCGATGGCCAGCCGTCCCAGCAAGACGATAGCGTCGACCTTCGGAGGGCATCGCGCCTCGAAGAGCTCGTCTGGAGTGGCGACTTCCTCGTTCTCACTGGGAAGTTTATCAACCTCCCGTACCACCAACTTTCGTCGCTGAGTGTGACGGGGTGTGTGATGACCGTACAGGACGCGGTCTCGCTTTTGCACTCGTGCCCCAACGTGCGCATCGTCGAGCTGGGAACGATCGACGACGCCGCCGCGAGGGAGAGGAACGGTCGGAGTATGGTGCGGCCCAGTCGGATGGAACGCGTTATGTTCTCTGAGCTTTCGCTGCTCATGATTGAGTCGGGGGAACCCATCAAAGGCCTCCTTGACCGCCTCGCTTGGCGCTCTCTTGAAGAGCTCGCGCTGGTGCTACAAGGCAACGGCACGAAGGGTGCGGCTGCTTGCCTCATCCACCTTAACGGAGTGGATAGCCTGGAATTGACTGGCAATTTTGCAAAGGAGGAGTTGAAGAAGATTGCTCGACGGTACCCTTCGCTGATGTATAACCCTTCATGATACTGAAATTGGAAACCCGTAACTTAAGGTATTCACTCTATGCATATGTATAACACTCATAGCACTTGCGTCTTTCATGGAATCCCATTTTTGAATAGATTGGAGGAAGGCCATTATTGAGTCCATAGATGACCGCATCCTGTGCGCGCAGTCCGACAATAACATGGTTTGCAGAGGGCGAATGGGACTGAGAATAAATTCGAAATGTAGTAACAGCCAGTAGCAGTTTCGGCGTTGTCTGAGATGCGGCGCGTCCTAATCTGGCCGATTGCGCCACTCCTTCCCGTTTTCGACTTATCCCGCCCCGCATTCCCCGAGGATGCAGGATGCGCAATTGGCTGACGATTTCCCGATCAAATAAAAATAAAAGCGGCGTTTGGCCTCCGGAATGGGTCGCACGTGCAGAGACCATAAATAGCCCAGTCTTGGGAAACCCACGAAGCTTCTCACTGGCGTTCTTCACTCTCATCTCGAACTTGATTCAACATCTACTATGAAGCACGAAGACGCCGAATCCGACGGTAATTACCCTTTTCCTTACCGATCGCATGTTGCTTACGCACCATACAACAGACATGGAGGAGAGGGACTACTATATCAAACAAGAGCTGTTCGTCGATGAGATCCAGCACACCATCGATGACTTTCGGAGGAACAATGAACCTCTCGAGCTCCACTTCCTCGACCAAATGGAAGGTGTCAAAACACGGGAAGATTTCTTTCGAGATGTCATCCTCATTCAGTCGGGGCAGATGATTCGGACTAGGGCTGCCAACCGTGCCGGGTACGGTGACGGCCGTCCAAGAACGGCTGAAGGTCGGGTTCAAGTGGGCAAGCACCGGCCGGGTTTTGAGGAAAGGGTTGGGCCGTCGGGTCGGGGCGGAAGTATACACGGCCGTGTACGGCCATCCTTCAACCCGGTAACATTAAGTAAATGTCCCTTGATCAGCGCCTAAATGCATTGCTTAATTATCTCTCCGACTGTGTCCACCTTTGGCAGGTGAGATGATGGATAATATTCTTTTTGAGTTCAACTAGGGTGATTGCCACAAAATAGTCATCCAGTCTCAGACCAGAGTGCACCGCGACCGACACATCAAGCGCCCATAGGACAATTTCAGACCACTGGATTGGCCCAGCGTGTGTACATCACCTCAGGCTTCATCTCTAAGCACCTCTGCCAGCCACAGAGCTCCCAGCCTTCATCTTGCTATGTAGATACAAATTCTTTCTTCACTTTTTCACCTTTTCCTTGAGCCCGGTTTTGTGAACAGTGCCATCCCCTATTCCGTAGTGCCAAACTGTGTACTACGACATGTATCTCCAAGAAATGCCAGGCACTCGACCCCTCGTCAACATCCTTCTCATCCCTCTTGCTCATATTATGTCATTCTTGGAGGCACCGTAACCTCGGCAGTCAAAAGATCGGCGTCTCGGGACTCGTAACAGGTTTAGCGCTCATCACGCACTCTTGCGCGCTTCGCTCATTGCCCCCAAACCCGGCTTCCCGTCGACGGGTTCCACCGGCCGACAATACACGGCTTGGACGGGTGACGTGAATGGTCCAGCCGTCCCGGCGAGGGAATCCCGGGAATGGTTCCGGTTCGGCTACCCGTGCCGTGCGTCGGCTGCCGTCTACCGTCGCACACGGGTTCGGTTGGCAGCCCTAGTAAGTCTTTCTCTAGACCCGGGTTGCATTCTAATAAAAGTGGATTTCAGGCACGGGTGGATGTTCATCGGGTTCTTCTTCAATGTTCTGCTTCTGGGGATGATGACGAACCAGATCTACTACTACTATTCTACCTACTACCGAACGTGTGTATCCCTTCACTTCTTATATGACAATCTGTACTTATCGAAGTTCAGGGACAAGCCGTGGATCAAAATATTCGTATGCTTGCCCCCACTCTCGTCGTACATTCCTCTTCAGCTCGGTGATACCTAGGTTGCCGGCCTGTATGTCGCAGTCCTCGTGAACACCTCCTTCATCTTCGCGTATCTTTATCGCTCGCTCATTACTCTTTTCGGTGAGTCTGGATATATGTTATCTAGTGTCCGTGATTTCAAACGTTTCTGCGTAGGGAATGTTGAGAATTTAGGCAGGTCGAATTGGCGTACGTCCCACTCTCGTCCCCTGTGCTATTAGGCTTGATCGACCTGGTTTCCTTCCCAGCTGACGTCAAGTGTATTGTTGCGTGCGCCAACTTGCTTCTCGTAGAAGGCGGCGGCAAGGCGGCGGACGTTGTTCCAGTCCAGGAACGACGGCTTGCCCTCGCCAGCCTTGGGGCGAATCGGTATGTCGAGCGTCCCACCTGGGGGTCCGACTTGGAAGAGCAGAGAATCTTGAGGAACGTCGGAGGTGAAATAGAGAAGAGAGTCGCTCTGCGACTTCTTGGGGACATAACGAGCTGGGGATAAGGCAAGCTCGTAGGTGCGGGGGTCCGGTGGCGCGATAGGATCGTTGCCAAAGAGGACGGATCCTTGTGGAACGTCGTACGAGTTGTATCCCTGACGAACGACGTTGCTGTCGTTGGTCCAATCGGACATGACGAAGGTACCCCTGTTCATGATGCGGGCGAGGCGAGACGGGTTATTGTTCCAGGTGATTGGGGCAGCGGCCTTCTTCTGCCGACGAGGCTTCGACACGGGAAGGTGGCGAACATAGGGCCTGTAGTTGTTGAAGAAGTCCTTGATGGAAGGGAATTTGAGAAAGAACGCGGTGATTCCGCGGTAGGGCAAGAGGTAGTAGTCCATTTTGCGATGAGGGGATTTGTGAGGATGCTATCTTTTATAGAGTCGGTGCTGAGGTTGGTCGAGCAACCCTTTTGTTCAGCGTGGTCGACATTGACGGCCGTTCAATTGTCAAAATGGAGGCAAGACAACCGAGGAGAATAAATCGGAAAGCAGAACTCGATGGACGTGGCGACAGGGAAGTATTGTTGTTTTTGAGTTCGTGGTATTGTTCTGGCTAGGTCACGTGACGAAGCGCGACCATCGATTCATCGATTCAACCGTCAGAATCTACGCATGCAAAAGGAGGGGCCAAGGGTGTGGTTTGATGCGAACGAGGGGTACAACGGCATACGTAGCATTAGGGTCTCGTGTCTTGTTCGATGTCGCGCTCAGATTCTGCGAACTAAGCCACTTCGCTTGAGAAATGCGTCAAAGCGAACCTCAGAGAACTCACGGATTACCCGCACGGTTCTGCACTCTCGAATCCAACTGATGTCAAGCTTTTCCTCGCGACACTCCGAGTGTTCTAGCTGGGATGGGTCTCCTGGGCTAATAGATAGTTCTATCGCCCTACGATTTGGGAGTTCCTTGTACAGTTGAACTCGAATTTAGCTTGGGTTGTTCTAACATCGAGGAAGTGTTCTTAGACGAAGCTGAAGGGGTAAATAATGGTAGTCCGTACCTTCCATCCCAGGCGTTGGATGAGCGTCCAACGATCAAGTACACGATGCTCGGCGTCAACAATTGGCTTGAACGGGTGCCATCCTGGATCGAGCCTACGTATGTCCTGATAGATCGCTTTTGAGTCGCAGAGGCCAGCGGGAGGATCCCTAATATCCCGTCTGCAGATGTGTGCATGAGCTGATCGTAGATAAAACAGGGAGAAGAGCGAATAACCAACCATTGCCATCTCTGTCCCGTCCCTCTCACCGCAAAAGTCGGTAGTTACATTTAATGAGGGTTGAGTACTAAGTTTCTGGCGAATGGACAAGTACGAGCAGAGACCCTGTTGGCATACTGAAATCTGCGTTCATCCTGGAGTTGGAGTTGAGGAGAGCCCGATGAACAGGAGGAGAAATTAAACCCCGAGCTTCCCATCAGTCCACCACCAGGTTCTACCATTTCATATACCAAATGGAATTTGAACTTTCAACGTTCGTTGAGTGGATCGAAAGAGACTGTCAGATGGATGCGGTTGAGGTGACATTGACCAGCCGTGACCCGGAATTTCCTCGCCACCGCCAGGCGGTCCGCCGAACCGAGCCAATAATAAAGTCCGCGAGGCTTCATTTAAATAAAGACAAGAAGGAATATCTACTCATGGCCGCCACGGGTGATGTCGGTCACACCAATGTGTCACACCAAACAGATTGATTGACGACTTTAAAATCTCAAGTACTGGTCTTCGTTCTGCAAATCAAGCCACAAAACTTTGACATTAGATACTTAGATATATGGAGTCCATGAATGTAATATTAAAATCCAGTATGTCCCCCTCTTGCAGCTAGGACAGCCTTAACACGACGATCCATCTTTCCAATTTGATGATTGATAACCTCCACGGAAATCCCCTCCCACGCACGCAAAACGGCAACACGCAGCCCATCGACAGTTGTAGGCGGATATGGAAGGTGTCTGAGAGTTGATTTAAGAAGGTGCCATATGGGTTCAATGGGATTTAGGTCGGGCGAAGAAGGAGGATGTGGGAAGAGTGGGATGCCATGTTGGGCAAACCACCTCTTCATGACCTTGCTGCCATGGCTGGGGGCGCCATCTTGCTGAAATGTCATATTCCCTCTCTCTTGGTTTAAGAGATAATATAAAAAGGAAGGAGAACAGGCTCGAGAACCTGTTCTCGGTAGCGTGTAGAATTCATACCTCCTCCCTTGCCCCCTGGATACTCCAACACAACCAAAGGCCCTTTCCAATCCTCAGCGATGCAACCCCAGACCATAACACGTACTGTTGACTGCTTGAAGGTTGGAACTAGACATTCCTCCAGTAATTCTTCGTCTGGTCGCCGCGTAACATAAATCCGACCGCGATCATCCCCGAGGTAAACGTAGCACTCGTCGGAAAACATGGTACATCGCCAGTCGGAGGGCCAGAAAGATTGGTGGATGCGCGCCCAATTGAGTCGTTTTCGTTTATGAGCAGGTGAGAGGTACGGCACCTTGCGTGCAACCCTCTGGTGAAATCCTTGTGCAGCAATGATGCGTCGAATAGTCGAAGGTGATACGCAGGTGGCAAGTCGGTTTGTGATCTCTGTCAATGGCATTCGTCGATGCTTGATTACTTCGCGGATGACCTGTCGTTTGCCATAGTCGGATAGCTTCTCTGACGGACCCGGCCGAGGTTTGTTGGACGTTTCCCCAGTCTCCAGGAAATGTTTGTAGATGCATTGCGCCGTACGCTCGTTGACATTCTCATTCCGGCCCGCTGCCGCTGCATTTCCTGAGGCCTGGGCATAACTGATGATTCGATTTCTCGTGGGTGTGTCGACCTCATGGCGTGAGGTTTTCGGAGGATGCGGTTCTAGAGTGAGTGAAGAATGAACGAAGAGATAGAACTAGGTCTTCGAGCGAGTGGCAGGTGGCACGTGATGCTCTCTGCTTCATGCCACCACCATCTCGCCTCGAAGACTCGCCTCAGCCTCAACGCCGCACCTCAACGGCCGCGTTGAGCACTTCAAAATCTCTTTTCCCAGTGTCCTACAGATTGCACGACCAATCTACGCCTTTCACTGATTCTCCCTATCTTCCGGGTGCCAGCTGGCACGAAGCCCAACTTCCATGCCAAGAATTAAGTCTCAAGACTCTCCCAAAACCCCGAGTACGAAATAGGGCTGAGAAAGAGACCGAGGGACCAGGTGATATATCTGTGAAGCAGTGCAAGAGGTATGTGATAGGCTACCTCTACGCAATCAGCACCGTCTCGTTCTGTTCCTGAGTAGAACTTTGCGCGTAACAACTGGCCTCGAGAGCATCCCAAAACCGCATACGTCCATCCGAACTTCGTAGATCGCCTATCTACACCAACAACAGTCGATGCTATTTGCTTCGCTCATCCGAGCTACGCTTACTGTAGTGGCTGCGAACCAATGCTATCCCGTTATGAGTGGCCGCCCACTTCTTTCGTCCCAAGAGTCACCCCTCGACAACATCCTCCCTTCCAGCAACACGACTTTCGACGCACCGATGACCATTGCTCAGCATTCTCACATCTGCGCAACTCCGACAACAAATCACATCCATCCATTCACTTCGCTTTGCTGTCCCCGCTATTCGCTATTACTTAGGGCCTTGCCCTTCCGCTCCTGCTGCTGCTACTCCATAGGGCTTTGCCCCGCTGCTACTACCTTGTAGGGCTTTGCCCCCGCTGCTGCTATTTTGTTGGGCTCTGCCCCGCTGCTGCTACTCCGTAGGGTTTCGCCCCGCTGCTGGTGTTACTGAGGGTTGGCCCCATAAGGCTTCATCCTGCTGCTGCTGCTACTTCTGTATGTTGGGTATGTCTTCCCTGCGAACATGCAAATTCCTTCGCTGGCCCGCTATCATTACTGACGCCGGCGTGCGATCACTGTTGATGGCTCGCTATCGCTTTGGCTCCTCGTATGCTATTTTTCTGTCACTCAGCTGTTGTTCTCGCCTCTCTAAGCTGCGCTCCTTGTCCCACGGCTACCCTCTGGTGTCTGCCTGAACGTCGGGACAGAATCTAAGTTGATTCATTCGACACCCCACCCCGATCGGGAATAAGGACAGCTTAGATCGCCTTATGTGTCATATTTCAGCCGGGATTCATGATGTTAGTAAGTCGCCCGAATGTCTATATATTTTCACCTCCTCGCTATGCTACATGCTACAAGTCATCCGATGAGTATTTGGCCCATGTACCGTTAAGCTACTCGCTGTTTTCATTCATGCTGTATATGACTTCAATAGGCTTCCACGCTTTGTGAAGCTTCTGTCTCTTATTATCTTCCCCCCCCAATGTGTGCTATGAGATCCCGTCCAATCAATTAACAACTGTAGACGTCAGTCAAAATCTGTTTTGCGACCAATCCTTCATGCCAGCCAAGTTCTGGGCCTGCTGTTATGAGCATGTCAAGTATTAATTGCCTTTTGATAATGAAGATATCCTGGAAAATGCGAGGACAGTCCACTAGGAGCACCGACACGGTATGTTCTTGTTTTATCAATAAGCAATGAGTTGACGCACTAATAACATTGACACTCTTCTCCTTGCATGTACGAGCACTTACTCCTTGCGAAGCGGCCGTGTTTCATCGACTTCGAGCTTTCCGCAGACTGCGGTACAATTGTGGCTCGGTGCCGTACCGAACCATAAGCCATAAAATATGGCACAGCAGATGACGCCAAGGACGAGCTAAGCGCCCACTGCCTGTTATTTGACCGAGCCGCAAAATGGCGGTAACCCTATGATACGAATTTCAAAGCGTTAAACCCCTCACGGTGGCCGACCCATAAGCTGTAGCATGATCGCGATGCGCAGCCCTGGTGCTATGGCCAATTGCAGGGAAGAGAAATATGGTCAGCAGGAGACCAACTCTGTTCATTGCTTACACCCTGCTGAACTTCAGCGATGACCTTATCCCAACGAACACGAGCAAGTTAACAGCTAGGAGGAGTCAAGGGATAGTGGATCGTCCCCCCAGCACTGTGAGTCTCTCCTCGACAAAATCCAGGCTCTCATTGTCGAACTATGCTCCTGGTGCTGAAATCCAGGCTCTCGCCATTAATCGGTGCTCCTGGTACTAAAATCCAGGATCTCACTGTCAATCAGTGCTCCTGATGCCCCGAAACCCAGGCTCTCACCATTGCTGGTGTTCCTGGTCGTCGTCTGACGTCTCCCTCATCCATCCATCTGAAATCCAGGCTCTCACAGTGCGGTGTTCCTGGTCATTCTTCATGCACTCGCTGGAACGTCATCTGCGTTCGCTGCTCACCATCCACCCCATGCTACTTGTTTTCCCTCTTGTCTTCCTGCATGGATCTTTCTAGATTGTATATTAGGCCACTAACAGTGCGTAGAGGGGACCCAGCCTGCCGAATTCCTCCCACAATGAGCTTCAGCAACGCCCTACGCAGCGAGCAGCGAGTCACCCGGCACCGGCCCGATTTGGCCGCCGCTACTATTTATGCCGACAGATTTACTGATCGCTGGTGGGCGTTTGGCATCCATCTCGAGAATCCCCATGGACCACCGGAAATTTCGTCCTCTATCTTGGATGCGGGGACGCGTCTTGAGCTCTCAGCCTCAATTCTAGACGCCATTATGCATGATACCGAGTGTCGCGGTCTGTGGCGCGCCTGGGATGCCGAGCTCGCGCTGGCAAATACTGCGGGAAGGTGGAAGAAGCTAAACTTGGTAAAGATTACCATTTGTGGATTACCTACCGAAGCTGCCTTCCCTGTCGTCTCAAACGTGAAAGCAAGGTGCGACATGTCGCTTAGGGGAGGGTCCCTGCTCCCTATGTTAATTGAACGCGGAGTGGTGGATGTCGATTATCTTCATGATTGAGGGGCAGGCAGGCTCGTTAGGCGACCATAGCCTTGTATTTTAATCTGCCCATCAGGTCCAATAATTCCATTATGTCATACATGTAGTTTTTTACACCACGAGTAAAGTTCGTCTTGTCCTATTCTGATACTGATTTCCAATGTGCATTATTTCGAGAATCACTTGTTTCCCGCCGGGGACCTTTCACCTTCAAAAAACGAATAGAGCCTGCGTAGGCTTTGTCTCCCTGTGTTCAGATGCCGTAGTTTCTCCCCCTAGACTTTGGAATGCGCGAACAATCGGCCTCTGGCGCTCGATGCCCGCAGTGAGAAAGCCTGGGCGTCGCAGTAACCTCGGAAGTCGCAGCGTCGCCGAAACCTCGTTCTCCACGACAGCATTCACGGCCATACGTCGCCTGGACTCTTCGAGGCGTCGGAGGTCTCAAACTCGCTCTCGGTGGTAGGAGGAGTGGGACTTCATTCATACTGCTGATTGAGGTCGATCGAAAGCTAGTGTACGATCCGGTACGTCTATGGCCGTCTCCACTCGTCTCTTCGAGGTTTTTGAATGACCGTCAGCGGAAGCTCAAGAAATCCCTTGCTCCGTATGGCGCCTTTTTTTGGAAGGTAGACACTTCAACCGGGTTACTTCACCATGGAGCCGGAAATAATACTGGGAATTTTGTCTTGGATTCTGGGAGGTGTCGCGATGCGGCCTGTTAAGAGAATCTGGGAAAGACATTGCATTCTCGTGCGAAAGAAGACGTGTCAGTCAACATTATGTCGTGCCAGAAGATGATAAGAGACCTGGACTCCTTTGTCTACCTTTGGAGGTATTCGTGAGGACGTTGTGGAAGTCATATCCTTCCTCCCCTATGAGTATGCGCTGCGGTCTTCCCTGCAAATCTCTGCTTTCACAGGGGGCAACGCTCTTTTGTTTTGGCGAAATGCGTGGGAGAATGCGCGTAAATCCATCAAGTTTTAATATCCATTTTGGCTTTCCGAATTCCAGACAAATGCTTTAACTATTAGTCAGCACCACCAGTTTAAATGGAGATCTAGGTTTTTAAAAAGGCAAAAGGGCGTAAAACAGGAAATGTGTTTCTCGGACAGGTCCCGGAAACGCACACCAACATATTCCTGTCACGGTTTTCTGCCCCTTTCAGCCTTTCCCAGACCTAGGTTCCCATTCTAATTGTTGGAGCCAGCGACTTATTAATGTTTTTACCGAAGATTTGAAACACCAAAGTGAATATTAAAATTTGACGGATTCACTTGTGTTTTCCCATGCATTTCGCCAAAAAAACCGAGTGCTGCCCCCTGTGTTTCTTGCTCTTCCGAGTCGGATGATATGGTGCCCTAATTCGTTGCAGACGCCCTTTCTGATCACCTTGTAATTCCCTTCAGTGAGTTTATCGAATCGAGGACATACATAATCGACATGACTCACTGGAAACATAAATTAAAGTCCGTGCGACTGTAACTTGTATCTTCGCCTCAGCTAGCAGCCTGTACGAGTGGCCGTGGGTCCGGCGCTTAGATGCCACGATTCTTATGGGTGAGTAGTAACCAGCGCCTATTTTCGTCATCTGATTCGGGGAATATGCGCGCTCTTCCTAAGTTGCTGAACGTAGGAAGACAATTTCGCGGTAATATCAGGTTACATAGAAGTCTGACTTCTAGGATGATTCGAATGGAACGCCTCGAGTGTGCGTCGAAACCCTCGAAGTAATTATACACCAAGATAACACCTAAGTAGTGAACATATTTTCCTCTTAATACTTCGTCTGCGCAGTCAATTTATGTTGGAAGAAATTAATGCCGCCTCAATGACGGATGGGACGAGCTGGACTGACCAACTGAATTCTGTAGAGAGTACTTCAAATTAAACAGGGTCGCCGGGGAGGATAGGGAGGCAGCAGGTAAAGGTACTTGGTCCCGGGCAGAGGCCTGACTTATGTCAGTAAATGAAAGAATGGGTATGACTATCGAGCGCAACGCACCTCGCTGAATCTTGCCGGTGGGGCAAGTGCTGGTGAAGCGGCATCGCCCGCCACCTCCACAGGTCTTGTGGCAGCACCTTACATTTGAAGGATCATTAGGACAATACCCAGACGCGTAGGTGCCACCAGCGTTAGTGCACGAAGACGTCGTTATGCAGATGCCAGGAATGCTCCCGACGGAGCAGGGATCGTTGATGGCTGCATTCGCGACGGCGGCGGAGAGAAGAGCGGCGAGGAAGAGAAGCTTCATAGCTGGTGAGTTTCGATGGTGCGATGGATGAATTGAGAATCCGTTGAATTGGGGTTTTCCTCGACGATGAGCCGTCTTCGAATAAATCGATTAAATAGAGAATCAGTGCCCAGCCGAAAACCTGAGATTCTCCGGTATTTCGTCTAGAGCTTCAAGGACTCTGCCTCGATACTCTGATGAGATATCTATCAGAATAATGCTCCGAAAATCACAAGACGAATCTGAATGATAGCTTTTCCTCAGTATCGTCCAAGAGGCGTCGGCTAACGGCTGGGTCTCTCACATTGCGCGGTTTGAGAGGCTTCAAGAGACCTGGTTGCACGATTGCAGATGTTCTGGACGGGTACCTGCAATGATGATGTCGTCGATCCACGCGAGGGGTTATCGAGCTGAACGACATGGAGCAGAAGATTGGCTGTTGACGTGATGAATTTGATTAAAAAATAAAATAACTCCGAGAGATAGACCCACAATTTTTCATTCCGCGCACGCGGAAAGCGAACCATATGCAGTATTGTTGAGCACAGTGGTTTACCTCCAGTCAACACCCTCGGAGAATTTGACACCCCAAGCGCATACGGCGAACAGGACTGTGACATTGCAGTCTCGTAGACGAGGGTCTTGGTGTTGGAGTATCTTTCAACAATTAATCAATTCTAATCATTCAAAAAACTCACGAGAGTGGGACGGGACTACCACATGACGCACCCGAGGCCTGCGAAGGTCGGCAACAAGCAAAGGCTCTGTAGGAGTTGGGTCTCACGACCAAGACCGAGTATTCGAGAAGAGGCATTCCATATCTATTTCGGGCACGAGAGTCTTGGCATGAGCGTCCTTGCAGCGTTCGCATATCAGTCGTATAAAGCACTTTTGCAAGGGTCGGACCGCGTAGAAACGATACTGTTTAGAAAAAAGTTCATAATGATCCCCAAGTCTGCACCAGTGGAATGCTTGGATGCATCAACCAGTCTGGTACGCCTTCGGCGAGTGTTAGGACCTGCGCATATACCATCAGCCGCTCGTAGCGCGTGGACCCTTAGGTTCTATCCTAAGAAAAGCCTCATTTCGAAGAAAGTGGTGCAGTTATGGAGAACATACCTTGCATCACTCAAGCGCAGCAGAGAGGGATTTTTTACTGCATCGATTGCGCATCTTTAGTATAGAGTCCTCGCATCCTGGGGTATACTTCGGTTCCCCGAGGGATTCCTAAACCCTGACAACATTCATTTGGGTCGAGAGACATCGACGAAGAAACGCACCATCGTCAATGGAAGTTGCTTTGCCATTCAGTTTCGCTCATTCGAAAGACGCGTGGTGGGATTGGATGATCGGTATACCCAGCGCTTTTCTCCGTCATACGGAACAACAACCTAATTTCCCGCTCCGTTGAACTGAGGCATCCAATCACACGGCTTCGCTTTCTAAGTGCCTTCTTATGTAGTTGAGGGGATTCCCTGGAAATGCTGTTGCCATTCTTAGCGATCTTTGAACGGCGAGCATTTAAACCGACTGCCAGTGAATACGGCTCTTCAAGTTCCTCCCTTCTCTAGGACATATTGCCTCGCGTAGGTTTCAGTTCTTGCCAAGAAGATGCGCTTCGCATTTCTGTCGCCGTTACTAGCGTTCGCGACGTTGGTCGCAGGTAAGTCCATGGGCGTCTATCAATGAGGCCTCGTCCTGAATATCCTTTTCCTAGCACACCCAGGTGAACACCACAGCTTCGTCAGGAAATCGGTGAGAGGTGTTCCTTGGCTACTCGCCTCACGGACCAGATTAACACTTCGTTTAGGATGAGTTGATCGCCCATGAGCTTATGGCGCGCAAGTGCGCTGGCGCTATTGCCGAGTTTGAGAACCAGCGGAGAGTGGCCAGGGAAGCCAAGCACCCATACCTCGCCCGGAGGCAAACACCGACCACTACAGCACCTACGCCGCACTATACGACGATACAGAACGTGAATTTTTTCCGTTATTGAAGATTAATGGACTTAACCTAACCCTGCTGCTTAGTCCACTTGCGTTACAGCGGTGGAGCTCACAGAAGGCCCTTATTACATCCGCAACGAGTACATCCGCTATGACCTTCGAGAGAACCAAGGGTAAGAGGACTTCCCATGCACGCATAGAAATGCGACTCACATCAATTTTCTAGCGGCGTGACGCTCGTCCTCGACGTTGGGGTGATTGATACCACGACCTGCAGGCCCTTCCCTAATGCTTTTGTGGAGCTTTGGGCCGGTAAGTTCGCATGTCTGGCTGTGTTATACAAGGGGGACCTAACATCGTCCTCAGTCAACGCCACGGGCTTTTATGGTGGATACAGTCCTGGAGGAAATGTTCACACAGACACCTTCCTCCGGGGTGGTCAGTTCACCAACGAGAACGGAATTGTGGAACTCACTACCCTCTTTCCGGGCTACTACACTGGACGCACATCGCACATCCATGCAATGATCCACAAGAACGCGCAGAGGAACGCCAACGGAACCATTGCCTCTGGTTCCGGCCAGGTCAATCACATCGGCCAGTTCTTCTTCGACGAAAGTTGGAACGACCGAGTGTTCTCCACGGCTCCGTACACGAACACGAGGGAGATCAGGATGTACAACAACCAGGACTGGATCCTTTGGCAAGGTGGAGCCAGTGCTTTCGTCAAGTGAGTTTTGTCAATCCGAGATTGACACGTCATCTAACCGGGCCCGTAGTACAGAACCGCTCGGTGCAGCTCTGACCGATGGCCTTCTCGGGTACATCAGTGAGTATGATCAGGAGTGCCATTCAAGACATCGTCGTTAAACGAACCTTGTTCTAGCCGTAGCGGTGGACGGAAGCAAGAATTACCGAATTATGAACACAAACGTCATGTGAGGTCCATAGAATGAGTCTGTTGTCACGAACCAGTGGTGTTAGTCGTATTTGATCGAATTGACCGTTTCGCGAGCGTTTCGTACCATTTCTCTTCTCTGTTCACTTGCGAGTGTGACATTTTCGTAGAAGTGCTTGTAAGTTGAAGACCACAGAGCCATCTGAGTTGCAGGACGAGATCAAGGGGCAAGATATAGTACATCATGAAATAACCACGAGTTCTTTGTCGCATACTGACAGCTGTCGAGAGCGAAGGAGAGCGAAGGGTGATGGGACCGACATATACACGTTCTAGTGGCCAGTGTTGGTTGACGATTACCAATCCCGAATCCTTCCGAGTCCAGTCCCAAGAGATGATACAGCAGGGGAGCTTCGAGTTTTTCCCTAAGCCGTAGTAAACATTCCAGTAGAAAATGATTCCAATAGTAGACGGAAATCGTGAGGAAGGGAAAGGAAGTGAGGAGGCGACTCTGAAACTCTCGTGGTCCATGATTCTTCCAACACATTATCTTATCTTATCAGGCAGGGTGAACCCCCGAGGACCGTTTTGGGTCGACAGATACCTTATTTGGGTAGGTCTCGTTCGCCGCAGTGTGAGGCAGTGTGAGTCACTATGTCTCTAGGTATGTGTCTAGTGGTATAATACACAGGATACTTCACAAGTAAGAGCAGAATGGTATGATCACCTTAAAAGACAAGGCAGCTGTGTATTCTTGGTGTATTCGTTGTGGCCCCATGCTGCTGCGCTGTGGCTCTGGAAAGGATGTGTACGATATGAGCCTTTCATATTCAATTTGAATGGTCTCAATAGATTCATAAGTCCTCCCCTCATTCTTCTCAAGCATACAGAGATGCCTGTTCATTCCCCACTCAACTGGGAGACCGAACCCCTCCCATTCCTCCCACCAACCGGCGACAACAGCCCCGTACCTATCAAATTTGTGCGGGAGATCATGACCAGTTCGTACTCATCCAGTACATCACCCGCCGACGTACAGAGTACTTCTGTCCAAGAAATCCGATGGTTCAAAGACGCGGATGGAAAGGAGCATGAGTTCCTCGTAGTTCGCGCGCTCCATTGCACTGGCGGCGAAGTTGTCTTACGCTTCGAGCGAGCTCCGTCTCCGTACCACGTCGCAGCCGGACGCATGACACTGGTTGGTGGTCCTGCATACTACTCATTATTTACTTGGCGTTTTGATTCGCAATCATAGAGTCAGAAGTTTTGTCTTTCTGCGCAGGAGATGCCGGCAAACGATACTGTCACCCGCCTAGAAACCACTGACAATGTATTTGGCAGTAGTGGCAATTCACCCTTACTTGTGGCGTCTTACAAGTCTTTCCGCACACCCTTGCCTCTCCGAGACGTCATTCTTGCCGCCAATCTGATATCCAGCTATGCCTCTTACACGGTCCTCAGGCATCAGTGTTATTGGTTCGTCCGAACCCTCACCGGGGTCATTGATACGGGCTACTCCCCTCAGGCGAAAAATTATGAGGCGGCATTCGCTCATAGTGGCACCTATTCTCTGACGGGGCGTATTCCCGTATCCCTCAATGTCGAGAATCCGAATGAAGTGGCAGAGATTTCCGCGAGATTGCTGGAAGAGATAAAGGAGGACAATGATCTGGTAATTTTTTCCCGTTTAGTGTCCGAAGTACTGTTCTCATAGGTTGCAAGATAAACCAGGGGTGGATGGCTGGCGCCGGCGGAAAGGCGCTTGAGATAGAGCGTGCGCACCACGAATACAGTCTTCGCATTGCTGCTGAAGGAGCACAAAGCAGTGCTCAGGCCGACATTTCTAGATTGAGAGAGGAAAATAGAACGCTTCAGGAGGAAAGGGAGCGTTTGATCTCGATGATGAGAACTGCGAACCGAGAGTAGACTCACGGTTAGAGAGGACAATTACGGACATACGCTACTGTACATTCGCGCACAGACACTTCATCTCACTGCGGACGCTGTATATCAAATATCTGCCTTGTTGTATATCCGGTATTCAATAGCACAGACCTGCTACTATATCTGGCACTGCAGTGCTTCTATACAAATTTCAACAGTTTGACTAAATTTGAACGCAGCCATTACGCAGGGGAAACTTCTTTCTTTATGGTCAGCCGTCAAGGAATGCTTTTATTTTGGTGATCAGACCCCTTCGCGACCACACGGCCAAAGCGCCTACAGTTCCCGAACGCTTATACCGCTGTGCACTGTGTGGCGACTTCCCCCATGTTTGGTGGTTTCCCATATATGGTAAAGATGCTTAGGCCGTTGACAAGGCGGGAGCCACAGATGGGACAATTGGCGCAGTGGCATAAGAACAATAGAACGTATAAATAAAAGCTGACACCGGAGGACAAGAGCCAGCATTGCCCCACACACTTCTCCCCTGCCACCGCTACATCACTAGATCAACATGCGCCATCCCTCCCATCCGCACGGCGCCTATATTGACCCCAATGCTCGCCAGCGGCAGCAACCCCAAACTACGAGCGGCAACCCACAGTCGACCTCAAATGGCCAACAGCCGGCGCCCTATGGAGGTGCCGCTTACTCGGGGAACCTGCCCATCTCGGCAACTCGACTTCCTGATCCGCCCAGGGCGCCAACGCCCTCCCCGGCGCCGTATATAGGACTTCCAACTGCCACTCCGTATAAATACGTTCCTCCGGTGCAAGTCTACTCAACGCCTCCCACTCCAGAGTGGACTGCACCGCCCGAGGCTTATAGTTCTGTCGCGTGGAATCCGACACCTCCTTGGACGCCGATGACTCTGCCACATTCAAACAAAAAGGATAATTCTTCAGGAAAGATTGGATCGTATTTCGACCCTCGAGCTTCAGCTAGTGTCTACCACTCCTCGCATTCGGCATGTCCTCCCGATCCCGCCGAGTCGTGCTTGTTTGCAGGCTCCTCCGTCGATCCTACGAAGAAGGCTTCTACAAAGAGACATTAGTTCTCAAGTTATCTCCTGGAGCTCGTAATTAGGCCCTTTATTGTTTCCACGGTCCCATCGTCTCCATTTAATTGTTGGTGAGGCCCTCCGTCATAACAAGTAATACCATGATCCGTCTCGTATTTCTGATAACGTACTCTTTGTTCACTGTTATAATAATTCTGAATATTTTAATTGCGTGCTGTAGACAACTTGGGGCGTGAACCGCCGACGCCACACTGCGGAAGGCGGTGCAGGAGTGAGGTGAAGGTTTCATACATCGCGGTCTGAACTCTTTGCACTCCGGACATATTACCCTGTCATGCGGATAGCTTTGGCCATTGGAAATGATACTCGGTCATTTGACCGACAGAAAATAATGTCGAGCTCCTTGCTCCTTTCTGGGCCCGGCACGAAGGTAAAGCCCTATCGTTTAGGGCTTACAGGAGAATTTGACAACCATGACGACGATTAGCAGCTGGAACAAGTTTTACTTCTGCCCTAAATCTGTTCCAAAGCCAAAGGATCGTTCGGTCTAACTGTTGGAAAAGGAATTGAAACGGGAAGTTGACGGAAAGCCGGGTACCGCGGTCCGGTAGGTGTAAGTAGATGCCATCACCCTGAGACATAAATAACAGAAAATATTGATTTAGTGAGAAGCCCGACGAACTTGTCCTCCTACGTCCTCCAGGATACGCGACCTCCCGATTCTCTTCCAAGTATTTCCTAGCGTACACACAGTACCGCCTTCCTTCGTCTGTTCCGAGTCACCACCCTTCAGCTGACGCGCCTCAGTCTGCGCATAAGTATGTATCCTTCCCCTGCCTTTTCCTCGGTTCAACTTCGCGTCTGCATTCTGGCTCGCCCCGAACGCGAACTGAACCCACCCGAGTCCGTTCCATCCGAGGTTTTGCGGCGTTTCTATGACGATAACTGACGCCTAAAGTTACAGATTCCCAGCTCATCATCATCATCATGGGCGTCCGAAGCAAGGATTGGATACGGAAGTGGAAGACTGCTTGCTCCCCATCTGCTGCATCCCCTTGTCGCCTGATTTGGACGGTATTCAAGCTTGAAGCTTGAAGCCTCACTGGAACAAGGTAGGTAAGCACCTAGTCTCACGCAAAGCATAGCATTGCACCCGTCTCTTAGGTTAAGTCAACTGAAGGGCACTTGTCCTCAAGTAGACCGCCTGACTGACATGGTTTCAAATTCTGTTCTATTAGTATGGGAACCGTGACTGTAGTGGACTTCTCCCGTTCGTCTTTTCTGGGACGTCATGACTCCTATCAAGGGCTGAGTTTGCCTTCGTGAGAGCTCTTGTTTCTGTATGCTCTTGTCGACGTGGTGTGTTCACCTAAATAGAGCTCGTGCTGCTCTTTACGCTGCACAGCCTCTCCCTGGCAGCGTTCTCACCGGGCCTTATTCACGCTGCGCAGCCTGGGTTCTGTCCTGAGACTCCAGCCCAACCTCTCGCGTCTTTTGGCTTCAGAATTTCGTATTTGGTCAACCTCGTCCCGAGGACTCTAGTCAGGCTGTTGGCGTCTCTATACTTCGTTCTAGCGTCGGGTGTCGATCTCGGTTTCTCATGTCTTCCGGTCCTCTGAACCATAGGCCTTCTCTCGGAATAGCAGATCTAAACATGGAGTGTTAAATTGGCCTCCCCTGCTTCGCTCGCGCCAGTAATTCTGCGTAATCTTCTTCTGATAACGCTACGTCTATACGCTACGAAGCCCCTCGGTGTGCCACCATGGATCCCCGGATTCGGCCCGCTGTATCTTCATCAAGGGATTTTCGGGTGGCACCTTCACTCCCTGAATTAGTACTGGCGTCTTCTGGTTATTTCTTTCTAAGGAATAGGCAGTGTGTATTCGGTTCTAGCGTCTGCACTTGCCGCTTTTATCTCATGTCCTACATCAGGTGCGAGTTTGACGTTCCGTGGACCCATACTCTGTTCATCCTAGCTTCACCGCAACCTTTTCCCGACACTCCGACCGCAACTATGTATGGTCTATTTTGAAGAAGTTGCCTGCTTGGCCGCTGGATCCTGACTCTACTGCCACTCTTTTGCTTCTTGGATAAATTGCTTAGGATGGGGCTGTAGGCAAGAACGTCTTCGGGAGGAACTCAAAGCTCTCTTATCAACTCTACGACGGTTCGCGGGAACTCGTCTTTTTCCTGTTCCCGGCCCCGCTCTCACTTTCCGCCCGTCAGACCTCTCCAAGAATTCTCTAGGGAAATCCGTAGCCCATTTTCGCCAAATCTCTCGTCGATGGTCCCTGGGCAATGGCCACCTGACGGTGGGATGACGCCATTTAAATTGAATCGGTTTCTGGAAAACCACCTACTGCCAATGTTCATGACAAATTCCACGTCAACCTAGGGAACATCTAGCTTGGAAGTTCTGCACAAGTCGCGCTGGCCCAAATGCATTCGCCAATGTAGCCAACTCCGATTCCATTTTTTCTCGTGAATCTCGTGGAGCCGGGTCATTTGTGCTTATCGCCAAATGCCAGAGGGAGGCCCACTGCGTACTCCGGCTGATGCATGATCGTAAATTACTGTATGATATAACGGTATCTGCAGGGTAACCACATGCAAGAGGGGTTATTTCGCACCGACTCGCAGAACGTGTTGCCCCCGCGAATGCCTTCGAAGTTCAACGAGGAGTGCCTTTGACGTATTTTTCAGGCCTTGTCGGATCTGTCAAACGGACGGTGCATTTACTGACATTGCAAGATGAGTAATGGATTTCTCGATTTTCTGTAGCTGGAATGCAGCTGTGGGACGGCGAGGCTGGCCTTCCTAACAATGGACGTCATAGGTATGTTCTCAACGGCACGCTGCTGTCAACTCACAGAATTCGAAGAGATGACTGACGACTCTTACGACAAGCCGTCCTCCGTGCCGTCCTCCGGGATCTGCCCTCCCCACTGACAGTGGCATCGTCCAATGAGCGCCGCGATTGCACCGCCGCCTGTCATTGGCTTGTCCTCACTTTCTGTCATTGGCCGGCATCTACGCTGCATCTGACTGGCCAATCGAACGTCCATATTTCGTATCGTCTCATCTCTTGACGGCTCAGCGTGACCGATTGCCCTCGCGGGTGCTTTTAATTATTCTGCTGGCATCTATGACGTGCGTGATTCCTTGATTCATTTGAGTGCGTCGTGCAGTCGGTGAATGCATGAACCGATCCCATTTCTCAGTTCAGCGTTCTGTATACCGGAGGATATTTGATTTGATTCAGACGACAGACTCACATCGGATATCACATCATAGGTCCCTCATGATCATCCATCATATCATATCCCTCGAGGCTCTGCGAGAGCCCACCGCTGAGTACTCCAAACGAAACGAAAGACAGCTTCGAAGCTCGTGTCGATCACGGCTGAGGACATCCACGGCAAATCTTCTCCGTGAACCTCCCATCTTGATCATTCTCCACAGTAAAGCACCGGTAGACCGATATCAATATCTCAAGAGAAGATTCGTCCATAAATACAAGGAAGGTGATTAGAACGCCAGGTGGCAGTCCAGCCGCCAGACAGAGAGGGGTGTGGGATTCGGAATGATATCAGGTCCTTGAGGCATGGTTAACCTAGCGGAACAGTAGGGAACTTGGGGAGATCGGAATGGCGTTGGAATGGAATTCGCAGAACCGGGAGAAGACATTGAAGAAAATGCTACATGCAGCCGGCTAAGTACTTAGTACTTAGGTATGAGGTCATACCTTCCGCGAATGTGGGGTCGACGATCCGTGAATTCTGCAGGGCTGTGCGCTGCACACGCGCTTGCGGCGAGGCGAACGACTCGGAGGGGATATTCTGGTATGCGATGACGAGCTTGAGGGTATTCTGTATTTCTTTGTGCCGCATCGTCCACGTTCACTCGCCTGGCACTTCCCCAGCTGATCTACTGACAGTGACAGAGTATATGCACCGTGCACTGGACAAACGAACTGTAACTCAATCAGCGCCTAGGTGATCAATCAACTCTGAGAATCGCCTGCCAATGCACCGCATCTCTTCGATCCCATCCGTCACGTAAGCTCGAAGCCTGAGCTCGCCATCACCCAGGCCTTCGAAGGAGGGAAGGCGCTTCCTGTCCTAGGCCTTGTACCTACACGCAATGGCAAAATCTGCGTCCGAACCTTGCTTCCAAGTTCGAACCTTCCTTCGTACATCTTGAATTCATCTTCGAGTCCATCGCTTCATCTCCCATCTCCATCGCAATCGCCATTTCCGTCTTCTCCTTCCCCGGCACTCCAAAATTCTTCGAGTCCGTGCTATTGTTCGATGCTCGGCGCATGAGAATGGACCGGCTTGTCCATCGTCCATTGGCCGATGTCGATTCAGACTCGCTGACTAGTACTCTCGCGTTCTTCCGTTCTGACTTCTACGTCACGGTGATTAGCCAGCCGTTTCGGTCGAAATGCCATGGACAGTCAAGTAAGTACTCCCTTCCTCCCAAAACGGCGATGAATAATGAAAGCGAGCGCGTGCTTGAACGTGGGTTGGCAGACGCAAGGCAGACGTCTGTTGGTTGCTGCGCGGGGCCTTTCGGCGTCTTTCTGTCGTATACGGTATACGGGACAAGGGGGGATATTCCCATCTATGGGCCCGTTCGTGAAAACTTCGTGAAAGGTCTGGAGTCTGCATACTTGACGCGCTTCTGGGATCTAGAACAGTTTGTGGGCCCTTATAACCCATTCGTACATACTACATCCATCTGTAGGGTATTCTGAGCCCTTTCCCTCTAGGCTTTGAGGGATTTGCAATCCAGCTTGCTTCCTCTGCCATTTACATTGATGTACATATAACTCAGAAGAGCGAATTTTTAGGAAGCCCGGCGCCTTCCCTATTCGATTAGGCGCCATGCTACTCTAATCAGTTTGTAATTTTGTATTGAGACTAGCCTAAACTTGGGTGCGGGTGCGGGTGTCGGCATTGCGACGACTCGGGCTCGCGGCGGCCTCCCTCTTTCTGCCCAGGTCTGCTCAGGTCAGGTGGTCAAAAGCAAGCCAAAACTCCTCAAATAAAATTGGAAAAGCCCCGCTCCTTCCCCCTTCTTCCAATTTCTCTTTCTCTTTCTTTCAATTTCTTTCCATGAAAGAACACCTCTCGATCGCGAACCGAGCGCGCTGCGCGAATTTGCAAAACCGTCAGGTCATTCACGAATCACGACGGTTCGCTCATCATTCCCATGCACTACACGCGCCGAGAACCCGAGATAGGCAGTTGCGGGGTAAGTGCTAAGTACCAAGGGATCCCTGCACAGACGGCTTGGCGTAATTAACGTAGTTGTCCGCCTTGGCGCGTTGCATACGTCCCGGCGCCGTGTGGCGCGTGCTGTTCGGGGTCGGGGTCGGGATGGGGGCCCGGATCGTTGATGAAGGATGAAGGGACAACGCGATTGGCAATTAAGTAGTGGTTGGCGGAGGTTCGGGAAGCGGGGATCGGGGTTGGATGGGGATTGATAAGGTGGGATGTACGGGATGGGTGTGCATTTGGAGGGGTTAGAGTTGGAAGGGAAGGGTGCGCGTTCTGAACGTGTTGCGTGCTGTTTGCCTTTGGGAGTTATTGGTGAAGTTGGTAAGTTAATAAACTTAGTCGATAGTCTGCATCAACGACCGCGAAGACGCTTGCTTGATTTAAAGCGCCCGCGACTGTTCTGGGAACGTTCTCGACCAGTGGCCGGCTGGACATTTGTTCGAGTCTGTGCGATTTGTTCGTTAACCCGGTATCGTTAACCGCCTTCGCTAGCGGCAAGCTAACTGGAATGATAAATGAAATGTTCGATGAATTGCGTGTATGTTATTTACGCACGAAACGGCGTATAAAGTCCAAAACATACGAGACCGGATGACAGCCTCAAGATCTCCTCAGTACAAGCTCTGCCATCGAGATTCCCGGACGTTGTTTAAACGTCAATGGCACTGCAATGGTTGGCGGAACATGGATCACTTGGACGCGCCTGTCATGATCAGACTCTGCGATGGGTTCTCGGGAGGATGAAGGGTGGCCGACCTCGAAGACAGAAGATCATTGGAATCTCGACAAAGCCTAGATATCGGAAGCGGAACGGGGACCTGCATGAACGGTTCGGAGGCGGGGTTTAGAACGTTGACAGAAGAAGCGCTCGAGATCTGCATCATAAGTTCATCATGCGTGCGGAGTGGTAGACATAGCCTTGACGAGGCTTTTCCGTGTTTCTCGAGCACCGCACCGACGGCGATATACCGCATGCGCGGGAAGTTATTCCCTCCTTCCTTCTCACAAACGGCGGGCGGGGGCAATGACACAATCATGACGGAAAGAAGACCGTCTTTTCTTTTTGTTCTCGAAGCAAGTTAACTCGGAAGAAGGATCAAAGAGACTAACGGGATTTGGGCTTTCGCATGTTGCTTCCAATATCATCGGGTGACAGACAGACAGTTGATTGGGCTAAATGCCAGCTCATGACCATTAGTGTCGTGGACACTGGGTGGGTATGTCGGATTTCCGCTCAAACATAACGACGACGCGACGAGGGTGCTGCTTTGTGAGATGTGTATGGTCGATTGCCGAGGATTGATGGGTAGGATAGATAAGATTAATTGCTGGGAGGCAGCGTTGTTTTCTTTCTCGTGATAGCTCACAGGAGGATCAAGACGTCAACGTTTCAACGACTGGCGAGGCGAGCACAGCCCTCTCCGAGCATGTGCGAGTGCCCAGGACCCCGTTTTTGAAAATACATCTGCCCCCGATTTTTTTAATTGGGCGTGAGCGCCCGTGAGTGACGTCACTGCCCATTTCGCTTCGATTTGATCTCCGCCGTTCATCTCGCACAAACAGGGCCCAATACTGTGCGTCACTGCGCGTGTTCCGGGCTGCTCGCAGGTGGCTGCTGGGCCTCCCGTGGCCTCTCAGCGGGAGTTGGAAGGCGTCCATGCGAAACGGGGGTTGGCAGGGGCGGGAAGGGGTTCATTTGTGCGGGTGCTTCTTTGATGATGGGATGCGAAAAGGGGAATTTGTGTGTTGTCAAGGGGCGTGGGACAGTGACGTCAGTTGATTTCGGAGGATTGACTCGGCTTGGTTGCACGTCGGTTTGCAGAACGCATTAAATAACTACAAAGAAGAAGGGCGTCATCTCTTTCTCGCTCGCTCTCTACCACCACCCGCACCATGGGAGGCGACCACAAGTGCCCCGTCTGCCAGGCCACCTTCACCCGGCCCCAGCATGTCGCCCGCCACATGCGCTCTCGTGAGTACCCGTGGGGGCAACTCCACCGCGATCCGCTCTCCAACGCTCCGCTCACTCCCAACCCCAGACACCGGCGACAGGCCCTACAAGTGCCAGTACTGTGGCGATCAATTCGCCAGGAGGTCTGTAGAGTCTCGGCTAGCCCGCCCCACCACCCACAACTTACCCCACTCCGCCCAGTGATCTTCTCTCGAGACATGTAAACAAGTGCCACGCCAGCGAAAAGCCCCTCCCTACCGGAACGCGCAGGAAGGGCACCGCGTCCGCGACGCGCGCGACGACCAGCAAACAGGCTTGCGACCAGTGTGTGCAGTCGAGCCTGCCGTGCGATGGATGTAATCCGTGCTGTGAGTGGACCCTCTTCCCCACCTCGCGATCGGTCATCATTTCCTAATCGAGAGATGCAGCGAAGTGCGTCCAGCGCAAGTGTCGCTGCACGTATGTCAAGTTCCACCGCCAGACCGCACCCTCCGGCCCCGGACACAATCTGCGCCCCGAGGTCCCGCCCCCCGGCGCGCTCCAAAGGCCGCTGCCGCCGTCCGGCGCACTCGCCGGGCCCTCGTCCTCCAGAATCCCGCTCTACCCGCAGCCCGAGGACGACTTTATCCTCGGCCCGCCCCCATCTGCCCTCCCGACGATGGCCGAGACACTCTACAACTCCAATTCCTTCTCCTTCCCTCCGCTGTACCCGCAATCTGGGTCGGGCGACGTATCGGGTGGGGAAGGCTCCGACTACGCGTCAAAATTCCGCGCACAGGCTGAACTTTACGGAACGGGCGGGCGCACGGGTTTGACCCCTGGCGGGATGTATGATCCTCGACCGGGATCGTCGACGTCATCCTCGTCGTGGCTCAGCGGCGGCTGGGAGGCGCAGGCGCACGACCCCCACGAAGCATATACGCAACAACACCACCATTCTTCACCAACACACTCGCAACCAAGACACGCAGCAGAGCTTATGCCTGCATCGTCCCATCATTCGTCTACGACCTCCTCGATGCACGGTAATCACTTCTATCCTAGCGTTAGATATACGTAGCGCTAAATCGAGCTTTTTTCTCCTCTTTTTTTCTATTATTATTGTCCATTGCCTCTCCAACACCATCGTCATCGCCGCCATCATGCATCGTCCCGCTCGTCACATCAATCATCATCATCATCAACATACCCCCTTCGTTCTTCGTATGCCCATTCTCGTTCGTTCTCATCTACGTTAAATGATACCCCACCCCTGTTTTCATTCCTCTTTCTATAGATAAACACCTGCAAGCAGAGCTTGCGCAGCAGCACCCTGGAAATGCAAATCAAAATCACTTCATGCAGAATCCTGTGTCTGTCTCGGTCCCTGTGGCCTACCCCGGTTACATGCAGCTTGCGTCGGCGTCGGCCGCAGCAGCACAGGGAGGATACAACCAGCACCACCAGCACCACCACCATCCCGGGGGTCCGTCGCAGTCTCAGCAACATACGCACGCCGGGAGTAACCACAGCAGCCGGCGTGGCTCGCTCGAGTATGGTGGGGCGGGGAGCGACCACTCCCACCACTCGCGCAGTGCGAGCGGGAGCGCGGGCGATGGTGCGAGCGTCGGCACGGGGAGCGTACCCTCGAGCGCGGCGTCGTCTGCTGTGCACCTGCCGCTTCGAGGCCATGGACACACGCACCCGCACCAGCATCCCCAGCAGCATCATGGAGGCTATGGTCCCCCAGGCGGTCCTTCTAGTAATGTAAACGTGAGTAGACGTTTCTTTGGTTGATTTAATTCACTTTTCTATTTCCTTTCCTTTCTTTCTTTGTACTTCGTACCCGTCCCTTTTTTCCTCCGTTCGTTCGTGGTATTTTTGGACCGTGGCGCAGTTCGTTTTCGCGGTTCGCGTTCGAGTGTGTGTGGGGGGGAAGGGGTTTAAAAAGGACGAGAGGAAGAGAGGAGGCTGTGAGGCTGGGCTGTCCTGGGGCTTGTATATGCGCATATATCCAACGATTTTTTTGGCGGCTTGTTGTTTGAAGTTTCGTGTGTTGTGTTGTGCTTCGTTCGTTCGCTTTTCTTGAGCCTTGCTTGGTCGATAACTTCCTTTCCGAGTTTCTCGGTTTTTGGGATGGGCGGGGTCATGACCAGTCCATCCGTTTTATTTTATTTTCTTGTTCTCGTCATCCGTCACTTGACATTCGGTCCCTTTCAACTTGCTTCCTTTGGGTTGTTTGGGCGAGTGGTGGAGGTTTTTGTCTTTAATTCGATTCATCTTCTTTCTTTCGTTCTTCGCCCGCCCGGGGCTGTCTGTTGATTCAACCCTCGGGGTTCGGGTCCCGGGCTTTTTCATTTCATTTTGCTTCACTTCATTTACTTAGATCGGCCTCCTACCCAAGCAAGGAGAGTCTGGACTTGGGCCTTAGGCGGTATAGCATTTGCATCCAACAGCTGCTCTGGCTCTGACAGCGAAGGTTGATCATCTTCATCGTTTTTTGCTGTGTTTGCGGTGTTATGTTATCTTCTTTTTTCAAATCTCTGCCGTGGTGCGAGGGATCTGGGGTGAATGATGGAGAGATCGCCGGATGTGTGGCGTTCGACTGACTCGAGGCGCTTTAATTATCTATTCACTCTTGTCCTTGAGCGCTGGGTCGGAGTCGGATTCGGCGTCCACCACGATTATTTTTGCGTGGGCAGGGTTCCCCAGAAACGCTAAACTCCAAAACCACGGCTTGGAGCTACGGAAGAAGGGTTTACGCTTCTTTTCTTATTTTTTTTTGCCTTTCGCTCTGTGTCAATGTTCTTCTCGCCTGCTTTTTTTTCTGACGTTCGACGGGCGCGCACTTTACGAACGAGTGGCCGCCTGACTTGCGGCCGATTGACCATACCTTTTTTATTTTTATTCTTGCGTTTGTTTTACGTTGCCTGCTGGATCCATCTTTGGACGGCACTGTTGTTCCATTTTTCGTTTTCCGGTTTGTGCGGTTTTCCTATCATCGGACACGGTCAAATGGGGGCTGGCTTATAGACCGGCGTCCGAGGGTGGACGTAATGGACTTTGGCGGTGGGATTATGCGCTTTTGGCACAATCCGAATCGCCAGTCCTCGACGGACCTTACTCAGAGTTTCATAGCTCTTATTACGGTTCTGTCAGGGTTTTTATCGTTCGCCTAAAAGCCACCCTTTCGTTCTATACTTTCCTTTCTTCTGGTCACTTCTCGCTTGGAATTGTTTCGTTGGTTATATGCGCATGTCCGAACCCGGTCTAGAAGCTGCAGGATGGAATTTCATCGGACGAGAACAAAGCCAAAGGTTGACTTTTGACAAGAGAGCGCGCTGGCGTGTATGTTTGGGTGGAAAAGGCCACGCTAGGCCTTATTGGTCTAGTGCGGTTGCGTTGCCTACGGAATTTGTCCGAGGTCGCATCTCTGCACATATCTCGTGCTCAGATGCTCCTAACATATCGCGTCCCTCTTAGCGCGTGTGTACGAGATGAGCACTGCTAGATGGTGCTCGCGTTGGGCATTGGACTCGGGTTCTGTCCTTTGTGTCTGATTGATTGCGTTTCGGGTCGACTTGGTTAGAAGCTCGGACGTGCACGAGCAGGGCTTCTAGCCTAGTCAATTTTTGGGTTTGTGCGATGGGAGATACGAGATGGATGGATGGGAAGAGTGTTTGAGTCTGGCGTCCTCTGGTGGGCAGATGCATTCGGACGGATGGACGGATTGAATTAGCCCGGTGGATGGGAAGAGTGTTTGAGTCTGGCGTCCTCTGGTGGGCAGATGCATTCGGACGGATGGACGGATTGAATTAGCCCGGTGGATGGGCTGGAAACAAGATGGAAGATACCCAGTCACAGCTAACGCAGATTGGAGCTGCGCTCGTGGCGGAGGCACGAGGCGAGAGCACTTTTGTTTTCGGGCAGGACGAGAAGCGCGCGAGGCTGTGAGCCTGCTTCGGGCTCCACACCCCATCTGTTTCCCCCATCCCATGCACCCACGCACCCCCGGAGGTCCTGGTGGGGTACTGTGGAGTACCACTCACTTCCCGTTCTCCTTTCTCTCCGTTTGTCTTCATTTTTGCCGGTTGCGGGATGCGTGTTTGTGGGGTAGAAGGAAGCACCCACGGGCCTGCGCCACTCTTATTACTCTAACTATCGTCATCGTCATCGACGATCGTTTTGGCTTCTTGGAGTGGGGACGATCGCCCTGTCGACTAGGCGGCTGGCGTTGGACCCCGGGGTTGAGCACGTCTTCGGTGCCGTAGTGCGGTTCCTATTTTTTTGACCCTTTTTCGTTGATTTTATCTTATATTTTCGTGTCGTGTTCCTAAGGATGGATTACTGATTTATTTTCCCTCCTTTTAGGCCCCGTACAACTACGTTGGGAACCTGCCGGATAGGACTCATACTGCTTCCACCTCGTCTACCTCGTCCTCCCAGCAACAAGGATACGACCGATACGCGCCGCACGATGAACGACAAGGTGCGCCTCTCCGATGCGGTGCCGCACCTGCTCGCCCAAGCCTGACACACCCTCACCAGAGTTCTCTTCTGCTTTCGGGCTCATGTCTCTCGACGATCCCAACGTTCTAGCCGGCCTCGCGAACGACGGACAGCCCTTCTTCTCCGACCCTTCCCAGTCCCATAACCAGCCCCAACAAATGCAGCAGGAAGGTCAGGCGCTTGGGCAGGAGATCATCCATGACCAGAGCGTGCTCATGTCGGATATAGGTGCGGACGTGGACACGCCCATGCCTATGAAGCGGAACTCGGGTCAGCTCCAGTTCCCGCCTCTGGTTGAACAGCAGCGCCCGTCGACGGCGGGAGGTATGCCGAGCTCTTCGATGCTCGGTATGGGTGGCATGGGTACCCCTTCGAAGGACGCCGACGCGCGCGAATTGAAAGAGTTCTGGAAGCAGTATATGCGTACGCCGTTGAGCGGCCCAGGACCTGCTGGTGTCGAGGGTGGAATGAACTTTCCCAATAATTCTAATGCTAGTCCGTCGAAGGGCACCCCGTTGGGATTCCGGAGGCAAAGGGTGGCGTCGCTCCCGAGCGCGAAGACCCCTATGCTCGAGGTGCACTCATTCATGCAAGGCGGCTATGGACAAAATCCGACTTACCAGCAACATCAACAACGCCAGCAAGGCTCGAGCAAGTTGGGACCCATGTCGTCGATGCGCACTACCCTTCATGGGAACGTGGAGGACCTCAGGTCCTACGAAGCCGCGGTTCTTGCCAGGAAGGCTCCCACTACTCTCAATATTCAGCTGCGCAGGCCCAATAAATCTCGAGCAAGTGCTAGCCCTCAGACTCACTTCGCCCCAAGGCCAGCAAGCGCCGTCGACTCTCCCAACCCACCCACTTCCTCCCTTGCCCACGCCTTTGGTGGAAATCAGTCAAGCCCAGCTCCTCCCAGTAAACATCCTCCTAACTCTGCACCCGTTGGTCGTGTCGCCTTCGTTGCCAAGTCGGAAGACTCCTCAAGCCCAGGTCTCTCCTCGCGCCAGTCATCTACCGACCCAGACGGACACTCGGGTCAGTCCGAGGGCGAATCGCTACGCCCATCATTTAAGCGCCTTCCATCTCAGACGCTGGGCCCCGCGCACGCGAAGCGCGCGTTCCATGGATACACCGATGATGTCGAAGATCGGGAGAGGGCTGCGGGGTGGGGACCCGGGGTACCCGATAGCGCACCAGTAGAGAGTGGTGCTGGGATGAGTCCGAAGGTCGGTGGGATGGCTGGGATGAGCCATCCGGATCGGGTCGTCGCGAGCATCGCGGAGAGGAGAAGGAGAAGGATGAGCGCGCCGTCGACGAGCATCCCGCCGAATTTTGACCTCAGCCAAGGGCAATCTCAGGACCAAGATATGAACATAGAAAGGTCTACGAATCAGGATGTTTCGGCTTTGGGGTACGCCCCTGCTGGGCAAGGAGGAGGTTGATTGTAGAGTAAGATTTCTTGCTTCTCGGACATCCCTTCCCCACCTCTCTGCTTCTTTCTCCTTCGTCTTCATCGACATCTTCCACTAATACATATATAACGCCGGACAGTCTTCTGCCGTCGTTACATACCACTTACTGTCGCAACGCCATCTTTTTCGTCTTTCTTCGCCTGCTATTCGTCTCCGTCTTGAACTTAGATTTTGATAGGTCCGATTGGGCCCATTCATGTAGCTTTCTCAACGATTCCTGTTCTCCCTTTGGATGTAGCTCTGTTGACGGATTTGTAGCGTTTTATGTAGCTCCGTACGACTACATTAGTGGCAAACGAGATCGTTCGTAATGATTCCTTGCCTTCTTTCCCCCGTTGTAGTTTCAATTTATGTATTCCTGACGTTACTTGGACCTAGCTGAATATAGTGTATCCTTAGTCTCTCCATTTTTAGGGTGCAGAGAGCATTCCGAGGACTACACAAATATGAGTCATGAGAAGAGCTGATGTATATCGTAAATAACGAGAGATTGCCCGTCATGAATGCATGAAGAAAATCGACACAAATAGATATCAGACAGTTGCATCATTGTTTCGTACTTTTTGAAGGTCTTCTGCTCGTCAGTTCGCTACTATCCCAGAAGGAGGCTGAAAGAGACGGCCTCCTCGAAGCAGCTAAGTCGCTTTTCTATGATGACCCCGGAGTATGGCCGCTACAGTATAGCTCCTTTTATTTAGGTCATCTTCCTTGCCTCGAGAGATGGATCAACGAGAAAACTCTCCAAGGCGAAGTTGCCTCAAAACACAAATAGCATCTGAATGGCACATCATCATGCAATGTATTAGGCTCGCCGGACGAATATTCGGAGATTATCAACGTCGAATGGCCGTAGCAAACTACTCCAAGAAGAAATCCTTCACATCCTCTTGACTCTGACTTGATTATTATTTAACTGGTCCATCGAGGTTAATTTATTAGTTGACCTTAGTCTTTCGTAGGCGTAGATGGATTTCTCATTGTAACAATTGTAACAAGGTCATTCCGCCCTCAGTCGTCTCATCCGAAGCAGCTCAACATTCGACTCTTGACTTCGGAATGAAGGTGAAAAGAAATAAATAAATACGTAAGAAGGAATATACAGGAAAAAAATTGCAATGTGTTTAGCTATAGGCCCATATCTTATCCAAGCACTAATAGCTCTCGAGCGATCGACCTCAATCAGAAGTATAAGTGTTGTCCTCACTCCCACAGCCACTAAGGGTTAGTTCGAGACCTCCGATGCTTCGAAGGGACGAGGCGACGCTATGGCCGTGGATGCTTTCGCGCAGGACGAGGTCTCGGCGACGCTGCGACTTCCGAGGTTAATGCGACGCCCAGGATTTCTCACCGCGGCATCGAAGCGCTAGAGGCTGATTGTCTAAGGGGAGAAGCCGCGTCCAGGCTATGAGTAGCACTCGACCGGCATCTGAGCACAGGAGATAGAGCCTGCGCAGGCTCTATTGAGTCTATTCGTCTTTCGAAGGTGAACAGGTCCCCTGCGGGAAAAAAGTGATTCTTGAAATAAAGCACATTGGAAATCAGTATCAGAATAGGACAAGACGAACTTTACTCGTGGTATAAAAAACTACATGATATGGAATTATTGGACCTTATGGGCAGATTAAAATACAAGGCTATGGTCGCCTAACGAGCCTGCCTACCCCCCTCAGTCATGAAGATAATCGACATCCACCACTCCGCGTTCAATCAACATAGGGAGCAGGGACCCTCCCCTAAGCGACATGTCGCACCTTGCCTTCACGTTTGAGACGACAGCTTCGGTAGGTAATCCACAAATGGTAATCTTTACCAAGTTTAGCTTCTTCCACCTTCCCGCAGTATTTGCCAGCGCGAGCTCGGCATCCCAGGCGCGCCACAGACCGCGACACTCGGTATCATGCATAATGGCGTCTAGAATTGAGGCTGAGAGCTCAAGACGCGTCCCCGCGTCCAGGATAGAGGACGAAATTTCCGGTGGTCCATGGGGATTCTCGAGATGGATGTCGACAGAGACCTCTTCGATGTGGGTAGCCAACCCGGTGGGGACCTGGGAGAAGAAGTAGGCGATCCACGAGAATGGTGGTATATTATTGGCACTGCCAGTGGACCGCTTGTCCGCAGTAGATTTTAAGAGTTGCTCCGCAGTTATTGCCAGAGAAACGTGGCGGACGTGTGAGGTCCTCCCGGCTGGAGGAGAAGGGACAATAAGTTTCGAAAGACGCTTCGCGAACTCCGAATTTTCGAAGGTGGTAGTCGAGGAACGAATAGAGGCAACGCTAAAGTCTTTGCTTTCCTGCCTGGACTTTCGCCCTTTGTTGCCTCCTAGAATCGCGGTCGAGGCGCCAGAGGGAGTGCACTTGGTGTCAAGGTTCATTATGTCGATGGTGATGGAATGAAGACGGTCGGTGAGCTTGATCGATTTGGTCGCCGCGGGAATGGCGTCCCAAGTTTTGAGGAACACATAGATGTACTCTTCTTGATTTTTGTCGGAGCGAGGGTCGAACATGCTTCTGGTTTTCAGGTGGGGCAATATGGGAAAATGAGGGATTCTCGTCTCTTGTCATACCCTCGCTTATACGGGAAAAGCGACAAAGCACCAGTTTATCCTTCTTTGTGGGCGAAGGCGTCACTTCATGGCCACTTCGCGGCCACTTGGTTGGGGCCGTTCGGCGGGGGGCCAAAGCGTTCGCGCCAAGTTCGCGCATGACCAACTTTAGGCGCGGAAGAAACATTGGCGATTACAGCCGGAGGAGTGTGCTCCTCAAGGATCCTTGTATCGTAATATGAGGGGTTGTATACTATATAGGTTAGATATTCCTTCTTGTCTTTATTTAATGAAGCCTCCCGGTTTAAGTAGAGTATTGTTGGCTCGGCTCGGCGGACCGCCTGCCGGTGGCGAGGAGAGTCACGATGTCACTATCGCCTCGACTCACTGCAAGTTGGTATATCAAATGGTAGAACCTGGTGATAGACCGATGGGAAACTTGATGTTTAATTTCTCCTCCTGTTCATCCGGCTCTCCTGAACCCCAATGGCGACGGCTGGTTGTCCTCTCTTCTCCCTGTTTTATCTACGATCCACTTACGCACACACCTGCAGACGGGGTACCCCACTGGCTGGACTCTGCGACCCAAAAGCGATCTATCAGGACATTCGTAGGGTCGATCCAGGATGTCACCCGTTCAAACCAATTGTTGACGCCGAGCATCATGTACTTGATCGTTGGACGCTCATCCGACGCCTGGGATGGAAGGTACGGACTACCATTATTACCCCCTCCAGCTTCGACTAAGAAGACTTCCTCGATGTCAGAACAACCCAAGCTAAATTCGAGTTCAACTGTGCGATGGAACTGTCTGTCAGCCTAAGAGACCCATCCTAGCCGGAATATTCGGAGCATCGTGAGGAAAAGCTGGACATCAATTAGATTTGAGAGTGCAGAACCGGGAGGGTAATCCGTGAGTTCTCTGAAGTTCGCTTTGATGCATTTCTCAAGCGAAGTGGCTTAGTTCGCGGAATCTGAGCGCGATATAGAACGAGACACGGCACCCTAACTGCTAGGTATTCCTCTCAAACCACACCCTTGGCCCCTCCTTTTGCATACGTGGATGGTCGCGCTTCGTCACGTGATCTAACCAGAACAATACGAGGAACTCAAAAACAACAATAATTCCCTGTCGCCACGTCCATCGAGTTCTGCTTTCCGATTTATTCTCCTCGGTTGTCTTGCCTCCATTTTGACAATTGAATGGCCGTCAATGTCGACCACGCTGAACAAAAGGGTTGCTCGACCAACCTCAGCACCGACTCTATAAAAGATAGCATCCTCACAAAGCCCCCCATCGCAAAATGGACTACTACCTCTTGCCCTACCGCGGAATCACCGCGTTCTTTCTCAAATTCCCTTCCATCAAGGACTTCTTCAACAACTACAGGCCCTATGTTCGCCACCTTCCCGTGTCGAAGCCTCGTCGGCAGAAGAAGGCCGCTGCCCCAATCACCTGGAACAATAACCCGTCTCGCCTCGCCCGCATCATGAACAAGGGTACCTTCGTCATGTCCGACTGGAGCAACGGCGGCAACGTCGTTCATCAGGGATACGACTCGTACGACGTTCCACAAGGATCCGTCCTCTTTGGCAACGATCCTATCGCGCCACCGGACCCCCGCACCTACGAGCTTGCCTTATCCCCAGCTCGTTATGTCCCCAAGAAGTCGCAGAGCGACTCTCTTCTCTATTTCACCTCCGACGTTCCTCAAGATTCTCTGCTCTTCCAAGTCGGACCCCCAGGTGGGACGCTCGACATACCGATTCGCCCCAAGGCTGGCGAGGGCAGGCCGTCATTCCTGGACTGGAACAATGTTCGTCGGCTTGCGGCTGCCTTCTACGAGAAACAAGTTGGCGCGCGTACCAACACGCTCGACATCACCTGGGAAGAGAACCAGGTCGATCGAGCTGGATGGAGGGGCAGATACGTGGTGAAGGAGCTCTTCCGTTACTTGAACGCCAACTACGTCTCGGACGGCCGTGATGCGTACCCGTTGACCGCCTCCTTCGCGTGCATGCACTTTACTGTCCCAGAGACGGTTAGAGACCTTACTACACGCGACCCGTTGGGTAACCCCACTGAGGAGAACGACTTCATCGAATTGCAGCATGCATTGGGACTCAAGGAGCTCTACTGGAATGGCGACTTCGCTCTCCTCGCCGCCAAATTCATTAATATCCCCTTCCACCAACTCTCTACCCTCTCTATCACGGGATGTGTCCTCTCAACCAACGACGCTATTGCAATATTGCATTCCTGCCCAGACCTTACACGAGCCGAGCTTGGGACCGTGGACAGTGTAGCAGCGTCCGTTCGCAATGTGTCCTTGAAGCCCAGTGCGTATCGCCTAGAGAAAATGGGGCTCTTGACGGACCTGAAAATGACGTCCAACGATCCCGTAAACCCGATTTTCGATCGCCTGGGGCTCCATGGGCTATGCACCCTGACTTTAATTCTCAAGGATGGAAGGAGCATCTTCCAAGCTCTGGACGGTATTCACCCGTACGTTACCCTGAATGTTACTGGACCCCTGCCTCCATCTCAGAAGAAAGCGCTTACGAGCAAGTTCGAAAAGGTACAATTCATGTAATTCAGATAGTCATTGTTGCTATATTCCGGTGTACTTCTTCGCAAGAATCTATTTGTGGTCCCAAAATTCAGCAAAGAAGGCCTCGTCAAGAGGACCGTATTCTCCATCTGTAGTCAGGATCGTAAATCGTCTCAACAACGGCAAGCGGGAAGAAATCATTTCTGATAACTTCCCATCAGGCGTGTTGCTGATTCCACTCAAGTGCAATTGGTGGAGGTTGGGAAGGAATGTATGCGGACGTGCTGGCATCTTCTCCAAGAGCAAGTCAGTCGACTTCGTCGAGAGGTTCGCTCCAAGTTCAAGAAAAGAGAGACCCTGTAACTCTCCTGCTTCAAAATACACATTTGAGTCAGCTTCTGTCATTTTGCGGTCGACGATCTTGAGTTTCCGCAAGCGACATTCGGAGCGTTGCAACAGATTCTGTATTGCAGGGTAACGGGGCTCGGTCTCCCCATCGAGGAAGTGGAAGGACAGGAGCAATTCCTCCAACGACGGAAGAACTAGTTGGGAGAAGAGTTTCGTCAACGAAAGGCCCACAGAAAGTTGCAAAGTGCGGAGGTCTTTGAGAGTAACCGGGAATGACGCCGCGGGAGGGATTGAATGCGGAATTGCTGGTCGCGAGGGTACAACGTCAGCACGAAGATTGCAGAGGTTCGGAAGTAGGGACATAAGACTGAGAAGGTCCTCTGGGGATAGGAAGAAGAGGATTTCGACTGAGGTAAGCTGGCCATAAGGCGTATTTTGAGGTAGGATATCGGGGCGGTCAGCGAAGTAGGATACGTTCTGAAGCTTTGGGGAAGAGTTGAAGAATGCCCATATCTCGTCGTGGTACGGGAATTGCCACAATGGATGGAAGAACTCGTGTTGGCGAAAGTCGTTGGAGAAAGGGTGCGACGTCCTGAATTTGACGAATTCAAGCTGTTTGCATGGCGGTGCCTCCCGACCCAGCCGTCCAATCGCCGCGACGAGGTCGGGAGGTAAGCAGAAATCAATTCTTCTCCACTTGTCCGCGCGCGAGTAGAAGGCGCGGACGATGTTCCAGTCGTGTTGAGGTCTCTGTCATCGATCCCATCTTCTAGAGTGAGATTCAACGGCTGGTCGGCTGATCGTTCGAGCCAGAGGTGGGTGCGGTAGAGTTGGGACTTGGCAGGGTTGCGAATGAAAATGGTGGACCAGAGGGTTGGAAGATTGAGCGCGACGCTCCTCCAATGTGAGCACACTTGACCGAGTATCGTCGGATCTGCGCTCGAGTGGCGAGAAACCAGGGGCCTGGTGGGGTTTTCGATCCGCGAGATCGTTGGGTCGTCAACGAACTTGGTAAATACTTCCCAGAGGATCTCGACGGGGATTTTGGAGATGGGTGGGTTCGAATCGACGTCATGGAGGTTCACGACGTCGAGCGCAGACGTTTTCTGAGGCATTTTCTGAGGCGCGGAGAGGTGGAGAGTTCGGAACCCGACAGACAATTCATCCAGTTTCGCGAAGCCTGCCATATGAAGGATGAATATCCCGAGAAACGGCGAGAACAGTGAAAATGACATACGCCAGGACGTTTCCTGTGTATATAGTCCGGAGATTTGAGTGGTCATTCGGAAGGAAGAAACACTGCTGAATGATTGACGTCGTTTGAGTCTCGCATAGCTGCCTGAACAAACGAGGCTCACGTACCAAAGTGAAGGGGAAGGAGGAAAAAGGGGGGAAAGGCTATGTCGTATCTTATGTATTCAGATACAAGGTCGCTGCAGAGCCTTTGCTTCCGTTGTCCCTTGTTCTGTTGAAGGTTTGGTGAACGTCGGCGAAAAACAAGGTAGTGAGGATGAGCCGGGCCGAAGTTCCGGCCTGCCTGTCAACCATTGTACGGCGGTGATTTCAGTGCGACCCGAGCTAACGATTAATCGAGGAGGTTAAACCTTCTCTCAACGATGAGTTTGCGCGAAGAAAGAGGAGATGATGCCGCAAACTTGCCCGAATATCCTTCGAGGTCAGCAAGTCCGGCGACGGGTTGATCCAGGTGCAGAAGCCGTCGAGTGAAGATCAGGCGGCGATGGTCCATTCCAAGCCGCTGGATCTGCACGTTGAGCGCGACGTCATCGAGAACCTCATAAACGCCTACTTTACCGATGTGGCGCCTATTCTCCCCATCGTTACCGAGGCCGAGTTTCTTGCGACTCCGAGTCTCTTTCCGCCCCAGAGGTATGTAAGTGCCACCTTCTCTTGCCCCAATGGACTTTCGAGGACCATTGGGATGCCCCGACACTGGGATGCCTCAATGGGCAAGAACCATTAGGATGCCTCGATAGGTGGAAACTATCGGGACGCCTCGAGAGGCTTGTACCCTCGAGATGTTTCAACAGGCAGTGGATGGTCCTTTCGTCTTTCAACGAGGCACTCGCCGCGTCAGCTGAAGCAATTGTCGACGGTCGCTCCACACCCATGGAGAGACCCATCGCTGCGGCGACATCCTCGATGCCTAGTATCAAGATGCCTTGCCTGGCCACGCGGCCGCGGCTGTTGAGGTGTCTCGGCTGACGGCAGGCTTCATAGAGGAAAACAGCGCTCAGTTTTTCTGGCTGAATGCCAGCCACCTTCACCGACATCAGCAGCGACGACGAAGCACTTCGCCTGAGCACGCCCAATCGGGCGAAACGGTGGCTATTTCGCATCCCCCCTATTTCCCGGTCTCTCAGTTACGGCCGTTCCGGAAAATTATACATTTTCTGGAATGGCTGTAAGTAAGATTTTGACTTGAGGGTCCGGAGTCCACTCCTGACAAAGACTGGGTGTGCAGCCTGCGGCTGCCTTCCTTTGCCATCTACTTCAACACGGTTAGCTACATACCCGGGCCGTGTCTGGGATTATCCCAGTTATTATCATTTCCGCACTTTCTCCTGAGACCGTGAGTCTTCTTGGCTGTCATGGCTGTCCTGGATGACGATGAGTTTGTGTCAGTGGTTGGGAGAACCCACCCTGACCCCCATGTGGTTTTAGTCGTATGTCCTACCTGCATTGGCATAAGGCCACGCAGGTCGGGGATGTGTCCTCTGATAGTGGTTGGAGTTACACAGCGGTGAGGGAGTTGGTGTCCCAAGGTGTACTAGAAAATACTTAGTTGTAGCTTGTATCTCTGAGTACACTGCGGGCCGGTCGTTCCTCATTGGGACCTCGCCGGTAATCAATATTCCTTCCTTCCTTCCGTCGGCGCTTGAGCATCAAAAAGACCCCAAACAAGGCCGCTAAGGTTTTTCGATTCGGCATGACCTTCGATCGTGGACAAACTAGGTAAATATCTCCGAGAAAAGCTAGGGGCAAGCCCCTAGCTTTTCAGAGGATAAGATAAGGGAAGTGCGACTCCCAAATATACGGATTTTGCCGCCGCGCATTTGCCACACACGGGCAAATCCCGAGCAAAGCAAAGTTCTCCTCCACTCGTCCTCCTCTCTTCCCTTGTCCTCGTTGTAACTTGTCGTTGAGGTTTTTCGCATCTGTTTCTTTTTTTTCGACCCACCCTCCATCACCCTTCAGTGTCTGGGGCAGCTGGCTGGTTCGGGCTTCCCCGTCCGGTTCGCTTTTCGGCCCATTCGAGCTCCCCCAGACGCTCAGCCCTGCGCGATCTCTGGGATTTCGGCTCTGGCCTTTCGAGGCCTCTGCCATTTTCGAGTCTTCGAGTCGGGATTACGTAATCCCTCCTCGCCCGAAATCCCAGCGCTCCGCGCGGGTCCAGGCACCCCCACGAAAGTTGTGTACCACTGTTTTAGTGGTCCACACTTTCGCATCCTCGTCTCATCCTCATCTCACAGCTCCTCTTATATTTGATTCAAGCACTCCCGACTATCTTATTTCCAGGCGAACTCGACAGTTTCGAATTGAAGCTCTGAGGGATTCTAAGATCAAGAGCAGGAGGTCTTGGAAGTGCAAAGTTCGAAAATTGACAATCGATTGGTTGGGTTTCGCCGTCGCTACGCCGAGATCAAGGGTGGATCCAGATGCCTTGGACCAACGATGAAACAGCAGATGCCAGGAGATGTCCTGTGGATCGGATTGCGCGGAAATTAGGAGGGTCGAGAATCTGGTGCATACTGAGTCTCCCGTAGCTAAATGGATAGATCTAACTCACGTATACGGTTGACGGCTGGGCTCAGGTCTATATTTCAATAGGGCGACGCACGACGGGCCTTCTCCGGGGTCCTTGCCAGATGGCAGGTGTGCGTTCGTGACGGCGCTTGTCACGGCGGCTAATATCCGCCCTCATTTAGCCCTCATAACATGAGTTGTTCATGGAAAATATAGGATCGTGCATATGTCCCTTTGTTCTCTCTTTGTAAAGATTCAATAAAGGTTTTTTTTCTGCCTTATGTTTTGGGTAATGTTTTGGGGTGTATCAGAACAGCAGTTGCGATCACTTTAAACATTAAATTTCACCTGTAAATCTCAGTGTTTCGAGCGCTTATTTAGCTGTCCAGGTCCTCTAGCTCAAGACCTCACCATCTTCCCATCACACATAGTAGAGGTTTGCAAGTCTCTCTCGCTAGGTGGATCAGCCCGCCAATATGTCCGGGAACCCAATAAAATTAAGTGCTAGTGCTACCCATCGGCTTGACTTGTATGATAGCCATCTAGAGGCTGAGCACTGAATGTTGAGGTTTTGTAGATATCGGTAAATGCCTACGTACGGTCTGACCAAGACTGCTGAAACTGGTGTGCGCAGCTATGAGCATCATCCCAGATCGTCTCAAACTTCTTTTAAAATACATTACACATTATTAATTAGTGTCACGCTCTCGCAACTAAATATAGGACGCGGTGCCATGTACCCCTGATACCACTCCTTCTCTTATGTAAAACAGCCCTCTCCATCGACTGAGCTCAGGTCTGGTTTGTCTCTCCCTGGCTTGTTCACGGTGAGTTTTGTACCTATATGTTATTGAGATCTTCTGTACCATCTATATATCGACCAAAAAGTAGGAGGGATGCACACCTAATGGGCAAAACCTGAGCAAACCTGACGCGATCATCGTCTGACATAGACCTGAGCCCAGCCGTCAACCGTACACGTACTACCGGGAAGGAGTTAGGATTGATGCAAGCTGCTGGGTTAGGCTCCTCTATCTTATCGAACTTAATGACAGTCAATGAACGACGACGGTTGGGCCCTAATGCAACCCCAACCTAAAAACCAGGCAAAGGGCGAGCTTTCAAGGACCCACGAAGGCGTTTCGGATGGCGTTTCGGGAGGCGGTGATATACATAGAAGCTCAAGTAGCTTTATTAAAGACTTGCATCAGAGAACATGATACAGAGAGAAAGTACAGCCGCTCTTGCGGGTCCTGCTACCTATCTATTGCGTAGCCGAAGCGGGACCTCGGTTAGATCGCAGCAACATGGACGTGGGTCAAAGAAATTTGACCGTCGTTGACCGTCAATTGACCTTGACATTGACTTTGGCATATTGACCGTCCAACACTGGATGTGAGTCATGAGAAGGTCGAAGCACTCATTTTGGGAACTTCTTCATACTGTAAATAACGAGAGACTTCCATCGTGAATGCATGAGGGAAATCGACACAAATAGATATAAGACAGTTGCTGAGTTGCATCATGGTTTCGTACTTCTTCAAGTTCTTCTGCTCGAGGTCAGTTCGTGATTTCAGGACTGACTACTTCTGCTCGAGGTGACCGCGATTCACGAAGGGCAGTCCCTGTGCACATTCCGAAGATGAACTGGCCGTTCCCTCAGACACAATTGTTGTCAGCCATAAAAATTTTACTTTGGACGACGTCTCAAGCTCAAGATACGTGCCTATTATTGCTTTAGGCTTTCACTAAAGAAGGTTGGAGGTTGTGGCAGGCCCGCCAAGCCGATAGGCCGAGCGTGCCAAGTCCAACATTCTTGGCTCTCGCCACCACAAGCCAGCCACAAGCCGAAACGTAAAGATGGTCGACGTTGATACCCACGACGACGACTTTTCTTGTCTTTCTCCAATTTTTGAGCGCACTTCGACATGGTTCGACTTGCTCTGGTCGCCGCTATCCTGGCATGGACGGTCTACCCGGCCATTGGGGGACCACCCTTGAATGTATCATTCCCTCCGCAGCCGCCAGCAGACGCTCTCGCCAACATCATTAACGACAACTACCTCGGGATTTCGTACGAGCTCAGTTCATTTGACACGCTATGTGTGTCTTTTTCGTGTTTCTCAGCTGCAAATACGTATCTGACTGGGGTTCGTTTTCGCAGGGGGTCAGTCCGTAAACAGACAACCCACGGCCATGCAAAACTATATGAGCAACATTGCTGCGCGTATGTCACTGCCTTTGAATATTAGGATAGGAGGAAACGGCATGGATGGGTACGTACCGTGGCTCCTTCGAAGCACTTTGCATTCGCTGACCGGGTAGCATAGGTCCACCTATGTGCCGACCCAGACGACCATCATTGAGCACACCGACCCTAATGCATACTTCAACGACATACCTGTGAACTTTGGCCCAGGTTTCTTCGACATATTGAACGGAATGGCGGACAAAGTTGGACCGATGCGTTTTACGATTGGTTTGAGCATGAGGTTTCCCGAGGACTTGACTAACGTCGCTACACTCGGCGTCGCTGCTCGCGAGAAGTTAGGAGACAGGCTAGAGGCGCTAATGCTGGGAAATGTGAGTCATTACGCTCTGAACGACGTGCTGAATCTGAATGAGCGTCTCTTAGGAACCAGACCTTTATGCTGGACATGGCGAAAAAGAAACGTATGACATTGAAACCTATGTATGTTTTCGCGAGATTCCTTTGTCTCTTTCTCATGCTCTGCCAGATCACTGAAATTGGTTCGGCCCTCGACGCGTTAGAGCAAGCCGGTGCTATCACAGATGTGCCAATCGTTGGAGGACCAACTATCTGCTGCGGATGGTGAGACAATTTGACACTTTCGCTATTGCTCATCTCCTGATGACTTTGCAGGAAACTCAAGGACATCCTAGACGCTGGTTTAGACAGGTATCCCCAGTACAAGTTCTATTCGTTCGTATTTCTACCTCTCGTCTGTATCGCCAATGGCTGACCGTTATTCAGGGTCCAAAGATACCCGAACCATGCATGTGGCGGCGTAAATGCGAAGAATACGAACATAACTTACTACGTCACCCATTCCAATTGTAAGTCGGTTGCTTTACCCTCCTAACCCCTTCTGACTCCTTCGGCTTCGGACACTCCTCGACAGTGGAGGACTATCTCAATTGGCAACGGGATGGAATACTGCGTGCACAGGAAATCGGTATTCCGGTGATCATGTCAGAATATAACAACATTGCTTGTGGAGGAACCAACATATCGTCGACGGTGAGCACCCTTCCGTGAATATAGAACCAGAATATTTATGTTGTTGTAGTTCGCAATGTCCCTCTGGTCTGTCGATGTTGGTCTGAAGGCTGCCACCATGAACTACAGCTCCATCTATATCCACACGCGAGAGTTCAACATTCAATACAACCTCTTCGACCCACCGACCCCGGAGACGGGTACCGAGCCTGGGTGGCGCACTGGCTCGCCTTACTACGGCGCCCTCTTCCTCTCCGAAATTACCTCTCCGGGTGGCAGCGTAGTTGTCGACCTCAACCTCAACAACTCGATGACCTCGCCAAACGCCACTGCCGCCGCCTACGCCATCTACGACAACGCCGGTACGACTCGCGGAAAACTGGCTCTCATCAACTACGCCGAGGAGCCGCAGGAGTTCCGTCTTCCGTCCGGGATTGCGAGTGGGCTCGAATACCGACTCCTCGAAGCCCCAAGCGTTCTCGAGAGAACCAATATCTCATGGGCCGGCCAGACCGTAGGCGACAACGGCAACCTCGAAGGTGACCAGCATACCATCGAGATGAACTGTGAAGACGGCTGCCGATTGATCCTGCCAGGCCCTAGTGCAGCTCTGGTCGTTCTGGATGATGGTGCCAAGCTCTTCAAGGGCAATTCGACGATTGCGTCCATTGGTGGATATATTTCGGCGGCTAAAACGAACGGACCCCTCGTGGAGGCTTCAACTGTCCTCCTCGCAGGAGCCATATTCACATTGTTCTTCTACTAACTTATCATCTGTTTAAAGAATACCCTTTCAATATTATTCACTTGGCGTTTGCTGCAAAGGTGGTTGCGGTGCTTTTTCAACGAACATTAACAGAAGTAGATCCGGACACGGATGCTTGTTCTAACACATCCGTCGCGTTTTGCTCCGTCGAAGCTTGCATCCGTTCAGGATCAAGAAGAAATAAGGAGCTCAGAGTGGGTTTTCAGTTTTGGCGACATGTGTATCACGAATGCTAACCTCTCCCGTCGTCAGGTCTCTTCCAGACATTTTCCGAGGTTAATTTCTCAAAGGTGCACGCGTCCTACGCGGGTGCGGTGTACCGCTCGCCGAGTGAACAAACTGGGTCGATGGTTGTGAAGCTAGCGCGAGAACGTGTCTCATTCGGACTATTTTCGCTATACAGACCGCTGGCTTCTGCTTCTTTGCGTCATCTACTTTCTCCAGGTCTTCTCAAAGCGTCAAAATATCTAGTCCGGTGTCAGGAAATAAGGCTCGCGTGAGTCTATCACGCGGCTTTGTACGCTGTGCCTAGAGCAGAAAACCCTCACTATACGCCGGACCGCCTCAGCGTTACGGATGTAAGGCAGAATTTAAAAGCCTCGCTTGAGGGCTTCATAATGTAGGACTCCCCATCTGCTTCTCTGAAGATGTTCAAGTCTCTGTTGTTCACTGCTATTATCTCCGCCGTCGTCACTACCGTGTACGGGCATGGTTATGTCCAGGAAATTGTTTCTGGATCGGCCAAGTATACAGGTTACCTGCCGTACCAGGACCCATACATGAACCCAGCACCTCAACGCATCGTTCGCAAAATACCCGGAAACGGTGAGTTCTGCTTTTCACCATGTCAGTCGCCCTTGCTTATGCTTGTAATTCCGTCTCATAGGCCCTGTGGAGGACTTGTCCCTGATCGAGTACTTTTTTGCTTGCTTTCGATTAGGTGATGGCTAATTTCTATTCTAGTGTCCAATGCAACGGATGGTCCCAGGGTGGCGTCGTTGGCTCTGCCCCTGCCCCGATCTTCGCGACTTTCGCTGCCGGTTCTTCAGTATCCTTGAACTGGACAACCTGGCCTGACAGCCACGTCGTAAGGGCCTTTTTTGCTATCTAGACGGAAAACAGCACTCAGAACACACTACCGTCAGGGCCCTGTAATCACCTACATGGCTCGCGCTCCAAGCGATATCACCAAGTGGAATCCCGGTAACTCGTGAGTCTTCGTTTCCTTTCCCTGCATCTTTTGGCGTCGTGATGTTCTTCTCTGTATCTGTTAGTGCGGTCTGGTTCAAGGTTGCAGAGAGCGGCAAGACGTCCGATGGCAAATGGGCAGCTTCCGACCTCCTTTACGCCTCAAACCACATCTACACTTTCAGGATCCCACCCAGGCTCCAGCCCGGCCAATATATTATTCGACACGAAATGTAAGTTTTGCTGTCCTGACTCTGGCGTGATTACTCGTTGACGAGACGTTCACAGTATCGCGCTTCACTCTGGTATGCCGTCAATGAATGTTCGCGGAAGAAAATTAACATCTACATTTCAGCTTACAGCTACCCTGGAGCTCAAGTTTACCCCAGTTGCATCCAAGTACAGGTGACCGGTAGTGGGACTGCGTTGCCCACTTCCTTCGTCTCCTTCCCCGGTGCGTATTCTGGAAGTACTCCTGGGATTGTATTCGACGTGTATCAAAGTAAGCGCCTTCACTTAAAAGTAATCTTGTTGCTGGTTGCTAATTTCTTTCCTATAGATAAAGGCGTAAGTCAAACAGGTTGATCATCGTCGCTCTCTCGCTCACGAGTTCATACCTATCGGCACTTGAGATCAGGCGTATCCTATTCCAGGGCCTGCTGTGTGAGTGGTCTGTTTTCGATATTCGCCTGGCTGCGACTCATTTATTCTCTAGGTGGACCGGAGGAAACTAGCTCTTCGAGCTCTATGGGCACCAACCATTTGTTCGTCCTGTATAGAAGATATATTTACTCCAGGAGCATCTTTTTCGGGACACAGATTCGATGACTGCGGTGCTACGTGTGATACATGACTGGTGAGGCCTTGAGGAACGATTCCAGACTTCTCTGCTGCTCCATCTAAAGCGTGATATAAGGTCGACCAAACTGTTTAAGCGCTCCGACGGCTTTCGACCTAGGGCTTACATCGTTTAGAGTAATATACCCAAATGGTGGAACGAGCCCTGCAGCTTATAGCATCATTGATATTGTAGACATGACTTAGGGCGCCTGTTTACTAGCATTTTCCACGACGACTTGTCTGCTTCTTGATTTCAATTCGTAAATAGGTAGTCATGAAGGCAGGACAGGCATACAGGAAACAAATAGTTGTTCCCTATTGGTACGTATGAGCAGAAAAAACTTAACTATAACTGTGAACCCCGGAATATAACGACTAACAGTAAGGCTGGACTCTGAGGAGTACTGCGGCAAGTCACTGAGTCCACAGGCCTCTACAAGAAGGCTTGAAATAACGAAAGCGGGAACATGAAGTATATGGGATGGGATGTATTTCTGGCAGGCCTATCACCACCTCTTCCCTCTCAGGCAGTTTAAACCGCTTGCTTCTTCTTCTTCACTAAAACGTCTCGGTGTTCAATGAATGTTTTAAAACTGATCGCCTGAGGATCAATTCCTGAAAATCACGGAACAGTCAGAGTGATATTCAGAAATAGTACCAGAAAGCGAACAAACCTTGCTTGATGAGAAACTCACGTGCCGCGTCATCATGGCGATGAGGGCTACACTGGGGAGCATCTGAGTCGCCGGTGCCCTCGTATGCATAGTATTCCGACTGCTGCACGATGATCACGGCGTACTCTCTTTCCCAGGTCTCCTCGTCCCTCTTTCCACACTCCAAAATGGCCCATGGGATCTTCCCCCGAAAGTAATTACTAAGCACTGTGATCGGATACTCCCGGTCGTTGTATTTAAGCTGGTCAAGTTTCTGGTCGCGAACGCGGGCAAGCCAATCGAGAGCGATCTCGCGCTTGATAGCGTAGCCGCCGTAGCGCCAGTAGGCGCTTTTACTGCGCTCCTGGGAGGATGATGTTGCAGTGGGGTTTGCAGCCATCGCTGGGTCGGAGAGATGGAATGTTGTGGTAGTTGGCGCGAAACACCTCTACTTATATTCCTGAATTGTCGTTGGCGTTGTCCAAAACAGGACAGCATTATTATTTGGCCAGGTGGGTAAGCCAGCCCCCACATGTGAAGCGGGACAATAAGCTGAAGATGATCCACATACTTAAGTGTTGTAAACCCTACAATAGACACGAAATAAGTAGTATAGAAGCCTAAGCCTCTGAGGGCGGACTGGCCGCGGTTGTTGACTCGATGCACGGCTCTACCTTCCAGGGTACAGATCTGGCGATCCTGGAGGTCAGAATGGGGCCAAGAGCCATGCTAAATAGGACTTGTTTGTCTGTCGGTTAGCTGCGCCAGCGCTGGGGTGCACGCCAGGTACACGCCACCTCCTCTGTAGAAGGGGTGGGATCGTATGTTTGGACTTCACCGTTAGGTTGCGTACTCTTTCGATTCCTGGAGTACAAGAGGAGTACTGCCTCAATATATTTTCTAATTTGCAATATTTTATTTGTGTGATGGCCTGGCATGGCCCATAGGGCACCTTTCTCTAACGGTGAACCCTCAGCCTATGAGCTTCCTTTAACCTTTCCGATGTCGAGGCATGGTAAACTCGCAAAAAGGATTCCGCTGCACTCTCGTAACTCCTTTAGTCTCGTGGCACTCGAGTGGCGAGCAATACCCATCATCTTGAACTCGGATGGTGTAGAACTTGTCTCGGAAATGCCCTTATGACGCTTTCTTCAAGGTACCAAATTGGAAGCGTCAACAGTTGCGTGATTTTTCATAGGTGCTAGAGTTTATCCCTAGTACCTACCCGCAAAAAAAATAGCAATGGAAGCAAACAATAACACGATCGATGTAGGCTACCCACGAATCCAGCATGCTTCGTTTTGTGTGCCTCACGGCAAGGAATGAGTTATTGTAAAATTTATTCTACACCCACAATGACGCTACTGTAGATACTGGGATCCATTTCTCGCCATGAAATGCACATAGGAGGAGGATAAAAGGTTGACCGAGGTCGCAGGCTTTCCCGTCATCCTCTCTCTTACTCATTTCTAGCACCCAAGACATGCCTAACCTGTATGACCCCATTCAAAACCCCGGGCCACTTCAGGACCAAGATCGTCCAACTCCACAGATGATAGTAGACGACATCCATGATTGGATTGTCTGGGAGCTGCGCACTACCGTCAACTCTAATACGACAGATGAGCATCAGCTTTATGGAGCGTGGACTACTTTCCTGCATGAAGCTTTTCCCCCGAGCGGACGCTTCCTGATTTCGCCTCAGGCGCCTCTTCGCAGAGTTGTTGAGGAAAACGAACAGGACGATTCAGATACGTCGTTCGGATCAACGGGTGCTCTGCACGAAGCGAAGCATTTACGTGAGTTAACCCATAGTTTCAATACGACCCATTTGTCCTAATTATGCCCGCTATAGCCGGAAGAGAGGTCGAGAAGCTCTATCCCGACTTCGTTGCGCACAAGGTGTTTGTGCAAGCCTCTCCTGTTCGCGTTCGCCGCATTCTCGCGTTGGTGGAACTCAAGATAAACGAACAAGCTTTAACGGAAAGAGGGCATGCTCAAATGTTGGGCTATATGCATCGCGCGTCCAGCCATCCCAATCGCGAGACGAACCTGAAGGGTTATCTTATATGTGGAGACAAGTTGTGGAACTATCGTTTAGTGGACGATGACCCGAATGATCTCGGACAAGTGCGATTCAACCGGAAGCCTCGCAACATTTTCATTGATTCTGCTAATGAAGGTGTGGAACTTGCGCAGGAGTTGGCAGCGGTTGCAGCCAAGAACTGGAACGACCCAGCGTAAAGGAAAATAAAGATGAAACAATTGTGTTATTCGATGCGTACCTAATGCCTTATATAATTACCAAGGCAAAATGACAGAGGTGGAAATATAATGTTGGAGCAAATTGAGTTTCTTCTTAGCTCAGCATAATTGTCCTCACTGTTGCATCGACTGTGAGGTCGAACTGTACCATAATAAGCTGGCTATTGTATTCACGTCTTCTCCACCAAATGATGGTCTAATTGAATCCACCTGCATCTCTGAGTATGGTGCTTAAATTGTTGAATTAATCTTGAAAGCTGCTTAAAACGAGCTGCCCGGTGCAAACAACATTCTTTGTGGCGCATGCGTTGCTCGGCTTGGCGGTCCGGGAATGATCCGGGCGTTCCTATTCCAGCAAACGAATTCCTATAAATAGATTCATCTCACAACCTGCTCGACTGTTCTGCCGTCCTGAAGGTTCCCACAAGAAGAAATCCTGTCGATGGAGACGATGCGTCTACTTTATATCCTTAACTTTGGGATAGTTAGTGATTCCGTGAGAGGGTGCGTACAAAGCGCAAGAAGTTTGGTCGCCTTACTACCGGAGGGCAATTCTGTTTGCTTTCAAGGATGAAGCTCCGGGCGGCGATGATACGACCAACAAGTGAAAACACGTGAGACGAGAAGGCGATTTTTCTACAGATTTTAGGCCACATTGTTCAGAAGCCTCGAAGACCTGATGTGGTCAGTGGTATCATCGGGCAGTGAAATGGCGCAATTGATCTCGACCGGAACTAGCTCATAAATTTGCTCAATGATATGTAGAAAGACGAGGAGTGGAAAGGATATAAGATAGCTCCTCTCAATTGGTCCAAATGTGATCTTGTTTAAATATGCTTCGTATTCTCGAGTCAGAGAGGTTTACATAAATACAGGAAATCCTCTGGTGTGACACAAAACAAACAAATACCGAGCACTTACTCCATTAAATAATCCTTGGTTTCTTATAGAATGTTTCATGAAGTCTCCTTGGGTGGGGCGCTGCATGGTGCTTGCGATCCTTGGTGTTCTGTGGTACTTACCCCATCTCGTTCCTGACAACTTCGTGCAAAGATGGCGTATTTTCGTTTCGTCAAGGTGTAAGATGTCGCCGAGTAAACGCCAACTGTGTATACCGGTGTATTCCACGTGAATGTACGAAGGCTGGGTGGCCCCGTTCCGGTTAGCCTTCTAGGCACGCATATTATGGGTCCTTCAGCCATTCGGGTGTGGAGAAGCAGAGAAAATTGACTTCGGCGTCGGATCATCTTCTCCTCTGTTCCTTCTCGACTGGAAAAAAGCTTCTTATTTTCGTTTTTCGAAGCGGCGTAAAAGAAAGGGCATTTAGCGCTCACTTTGAAGCATTCTCGTCGTTGACCTTGTACTTGGGGAGCCTGGGAACGAATTTTCGAAAGAATCCGTGACATCCATTCTGCCGCTTGGCACCCAACAGCATCCCCTCTTTTGCTCTTCCACATGCATCTACCCGCCAAGGACCATCTCGACCACACAGGTTCGATGACCGCACAAGATGGCACCAGAATGACGAGCTCGTGCGGAAAGGGCGATGCCCACGCTAAATTTGCCTATATACCCCACCTTCTCCGATGTCCTCATCACCGCCCCCGTTGCTTAAACGCTCTACCTTCGATCGCGCCCGACGGTGCCTCTGTTGCCCAGCACCTCCTTCAACGTACGCGCTTAGAGAACACCCGCGCAACTTTCGGACGGAATGGCCACCACGATCGACTACGAAGAGGACAAGAAGAAGGCGTTGGTGGAGGAGGCCGACAGTGACATTAGCTTTCGCGACGATGACAGCCTCCCAGAGCGTCGCCAGATTGGTCTCCCCTCTGCGGTCTTCATCATTTTCAATCGTATCGTTGGCACTGGGTGAGTGCCATGCAGATCTGTATCGTCGGTTCGTCACTGATACGTTCGGCAGCGTCTTCGCTACCCCGAGTACAATATTAGGGCTGAGTGGGAGTGTAGGCCTGTCATTGTGAGTCAAGATTCTGATATGTTCGTTAATCTTCTAAGCATGCACTTCCAGGTTCATGTGGCTAATCGGCGCGATCATTGCAGCGGCGGGTATGCAGGTGTACATCGTCTGGGGTACTGCTGTCCCCAAGAATGGAGGCGAAAAGAACTATCTGGAGTACCTCTTCCGGAGGCCGAAGTTCCTGATCACATCAGTCTTTGCTGCAAACGGAGTGCTATTGGGTGAGTTTCTTCTCTTGTTTTTCACTCATCAGTTACTGATCGTACCCGTACCGTGTTGTTAGCCTGGGCTGCTGGAAACTCCCTGGTGTTCGGAGAGTACATCCTGCGCGCCGCCAACGTCGCACCCGGACGTTGGACCCTCCGCCTCGTCGGCTTCGCCTGCATAACTTTCGCCTTCCTCATTCATGGAACTGCCTTGAAATGGGGTCTTCGTTTGCAAAACGTCCTGGGAGTCTTCAAAATTCTTGTCCTTGTTTTCGTCATCATCACGGGTTTCGTCGCTCTTGGCGGTCATATGAAAGTTCCCAAACCCAATAACTTCTCTAATGCGTTTGAGGGAACGACTGCCAGCGCGTCTTCATTTTGCTTGAGTTTGTACAGTGTACGATTCTCCGCTGTTTTTCGTGTCGCTAGGTTCTCACTCCATCTTAGGTCATCTGGTCTTATATCGGTTTTAGCAACGTCAACTACGCTCTGTCGGAAGTCAAAGACCCCAAGCGTACCGTTCGCATTGCTGGGCCTCTCGCCATCGCGGTCGTTACCGTTCTCTACATGCTTGCAAACATTGCCTACTTCGCTGGTGCCACGAAAGAGGAGATCACTGGTTCAGGTCGGCTCGTCGCCGCTCTGTTGTTTAGGAATGTTTATGGCGAGAGGGCTGAACGTGCGTTGTCGACCTTCGTTGCCCTATCGGCTCTGGGTAATGTCTTGTCTGTGGTACGTGGCTCAATGCTTCATCTGCCAACACTGTAGTTGACGAGATTTTAGATCTTCTCTCAAGGTCGTGTTAACCAGGAGCTCGGAAGAGAAGGGATTCTTCCTTTCAGCAAGTTTTGGGGCTCTAACAGGCCTTTCAATGCACCTCTTGCAGGTCTCGGCTTGCGTACGTTATCTGAGTTCAGTTGCCCTATTTTTTGCTGATCCGCACCTTCAGATTGGATCATCTGTCTTATTGTTATTTTCGCCCTTCCTCCTGGCGACGCATACAACTTTGTGCTCAACGTCGTAAGTGCTCTTCTGTCTTTCTCGTTTGTCATATCTGAGGAAAAGCTCTCTAGATTTCATATCCTCTCTCCGTTATCAACGCTGCTATTTCCTTCGGCATTGTCTACCTCGCCTTCCGGCCGTACCCCGACTGGCCAACCGTCAACCTCTTTGGCCTCATCGCAGCGGCCTTCTTCGGCGCTGTCAACGTCTTCCTCTTCATCGTTCCCCTCACACGCCCACCTGAGGGTGCCGAGCCGTACATCGACCTTCCCTACTGGACGCATGCCGTTGCTGGGTGGGCCGTGTTCGGGTTAGGCTTCTTGTATTGGATACTCTGGGCGCACGTCCTACCGCGTGTCGCAGGTTATAAGCTTCGCCGCATTGAGGAGATAGGCAAGGATGGCTTGCGGAGACACGTCTTCAAGCGCATCAAGCCAGAGTGAACGTCGATTAACGACGTTTCCTGATTTTTAATGGATTTTCATGTCTTTACGTGTAATAGTGTACCTATCTCATAGATATACCTTTAATGCTTCAGACAGTCCCCTCGTCTTGACAAAAAAACGCTGAACTTCGTCGTAGACTTAGTGACGGCGTGGACGCGGACGTTCGAGACTCGACGTCACGCTGCGGGCGGTGTGTCACGAGCGCGCCCTTTTTCCTTCTCCCATCAAACTTGTTACTTGTCTCTTTCTTTGCGTATCAATTCGCAGAATACAGGGCGTTATATGGTTTGGGCTTTGACTGCCGAATGAACGGCCTTCAATCGCTATGTCCTCGAACTACACGACTTCAAACTAGACTTCGTCTACGACCTCCTTTTTTTCCGAGAACTTACGGCCAACGGAATTCCTTGGGAAGGAGGCGGAGTAGCACACAGGCGTCGACGCACGTCGACACTGGAGGTTCTGCGGACTGGGTAACACCAGTATGTCGTAATCGCCTATCTTCGTATGCGGCCGCTGACGGTTGTGAAGCCACCGAAACGACCCATGAAATGGTGGTATCCTGGGAGGACGAAGTACCCTATAGGAGGAGTCCTCACACTGAGGCCTGACAAGATGGCCGAAGTTGAGCAGAGCGCGCACACCATTGGAGGACATCACACCGCTCGCTTTTTTCTTGAGGTCGACCACCCGACTGGGGACCGCAATTTCATAACACCTTACTACCAATTCCAACCTACAGCTAACAAACCTTCGGGATTCCCACCTCAAACGAAAGGGATCCTGTATTACTACCAACCATCTCCCGAAGAGCCCGTCATGAGCGGTCAGCTCCGGTTCCGCCTTTGTGATGGGTACGAGACATTCGACCAGGGTACGGACATGCGCGACCGGAATGGCGTCGATACGTGGCACATATCCCTCTACGCCATCGTCAAGTCAGTCTACCTTCGCTCCGTGGTCGACATGCTCCTGCAGGAAGGTCTTGTGGAGAGAGAAGTCATCGACAAGGTCGCAAGACTACCTATTGTGCGGACGAATGCTCCGATATTGTACTCCTTCGACACTCCCTTCGTGGCCGAGATGTCGAAGCCGTCGCTGAGGCTGGCGCTTATCAACCCCGACATGTTCACTGTCATCAACATTCCTTACGTCTTCCAGCACTATCTACCACCGGAGACGCCATACAAAGGTATATACAACCAAATATCTGCGCCATTCCGCTCTTTTCTAACACTTTTCCTCCTGTAGGACGTATCCGTGCCCGCTTCGAGGTCTCGACTTCCTCCGAACATGAGACCGTGCCTACCCTCGTTCTGCGGATCCTCGAGCATATCGACGTTGTCAAATGCCTCATACCCGACTACAAGCACTTCATGGCCGAGCCAACGCCGGGCTCGTTGCTGTCGAAGAGGGTTTCCATCCTGCATGAAGATGCAAAGCACAGACCGTGGTCATACCCACTGTATAGCCGGCCACATTCGGACCGTTTCAGGAAACTCATTGGGCTTCCATGAGACCTGCCGCTTCAGAGTTCTCGGGCCATCGACTTCAGGAGGATAAAGGTTCTGGGCATAACCCGCTACAGCCCACCAGCAGACGGTTGGAGTCTCGTGTACGCTATCGGTTAGCCTTCTTGACCCTCCAACTGGCCATTGCCGTCGACAATGGACATCGATCCGTGCCTGTATGCCCGGCGTCCGTGAAGCAGTCTCAAGTATGGTACGAACAGGCATCTTCAGCTCGGGCTAAGGATGACCGGACAAACACGCTATTCTTCTTCCTTTTCCTTCCTCCGCGCCTCTTAACGACACCAACTCTCGACTTTGCAGGTTAATACCCGAACGGAGCTCGTCCGTTACGCGATTCTGGAGCTCGACAGTGATGCCTGAAGTTGACATTCGTGGGCAAGATGATTGGATGGTCGCTGTGTAGAAAGCAAATCTCATGGCGTTGAACGATGTTACGTAATCTTGGGCGAATGGCAACGCGTCTTTCCGAATCACCTCACTTTGACCCACATAGCCGTTTGAGAGGATTCGTTCAACCACAGGATCACTTGTGGCAAGCTATTAGCTCATTTCAACCTAGGTACATTTGTGATTTTCGACGGCAAAGGAGCCTTGCGTAGGGACGCCGTTATGAGTAATCCTCGGGACAATGCCAGACAGAATAATAAATAGACGGTTAGCTTTATGACGAGGCAAAGGCGTTGAAATCATGGAATTTTCCAAATTCCAATCCTGTTCTTGGTTTGGAGATGGAAAGGCGAGGTCGAGAAGTCAGGAGCTCACGTCCAAGACCTATCGACGAAGGCCTATTTCCTCGATCGGCCTGTAACCCAAGTTCTTCGAACTAACATGGCCTAAAGCATTGCTGTCATAACAAACGACGACCAACAATCGTGATCATGTTGAACTCTTTCCAATCTACAGTCGCCACGCACGAACACCCTCAGTGGACACGCAGATTGACGAGGCACGGAATGAGTACCAATGAAGATATTTGCTTCTCTAGCATGTGTGGGCAGAAACGATTTTCGACGCGTCCGTGAAGGTTTGAGCGTTCGAATACGCATTACCTCTACCCTCGTCCTAACTACTGCAACCAACATGTCGAACTCCCATGTCGTCCATGTGACCCGAATGTTGACATGGGGCCTAAGCTTCGGCGCCATGAGGTGGAATGGGAAAGTGAGGGATTCTGGCTGCATCGATCGGAAATAATACGAGATGTTGCCCTCAAGGATGACAAGCCCAGGGTTTTTTGGAGAATCCTGGAGAAACAAGGAGGTCACCTCTAATCTCCTACTGCTTCAGACTTCTCGCATGTTACGATGAAATGCTTGAAAGCGTCCCCGTCCGCACGTTGGTCGAGATCATATGTCCACGATTTGGGTTTACCGCCACGGTCCATCTTGCACCACAGAGAACCTGCTTGAGGCACTGGCATCATATCCTCAGCATCAGGGACGAGATGTTGCACTGGTTCAAGCAGCTCCAAAATCCGCAGGACGAGAACCTGGGAACCTTGATGCTCAGGTAGCGTCGAGAGTTCAAAGCGCGCCTTCACGAAGCCTGTGTTTCGAGTGAATTGCGGCAGACATGAACAGCAAAGAACACTTACCCGAATAAGGAGCCACGCATGCAATACCGAATCGAAAAGTGTTACGAATATCAAGACACTCGAACATGGAGAGATTGACGAGGCCGAAACGAACCGTGCACGAGGATAGGTTGACCACGAATGGCCAGTCAAGGGCGTACAGCGGGCGGTAGCCCTTAATGATGTAGGGCAATTTCGCGATCTTATCCACAACCTGCCGTTTGACAAGGCCTTCCTGCAGCATGAGATCGACCAGGAGCTCCATCCGACGTGATTTGATGACATGGTACAGTGGTATATTCCAGGGCTCCGCACCATTAGGTGCTAGCAGGTCAGATCCGTCCTGGAAAGTTGTCACGTCTTCGCAGACACGAAACTGGAGTTCACGGCTCATAACAGGTTCTCCCGATGACGGCCGATGATAATACAGCACTCCTTTAGTCTTGGGGGGAAATGGCCTAAGGCCGGCAGAAATGTTTTCGTATCCGAAGTGGACCAGGCTCTCCCCGCCGTCCTGTAGTCGTGGTCGGAAAGTGATATTGAGCTGTCCCGACATATCAGTTATCACTTGTTCCTTTGTTTGCATTTCCTCCGGGGCAAGGGTGAGGAGGTACTGCGGGGATTTGTGGGTGATTTTGCCCTTAATCTTGTCCTCAGGTAGCGGAGGCAGGCCAACGAAGTCTCTAAACGCCGGCGCGAGGCTCCGCTTCTCGAGTGGGAAAGACCACACGTAGCACTTGCTGTGGTCGTGTCTGCTAAGTAGTTCACCAGGGCGGGGTTCCAGCATTTTCCCGGGAATGTGGCATTCGAGGGGGGTCAACAGCTCGAGAACGCGCAGAACAAGTGTTGGCCCTTTGTGAGTGTGTTCGGGTAGGGTGGAAAGCTCGAAGCGTGCCTTGATACGTCCTACTAGCATGAGCAGGGCCAAATTCCAACGGATCCAGTAGAAGACTCACCTGTGTAGCTTGGGTCGCGCCTCTGGTTCCCGGCGCGCAGAGCGCAAATTGTGAACCTCGAAATATGACTGAGGTTGAGCAACACGAATGAGGTGTATCTTTGGGCTAGATCGAATTCGAACGGCTGTTCGAGGGAGTACAAGATCCGTGAATTTCTCGGGTAGTTCACACGCGGTAGACTGGAAATCGCCTCAACCGTAGCAGGCGACACGAGGCTCTCATGAACGAGCATCTGGCGGAGTGCTTTCCATCTAGGCGTTGCTATCACCGAATAGAGGTTCAATGACCATGGCCTCTTCTTATCGGGGAGCTGGAGGTCCGAAGAGGTCGTGAAGAAGGCGAGGTCCGTGCATAGCTTGAAGCGCAGCTCGCCGCTGAGGACTGGCGCACCGTGGGAAGGCGGGTGGTAGTAGAACACACCCGTCGACCCAGGGGGAAAGGGGATACGACCACACTTTCGAGCGCTCATGTACTGAACGCTGAGAAGTTGAGGCGTCTTCAGCTGTGTCGCAGTGAACTGAGGGCCTTTAAAGCCTGAAATGTCATACGTGCGTTGGCCGGAGAATTGCATCTTCGTGGAATCCAATGTGATAATTTCACGGTACTGTTTCGATATTGGTTTCTTCCGCAAGTCTTTCTGGAAAACAATACAAAGATCTATTCATGACAGCCATAGCTGAACATACCGCAGTTGAGCTATTCGAGTAACCGGAAATCCCTACTTTGCACCGAAAAATTCTACTCGCCAGGCCCGTTCTTCGAGGCCCGTCAGCGTTCCACAACCGTGCAGGGCTGTTGGAGAGACGAAAGAGGCATCTTGCCGGTGTCAGTTGCATGCAGTGACGGAGTCGCAGGCGATATCGATCACTAGCGCAAGGATGACCTAGTAATACAGCGTAGAAAGAAAGCAAATTCGTAGAAAGAAAGCAGAAAAGCAAATTGAGGTTCAAGAGGAATGCTTATGTAAGCTTGGCCCGCATTCGGGACGCACGTGATCGTTCCCTCCTTATTTGCCCGATATAAACACGAAAAATCGTGAACATTCCACAGCCAGCGAAACTTACTCCTCAACTTGTTCCTTCCCGTTAACATCTACTACACCCGCTCTAATTCTAATGGTGCACTGCCTTGTTTTGTGCTCTTATTACTTGCTGACGGCTTCGTAGGCTTCTCAGGCGACCTTCAAATCCATCAAGGCTGTCATTCCCCTCCTTGACAGAGTCTTGGTGCAGCGCTTCAAGCCTGAGACAGTATGTACTTGGGGGCGTAGCTTTTCCAGTTCATCTATTCTAACGGGATTGTGTATTGCAGAAAACCGCTGCTGGCATCTTCCTTCCTCAGTCCGCGACCACCAACCCGCTACCGGAAGCTACCGTCATCGCTGTCGGGCCTGGTGCGCCCAACAAGGACGGCAAGGTTATCCCTACGCAGGTGAAGGCGGGCGACCGTGTGCTCCTGCCAGGCTGGGGTGGTAGCTCCATCAAGGTCGGCGAAGAGGTGAGTAGTGGTTGACGTCAGCTTTTCCGACGCGTTGTGCTAACGGATGCTGCCACGTATCTCTAGGAGTACTTCCTCTTCAAGGATGCAGAGATCCTTGCTAAGATCAAGGAGTGAACGCCTTGCCCTCCGTGGCACCTGGGCTCTGAGTGGACGCAAGGAGGAGAGGGTGGTTGTTGAAGGAACGGTGGAGGTAGAGTGGAAGTGGGAGGAAACGACAGCGTGTCGCGTCCTCGTCCAAAAGTTCCATCTATAGGACGCCTTAATTGCTGTCAGTTGCATTAATCTTATGTTTTCGCTCACATCTGCATAGTTTTTTGTCGTACTCGTCAATGTCACGTCACCCCACTCATTGAAGAAATCTTTACTCAAGGTGTGCCTCAAGTACTCTTCGAATCCCTGCACTACCTCGACGCCGAGAGGATGGCGAAGCCTGTGTCTGAAAATTTTGCATAGAGAAAGGTGAAGATTCCGCCGTCGTCTGCAGGCGTGGGTTCTCACTAAATGCATTCATAAAGCCTTCTGCTCTCCGAATGCGACTCGACTGTCCCGCTTTCTAAGCATGCATTGGCAGCGTGGAAGGGCTTGTTCATGCACATCAGCACTGGGGAACTCGTCAGGTCGGGTTCGCAGACAGCAGTACTTACCCCTGGACTGAAATCGCTTGGGTACCCCGAATGCCTGCTGAACAACTGCCCTGCAGTTGCCTTTCTATCTCCACCCTATTCGGGTTAAACTGAAGCATCATCCTGACTCAAACATCGTCTCCAGCGACAAATGTCACGGAACAAGGACGATTGCAGCTGCTGAACAATTTTCTTTAACCCCCGTCGCTCTACAGCTTTCCTTCTCACGTACGCGTATCTCCTGCCTTCTATGGATTTTTCACCTGATTTAAGTCTGAACTTGAAGGGCACTTGGAATGTGTTTGACCCCCCGCCTGTGAGGGCCAAATACGCTTGGCGTCAATACTGCCTCGTCGAAAGCCTCTTGCTTCCCACCAGATGTGTTGCCTGTGCTGCTTCTACAGACAATAGCAAGCCCTCAATCAGATCCATTGCAAGTCTTAGCTGAGTCCTACATCATCTTGACATCGACGATTTCGCAGACAGAGGTTCTGACTCCATCGATCCGCCCTCTGTTGAGCCCAAGAGTGTAAGGTCGGAAACGTTTCTATATGCGCCTTTTTTCGACGCATATATGCACTAACTTCTACTCCGCTGCAACCCTTCTTTACTTGATCAAAACGCCCTTGATCACGCTGTCCGAACGGTAAGTAAGTCAAAGATGAATGAACACCGCGTTAGCACCCTCTATATCCGCAAGAGACACATTCTCAAGCTCTCGGTTTCAGAAATTGGGTCAATTGCTGCCTCAAGTTCAATTTAACGCCATCCTTTCACAATGGAAGCACCCCCGAATACTCTTTCGCCAAATTTCCTCTTCTCCCTATTCTTGTAACTCTGGAGTGAAGCTTCGAGACTTGACTCTACCTAAAAAGCCAGCCGATGCTCGACATCATGTCCTTTGCTGATAAATCTAATCAGATAATTGTAAGCAGCCATCCGGTGCCGCGGTAATGCCCAAATGAAATTTTGGGTTTCTCCGAGGTACCATCTTCGACTCGGAACCTGGGCTGATGAACTCCTGGATGTTGGCCGAGGTGTCGCATTCTTGCACCTTCTCCGCCAAACCGGGGGTGGGCTGACAGTCCTCAAGGCGCCGCAGAACCCATTTGGTTACTTCGAGTACGAGACAACGGCAGCCACTTCATGCCCGATTGACGCATTGCATTCTGGAATCTCGCTTCGGAGGACGGAACGTGGGTCTGCTTGGTGCGATCTTACAAACCACATCGGATCTGGTCTGCACTATATAAATCACATCACTCTGCGTCACCTCGGCTTTTTGGCCCTCTCGCCTCTTTCAACGTTCTTCAGTACCTCGAAGCAGCCAGTAGACAATCAACGCGGCCATGGCGAACCGCGACGCGAAAATACAAGACGATGGTGTGGAAGGCGGTTCTCTACGTGAAGCACACGCGCCAACTGTAGCAAGGAGCTGGATAAAGTCGTGCATCATCGTGCTTACAGTCACATCGGGGATGATTGTCAATGTGAGTGGATTTCCTCTCTAACGTATGCATGAGGCTGACGAGTGTCCGTCTTAGATTGCGAACGCGACGGCGGTGTCGATTGCTCTGCCTACGATTCAGAAGGAGATGAATCTGCAAGAAGCACAACTGCAATGGGTGGTATCTGCATACCCTCTTAGTTCAGTGAGTCAAAATGCCGAAGCTATGTCAAGTTGATGACCTTCATGCCTCTTAGGGATGTCTCCTGCTCGTTTTCGGCCGACTTGCGGATGTGTATGGGAGGAAAAAGACGTTTCTAGCCGGATCGACTATTTTGGTTGCATTTACGCTAGCTTGTGCGTTCCCGAATGGTATGTCCTCGTTAACTTTGTTCCTGGGCGCATATATTCATAGAAAGCAGACGTTGTGGCCCTTGATATTCTGAGAGGTATACAGGGTATCGGTGCTGCTGCGACGATACCCGCCTCGGTGAGCTTTCTTCGTTATTTTTCTCGGCCGCCTTACTTACGCTACGGCGTAGCTCGGCATTCTTGCCCATGCATTCCCTCCATCTCGAGCCCGATCCTTTGCCTTCGCCACTTTCTCAGCCGGTGCACCCCTCGGAGCGGTCTTTGGTAGTGCTATAGGTGGCGTCCTTACGGAATTTACGAAGTACGTTTCTCTTTAGACATGGTATAGCGAAACTAATGATTTCGTAGGAAAACATGGCGTTCCTCGTTTTATCTGCTCAGCGGGCTAACATTGCTCTGCCTCTTCGGCGGCATGTTCTCGTTCGACAAGGATGTACCATCAGAAGAAGTCGACAAACGTATTGACTGGATTGGGGCATCCATTATCACCACCGGCCTTGTCCTCATCGTGTTCGTTTTGAGTCAGGGAGAAGTTGCGCCGAATAAGTGGTCTACGCCCTGTACGTAGCCGGTTTCATCTCAGAAACTAATCGTTTCACGAGCAACACCCTCTAGACATCATTGCACTGCTCGTTGTTGGCGTCATTCTCGTCGCAGTCTTCCTCTACTGGCAGTACTATCTCGAAACTGTGCAAAATAACCCCAACGCGCCGTACTCCATATTCACTCCGCCACCACTTATGAAACTCTCACTCTGGACTCGCGCAAATGGCCGCTTTGCCGCGATGATGGCGATAGCCTTCACCAATTGGTGTGCGTTTCTCGCCTGGACATTCTGGGTTCAGCTCTACTACCAGAACTACATGGGCTACACGGCTATGCAAAGTGTCGTACGACTGTTGCCTATGTTCGTCTCAGGCATTCTGTGCAATGCCTTCGTTGGCCTGATGGCTGCCCATGTCCCGTTGGTATGGCTGGTCGGAGGAGGAGCGTTTGCAACCACAGTTGCTTGTTTACTTTTTGCGGTCATCATTCCTGAGACGACATATTGGGCCTTCGCTTTTCCAGCATCCTTTCTTTCAGTCATGGGTGCAGATTTAGTTTTTTCGGCTGGTACTCTGTTCATCGCCAAGTTTTCGTTGCCGCACGAGCAAAGCGTTGCCGGTGCACTGTTCAATACCATGACCCAGGTGGGCAGTCTATAACCCTTTCGAAACCTCCATTCTAACAATCGGCATTCTTGTTAAGCTTGGAACTGCGGTTGGGGTTACCGTAAGTACCGTTGTATATAACAGCGTTGCAACAAAGGTCTCTCCGGGAGAGGATACCCTCATTATGTATCACGCTGCTTACTGGGCCGGTTTTGCGTTTGGTGTAATTGGTATGTCTTCCTGCATAAGTCTTTTGATTTATCTCACAAAGCACTCCAGCCACGCTGCTTGGGGTGATTTGCTTCTGGAAAGTGGGCGCCGTTGGGCACCGTGCACCCAAGGCTTCTTCGGAGAAAGAAGTGTCCAATACGGAGGAAGGCGGACAAGACTTCGAGGATATCCTAGAGAAAGGTCTTGAACCAGCATCCGTTACGTCAGTTCCCTCGACGCCATCGACATTCCAAGACTTGAAGGAGAAGGACGGCAATGCGTTCGTCACTATTTCTACATCGCCAGCGCCTTCAAGATCAACAATGCAGAACGGCGAGAGCTTCGTGATTGTCTCGGGGTCGTCGGCCAAGATCCCGCCCTCGTCGACGCTGCAAAGCGTAAGGGAGAGCGAAGCGGCCACAGAGGATTTTGTGACCGTTTCAGCGTCGCCGCCACCGTCGACGACGCAGAATCTGAAAGAGAAGGTTGAAGATAGAAGCCAAAAGTCATGACTCAATCTGAGCGATGAAAGTGAAGAACTTCAGCAAGACATAACTTAAGCTCACCTTCCAATAGATGACATTCTACGATTTCGATTCATACATTTGCGATAATGACGACTTAATTCCTCACTGCGCTGCCCACAGCCCTCGCGTAACCCCCCTTCACGGACATTACGAATTCCGGTTTCAACACCATGTTACAAACTTTGTTTCCCTGCATATTAACATTATTTCGTCTATTACCCGTAGATATAAGCTAACTGTGTAAATTTCACAAACGTGGCGTCCCGACCAATCGGAACACTCTTGGCCGCTAAGGTATGTCACAGCTTGTTCTCTGACCACCACCTACAGTTCTCAAAAGCTGATGTTCAAAAGTGAGGTTCAACATACATGGCAATTCTTCACTGGAACTTGTACGCGGCATATAGGTAGCTCGTTGTTCCTACAGGCTCAACCCCTCAAAATCGTTGAACCAATCCATAACCTGCTTTCGCTCATGAAACCCTGCGTCAAACTGCTTATCCCTCATAGACTCGTTTTCGTCTGCCTCGAAGTCCATACTTCTCCCAAAGTCGATCAGGCGGAATGACCACTCATCCCGCAGCCCACCTCTGATGGACGGTCTCAGACCTCGTTCGACAGGCCAACCGCTGAGCGGACCGGGCTGGATGAGGATGTTGCGCTGCGCAATGGACCCATGGACCCAGCCTGCGTCATGGAGGCGGAAAATGAGCGAGATACATTCGGATCTGAGAATATATCAGTAAGTAGGAAATCATTCTGGAAGGACGAAGGGAGAGACTCACTTATCGTCTGCAGTCAGCTCCTCAGACTTGATTGGCCTTCCACACTCCTCGACTAATAGGATGGGGCTCAAATACTCATTGTCTGCAGGAGTTGCCTTTTTATCATTGTCAGGGACGTAATAGCCATAGAACTGGGGCACGAGTGGTCCGACGGGCACAGGATGATGAAGCGGTCGAATGACGTTGAAGCCAGACCAATGCTCGAAGAAGTGCTTTGGGAACCTCTGGTAGTTCTCGGACTCCCTCTTGAGGTGCTGATCGTACTGTATCGACAACTTGGCCGCCACGCGCGTCATGGTCGTCAGGGGGTGGATATACTTGTCGTACTCCCTGAAGTGCTTGCAATACTGGCCGCGTTCGAGGTTCTGGTACTTGACGCGCGAGTAGAAGACGTGCAGCGGTCCCTCGTAATCCAAGCTCAGCACGCGTTGCCCCTCTTCGATCAGATAGCGACAGCCCTTTCCGGCGGGACCGTCATCCTCCCTGTTGGCGATGCTCAAATACAGCGGGCCTTTGCTCTCATTCTTGATGACGACCTTGCCGATCTTTTGCTCCCACTTTGGATCGACATTCTTTCCGTTGATCCCGTTGTCCTCGTCGGAGAGGAGTTCAGTCAAATCTTCCGCGACGCACTCCATGCAGAGCCTTTCTTCGACTAGGAACGAACGCGGCACCTCGAATTCGGCGTGGTACACGAAGGAATGGTTCCCAACACCAATTGCGGCTGTCGGCGAGAGGTACAAGTGCGCCTCGTCGGGTGCAGCGAGGGGTGGCTTGGGAGGCAAGACGTAGAAGATGTGTGGACGAACTGGCCCCGGTCCATCGTCGCGGGGTACCGTGATTCCATCTGGTAGTTCGTTCCGCGAATGCGGGTCAGCGAGAAACTTCTCCCGAATTTCCTTCTCCTTCGCCTGTAGCTTCGCCGCCTCCTCTTCGTCCTCCTTGCGACGAGCTTTGTGCTCTTCCGAGAGGTTCAACTTGTACGTATGAACAATGTCCTCCATTTCGGACCAGGGTTTGGATTTCGTCGACTCGTCGATATCGTCACCGGAGGCTCGAAGCAACTTCCATGGGTCATGGACCATAAGTTTCTTCGGAAGGCGTGCCTGGGGTATGTATTGCTGGAGGCGAGGCATTGTTTGGAATAGCCACGGCCATTTTTTGAACTCGGAGCTGAAATGCTCTCGAGTTCCGTACGGCGTCGGATATGCAGCTGGATCGAATAAAGACTTAGGCGGCCACTAGGTGAATATGTGCGTCAGGTCTTCGGCGTGGACCATGTCAATATGTTCGACGTACCTCCTCTGGCAACTTCCAATCTTCAGGCTTCAATTTCTCACTATGCCCTCTCTTGGTCTCCCTCGCTTTGTCCCACGTTGGCCCATGGACGAATGCTTCTTGGTCAATTATAAGCTGTTGGATGTCGCATGGCTCAATGACCTTCGGATCCGGCTGCTGGTCCTGCCACTCGATGAGCTGCCTCGCCGGCTCGAAGTCCGCCTCGCCGTTCTCCCTGCACCACCTAGCCATCTTGCTTCCGCTGGTGATCGTCGAAAGGCTGAACAATCCTGGGATACGTTGGGTGCGGTAGAAGTCGAACAAAGACGCGCCCCAGTGCTGGATCCCGTTGGGCGTCATCGTGCCCAGGACGGAGTTTTCTTCAGTGATGTATGTCTCCGACGATCCCTTAACGGGGCGTGGCCACTGAGAGAAAATGACGCGATGGCGAGTGGCGGGGTCGCTGAGGATCTTGTTCTCACACTTTATGCGCTGAATCGGGTCCAAGTCTTTAGGTATCTTCTTGCCAGAATGGATGAGGATCATCTCTCTGAAATAATCTTCACGCGTTTTGATCTCTCTGGAGTCCTGCTTTTCGTCAGCGGCTTGGTCGGGTTGGGAGTCTATTCTCAGGGCATCGAGGAAATAACGTCGGAACTTCTCTGTAAGCCGCGCATCGCGTTCGATTCCTTCGAGCCTGGCGTTCAGATCTGAATGAGATGTGTGAGGCGCCGGTGGAAGCCGGGAGGAATAAAGGACTCACCGTTTTCCGGCATGGTAGGCTTATCAGGATTGGGCGTGGTGGGCTTCATGGCTAGATATGAAAGCGAAGACAAGAAGAATGGGTGGCTCTCCTTCCCGTTCGTTCTGTATTTATGTATTTGCGGGGGTCAGTGCCACAAACGTGTCGTTAAGCGAGCCGATTTGCTTTGTTGGGCGTTTTAGGCCCTTTGCATTGTCTTGAGAGTTGAAGGCCACAATAGCCAGTAGCACGCTTTCTTTTTTGAAGGCTGAGTTTGAATGTACCTGCCCACTTTGAGAAAGATTTGATGATACATTAAGCCTAAAAAGGAGGCCGGGATTCCATTTATACTTACGATCTCTGATCTGTCCTGGGTATCCCCTTTGTCACGGATTAAGCTCAAGCGCCAATCAAGCGCATCTCAAGGGAGCCCACATTTGATTATACATGGGGCAGCTGGCCTGCGATGGTGCAAGTAAGAAAATATAGCACGAGGTGAACGGTATAACAATCCTTTCCGGACAAAAATAAGGGCTTTGATTTGGCCATATAATGTAGAGATCTGTAGTGGATAAATCATAGCTACAGGTCTAATGTAAGGCCAGGTTGCTGAATTCTAGGAGCGACGACAGGGAAAATAAATAACGCATAATCTAGTTTGTTTATATATTTATAAGACGTGCATGGGTTCACGATGCAAGGATTAACAAGTAGTAATAGCTGAGCATTTCGAGGACCTATCTGCGGGAGTAGAGGGCAAAACTACTTGACAGGCGCACTGGGGCAGTTGGTACCTCCTTTTTAGTATCGACCCACCAGCCGCACATAACAGGCAGACAGAAAAATGAATCTGGCCTTATTCGATTGTCATTGATACAATTACACAGCGCATGAGAAAAGTATGACTATCTATGAGTCTTTCACTGTCTTAAACCACTCCTGGAAGTATCCAAAGCCGGGGTCGAGGGAATCGTCTCGAAGCCACTTCTCGATTTGGCGGCAGACCTCCGCATCGTCGTCCTTCAACATTCTATAATAGTCCAGATCCTTCTTGCGTACGATCTATTCGAAACGTCAGCGAGAGGAGCGAAGAGCTTTGAAAAGGAAATGTTACAGAATCGTAGTGCTTGCGAAGATCGGCAGCCTCTGCAGGACTAGCAAACCAAAATCTATCGAAAGTTGGATTCTTGATGCAGAACTGAGGGGAATCGAAGCCGCTGTAGGTAATCCATGATGGATAGCTCACAGCAAGCAGAGCAGGCTTGACTGAATGGAATTCCCAGTCGATAATGCCCGTGATGCTGCCAGTCTGGTCGCAAAAGACATTATGGGCTACTAAGTCCTCGTGACAAGGGACGGTGCGAAGGAATGAGGGACCAAATCTCTTGCAGGCCTGGAGCAAGAATGTCTCAAGCTGAGAAAGAACCTGCTCGCATTCTTTAATGTAAGAGGTTTGATTCGTTCTCGCAATATTCAGCTTTCGAAGAACGAGCCAACTGAAGTATTCCGCTATCGATCCGAAAGGTCCATTTGGGCGCTGTGTACCGTCGCCGACAAGCATAGGGCCTATGGAGGGGAGTTTACTGCGCATATTGCGCGCCCCACTTCCTGTAAATGTGTCGACGCTGCCGATCTTCTGCGGGGACGCCGTACGGAACATCTGGATGGCCCACTCAGCATACATGGAAATGTTTCTCGACTAATACATTGGTCAGTTTAAGGATATATTTCGAAGGACGAGCTCTGGCATACCTTGGCTTCTGAACTGAGAGCGCCGAATGAATCTGCCAGGTTAGTACCTTCGCATTTCGACGACACCATGTAAGGTCGGGTGGCTTCAAGTACGGAACAGTAGAGCTTCGGTATAGTGATGGTGGACGCTGATGCAACCCAGTTCATCATCTCGCATTCCCGTCTGAGTTTCTCGGGTAGCTGGGCGACATCGATCACTCCCCGAACAGACGCTATCCTGACAATATATGAATGGCCGCCAGAAGTCCGGATGTCCAAAACCTGATAGCGAACGCATGAGATCTTTAATTGCGTCTAATATAGTTATAAACCTGCCTTATAATGGTTGTCACCGAGCTCTTGTATATCGAGTACTTTTCCGGACCCCAACGCCTCGACGCTTGCGACAACGCGGCCGCGGTCGAAGTCAAGGGAGACTTCCTCAACCTCGAGAAGGTTTTTGCGTTCTTCTGGAGGATATTCGTCCTGGATTTTGTTACCGGTTTCATCCCATAGAATAAACATACTGTCCGTCAGCGGGGATGGGGGTACGAGGAGATGCAAGTTGAGAATCGAAAGTTCAACTCCCATCAACTTGGTGTGTGTATTTGTTTGACTGTCTTAGCTTTCCAATAGTTTGCCAATCACCCCGCTTCATCGGACTCTGTGTCGTTTGAAATCAGAGCCAAGTCAGAGCGCTCAAGGCCCCATCCATCCATTTACTTCTATTATACCCGTGCAACGAGCGCGTGATCATTCCGATTTAATGTCCTCATGAAAAGAAGAACAGAAGTGCCCACAAATTGACCCGTAGAGAATATAAAACGTATTATCAGACGTCCATCCACGGGCGCTTAACTGTAATCATTGTTCTCGACGTCAGATGGATGGAGATTGGCAGTCTCCGAGTAAGGGGAAATAATTCCGTGACACATCTAGGCCTTCGCATGACTCGCCGCTGTATGATTGTGGGTCTTCATCGTATAGGGTCGCTTGTAGTAGGGACAAGTGGACCCACAGCGACTTGACAGATCGCATCACAAGGATCAGTATCACCTCACACTTACCTTCAAAGTCATATTTCTGCGGGCCTGAATTCAAGCAGAGGAGCCGCTGCATAGGTAAATCGGTCCGTTAACTAGACGCTTATGACCACAGCAATTTAGAAGGCTTTACTTATCTTCCATTCGAGGATTGGCCGTGTCTGGCAGTAGAAGCCACACACATGTGCCCTCCATCAAGCCTGAATTTGAACCAAACATCCCTTTCATCGAGCGTCATGCTGGGTGAGTCACTGACAGCATCCGAACGGACTCAACGATGTGTTACCGGTATCTTGGGTGGTCGGTATTTTTGGGCTAGTTCTACGAGATCTTTTCGTCTACTCAAACGAGCACGGTTTTCGGGCGGGAACGTGAAATCCACACTGTGCGTCGATATTTCTCCTCTCATGCACTGTGCAATTCTATTATCGATGATCGAACTGGTCCGGCTTTGTTTTTGCTGACCAACGATTAGCCGACTCGTCGATCGAGGGAAGAGTCGCAGATTCATTCACGACCCATTTCGATCCCCATTGGAAAACGGGGGGATCAAAGACGGCGCGTTGGTTCCGCGTGGAACAAGGAAGCGCCATAGATGTCCTGTCTGGAGAAATCTTGATCCAGACTGACAGCGAGATAGCGTGTCTCCGAATTGTATCGCCATTCGCGAGGTGGTTCACGAGTCAAGGCGTCCTCCAGACGGCGATCTGGGAAGCTACCCACGACTTTCCTTACGAGCGCTGAAAAACTTTTTGTCCAGCTGCTGTGTCCTCTGATTCCACGAGGCTGTCGCGTTATATATAATGACCGCAATTCCGGGTATATAAGGAGCTCGAGTCCGTTGGAAGAGAGCCAACACACCCTAATCCACAACGCAGTGAGTCCCTCGCACACGTTTCCCCTCTTTGCTCACCCTAATTTCGAAGAGCACGTTCAACCCTAAACCTCTACAACACCATGCAATTCAACTCTGTGAGTATCGAGCCTTCTCGTTCTACTACTCGCTACTGATATTTTGGCCATTATAGGTTGCTATCCCAGTCAACGAAGCCGCGGTGCGTGCTGTGTTCCTGCTCGTTGTCCGGATATCGTCGCTAACAAGGCTCTAAGTAGGTTCGTTGCAACATTTGTACTCAATGGGCCTCCACTTCTGGTGGCCACGTCTGCACCGGGCAGCCCAACAAGTAAATTAATTCCCCAATGTGCACCGCGGCGCCGTATAACAGTTGAGCCGTGGTCTCGTCGTCGGCGACAGGGCCTTCAAGCTCCCGTCTGTTATCTCTAAGAGTGTCCATTCCATCTGCAACGAAAAGACTATGTATACGTGATGAGCCATTTATTAACCCATTAAATCCCATGATGTTGCCATAATCTCCACGTTTCGAGCCTCGTATATTAGCTCGTCAGGGACCTACATCCCACAACAGGCACAAATACCCAGGAGCTGGCGGCCGTCAGTCCGATTATTTACCTGTTTCTTCAATTGGTGAACGTGTGTAAGTATGCCAACTGACACCCACCACGCTGGTTCATTCCTCCACCGTCGAGCTCAAATCCATTGAACGTTTGAGCTGCGATGCTCACGTCGGAAGTTGGATTTTGTCGGGCCCAGGTAGTGGAATTGTTCGGTTTAGAACGTCGGTTCGAACCCGAACGGGGAGGGCCCGGTCCTAAAGTTCAGTTCCCCGTTCAAGAGAACTGGACGGTGGGTCCGGTTGGCAGTTCACCATATGTAGGTTGTCGACGGGTAGACAGCAAAATGTGGTGGCGTGAAGATGAAAAGTGGAGCGCATGGTCCGCCATTACCCACCTATCCAGTCGGCTTCATATGTTCCCCCACATTTACCCGGCCGTTCGCTTTTTCATTGTTCAGCGTTCACTGGTTAGGCTGCTTGAACTTGACTTGAACGCGGTCCCAAAATAGGGCGTCGCCGCATACCCAACATTCTTGGGGATGAACACCCTCATTTTTTAACCCTGCATAAAATGAACCACCGTTTCCATGGCCAAATGACCTCTAAGTTGTGAGATAGTGGGCGTCAGTTTCCTGACCAACCGTGACGGCTGCCCAATGTAGATGTGTCCTTATTTGGAAATAACTCACACAACTTTGAATTTTTGCTTGAAACACGAAGCATTTGTAATACCTGTAAGGCCTCCTGCTACTAAGCGAATAAAATCAACCTCGAACATTCTTGTTGAGGTTGACACTGCTGTGCGGTTGAAAGCGCTTCGACCGTCAACACTAGTCAGCATGACAGCCACCAGCCAAACAAGACCAAATTAAGGTTTCCCGTCTTCCATTACGAGACCCACCAGGCGACGCAAAATCCCTACGATTTCTCCTCTATATCCACCTCTTTTCTCTGTCAAATCATCGAATAACTCGTCACCCGCCTTTTAACCCCTTCAAATCCCTCAAGATTAGTCTAGGGTTCCCAATTTCGTGGACGAACCATGCGGGAGTCCAACTTTGCATTTCCGGCGCAGAACAAGGCTTGTGTATGTATCACCTCACAGTTATACGACAGGCGAGGTGTGTACTTTCATCCAGATTTATTCCGTGATTTTTGCGAATTTACTTGATTTTCAGCGTTGGATACAACGTCGCCGCTGCCACTGTTCAACTCGCTGACACATCTCACATATCTTACCTCGACGTCGCCACGGATTCGCGAGATCATGACGATGGACGGGGGCCTCGAGCGCCTCGTCCGGATCTTGCACGAGTTTTGCATGTGCCCACCGCCGCCTGAGAACCCAGCCGTCCTGTACGGACTAACCCCGCCAAACGCACGCCCACCGAAACTCGCACCCGCCCTCAATCCCCACTCTTTCGACAAACACGCCGCCTATCGTTTTTCGCTTGCCTTTCAATGCATCGTCAACATTGGTGTTAGGGGAAGTGAGCCGATCAGGAGCCGCGTTGTGCAGGCTGGTACACTGGATGTGGTGGGCTGCATTCTCGAGGCGTGGCTGGCCAACAAAGGCTTCGCGGTTGGGCCAAGCTCAAGCGCCACCGGGCTGCCGCGAGAGACGAGGGAGCAGAGGCAGCAGCGGAGATTGGCACAGCTGGAGCAGAGGCAACGAGAGGAAGCAGCACATCTCCAACGTGCCCTGCAAAGGCAACTTCAGGTCGAGCAGCGGGCGATACAGCAGCAGGAGGAATCTATGGATTATACACCTTCACCCGCCGACAGCTCGACCAGTCACATCCTTCTACTCTCCGACTCTGCTTCACAACCCAACAGCGACACCGATGCCTCAACGGACAACTCAATAGCTGCTACTCCTCAAGGAAGTGGAACGCCGACAGGATCCGTGCTCGTGCCAGCCCGCGATCGCAGTGGAACCATCATCGCACGACCTGTTTGGGATCAGCCTGCCACCACCGCACCTCGACGTACCCGTCATCGCGAGCTACCTCCAGAATCACCCTCTGACGTTTCTCGAGCCGAGACTGAGACTGAAGACGATGGAGATATCGATATGGACCGTTCCAGAGACAGTCGTCGGCTCGCTGTCGACTCCGATGTTGCATCGGCATCAGCGTCACCTTCGCCTGAGCGACGTTCACTAAATCGAACCCAGCACATGGCTCGGCGAGCTGTTGGCATTGTATCCGACGAACCTACAACAGGCCCAGAGACCCTTCAGGTTGGCGCATTAGGACTTGATGCGGATGCTCACATCATCATTAACGAAGGTGGTGGGGTGGGTGTTGGTGACGGAGTTGAAGTGGGTGTGGAAGATGGAATTGTCTCGCTCGAGCAGAACGACGATTTCGCTATGGGTGCCCCTCCTGGTGCACCTGGAGCCATTGGCGAAGGAACCACACCCCGAGGGCTCAATCTGGAGCCTTTGGCCGGTAGGCGGAGAAACACCGATGCGCCAGATGTCACACCTCGAGCAGCCATTGTAGGGCTGCCGATGATGGGCGCGGCGTCGACGAATGGAACGATCCGCGGCGGAACACAACCACATCCGCCTGCTGGACATGGACACCAACGCAATGCCACGATCCGTGGCCGACCTCCAACCGAGAACGCTGCTGCTGGACCAGCAACCACCAGAACGACAGCTACTGCAGCTACACCTGCCAATATCCTGCCTGGCAGATCCTCGAACATCAGTTCGAACGCTAGCCATCGCGACAGCGACTCTGGCCCGTATCGCGATGAGGACGTTCTCCTCTCTCTTCAGCTCCTTGCCTACCTGAGCAAGTACCCACATGTCCGACAAGCATTCTACAAGCCTCGTGTCACTTTCCACCCTGCCTCCGTGAATCTTCCTGGTGCAAGGTTCGGAGTTGGCCAAAGTTCGAAGGACAAACAAAAGGAAACCGCGAAGGTACCTCCAACGGCAGCACCTTCCACTAAGGAGAGCATTTTCAGGGCTTTCACGAATGCTGCGGCGAGCGTCGGTAGTTCGCGCGGCAAAGATAAGCAACCTGCCTCTTCTATCAACACGTCGACATCTTCGGCTTCTACTTCTACACACACCCATGCTACGTCCTCTCATACAGGCGCCCCCTCCTCCGCCCGCCAAACTAACGTGTTCTCTCTGGTAGAGAGATTTACATTCAAGCCAAGCTCAACGGAAACTGATCTTCCCAACCCGCCCCCAAGACTACCTCCAGAGATCCAATACTGGGCTGGCGTCATTATGAGGAATGCATGCCGTAAAGATGACAGTCGCGGCGGTATACGGCAATGTGCAAACAGTGAGTCTTTCTCTCTTATTCAGCCAATCCATGCTTATGAAACTACTTACTCTCGAAGTGATGTGCGGAAAATGGGAAACGTACCCTCGTGAGTTTGCCAAATGCCGACGGTGTAGGAAGGCGAAGTACTGCGGGAAGGAATGCCAGAGCACGGCATGGAGTGAGGGTCATCGGTTCTGGTGCAGTGCGAAGGATGTTGACGAGGACACCACCAACACAACCGGCGATCATTCTGCAGCAGCTGCTGACCAGTCGAACGGCAGCATCCAAATCGCGCCAGATGCAACTGGGGCGACGGAAGTGCAGGTTACGGCTGCTCGGGCGGAACGACGTGCACACCGAGAAAGAGCACATGCACATGGCCATCATCACCCCGTCCAACCAGCGAACAACTACGTCAGCCCGACGACGACAGTGACCGGGGCCAGAGCTGAGACGAGTATGATTCGAGACCGGACGGTGCAACCCCTTCCTCAACACCAGCATCAATCCCGCACACGACCAGCCACCAACGCCCGCACGAGCACATTACAGGCTCAAGATCCGATGAACACTAGCTACTTGACGTTCCAGATCCAGGGCCAGAGCCCATCTACCGCAAGCTCCTCCTCCTCGTTGGCTAATGCTCTGTCGCCAACACACGAGCAGACAGGAAGAAGAAGAGCAGAGACGATAACGGGTGCCACGATGCCGTCGTCGGCAAGCACAAGCTCGGGGTCAACGTCGAGGATGATGGAAGTGCCACCAAACGTGATTCTACCCAGAATCTCAACGCAGCAACCCCAGCAACAGCAAGACTGGCCGATGGGCGGAACGTCGCCTATTCCACCCCATGCGTCGGTGTCAGCACCTAGTCCTTCGAGGCGGTATAGGCCGACACCTCCGCCCATGGCACGTGGATCGTTGTTCGATAACAGTGAGGACGATATGGTTTTAGGATGACCTATCGACATATCGCCCCCCCTGGAAGTTCTGCACCTCCAACTCTTTTATCGTCTCTTTTTTCTCCACTAGCTATCATTTGTTTGTCGGTACCTGGTCAACACAACACATCGTTTTTACATCCGTCGCTACCACGGATATCACGACTTCTCCACATCCTCCCTTGTTTCCCTCGATGTTTGCAACTCCTCGTTGCAAGGGTATCGCCTATCACTCGACCGACTACACCATTTATGAATCCTAGATGTGTTCCGCTTGCTCTATCACGACTTCCTTCATCTATAACTCAGGTTTCGTCTCCTACGAACACATCCACATCGATCCAGCAGCATCTTCAATATCCAGCTTTCCGTCGCTTCCCATCCGGTCACTCCGCCCAACGCCTTGTATGGCCACGGGTTAGGACCAAGGACGTATTAGAATCGAAGAAGCCTTCAATTCTTGACGTCCTCTATCTACCGCCAGTCAACCACATCGACGACCCCAGTGTCCTCAAACGCTTCGCTCGGAGCGACCCTTGTATACTGGCTTCCAACACATCCTCCTACATGGACGATTAGGGACCTGTACGTGCCCCTCGATCAAGCATTTTCTATCCCGACCTTTAAGTTCTTCTTTTCCACTCCCGTTCGGTTCGCGTGACCCCCCATAGTCGTTCACTCTCCTTAAGAACTCAGCGCTCAGCTCCCATCCCTGTCCTCTCATTTACTCACACCCCGTAGCACTATAATCTAAAATTCATGATCTTTCCAAAATAACCTATTATTGTTTCCGCACTTGATCTTCGATTTTCTTCGCAAGCATGAGCAACTCTGATATCTTCCAGGCCTGCCTTGTAAGCTCGACACCACCTAGTGTCTCTCGAAACTTGGGAGGTGGTAAGTCCCAGTTGGACTCGATTTACCGCGAATATTGACACCTGATGTTCAAGCTCCGGGCCGGCGAAGCCGCACCTCTTTGGGATCAAGCCACCTACCCTAAGTTATTGTTTGTCTCGAAGAATTGTCAGTTGGATGGCTCCAACAGCCAGAAGAACTTCGTCTCTATGCATTTAAGCCTCCATCTCGCTGCGGTGCCCCCCCATACAGTGACGATTACCACAAATGAGGTTCTTTGTACTTACGAAAGTCGAGGAGTGCTGTTGTTCCTAATCGGACAAGAAGGTTTCCTGGTAACCTTGTATACGGCGCTCATGAGCAGGTACTTATACCATGTACGCACATCCGTCCGTCTTTCTGCCTCTCAGCGTCCCAGTGATGCCCTCTCTCGGTGCGTACTATGAATGACCCAAATATTCTCAACTTGGAAGTCTAACGAAGCTTTAGCTTTCCCGGACTTTTCGTCCTTTTCGTCTTTCTTGAAGTCAGGTATATGTCTTCATAATTCCATCGACTACATCTAATACGATATAGTTCATCACACGATCCCAAAAACCCTAGCCGCCATCGCCGCTCCTTCTTTCGACCCCAGCCAATGTGGTGTAGATGCTGTCAATCGGCTACCGGATGAACTTCTGTCTGAGATATGTGTTCTTGCATTGACAGAAACCAAGACGGACCTGTCGCTCAGCCCTGTCTTCTCGGAAGAATTCCCGGTAGCGCCCTTCGCCCTCTCACATGTCTGCCGGCGTTGGAGACACGTCGTGACCGAAGGAACGCCTCTGCTATGGTCTTCTATCGCCGTAATCCATCCAAACCATCGTCACGTCTTCAGAACCAAAGTCTGGATGTCGTATGTGCAAGGTCCGGTCAAGATATTTCTCAACCAGTCTGATAGCCCCTCAGACGAGGAACAGCAAGCAACGACGGACATTATCCAATCATTCCTGTCTCGCGTCGACCGATGGCAGACGGTCGTCCTTCATATAAGAGGTCAATTCCCTTCGCCAATCCTAGGCGCTCTGGACCGACTACGCAGAATTCCTAGTCCATGGTTGAACGCGGTCGATTTCTCATTCCTTTCCTTCGTAAATGGACGGGAGGATCCGCGCTGGGCAGTGCTTCCTTGCTTCACAGCATGGGACACACTTCAAAATATCCCCTCGCTGACAAGTCTCTCATGGCAGACAGCGTTTACACCCGGCCCTCGTTTTGGCGCTCAACTGACGAGGGTTGCGCTTCATTCTCCAATCAGCATTGAAGACCTTCTCGACAAGCTTATCTACTGTCACAATCTTTCCGACCTCGAAATCCTCGCTCTCTGTCGCCTGTCGAACATGATTACCGTCCTTCCGGAGCATGAAGATATCCCACCGGATCCGCTTCCCATCCTCTCACTCCCTGCCCTACGTCGGCTCTGCTTGCAAGCACGCGTCGATATCACACCTCTTCTCGAGCGACTACATACCCCTTCCCTCACTAATTTCATCCTCATAATGAAGCAAGCCGCGGAGTGGACGACCATCAAGAAATTCATAACACTGTCAGAATGCAGATTGTACGAACTCATGATCGAATTCGCGGTCCCCCTCAGCGAAGCCGAGCTTATCGATTGTTTGGAAATGCCTGAACTCCGATGGGTACACAGATTGGGAATGCACAACGCGGAGGTGACGAACAAAATACTCCTCATGCTTCACCGACCTGCGCAGCAAGGTGTGCAAACCTTCGAGTACCTCATTTTCCTGTGGCTGGGTCGATGTAGGGCAGACGTCGACCCGGCCACTCTCTTGCGCATGCTTGGATCGCGGTTTTGGACCATCCTGGATACCTGCGTCCCTCCAACAGAGCTCGAGTCGGCACACATAGGTGTAGACGCAGATATGGTGACGGGGGATATGGCCGAGTATGAAAGGGTAATTAACGCCTGCTCTGCTCGCACTAAGGGGTGGAACCGAAACCTTACTTTCTTCGACGGATAACTTTGATGCGAAGAACGTATTTGAACAATATACTAATTGCTGTGTACGCGTAGGCTAGTTAGTTGCTGGTAGCAACTTGAAGAGTCAGGCGTTCACCCTTGTGAACCATTGACACGGATTGCGGTGAACGTATTGGGTTAAAGTATTTCCCAAATTCCGTTCCGTGAATAAACGTATTAGAGAGTTTGTGCAGGCCACGGGAAGGCCCCGACGTGGCCTCGAACCCACGGCGTGGCTTTTATTTCCTTTTAAGGGCAATTTTCGGCCTTGCACAACGATTTTAGCCACGGCGTGGCTTTCCCGTGGCGTGCACAAACTCTCTATTAGCTGGTCAGAATCACATATATCTGTTTGGATGCAGGGGTGTGAGGACAATTGGGGATGAACTAACCACGCCCCGAGAGTAGTGTACTAGTGACTTCATATAGGATGGGATCTAGATATAGCGCAGGCAGACGGTGTAGATCCCGGTCTGGATTCAGGCTGGAGAGGACGAGAAAGGGAGTACGGAAACGCAACGGGAGATCATAACCTATCCTTGTGAGTCAAATGCCTTCATGGATATAATCTTCATTGCACTGTGGCGATGTCTCTGGATCGCCACCTCGTCAGAATCGATTTAACAACGCTAAAGCAAAATTTAAATAAGATGCTAACAGCTTGAGGGCCTTTGTAGATTCCGGAATGTTAACTCCTCCGTCGTCCGTCAACTAACCAAGACCGGAGAGGATCGGCTATTCCACAAAAGGAAAGTGGATAGATATGCGCCTCACTCAGGCACGAATCCTCCGCCACCGCAGACCGGATCAGCGCCATCAGACGCGAGCTCCCAGTAGATAACAATCATGCTTCGTCTAGCTAGATCTACAATTTCCGGCGAGACACTACCTAATTAAATGCCCTACATCGAAAACAGGAAAAAGAGTTCATGATCCAAGAGGCTGGATCTAACAGCGAAGAAGAGGAGGGATTTGTCACCCTGACGGAAGATGCCAAATAACGGGTATTTAGCACTCATAAGATTATAAATGCGCTTTGGTTCTTGACACTGAATGCTCATTGACGGAAACCACTGTAGAGACTTCCTTTATCCTGTAGTGGGGTAAGGACAAGCTAATCTTCAAAATTTGCCAAATTGTCTAGATATTCCTCTGTTGTACCAATAGCGCCCCAATTTTAACTTCAAATTCGCTTTCCAAGCACATTCAGTTCCGGATAAATATCGTTATTTCCATCGAGCGTCAGTCTGCTCCTCAGAGGAACTTTTAGTATCCGCGCGTTGGGAGCTATTTCTGGGACGACTAAAAACGATCTATCCAGTGTCAAGTCTCGATGCCAAGCTCCGTTTCCCTCATGATCGCAGGGGTGGAGATCTAGATCGATTGTGGGTAAAATATCACAGAAAAGGTTGTATGAGCAGGCCACATAGTCCGCCGAGAAGCCCACGTCCCAGAATATTCATACTCATGGGCGCTCAACGCGGATCTACCTGATTCGCAAGCAATCTCCCTCGGGGAGAGTTATTCGCCCCATGTTGGGGCCTGAGGCCTGAGACCTCATGTAAGTCTATGGGCCTCTGGGAATTTCGTGACCGCAAAAGATGAGTCCCGGTGATGATCTAGAAGTACAGAAAGATATGGATGACATACAGGCTATATCGACGCGTACCCTACAATTTACAAGTACATTACACTACAAAAACCCTTGTCGCGGAATCGTCAGAGTGGCAACAAACAGAAATAGGATATCACAAAGTCGTTTATGCTAAAGAGAATAAAGATAGACCCGTTGAACTGGGACGAAAGACATGCATACTAATTCTGGAGCCTATAAAATGGCTTAGTCTCGCAGAATAAATTTCAAAGCGAAGTCTGACTAGTCGATGAAGGGCACGAAATGACCTGTCTTAGTATTGTGAGGAGACGACTGCTCATAGAAGTCGAGTGTCTCTGGAACGCCGCCCACGCAAATGCCTTGACATGGATAAAGACTATTTGGATGTTGAAGAAACGGGGGGTCGGTTTGGAACTGGAGGAATGAAGGATGAAGCGACGGAGAAGATATTGGAATATGTTGCTCGGGAGTAATGAAGGACGATGGATCTGCACGGAAAGCAGGTGGAAACGCGGAGGTGGTGGCGGTGGATTCGAAGCCGTAAGTAAACGAAAGCCATCGCCGTTCCGCTACTACATCCACTTTTTGCATGGTACTTTCTTGAGCGATATCTTGAACGATAGTGTAGCGATCAATATCTAAGCGAGTGAGTCAACAGGCAGGCGCCAACAGCATCGTGAAAAGGAGAACGCTCACCTGATTTCAAAATTAATTTTCCCCAGAAGCCTGGCAGTAGAGGCGTCGTATATTTTACCGATCCCGAAGGCAGAGGGAAGGAGGTGAGCGAGGTCTTCTCCGTGTGTATGAAGATCGAGTTGTCGTAGTAGACCGTGAAGGCGCAAAAACAGGCGATTGTCGGGTCAAGGAGCGAAGAAAAGAGGGTAACATTTGGGACTCGTCCAGAGAGAGAAGCGATTGGAAGGTCGGGGAGCGTACGCGCACTCGACAGCCCATGTGAAACTGGCGAAAGATGTGGATTGTCGACGGTCAAGATCAAATCGCACCCATGAGACATGATCTCAGCATCTAGTCCAAGATGGGCCGAAATCCCAGTTGTTGATAGGGCAACGTTGAGTTGGATCTGGTCGAAGGGAGACTCGGTAACGTCGAATATTGCCAAATGTGAAGCGTCGTCACAGTCGTCGCCTTCCTCGTCGATTATCGAGGTCAAAGATGGGGTAATAACTGGACTGGAGAGACGCGAAGAATTTGTGGGCGATCCGTAATTCGTTTCTGAGGAAGATGGCCCGTAATAGCGTCGAGTGATCATCTCAAGGACTGAATAAGTATAAGCGCTGCTCAGTGTCGACTGGAAAATGGCATAAAATTCTAACGCTCACGTTCTGGATCCTTAGAACTCGCGCTGATTTGTTGGAGACGACTTCCCACTTGTTTTGCGGTCCTTTCTTTGCCCGTTCTAACACGGATGTGTTCAGCGATAAAGCAATTGCGCTTTGTGAACCTCCGGAGTGGCCTTCCTGTAGCTGAACGCGGCTGATAGAACCGCAGAGCTAGAGTCCTATGTAAGTCATCCACACTGACGAAGACATAGGACGCACTCACCCTCGAGGAGCGCTTCCTCGAGATTATCAGGCCACACAAGTTCTTTCTTCTGAGAGTCCAGAGTCTTCCGCGTCTTGCGGCCAGTCAAGGCCGAAGGAGGGAGTACGGCTGTTGGAAATGCGTCGTCCTTTGGCATGAAGTCAGAATATTGAACGAACGGGGGAAGAAACAACGAGCCTCAGTCTCCCCATATAATATACCTCATGTCGGCGGGATTCGAGGGAGCAACAAGGAAAGCCAATCTCGGCCGCGATTTGATCGCAATTTTTGGGGTCCGAGGCTCTTGCACGGGAGCGTATTTCAGCCAATGGAAGGTCCGCAGAGCTACATTAAGGCAAATGCAACGTATGTGCCTGAGTCCTCATTTGACGGAGGTTTGGGAGGCTTGACACATCGGGTAATATAGGTAGCATTGTGGAACATTGATCACGAAACTCGGGCATGAATGCCCCAATGAAAGCGTCTGAAAGCGTTGTTGCAATGAGAAAAGTGGAGGTTTCCCTATGAACAGCGCAGGACCAGGAAAATCTTCGGGACCTAGAGCAGAATATGTTCAATTGCTTTCAGATTACGATAAATACGACCAACGGGCGTCAGACATGGTTTTGATATAAAATGCGTAGTGACTCTAGATATAAGTTCGTGAGTTTCGTTTGACCGAGGGTGGTCGTAAAGAAGAGTATCTCGGAGCCGCAACAATCAGGTCCAGGATCGATGTATCTAATCTAATCTGTTCGCTTGACTTGGGACATACGAATGCCGATGTTTTCGACTACTTACACGCTTTCTAAGTGCCTGCGAAGGAAAAGACATCGAAGAGCCCTCCAAGTTTCTAGCCAAGTCAGCGCCATCGTGCGCCACAAACACCAAATTTATCGTCATTCAAAAGCGCCGTAATTTCTGAGAAAACAAAGAGCACGAAAGCTAGTACCGCTCCTATGTAATGCGATATAAGTAGAATCGATAAAAGAGCATCAAAGGAGTGTGAAGCCAGTTCCAAAACTGTCGGGGAAAGACCAAAGGAGTGTGGGACGATTTTATCCGTCAAGAGTCGAGGATAAATAGCAAGAAGTGGTATCGATCCGATCCAAAAACTAGCTGCTGATATACTGTAAGCGTTCTACGTGTAAGACGCTACGCGAAGAGTCAGAAAAAAAAGTCAAAGGCATACCTAGCGATGCTTGTGGATGGTGATGACCATGCGTACTCTTCTCAGATTGAGCATCAACTTCCGCCACCACGGTCGCGGGGCAGACTTTATAACGCTCGTTCCGTTCGAGTTGCCGTTCGCATCTGCCTTTGTACTGGTGGTGGACCGATGCTCCGAAGCGTGCACGGACGCCGGGGGCGACGGGCGTGGTGTTGCAGCCTGCGAGGAATAGACAGAAGGGGATTCACGCCCACTCGCGGCAGAGGTAGGGAGTAGACCCAGGTCAAACCAATTCATACCGCCTCGCTGTCCGAGGCCAAGGTCCAACGCTGCGTTCAGACCTAAATCCATGTCAAGACCCGCATTTAATTGTTCTAGTTGCTCTGGGGATATCATCGACCGGTCGACAGGCGGAACGGGCGGCTTTGTCTCTTGCTCGGTTACCGCAGGAAGGGGTTCGGGTTCGAGGACCTCGTTTATCGGAACAGGCGCCGATGAGGCCGAAGGCTCGCTCGTCGAGGCGAGGACAGTCTTCATGAGCGAATCCCAGTCTTCTGACTTCACACCGTCGATCTCGAGCGGGGCCAATTCCGGAGGCGGTTCGTGGATAGCGGACGTCGAGAAGGACCGTGTTGAGTGCGAATGGGAGAGCGAGGAGGACTTTGAAGGCACATGACTCCATTCTGGCGAGATGGACCGTCGGGAGGGGTGGAAAGTAGAGTCGAGAGAAGTTGACCGAACATGAGAGAATAAGACGCCATCTTCAGCTGCTTCTTCGGCTGGGAATCCGCCCCACTCCAATCGCCTGTTCCGATCAATGGGTGTACCACGGCCAGCATACTTGATCAAGGGCCAGGAGCCCCGAGCACCTGTCGGGACTGTTGCTGAAAGTTGGGGCGAAGAGGCTTGCTTGATTGACTTGGAGGCCGTCAATGCCGGCAGTCGGTTAGACGCAAACGACATGCTCCGAGAAAGTATCGGAGATGCTGGAGGCGAAGGGGTTGTCGGCGGCAAGTTGGAGGTCGACGCAACTGGGGAAGGCGGTGCCGACAGGCAGGACAAATCCAGCTCGAAATCCGTGAAGACATCGAAGATAGAGGTGTCGATGTTGATCTTGGTGTCGATTGGTACGTCGCGAATGGTCTCGTCGTCGTTGTCGTCTTCTCTGAGAGGCACGGTCGCAGCTTCTTCTTGCGCTGCTACTATGGCCTTTGTGACCGTGTCGGAACGACGGAGGTCTGACCTTCAGATACATGAGGTTGGATATTCCCTACGTCGAAGATGCGTCAAAAGACTTACATATTCCTGTGCTCCTTGTTCTGCGAAACACAAGGACGGATGAATGGGGTTGTAAGGAACCTGGCGGATGCGGAAAGAAACGCAAGCTGCCTTCGGGTGAGCGAAAAGAGACAAGTGGCGAGAGCTACGTGGCCGTGCCCCCCAGGTCGTCGAAGAGAGCAGGAAAGATAATACTCTGGGAACGCGTCAGAGCTTTATGAAGTTCGCGTTCTAGAATCACGACGAGGCCGGGGTTTACGTGCAACTGGAAACACCTTGAGCGGCGTAATCATCCGTATGTGCTTCGCAGCCGCGGAAGAAGAGGTTAAAATGAGTCCTCATCACGTTCCACACGCGCAAAGCCCACGAGGCTAAGGCGATGCAGAGTCTCTCTACGCCTATAAGCCACTGATTTAGGCTGGAGGACTGCACGGGAAAGGTTTGTGTTGCCGCAAGTGGGCCACGAGGGGCTGCGACTTGTTATCATGTAAAAAAAATACCCTATACAAGTCTCAGCTTTGGGCGAACAGGAAGCGAAACGAGGAACCAAACTACCTCGCGCAACTAAGGCGGGTGGGAAAAGGTATTCTGGCAGGGAAACTCGAGACAGAAGCGGCCATGGGGGAGCCGGTGGGTATTTGAGTCTTCATCAGTTCTACGGGCAAGTGGCGAATTTATTTTCGAGGAGCAATGCACCGACTACGGCAAGAGCTGGAACTTGAACGATCTCTGTAATCGCTTGAATCGATAAAAATCGCGCACTTCAACTCAAGCTGAAGTTGACCGGATAGCGTTGTACCGTAGATAGGGTCGCTCTGCAAGGTTACAACAGCAAACAAACTTCGCGTGAAGTTAGGCACCTTGAGAATGAGGATTTGACGTAAGTAAGGTTTCGAAGGATGCGTATGGAAAGAGGGGCCAATGATTCACCTCGACTTCACTCACAAGCTCGCTGAGACTGGTCCATCGGAAAATGTAGTAAATTGAAGATCGCGTACGTTGCAATACGCTACAAGAATAGGAGCTGTTACAATGGATAGATTGCGTCTGGTATTTCTTGAGTTGTAAATCAGCGAAAGGTCGCAAGACAGTACACTGCTCACCTGAACTATTCACATTCCTGTTCTCAATTTACGACGTTTGCAATAACAAGCAACCATTGAACGAGATGATTGAAAATAAACGTAGCTTGTTTAAACGGAATGTTCGGGATTTTCGGACAATCGGTCGTGAGAACTAGATACTTAAAGTGTATTACTTAGTTGTCAGCATCACGCGTACCTGTCACTTGAAGCGTGACATTTTCCATCCTCTCCTCATCCCGACGAACTTCGAGCCGGCGAAACCCAGGTTCTTCCCAAATTTCACAGCTAAATTTCAGTCAATTACACTGACAGTTTTCTCATTGCTTTTGATGTTAGTGTCCAAGCCCAACGCATCTAAACATATCTCTGTGAACCCCTCTTCTCGTTGCGGCACCAGGATTCCATATTTTCTCGCCTGACACATAAAGGTTTACAGGGCCATTCTTTCTGATTCGTCCGATATATTTCTCTGGCAAGTCGGCCGCCTTAACCCCAATGGTGGTCGGTCGGCGTGACTACGACCAGAGGCTTGAGCCATCATGCATCAGCTTGTACCAGTGGATACGACCTTTGGACAAGACGTCAACTATCACCATGGGTGTCCCTGCAGCGACAACGCTCGCCCCACTGATTCAAATGCATAAAAGACCACCGTAGTAAGTGCGCAGGATCCATTCTTTACGTCCTTTTCCGTCTATACTCATTCTTGTCTCTGTTCTTCTGACTGTCTGCTCCTCTTCTAGATTCGTTCCTGGATCACCGTAAACCACTTACCATCGATGTATCAGCTTGACCACCGATAATCGCCAACAGACCTAACCGGAATTACTCTTTCTCTCGGGATGTGGTTCGTGGTAGAAATGTTCGAGATGGGGAAATGTATGTCAAATTTGTAGCTTGGGCTGTGCTTTCCCGGCTGACATTGGTGTTTCTAGAAGACCGTATCGAGCGCTTGTACAGGACGATCCTCGAGTCTGCTAACCCTTTGCCACAGTCCCTATGCCGCAGCAGTCACGCTACACTTTTCAACTCGTTCTATGGCAATGTTTGCCCTACGCAAGGCCTTTTATTACGCTTAACAAGTCAGGCTATTTCGGAGTTGACATGGTACTGTTTCCCTCTCATGGATTTGGAGGCTTCGCTTCATAGTGCCTCCGCCGTTTACTCACTAAAGTGCGTCCCGCCTAATCCAATGTGCGACCCTAGGGGGTTGCTTCTGATCTTTTCATTTTCCAAGACCCTATGTAAATCCCACGCGAGGTTCATTATCGTCGGGTGCTTTCGAGGAAGTACCTAAGAAGCACCCAATAGGATGGAAAGGTCTGCTGAGATTTCATTGTCAAGCAACCAGTAAGACCGGTTGTGCCGTTCCGTACCCCGTATCCACTCCTTAAACTTTAACTATCTCTCAGGAACTCTGCTATAAATAAACAACTGTCGATTGCTCATAACAGGCTTGGCCCCTGCTCTCCTCGACTTGTGGCCAGACCTCGTTCGTTTGCCATCTTTTTTCTTTTCTTTTCTTTTTCTTCCTCTCCGTTCTTCACTTCGTTTTTTTAGGCGATTGACCAGCGTTTGTGTGGATTCCTCCTCTCCTTACTTTTTTCCTTTTCAAGGCCTAATCATGGCTCGTCCGACGGGAGTCGATTCTATTCCCAACGAGCTCCTGGAGAATATTTTCGAAGTCGGACTCCTCCTTCCTATTCCCATGGACGATAACTACCCCCACCGACCTCTTTTCTCCAAGTCCCCCCTTCTTCCACTGTACCCGACCGCGCTTTCCCAGGTTTGCATCCGTTGGCGAGAGCTTGTGCTCCAGATGCCCAATTTGTGGAGCCATATTCACCTCACTAGGTCCATCGAAGCACATCGTCGCCTCAAGTCCGAAGTCCGCCGCTCTCTCGAGTGGTTGCCCACATATTTCATCCGCTCAGCAGGCCTTCCACTTCATGTTACGGTGGATACGACGCGCCTACCAGCCACAACGGTCCTCAACCTCATCCTGCCGCACAGCGCGCGTTGGCAATCGTTCACGCTGCTTGTGTCGCACATTGGTAGCCTCCCTTCGATTCTCCCGCTCCTCGAGAAGACACGCGTACCACAGCTCCGAACGTTGTCAATTTCGTCCGATATCTACCGCGATGGCATTGTATCCTACGAACCTCTATCGCCCTTCTTCGCCGTAGCTACACCCGAGCTGTCCAGCGTGCACCTTCACGGTGTATATATTCTGTGGAACGCCGCGCCGCTGAAGAACCTTCGCACCCTCGAACTCCATTTCACCTCCCGATGGCCAACCTTCACCGAGCTGCGAGACGTCCTTCTTGCGTCGCCCCAGCTCAGGCGTTTCGTTATCCACGACGATATCACCGAACTCCTCCGCCATGTCGACCAGCCGCTTTCAAAGCCCAAGATCGAGTTGGGAAGCCTGAAGTATTTGGAGATCGAGGCGTACCGCGTTCGCGGTGGGCACGCGGACGTCGCGAGCCTAATCGGCCTGTTCACCCTGCCGCGTGTTGAGACGCTCGTTCTCCGTGAGCTCAAGACGGGAGAGTGGACCAACGTCGCTATGATTTATGGCCTTCCGGCCGATCCGCGCAAGTTCCAAATCCGGCCATCGCGTCGAAGCACGGATTACAGGGCCAGCGTATTTCGAGTATCTGATTCCTTCCCTTTTCTTTCGACTTTGATTGTTTCAAGCTCTTCTTTTTCAGGAGGCGCCACTCATTGACACTTATTTCTCCTCGTGCATCATCCTCTTCATCTCTTCGTTTTCCTCACTCCCACCCTCTTCCTCTATTTCGCTCTCATCTCCTTGTCCCATCCCACTCGCTCTTTTGTATCTCTCTCTCTCCCTCTTCCTTTCTTCTTGCTCGATCTGTTCTTCGTTCAACGGTGATATCCTCCCTTATTCCTTTCTTGGTTGGTCTCTTCTCGTTTGTCTTGTTCTTTGTGCTCTTTGCTTCGTTCACCTGTAACCTTCGTCTGCTTTCTCCCTCTTCGTGTTCACCTTCGACTTCCTCCACCTCTTCGGACAATATTGAACGTCCCTTTCTTTCTTTTTTGATGTCACAAATCTGTATATCACCGGGTTTCACTAACCCAGACGGACGGTAATGCCCGCAAGGACGCTGGACGTTGTAATCCTAAGTTCTATATTCCACTTGTACATCCCCACCCTGCCACCACTCAGTCGTACTGTTGTGGATCTACACTCTTTGTTTTGTACTCGAGCCATGGACACCAAACGTTGTAGGATTAGGTCGAAAGTCACATTTGTAAATACGCTAGCGAAAGAACATCGTCGTGTATGGATGTAGGGATTCCTTCTTCGAATTGTACAGTCATACCAACTAGTAGCATAAGAATTGGAGTCCTGAACTGAAAATGTATTACACTACTGTACAAGTGGTAATCTTTCAACTGCCTCCCTTCTCGACAGAAGGCAATGAAGTATTGTGGGCTTCTGTAGGTCATCGAGGAAAAGCGTGCATATCTAAATGCGTCCTCATATGATCTACCTTAAGATGCCCAAGAAAGCCTGGTGGTCCTTAGTCGAGTCAGGCGCCGGAGAACCCTTACTCCTTGGTCCAGATAGCGCCCCGGCGAGCGCGATACCCGGCGAAGTGACGCATACCGTTGCGGGAGCTTCTGGTGTGTCGACTTTCTGGTCTCGAGCAGCGTCAGTGGCAGACATAGTGATGAAAGGTGTAGTCTCCTCTCGGTCGCGGTCTAAGTAGACGCCTGCGAGATCCACAAAAGACTCGGCATCAAGAATGTCGGTGACGATGGCTAGTGGTGCGATTGCGCGTAGACGAGCCATGCCACGCAAGTTGTTTTGGGATTGAGGTGACCGCGACCTCACCAAGGATGTGGCAGTAGGGGGAGGCACTCCATAGTCAGCAAGAGGATCGTCAAAGACGAATATTGGTGCCTCGTCGCTCAGCCTCCTGGTCGTCAGTCGTTCGGCCGGGCACGTATTCTCTTGGTCGGCAACATAGAACATGTCTTCATCGTCGCCAAAAACTCCCTGTATCAAGTTCTGATTATGAAAAGGAGTTCGAGAGCACGGTAGATGGTGCTCACCCTTAAGATGCTTGCAACGACCTTTCTCATCGTCAACTCTGCGGAAATCTCTTGCATCTCTCAGTAAATTTGTTGGGCAGTGGGTCCTTTAAATTGGGTGTAGATGACCGGCATGGTGTTTACAGACAGCCGCTGGAGCTTTAAAGTATTTTTATGAATGCTGATCGCGGAAAGTTAATCACAGGGAGGTGGGCTCTGCGGACGCCCGAAATTCATCAGTTCATTGAGTATGAGCGAGGAGAAAATAATCACAATGGAAAGCGCCTTTGACACTAGACTAACGCTGTATTCTGTGGTTACAGCCCTCTGTGGGGCTTCTAACGAACTCTTGGTGTCGAGGGCCTAAAAGTGTGGCGCAAAGCAGTCTGGGGAGGATTCCTGTGGGGGCCTAGGCGTCTTTCAATTGGAGCAGTCGGTAGTCAAGATGAATAAAGGAATAACCTGACTTCAGACTGATGATACCGACGGTAGGTGTGCACTAGTGGCAGAAGTAAAGTGGCACAATGCCTCTGAGGGTCTTCAACCACTCCCCCGAATTTGGATACGTGTTTTCTTTGGATGAAAGACTTACATTCGTAGATATCCTACCGGTAACTGAAAGAACATTGTTGTGTACGTCTTGAAATTGTGCCATTGTGCCAAGTCAGGAAGATGTAATTGTAGCCATTAATCTGAAGTAAGAATACACTTTAGTACAGGTTGATAGCCTTTGGACTAGGAACGGCCTAGACAAAGACAGCGGAAAACAGTACAGGCTGTCAGTCTGTAAAAGATACCGGTGCATATAACTAACGCATGTTATGAGCTACCCTAATATATTAAAAAACCCAGCTAGTCCCCACTCTAGTCTGGCGGAGACCTCCCGCTCTTTTGTGCCTCGACAATTGCCGCACCAGGTGGAGTGGCCGGCAAAGCGACGCCCACCATCGCCTGTGCTCCTATTGCACCAACCTCCTGTAATTCTTGAACTACGGTTGAGGCGATAACTTGTGGCTCAACTCCTGATGTGGTAATTGGGGCCGGGTCGACAGATATGCATGCCAGTTCCATGAAGGACTCGACATCGAGCACATCAGTGACGATGGCGGGAGGTGCGATGGCGCGTAAGCGGGCCATCCCGCGGAGATTACTGAAGGTACTAGTAGGATACCTTGACCTTCTGACGAGGTCGATAGATGGTGCCAGTACGCCGTAATCTGCGAGCGGGTCGTCAAAGACGCACATGGGGGCCTCGTTACTGAGGCGCCTAGTGGTTGGGCGTTGGGCGTTGGGGACGCTGATATTCCCGTCCGAAACAAGGGCAAAATTGACCTCCTCCTCAAAAACTCCCTACATAACTGTGAGCATGAAACTAAACTAGAAACAGTGGCATCCGTCGTGCTCACCCGCAAGATACTTGCAACGACTTCTCTCATATTGTTTTCAGCAGCAATCTCTTCGTATAATTGCTGGGCTGTCGGTCCCTTTGAGTAAATTACAGGCATTTTTTGTAAAGGAGGGCGTTTGACGAGAAAACTACGTTCAGGATTGTCGATAGTAGAAGTAGCTGCAACCGGATGTTGGTTCTGCGGATGCCCAAAATTCGTCAGTCAATTGACGGCAGGTAAGGAAAAAATAGTTACAATAGTAAGGGTCTCTGTCGGTATACTCTCCCAGAATTCTGAAGTTATCCGTCTTCTGTGAGGACTTGAATGGGTCCTCGATGTCGACGTCCTACGAATGTGGCGCAAAGGAGTCTGGGAAAGAGCCCTGCACTGGCCTAAGCGTCTGTAAATTGGACCAGTCGGTAATTGAGATGGGTAGGCGATTAAAAGCTTCTCTGCCTGATAATTTCGACGAGGGATACGGGGACAGAAGTAAAGTGGCACAATGCCTCTGACTCTGAGCGCTTTTGAGTAGTCTCCGAATTGGGATCATCACGTGCTTTCTTTGTCTTTTGATGGCAGATTTGAGCTCCGACATCTCGTTGGGCCACTGGGCCACCAGTCCGCGGTCCGGGAGGTGAACATCTTAGGTTTGAATGAATTATAAGGGAATTATAGAAAGCTATAGTGTACATGAAGAGGGTATCTGCAAATCTGGAGGAATATAACCATCTAGATAGGTAGCTCTCTATCCTTCATCGCCTGGAACTCGTGGTCCATAGAGGTATGGAACCGATTGGAGCACCTGGTAAACCTCTCCATCTTCTCGCAGTCGTCGGGCTGGTCACGGGGAAGGGAATGCCAACGCGACGAAACCAGACGGGCCCAAGCGGTGCCAACGTAAATGTGTTGAAGGAGAGGCATACGCGTATATGACCCGTTTTGCGTTTCGAGCAAATGACTGGCAGCCTTCTCGGGCAGCTTCCCCTCCAGACGCAGGTAGGTAAGGGACTGAAGTTCAGGAAAATCGAGGGACGACTCGACAGCTTCGGATGGGATATTTCTGTCAACGAGAGTGAAGGTCGTCAGTCGGCAACGTGACCTTTGAAGGAAATCTTGGAGCGGGTTGAGTGTGCTGCATGACGCGATGGATTCATCGACGACGATGTTGAGGTTCGTCAAGGATGGTGCAGTAATTTTGGGCAAAATTTCTGAGAGCTTGAGTCTGGTCGAGAGTTGCAGCGTGTGTAAAGACTTGAGTGAAAGCGGAGATGAAGGAGAGGATTGCAAAGAAGGAATGGCGAGAGCTACCTGAGCTCGTTGGAGGTTAGGAGTGAGGGAGAGAATGCGCAGGAAGTCGTCCACGTTGATGTCGAACGCGATGTTGACTGAAGTGAGATGACTGAAGACGGTATCGGACGGTGGCCCACCTGGTGGAAGGCGACGCCATGTGACATCACTCAACGACGGAGAGGAGAGGAAGGTCTTCCACAAGTCTTCTAGTTGGTCGTCCCATCGGTTCTCCCGGGATGTCATAACTAACCCGGGGTGGACGACTTCTGTGGCGTGAAAATCTATCGATTCTAGGTTGTCACACTTGCGGTCTTGCATCATTTGGTGGAAAGGGAGGATAACAGCGGAAGGGAGCTGGAAGTCGATCTTCTTCCACTGGTCGGACCTTGCGACGAACTCCGAAAGAATCTCCCAGGCCGCCTCTGCGTCGATCTCGGTGGCTACTGGTGTTTGCCAAATCGCAAGACTCAGCGGAGCCTCTTTGGCCCGCTCGAGCCAGAGTCTGGTAAGCTCGAGCTGGCTCTGCTTGGGTTGTCGGATGAAGATGGTTGACCAAAGGGTAGGAAGGTTGAGCGCGATGCTTCTCCAGTGCGAGCAGATCTGGGTGAGCAGGCTGGGGTCCGTGTGCGACGCACGCGATACTCGCGGTCCAGTGGAGTAACGATCAGGGTCAATGCACGGTTTTCCGGAAGGGATTTCAACGTATTTATGGAAGATGCCGCACAGTAGTTCGACAGGTAATCGAGAGATTGGTGACTGCCTGCTGCTTTGGTGGGCCTCTTCGGCTTTTGGAGCGACGCGTACGACAGAAAATGTAAAGGAAAGGTCGGCCATTGCTCCTATCGAGAGGTCAATTGAACTGTGGAAGTGAAGCATAGATGACACGTACCGGAGCAAATATCCATCTTGGAGTACGAGAAGGAGGCCATTTTGAAAGAGTATTGAAACTGTGCAGATAAGGTCTGTGAAGATATAGAGTCATTCTAAAATCCAGCACCGAATATATAGACCGGAAGTACAAGGCGCCTTCGCCGCACAAAGACGATCCAAAAAGGGAACAACGTCTCCGGGCGACCGAACGAACCGAAATGTTGACGTCGCATTTTCAGTCGGTCAACCTGTTCTCTTGAATACAACAACATAGTGTAAGAGCTTGTTCTAAATCGAAGGTTAGCTATGCTTCGGGAGGGATGATTGGAGGACTGACACTGACCTCGGCTCAACGTCGGGCCACGGAACCGGAAACTGCCGACTTTGGGCACACTGAAATCTGCTGAGGTTGAACGGTCGAAATTGAACCTGTGAGAGAAGAGCGTGGCTGGATGAGCCGTGTCGAAGAAAGAAAACGCCACCAAAAGTCGGGAAGTTGCCATTGTCGGAAACTATTCGTGGACAGAACCTGGCATCTTGCTTTCGTCGCCGACAGGCTTTCCATCGGCATTCGAAACAAGAGCCAGCAATGAATTGGACTAGGGTGATGTGCGAGCACACATAATCGTAACCGTTACGAGATCTACTTGCTGTTGAGGACCGCGTCTTCATCGACTGTACAGAACTAACAAGTTCAGCAAAACAAGACGGGCACTGGGGGAGCGAACAGAGGAAATTCAGCAGCCTCAACGTTGTGCAGCTTGGCTTTGGACGCGTTCAACCCTGACTCCAGAGGATGCCAAGAAGTGAGGACGAAAGGGGGAGTCTAGAATCGTTCTTTCGTGCCATGTCGGGCGAGCAGTAGGGGGTTGAAGACGAATCTAGGTGATGTATATTGATTATCGACTAATTGTCCACAGCGAAAATCTAATCGTGAATCTTGTAGCCAACAAGACTTCGGCGGCCAACAATTTCGCCAATCTGAAAGTGAAAAATATTGAGTTTTCCGACACAGGCTTCAGGCGCCAGCTACGCACCTTGAAGATGCCATAAGCTTGCAGACCATAAATACCAACACGTCCCAGGTCACCACTCTTAATCAAATTCCCCGCGAAGGCAGGGTTGCTGACTTGTGCCCAAATTGACGAATATGCCTCCTTGACGGTAGCCAGTGATGGTGGTTGGAGACCTTCGCGGACGTATATTTGCTTAAATATCTCCTTTGCCACGGACAGGTTGTACAGGAGGGGCTGCTTGTAGGCTATAAACCGCAAAATATGAGCCTCTCGGTCCTTCCAGCTCACTGCCGGTGCGGTAACGTGACAGTCCGAACAACCACCTCTACATGTCGCGTCACCGCTGTGCGAGAAGATAAGGGTACGCACATCCAAGAAGTTGTCCAGCCTTCTCTCCGAGGGGTTCCAGGAGCTTTTTTGCGCTCTCGAAAGCCTTGCTCGCGTTCTTCTGAGCAGCAGCCAGAACATCCTGTGCCTTCTGCTGGGTGGTCGACTCCGTCGAGGCGAAGCGTCTTGACGCCAACGTGCGCTGCCTGAGTGTCTGGCGGGTTAAAGAGTGTCTGAGCGTCGACGCTGGTAGCATTTTGGTGGTGGAGGCGGTGTGCAACCTTGCTCAGAACTTTTCCGACGATGATGACAATCCGTGGGAAATTGGATGGATTCCCGGATTAGCCCGGAGGCGGAAAATCTTATCTTATCACTCACTGAAGTTATAAGCCCCTAAGTATATCTCAAATATCTTCTGTCAGTTGAAGTTATTACAGTCCAAAACGACTTCTTAACTTGTTGGGTCTCTCCGCGATGCTACGCAAATACTGGTCAATGCTACTGTTTGAGCGCCAACCTACATACCTCAATTTAAACCTTGTTTCGCCAACTTTCGCCTGCAGACCAAGTCTATTTGATGGCTCGCCATTGGCCCCAGCACCAACTCCAATGATTCTCGGGCGCAGATGATTCTCCTGAACCTTGAACTTAGTACTCACATTGTAGCCTCCTGCTCTCAAAATCATACTCTCATAGACAAATCCGAATGAGGGTGAATAGAGTACCTACTTAGACTCGGCAATGGGGCTGGCTCACCAGTAGGGAAATTATTTGATCCTTCGCCGGAGGTGGCGGAGATGTAGTGTGCAACGACTAAGTTATGATTTACTAGGCAGAATTAAAAATGAGGTATATACGCAGTCCATGAAATTTCCTCCAACAGTCTTGGCGACATAGATCGTAAGGAAAGAAAAGCGTCAACGAGAATCGCAAGACGTGCAGCGGCGTGAATCCAAAGAAACAGGACTGCACCGTACCCCCACAGCATGGTTGGTATAGCATCCACGATGGCATCCGATACGAATATTACCAACCCGCATATCACCAAAAAGATGAACAGGACCATCCCAGGAACCCCTGCGATCACGATGGAGCTTACCCGCCATAGCAAGGCCTCCGCCTGGCTTGGGAACACCGAGTTCCACAACAAGCAGTGAAGGCCGTGAAAACCCATACCGAAAACGACTGATATGATGAAAAAGACCGCAGCCGAATTTCCACCATCTGTAAGAGGCGAGACGTAGTACACCGGCACTGCAAGCGAGCCTTCAAGTACGTCGTCATCGTCGAAGAGGTTGACGACTTCTCTGACGACCGCGATGGAGATGACTAATACCGGTCGAACGACGAAAGATGTGAAAAGGCGGAGGAGAGGCGGGTCGGGGATGGAGGGATAGGGCCCTAACGCTCCTTGGGCTCGTAAAGCATATTTGATCCTCTTGTGAAAAGCTTTCTCACGGTGAAAATCCGGGTCCTGTTCTGACGGTTCTTCTAACTCCTCCCTCGGTATCTCGAACTTGAGGTCGACGCGAACAGGCGTTGCGACATCCAGCGGTTTGTCCCACCAAGCTGCCAACAGCACCCCGTTCAGCACGAGCAGCATAAACGTCTCGAACTCTAGCGCTGTCAACGGAAGTCGGTTGGCCAATCTGGCCCCGGATTGGACGAGAAACCACCCCACTTGTAGGAGCACAAGGACGACCAGGAATGGACTCAGCTTGCTCTTATCCTGGATCTCTGTGCGAGATACGTTGGGGGGATCCACAGCTCCCGACTCTAACAGCTTTGAGAGCCGTTTAGTGCACAGCGCTTGCGACGGCCGCCCGTCCTTGTATAGAATTAATCCACCCATTTGAAGGAAATGGCTATGAACAGTCGTCCATCCGCGGCCTAAATGATATCAGCAAGCACTCACAAAAACAAGGGAGACGGGACTTACCTGGAACTAAGTCCACAATTGTGCGTCCTGCATACCATTGCTGAAGCGCCCACATCAACATCAGCTCTGGACAGAGGAGCGTCCAAACGAAAACTCTCGACTTCTCCAATGTTAATCGTGTCCAGGAGGCATTCGGCGTTGAGATATTAGGGCGAACGGCGAACCATGCAGAAAGGAAAATCGTGAACAGACAGCTGCAAAGGATGCTCGCAGCTGTTCGCGACTGTGTTGGGTTTGGAGACATATCGCGTACTCGGGCACAATACGGGGGGAAGGGACGTCGCTAACTGGAAAATACGAGTCGTCTCAAAGCGCCCATGGAGGAAAGATGATGGTGGCGGGACATGAGAGGCTGTGACAAATCCATTCCGAATTTCCGCTCACTTCCAAATAGCGAAGATGCCCCATTTGTCACGTTATTAATAAGGATAACCGAGAATTAGGGGCGAAGACGCCGCGAATGGATCAAGTCACCGACGAGTAGTGCAGTTCAGAAAATCATCTCTATTTCTAGTCGTATATCAAGAAAATGGACCAACGAACTAGCTGGTTATCATGGCTTTGTTAAAGGAAGGCTACCTTCGTTGTCACCCGTAGGCCCATTGGGCCAAGGCAGAGTGCGAAGGCTGGAATACGAGTCAACCACGCCACCCTGAGCGTGGTTGAACCATATTACAGCCTCCTGAACTTCGTCAGGAGGTATAAAATTAACCGATGAAGTTTTACTTACCTCCTCATACCCTCAGAATCGCAGCTGACGAAAATTTCCGGGAAACTGCATAATGTAGTTTTCGACCTCCTCTGATCCACTCCCTATAGCAGCAGCGCGATGGGCGCATACACGCGATTCAATGTGCTGTGCGAGTGCTGACACAATCTTGAACTCCGACTCGCACCTCGGGCACTTGAACTCGGAAGCGTCGTGCGCTGCCGAGTTCAGGTGCGCGTTGAGCCCGCCGAGCGATCGAAATTTCTTCTGGCAGAGGAAACATACGTAATGTTTGCCATCGAAGGAGTCATGCGTTGCGATGAACGTGGTAGTCGTTGTCTTCGGCGCGTCACTGAGTAGGTGGTTGATGGAAATAATGTGGTTCCTGTCCATGCTTTTCACGGCGTGGGTTACCTGATGTCGATTCATGTGTCGTCCGTTTTCCAGATGGTGTGCGACTCCAGAGGCGCTTTTGAATTTGCATCTGCAGTTAGACTCCGCGATGGGACAACGAAGCGTTCGTGGGACATGCGCAAGGGATTCGTCATGCTTAAATAATAGATAATCAGGTTCGAGGATAAATCAGCATTAAACAACGAATAGTCGTACTTGGCTGCGGCTCTCTGCAGTTTTGAATCCTTTTGAGCAAAGGAAGCACCAGTGATGGACAGTCTCGAGATGCGAATTCAACAGGGAGATATCTCTATAGGCAGCATTACACAACACGCAGACTTTCCTATCAATCCCTGCGTTGGCATCGGAGTCGATGGGAGAGCCTGAGGGTTCAAGTCCGTCGCTGGCGGCAAGTGGGGTGCTAAGTGGAATTTCAGCTAGAACAGAAGCCGTGAGCAGTTGAGGGTGGTTTGAATACTGATGCTAGGGCACGGTCCTTGAGATCAGACTTGGAAGGAGAAAGGATTCAAAAATTCAAGCGTAGCTTACCAGCTGCCAGGCTGCATGATCTTGGAAGGACAGGTTACACAACACGCAAAAGAGCGGGTTGACGAGATGGCCACGAGAAAAATGCACATGAAGTAGCATAAGATTCACGGTCACGAAATTTTGACCGCATGTAAGGCAGGAGTGGGGAACAGACATACTGGAAGATGGACGGCGATATCGATGGGAGAGGATGAGGGGGATCAGAAGGCCTGTGGGAGGATGCGACCCGATGCCACTGCTTTTATCACACCGTCAGAAGACACCTAACGTAAAGGAACCCTGGCTTATGGAATTCACAAATCATCTCTATTTCTAGTCGTATATCAAGAAAATGTACCGAAAAACTAGCTAGTTATCATGGCATTGTTAACCTTCGTTATCGTCCATAGGTCCATTGGGTAAACTTGGCAGGCGGCACGGAGTACGAAGGCTGGAATATGAGTCAATCACGCCCACTCGGGCATGGTTGAACCTTATTACAGCCTCCTGGACTTCGTTAAGAGGCATGAAATTAACAGTATGAGAAGCGACTCACCGATCCGCTTTCTCAGAAATGGAGCTGGCGGAATCTGCCAGTGAGCTGTTGGATATAGCTCTCGACGTCAGCTGATGCGCTTCCTATGGCCCCAGCCCGGTGTGCGCATGCACGCGATTCGAGATGCTGCGTGAGTGCTGAAACTATCTTGAATTCCGATCGACACCTCGGGCACTTGAACTCGGACGCGTCGTGCGCGGCCGAGTTCAAGTGCGCGTTGAGTCCAGCGAGACTACGACACTTCTTTTGACAAAGGAAACATACATAATGCTGCCCGTCGAACGAATCTTCCGTCGCAATGAACTTTGTCGTCCCATTCAATTCGGGGCCCTCGATGCGACAATCGATTGAGATGACGTTGTTCTTGTCCATAGCTTTTACTCTGCGTGTAACTTGATGGCGGTCCATATGGCAGCCGTTCTCCATGTGGTGAGCAATGCCAGAAGCACTTTTGAATCTACACTCGCAGTTGGATCCACTGGGGCAAGACATTGTGCGTGGGGCATGTGCGAGGGAACTGACGTGCTATTAATCCGCGTCAGTCAGTGAGAAGCGCCCAACGATCGAACTCGCTTACACGAGCGAGGTCACCGGCTGTTGCAAATCCCTTCGAGCATTCAAAGCACCAGTTATGGGCACGTTTCAGATGATCGTTGAAGCGAATGATGTCCTCAGTGGTGAATTTGCACATCGTACACACATTCTCGTCAGCACCAGTGTTATCGCCATGTCCGTCTAAGTGGGACTCGGACTCGGACTCGGACTCGGACTCGTCTCCGTCCGCAAGAGCCGCCAGAGCGGGATGCTTTGCGCGCGTGTGCTAAGCCAAAAAGAGGCCGTCAATGGAAGCCATGAAGGCCCAAAGTAGGCTCTCACCGACTGCTGGCCATGGTCGTCGCGAAAAGATAAATTGCACAAAATGCAAAAGAAAGGGTTGGCGACGTGTTGAGAAAAATGAGCGTGGAGGAGGAGGACAGCCAAGCGCGTAAAGGTTTGGCCGCAGGTTTGACAAATATGAGGGATAGGCATCCTTGAAGGCCCAGCTGGTGTGCACGGGTCTGATGAAGAAGAAGGGGCAGAAGAAAGGGTGGGAGAAACGTTCACAGGTGCCAGGGCTAATTTTATGGCAACCTCACGGTCAGAAGACTCTTAACGTAAAAGAATCTCGGCCCCCAAGGTTCATGCCTTGAGGGTCCACGGTCACATTACGGCGGTCTAATCCGGGAACGGCCTCGTGTAAAAGCATCGCGCAGGGGACTACATAACAAACATCCATGATAGAACCTGAACAAGTTTATTGCCAATAGATGATCAAAATACAATCCTCACAGCTGGAAACTACCCGTCGGGACAAGCCTCGGCTGCTTAATTGTCATGTCCCAAATCTCGTCTAAAACTAGCTCGAGACCTTCCTTTGCCCTCAAGCGAGGTAACTTGATGCACGCGCCGGGCCAAGAGATGTCGTAGTTGTAATAGAAACACTCCTGGTACGCCGACGAAATGACGATCTTAAGGTAGGTGATACCGGAAAGGTTCTGCGCGAGGAAGATGTCCTCCCAGCGCGGCCAGTGTTCATAGTCTTTCAGGTCTTGACGGTCGCTTCCATCGCTATCGTGAGCCATGTCCAAAATAAGCTCTAGCTCCTCGAGGTGGTTACCGCATGGGAGAGCCTCCATGCTTCGAAGGAACCACTCAATTTCGTCGATGCCGAGTTTTGGACGGAAATTGAGACGGAGGCAAAGAGAGCGGATGAACTTAAGGTTGGAAAGGCCGAGTGATGTGAACGGTATTCCAATGGAAGGAATCGTGCTTTCTGCAAATAGCGGATGGGTCAGACGATGAAGATATATGTTCGCGACAGAAGTACATACCCTCTGGACGGTCGTATAAATATTTGGTGGACAGCTGGAAATGATCGAGCGCATCAGCGGCGGCGTCCATGATATATCCGACAACGGGGATGTCATGAGCGCTCCTAATATCGACGACAAGGTTCTGTAGGCAACCAAAATCGAGAGTGCACCGCCTATCCTGCAAATATCCCAAGAAGTGGCCTTCGGGATCGTTCACATTTGCAACATTGCAGTTCTTGAGCAAGGCCTTTATTTCCGGGCCACAAAAGACAGAACTCTCGGAGCTTGAGAATGAGCAGGACCAGACGGAGAATGTATGGAGGCAATTCATTCGTTGAAGCTGCGAGAGCGGGAAGTTCGCCATTCCCCGCATTTTGAAGCTCTGAATGGTTGGGATTGTCAGCAAGTGTTCCAAGGCGTCTGGATATTGCCGATTGTAAAGCTCGACGTCGAAGGAGTAACCCCTGAACTGAAGGACAACGGATTGGACGTCGTGGAGGAGCACCATAATTTCAGCAAGCGCGTCGTCGTGGAACATCCACCCAGGAGACACCTCGTGTTGCTTCTTGAGAGCCAGGGTAGCTGCGGTGTCTTCAAATTCCTCGTCGCCCCACAGGGATCCCCCTTGGGCGGCCTCGATCAAGCCTCGAAGATTGCGAACCACGTCGTACACTTCGAAATGACGAATATACCCAGCATATCTCGGGTCCAACTTCAACATATCGAGCAGTTTCTCTGACATCGATCGTTCTCCGTATTGGTGTCGGTAGTGGATGGCCACATCGCGCAGCATGCGTTTGCGGCCGATGAGAACGAGCTGCTTCGATAGATGCGCGAATGTCATGGCTTCTGGGACATCGACATATTCAACAATCTTGTCGATGACCTCGAGCGACAGCCGCGGCAGTCGAGCGTAGGCAGCGGCGACCTCTGGATCGATGGCGTCAACTTGTGGTGCTCCGGGAACGGAATAGAGGGCGTATTGAAGATATGGTGCTAGGAATGGGCGGGAATAAGACGATGAGAGCGACACCGGAGTGGGAGTCGGCGTCATCTCATTGGGGTCGAACTCGTAGTCGTTGTTGGAAGCCATAAAGAGAGGCGATGGGAATAATCTCCCGCCTTATACAAGTTGTGGCCCGGTGCCACTGATGGGCGTTCCCACAATCCGCGAACGCAAGCTAGACAGGGGTAAACGAGCCACTGAAGGGTGTCCATTGTTGACGTGAATTTGAGCATGTCTGCCTATGGCAAAAAGTTGGCTATGTCGGCTGTAGGGGGTGACTGGCAGGGTGCCCTCACGGAATTAAACCTGCCTTTTCGAGTAATTTTGCCCTTGACACTAGTGAGTACCCTCTCGAAGGTGGTCGAAAATACAGCCACTTGAAAATCCGTGCCGAGGAGCTGGCCCTAGATCGAGATCCTGCCGATGGCAGGTAGTTTGCGCTTTGTCCATTTTCGGAAAGCGCCTATAGTCAGGGATCAACGCAAGCCAGATCCCGCGACAGGGGTAGAAACGCTAATTTATGACGGTCGAAAATCTGCAGCCGAGATTGATAAACCCTGAGAAATGCTGCGGGGTCCTGATAGTCGACGAAAGATTATCTTTTTTCCTTTTTTGTAGTCAGCAGGGTCGTAAAGGGAGAGAAAGTCGCCTGAAAAGCCGTCTGGAAGTTCGACTAAACCCTAGACCTAGCGTTCCACTAGCAGCGTTATGTCCCATTTATGGTGACGTCGTTCAATGAGAACAGATAGTCGGGAAGAATCAAGGGCTGTAACCAGAGCCATTTCGTAGAAGATTCGAAGAGTAAGCATAAAGGAAAGGAGGTGGTACCCTTCTGGATAATTCGTCTTCGAGCTCAAGCTTCGAGAGTCGAAAATTGTTGAATGTTGAAGTCGAAGGAGTGAAGCAAGTTCGGCTCCGTTGTTTGTTTGATTCAAAAGAGGTGCTAACCAAAAGCAAATATGGGCGGCCCTTTCCGGAATCCGATCCGCCTTCTTGTCTTCCATATAACATGGTCATCCCGGATAGTATAATGACAGACAAGAGTCGATTGAGGTGAGATTAGGGTCCAATGTCCAGCATCAACAGCTGACCTTGTTCCGCCTGAAGCTAGGACCTGCCAACTTGACTGAACTGATCTTTTCTGTTCAGAACGTCCTACGGTTGCCGAAGAATATATTCACCGTACGGAGGGTTTCAGAGCGCGCAGAGAGCTTGGCAATAGCTTAGCTGCATGGCAGGTGGGCTTCCTCCCCAGTTCTCATGTGCAGAAACCGATGGAAAGTTCCCCACTGGAAAGGCAGTGGTGATAACGCGACCAGCTTCTTGACGAGGTTCCCCAAGCCAATGCTCGTCTCCCCGCACGCTCAGCCTCACGGATCGATAAAGGTGAGGTCTCTACCTCACCACTAATACTTTATCGGAACCTTCTATAGCCGTGTCATAGGAACGACTAGACCTATCACCGACGTTCCCCACATCACCTGGCGTTGCGACAGACCATGCATGTCTGCACAGGTCTGTACTGTGACCAAAATCAAAGAAGCTTTCTTTCACCGGACCACGAGGTTAAAACTATTGGAAAGAGGCCAAGTTCTTCTCTACATGTTGGCATCGACCTCGAAGACGAAAGACTACGCCTGGCAAGATATTTTTGTACATGCGGTCAATGACAGCAGACGACCATATGCCTCGTCCAGTTTCTGGTTATCGCCTTACCCCCCCTTCGGCTTGGGACGACGAATTTGTTGGATTATCTTAGCCAAAAGTATGTTCTAATGGTCGCGTTGCACGAGTGTTCTGACCACATCAAGCCAGATAGCGCTGTTTCGCTGGCCGTGTATGTGCCCAAATACACATGGCGAAGCATCCTTTGTCATCCGAGGCTGTAAATCCAGACGTCCGAGCACTTCTGTTGCGTCTAGCACGCAATCTCACCAATGCGTCGATGGGCATGACGGAAAGATCATCCCAATCGTATCCATGTGCTACTCACAAGCGATAACTATAAATGCAACGTCTGCAAGCGATGCAACAGCAGGATATCTTTCGGTTTCCACCCTCCCGAACGCCCTACGTGAACGATGTTCGCCACCAAGACGTTCTTGTCCTCTGTATTCCTCGCCATCGCGTACGCGTCCTGGGCGAACGCCATCCAGGAGCGCGACATCCAACCCTCTTTGAGTACTCGTCATGTCCACCACGTACGCCGCGACTTCAAGGTCGATGTATTCCATCCCGCTTCTACGTTTGAGGTGCGTCTTCTACATCCGAACCCGTCTCTTAGTAACTAACAGCCACCTGTTGCCAGACCTTTGGAACTGGGCTTGAGACCGACGTCTCGATTGAGGCTCGCGCGCCAACGGACCTGAACTCTACTGCACTCGCCTTCGTTCAATCACGGCTCGGTGTTGATGCCAGCTCTGTCGGCTTCAAGAGCGGATTCACGGCCAGGAATGAGAAGTTCGCCTACGTCAAGCAATATCATGTGCGTTCCGGTCGGCCGAAGCATCGCTCGTCGTCTCTAAAAGTCTAATTTTTCAGGACGGAGTTCCTTTCATCAACGCCGTCGCGAACGTGGCCTGGAAGAACGACAAGGTTGTGTCCTTTGGCTCGTCGTTCGTCAAACCCCGTAAGTGATTGAAACAGAGTCCGCCCGAATTCATTTTCTGACAGCCTCCCCTACCTAGAGCGGTTCGCATCAACCCGTCCTACTGTTGCTGCCTCCTCCGTCATCTCCAAGGTCGAAGCCGCCTTTGACGGGAAGTACAACGGGTTCCCCGTCGGCCTGGAATACCTCGCGCAAGACGACGGCTCAGCTGCCCTTGTGCACACCATCCAAGTCCAAAACGAGGAAGTGAACAGCTGGTACGAAGTCTACGTCGACGCGCACTCTGGCGAGATCCTCTCCGCGACGGATTATGTCGCCGACGCTTCGGTAAAGCCGTCTTTCCTCCGAAGTATCCGCTATCAAACTAATGAGTTCTGTGATCTAGTACACTGTCCTTCCTATTCACAAGAGGGCTCTTCCTGAGGGCCAAGAGACGCTTGTAGATCCCCAGGATGACCTTGCTTCCCCCTCCGGCTGGCACACGATCGGCACCGCTTCGTCCGTCACCACCTCCGGCAACAACGTCGTCGCGTACAAGACGTCAGACACTGGGCTGACGTCGCAGAGCTCTGCCACTCTCAACTTCGACTACCCCTACGACATCGCTCTCCAGCCTGCCGTGGCTGCGAACCTCGACTCTGCCCGCACGAACGCGTTCTACATTATCAACACTGTGCACGACTTCACATACCGTTACGGCTTCACCGAGGCGGCGTTCAACTTCCAGAACGACAACTTCGACAAGGGCGGTGCGGCCAATGACCGCGTCAGGGTGTCCGTCCAGGACGCCTCCGGCACCAACAACGCCAATTTCGCCACCCCTGCTGAGTAAGTGTCATCGTCTACCCTATGTTTCTATTTTATCGATCCCTTTTCTGCAGTGGCCAATCAGGAACTGCCCGCATGTATATCTGGACGCAGACCTCTGTAAGTATTCTTCCTTTTTTGCAGCTGCATCTATACTCAACGCTGCGCACGTACAGCCTCAACGCGACGGATCTCTCGAGAACGACATCCTCGTTCATGAGATGACACATGGCATCACCAACCGTTTGACTGGTGGAGGTACCGCTCGCTGCCTGCAGACCACCGAATCTCGCGGTCTTGGCGAGGGTTGGTCAGACGCTCTTGCTGAGTTCGTCTTCTTTTTTGAATTTATTTGACTAGGCGAAGAGGACTTAAAATGTCGAATTTAGCTGGACTGAGCAAGTTCCAGAGATCAAGGACTACGTCCTCGGCGACTACGTGACGAACAACCCCGCTGGTATCAGGACGCGGCCTTACTCCAGGAGCTCGTACGTACCAACAAAGTGATTTCGACGGCTGCGTACTAATTTGTGTTTTCCAGCACCGTTAACCCTCAAACGTATGCTACCATCCGGGGAATCACCGCCGTTCACAGTGAGTATCGTCGCACTCTTTAGGTTTCCGATCTTTACTGTGGCCACAGGAATTGGCGAGATCTGGGCCAACACCCTCCACAACGTCCATGCTGCTCTAGTCGACGAGTACGGCTGGTCTGAAACCGCGAGGACCAACCCGGAAGGCACAGAAGGCAACGTGGTCTACCTCCACCTGTTCCTCGACGCCCTTGCACTACAACCCTGCAACCCCACATGTGAGTCTCCTCGGCTGGTTGACCGTGCATTCTGCGTTTCTGACGTCATTATTTCCCCCTCAGTCGTCAACGCTCGCGCTGCATGGATCCAAGCTGATGCCAACAGGTACGATAGTGCCAACAGGTGCTTGCTCTGGAGGGCCTTTGCCAGCCGCGGCCTAGGTATTAACGCTGTGTCCGGCACGTACACGGACAACAACGACATCCCTGCTGACTGCTAAATGGCGGTTGTAACATCTTGTGTATGCTCAAACGTAAGTAGTTTGACGCTGTGTAAAAATGTATATTGTCTTTATCTGGAGAATCTAAATATTTAAAATTAAAGCTGATTCCCGAATTTTGCTGATATGACTGGACTTAAAACCAATCGATTTATCGAGTTTGAGGCCTTGAGGCTCCTTGAGGAGGCAAAATTGACCAGAATACCTTGAATGCCCAGCCGTGGGCGCCTATTTTCGCCGTTCGAGTTGCTCGGGCCGTGTTGGGCTGCCGAGATGTTCAGATCATCAATGAGTCATCAGAGCTGCCGGAAAATAACTGGAACAAACAAAGATGGAGAACGGCAACTGTCAGCAAGTTGCAACTCAACGTTCAACAGCAACGTCTCCGCCATCTTCCGCCGTCTCCATTGTGCCTCTATTAGCAACAATTAACGCACTTTCGGGAGTTTATCACCCGCTGACGCGGTTTCGCATGTCGATGGAAGCGGAGAGGTCGGAAAAACAAATAATTGGACAAAATCGTAAGTGGCAGAAGCGCGTGGGTCAAAGATCACTAATCCACTCTTCATCTGTGCCAAGGTATCAGCGGCGATGCGAAGAACCTCTTGTTCCTTCTGCAGTCTCGAATTTTCCACCATCGCGATTGTGTGCGCTCCCTGTTCAGATACGACGCACCAGGGGTCTTCAACATGGCCAAATTCATGAGATTTTGAACTCTGTGTTGGTTCTCTCATCGTCTTTTCGTGCTTTCGAGAAGGCTTTCAAGAGTTTCGAAGGAGGCGAAGGAGGAAATGGAGGAAAATGAGAGCACAGTGGGCACACGACGCATCATCTTGGCATTGTCTTAGCTGCGTGGTGATGTTGAGAGTCCTGTGAGTCCTGTGTGCCCTGTGTCGAGACATACCATTCTCAGCTTCGTCCTTAGAGCTTATTAGTGGCACCCTACTATCTACGCGTTATCTCTCGACAGGACTCTCCGGATCATTAGCCACTCAGTGTGGAACTATCGATTGGGAGAGCCCTTCCCCAACCGTACTTACCCGGTACCGCGTCTTCCTGACGAAAGGGCCTTATCATCTTTTTCAATCCTCGATCACGCGATGATGACTGCATGGCTCTCACATCGTGAGTTTAGTATCCTTAGGTGCTACGCGAGGCTCACTGTAGTGTCTAAACCTTCAGCACATCGCATCTGATGCCCTACCGATGCATATGTATCCCGTCGCCGCCACATGCAGTAATGCCATACCTGTCAACCGAACGACATTCTATCAACATGGGAACACGCGCTTTCACGAAGCAAGCCTTGTGGGCAACCGCTATCTATTCCTCGTTATGGTGATTTGGGTGGTGCACGAGTCTGGCACCCGCATTGGAAGAGTTTTCATGACTTCGTTGCTTCAAGCCGAGTCTTTTCCATTTCCGCATGCGGTACCTTTCTACGATCGAAGTGTAATCCTTCCCGTTACGCGATGTTCCAAGGCCAAGATGCGGTCGAACACAAGAACCACCCAAGCAATACGCCATCTTATCTGACCACACGACGCTATGCTCAATGTTGGAATGCCTGACCAATACTCAAGGGACGGGTATCTCTGAGGCTCAGGAAGGGATATAAAAGCGACCAACCGCAAACCTATACGCCAGCCAAGTCTCGCAATTTCGCTTCGACTTCAGGATGGCTGCCTTCAACAAAATCCTCTCGTCGGTTCTTCTGGCCATCGCCTACTCCTCCATCGCTTCTGCGTTCCAGGAGCGCAGCGTCGTCGATGATTTGAAGCATTCGACGCACCGTGTTCGCCATATCAGCCGCGACCTCAAGCTCGAGGTCTTCCACCCCGAGTCGACGTACGAGGTACGTTCTATACCTGGAAGTCCTTGTCTTTATCTCACTCGGCGTCTTTGCAGACTTTCGGCACCGGAATCGAGCACACGCTCGATGCTCGCGCTCCCAGGGACTTGAACTCGACTGCGCTTTCCTTCATTCAATCCCGCCTCGGTGTTGACGCCTCTTCTGTCGGCTTCAAGAGCGGTTACACAGACGGTGGAGAGAAGTTCGCATATGTCAAGCAATACCACGTTCGTCTCCTGTTTGGAGTTTCAATATGAAACCTGCTAACTTTCGACGCTCCTAGGACGGCATTCCCTTCATTAATGCCGTTGCCAACGTTGCTTGGAAGGATGACAAGGTCGTCTCCTTCGGTGCTTCTTTCGTGAAGCCCAGTTAGTGTTCATGCCCTTTTTTCTCCTGGTTGAGTTATTCATTCCTATGCAGACTCCATTGCTGGGTCTCGCCCAACTGTTGCCGCTTCCTCCGTCATCTCAAAGGTCGAAGCCGCCTTTGACGGCAAATATAACGGCAGGCCTACCGGCCTCGAGTACCTCGCCCAGGCTGATGGCTCCGTCGCCCTCGTGCACACCATCCAAGTTCAGAACCTTGATGTCAACAGCTGGTATGAGGTTTACGTTGACGCCCACACTGGTGAAGTTCTTTCCGCCACCGACTACGTCGCCGATGCCTCCGTGAGTTAGACTTGTCATTCGCCTGCAAACCGCGTTTTGACCCTCGATTGCCCAGTACACCGTCCTGCCCATCAACAAGAAGATTTTGACCGAAGGCCAAGAGACTCTCACCAACCCTCAGGACACCCTTGCCTCTCCTTCGGGCTGGCATGCTTGGGGAACGACCACCACAACGACCACTTCGTGCGTTTATTTTCCATCTAATTTTATATATTTCCTGACTCATCGTTATTCTTCAGCGGCAACAACGTTCTGGCTTATCGAAGCACGACGACCTCCCTTACCTCGCAAAGCGCCACTGGCCTTGTCTTCAATTACCCATACACGGCCTCCGGTGCTCCTAGCACCACAGCGAACATCAATTCTGCCCGCACCAACGCGTTCTATGTCATCAACACCATCCATGACTTCGCCTACCGCTACGGCTTCACTGAGACTGCCTTCAACTTCCAGACCGACAACTTCGGCAGGGGCGGTGCGGCCAACGATCGTGTCCAGGTCTCTGTCCAAGACTCCTCCGGCACCAACAATGCCAACTTCGCCACCCCTCCCGAGTAAGTTCGCATTCCTGAGACTTCCTTTGCTCAGTGTTCACGACGCGTTTAGTGGCCAGTCGGGTATCTGCCGCATGTACATCTGGACCCAGACCACGGTAAGCAGGCATCTATGTTGACGATGACAGTAATTTGATTCATCTTATCTTCTTCAGCCCAACCGCGATGGCTCGCTCGAGAACGACATTCTCGTCCACGAGATGACCCATGGTATCACCAACCGCATGACTGGTGGTGGAACTGGCCGTTGCTTGCAGACCACGGAGGCCGGTGGTCTTGGAGAGGGTTGGTCGGACGCTCTCGCCGAGTACGTGATTTGTCTTTATGAATTTTGTTCACGCGATTCTGATACTTTTGACATTGAAGTTGGACTCAGCACAAGTCGGCTACCGTCCGCGACTTCGTCTTGGGCGACTACGTCACCAACAACCCCGCTGGTATCCGCACCAGGCCCTACTCGACGAGCACGACCACCAACCCCTTAAGGTACTCGAATGTCAGCGGTCTTACCTCCGTCCACCGCATCGGGGAAATCTGGGCCAACATCCTCCACAACGTTTACGCTTCTCTCGTCGCCCAACACGGATGGTCTGCGACCGCCAGGACCAACCCTGCTGGCACTGAGGGCAACATTGTCTTCCTTCACCTCTTCCTGGACGCTCTCCGCCTCCAACCTTGCAACCCCACCTGTAAGCATTCCTTAAGTCCTTGTCTTGGCGCTTGATACTTACTACTGCTTCTCTCCGCAGTCGTCACTGCACGTGCTGCGTGGATCCAAGCCGATGCCAACCGTTACAGCGGTGCCAACAGGTGTCTCCTCTGGAGAGCCTTCGCCAGCCGTGGTCTTGGCCTCAACGCCTCTGGCTTCGTTGACAACACCGCCATCCCCTCCGACTGCTAAATGCTGTCGCCAAAATTTGTAGTTGGGTTTGGTTAACATGAGAAATACGCCTGGTTGCGGCGTTGTCGTTCTACAGTGTTGTAAAGCGTTGTATATTTATGTCTCAAATGCACCTTGTATACCTTTCTTGACATCGCTTTGATGAAATATCGCTTTTATTGCTTTGCTAATTTCCTTCATATCGGAAGAGTTAAAGATCTTGTTTGTCTAATTCGGACTACAATTGACGTTTTTGGAGTGCGGAACAAGGATGATGTCATTGGGCAGTGATATTAAGAGTTCGGCCCTCGATTCCAAGCACCCATAATAATCGCCAAAATCTCCACTCACTAGGGCTCCATCCTTCTCCGACAATGAGTTTTCGTAACAAGCCCAGCGCCAATCAAGGGGAACGGCAACGTGAGTTCCTTATAACGTATGCTAAGGCAGAAAACCGAAACAGCGTTCTGCATATCTAGCCCTTGCACGAAGCCAACCCGATAATCAGACGAAGGAAGCCTACGAAAGAACGGGTACAGAATCTATGCCAGGAAGCTACCCCACTAGTCCCACGACAGATAGTGCGTAGTTTCAGGGCTCGCGCGCTCGCGAGTTACATCGAATCCTGATCTGTATTATTTCGAATTGCAGCGATATATTCTGGCGGATACGGGGCCGGCTCTGGCCAGGTATGGTCGAATCAGGCACAGCGAGGGGTAGATATGCCAACAGGAAACGCTGAGCGAGGCAGCGGACCTGAGGAAAAGAACAGCTTGGGTCTCATCGACCAATCGGTCAACGGGACGAAATTGAAGACTGAGTTCGAAGACGCGAAGCAAGGAAGAGACCGCGGCTTCGGGGGCGAAGAAGATGAATGGGGCATCGAGAAAGGGGCAGAGAAGGACTTTTGAAGATGCATACGTGACGACTGTACGGAGCCTTGTATTCTTGTAAGATATAATGAAGAAAACCCTCTCAACAGTCGTCAGGAATAGTCGGATCGTCAACGTAATCTGCTGCATTGACGCCAAGGCCATGTCTGGCGAAGACGCGCCAGAGGAGACATTTGTTCACACCGTTGTAACGAATGGCGTCGGCTTGGATAAATGCGTCTCGAGCCTGAACAACTTGGAAATGGTCAGGATAGGCAGTCATCACATCAAGCGGATTCGATCACTTACAAGAGGGGTTACATGGTTGTAATGGTAAGGCATCGATGAACAGATGCAGATACACAATATTTCCTTCAGGTCCTGAGGGTCGGTCATCGCGGCGCTGGACCATCCATACTTGTCGATCAAAACTGCGAGGATGTTGTGCAGGATATTTCCCCAAACTTCCCCGATGTCTGTCAGCAAGGAGTTAACGGTGAGCTTCATCGGTCATCGGATGGATAGAGGCAAAGAAAGTATCAACTCTAGAAAGAGAAGTATCCTCATTCGAATATACCAGTCACGCCTCACCATGTGGCTCATTCATAATGGCGACATCGGAATACCTCCTCGGGTTCGTCGAGCTATTTTAACGGAAGCAGGATCAGCATTGCTCACTTGCGCCTTCGTGAGCAGCCCTCACATGCTAGTCGAGTAAGGATACGTTCGTAGACCTTTGTCGTTTCCGGCTACGTACGTGGCGAACGCGTAGTCGCGCATGTCACCACCAGTCAGCTGCACCCATCTAGAAAGGCGAAGCAATGAGAAATGGAATGATTCGCAGAAAGAAGAGATTACTCCGCCATGATATCTGACCACCCTTCGCCGAGCCCTTCTGCTTCCAGAGTTTGCAAGCAACGTGATGTTCCTCCTCCAGTCATTCGCTGAGTGAGGCCATGAGTAACTTCATGCACGAGGATGTCGTTCGCAATGGCTCCATCACGGTTGGGCTAGAGAATCACAACTCGATAGTCAGCAACTCAGTCAGACTACTAAAGGACCACATGCCTGCGTATAGGTCCACAAAAGCAATTGACAAAAGCCAGGCGTCCCACTAATATATGGCTGACATCAGGAAGTGATTTTAGATACAGCAGGGAGAAAAAAAATACTCTGCAGGGCTGGCAAAGAAGGCGTTATTCACCCCTGCCCCTTCAGCTTGCACACTGACACGGACTGGGTCGGCTGCCCTGGTCTTGCCCGAACCTCTGAGGTTCGTAACTTGGAAGTTGAACGCGTCTTCTGTGAACCCATAACGGTAGAAGACATCGTGCATAACATTCATAATGTAGAAAGCATTTGTCCGCGCTGCCTCGAGGTTTGTCGGGTTATCCGATGGTAGAGTGGTGTTGTAATGCATGGAGAATGTGAGAGAACTAGGGTCCGCGGAGTTGGACAGGTTACCGTTCGAGTAAGCATACCCTGGATCGAGCCACTTAAATGAGAGGACATTGTTTCCTCTTGAATGAAATCAGTGAAATGGTGGTTATTACATTGGGAGATCAACTTACGAGGTAACGGTTATGTTCGCATTCCCATCATTATGCCACCCGAGAGGAGAAGCTTCATAGTCTTCTGGGTCGACAATCATCTCTTGACCTGCAGCAATGCTTGCTTTCGAAATAGGAATCGCGTAATACTACGCCACGTTAGTCTAGAGCCGCTGGCTGATAGGTAGAGCTTACAGATGCTCGCGATACGAAATTAGTAACGGATAGCAGTTCTCCAGAGTGCGCGTCGATGTATGCCTCGAACCATCTTCCCTCTTTCAGGTTGATGACTTCGACGAGGTGTACCAAAGAGGCTAAACCGTCTGAACGTGCAAGATACGCTAGGTGGGCTGACTCGGAGCGGGCTTCGCCTCTGAGAACCTTCTCGACCGGCAGAAGAGTTAACTCGAGTAAGGTTGAAGGCCTAGAGGAAGAAATCCGGACTATGACAGCGTCAACTTTGAGAAAATGAGCAAAGCAGAGGCGAATTACCAGGTCTGAAGAGAGACGAGGAGAAAACGAAGACCTTCCCGGTCATCATGTCTAATCCAACATGCGCCCCTGCATTGATAAACGGGATAGAATTCTGAAACTAGCTAGCACCTTGAACGGCTCCAGCTTCGACAATGACTCAACAAACATGACTTTGCGCATAGTAAACCAAGCGGGTTCTCTCAGTGCTTAACGCTGAGATTTGCAGCAACGTGGAGGCGTTCACGTTGGGTTTTGAGACCAAAAACGCATCAATTGCACTGGCGATGTCGAACGACGATCTTGAGGAGATGGGGGATGGTACAAGTCCGTCGTCATATGTCTACGGGTAGTACCAGCCTTCAACATCTGAGCGTATAGAAGAGAAGCAATAAAATGAGAAAATACCTCATAGATACTCGCTGGATAAAATACCTCCACAGCAACGTCCGGGGCGACAGTATGAAGCCGATAAGTTGCCCATATGCGTGACAAACGGCCGGGTATGCCTGCTGCTGCGTGTGATGTGAAGGAGAGCCAGAAGCAGACCAGAAGTAGCCAGCGCTGGACGGCAGATGGATTACAAGACATCATGGGTCCAGTGAAAGTTCAAACGGTTGGAGGAGTGATATGAAAACATGCATTGGCCACATTAAGGGACGAACTCTGAGCGACGGATGGAAGGCTTCTCCCCGGGGTTTCTCTTGTTTATCTATGGAGCCATCCACAAGTACGATACTTCGATGCCATGATTCTTGAGGAATGGCCCCGAGCTGTACGGAGAATGCTTCACAGCTCTTGGGAGAATATCGGACATCAACAGCTTGAAAAGAGTTCGGTTCCAAAAGGCGTTTGCTCTACTTCAATCGTGTTAGGCTGTCATTTATCTTTTCGGAATTTGAACCTCACCGTCATTCGTCAGCTTGAACTGTATCGACTGACAGCAAGTCTGAGAAAGAGGTGAGCGGTCCCGGTTGGTAGCGAAGAGAGCGGGGATAGAAGGAATTCGAGCGGAGAATGAACTGATCTCCCGAAATTGATTTGCTCGAGAATACTACTCTATAGCAACTCTGTAGTTGGATGCAACTTAGGTTCGTCAAACCTCATCTCACATGTTCAGTAAATTCAGCGCTCTTGAGGATGCTTAAAAACACGATCGTCGTTCCACCTTATCTTCTCATTCTTCTCACCTTCTAGAATGTCCTCTGAAAGAGTCAAGAAAAATTCACATAGAACATTCTCTTGCCAACTGCATGCAAGAGTGGTATGGGGCCGGATAAATGAAAGGATATCGATATCCCAATTCAGATAATCTTACTGGGTCGGGTTAATCGGAGGGCGATATGTCAAGCGCACAAGTACCACCATATTTGGCAATACTCAATCGTGGGCAAGTCGGACGCCACACAGAATCCATACAATAAGTCGTTCTTGATTTTGCTCGTACCTACTTAAAATCAGTGAAAATCGTATAATTTAACTCTCCACATTACGTCTATAATGCTTATGGAACGGAAGGCTCCAAGGGTGGACGAACCCAGGCCGCTACTGGCACACGGGTCTCATTCCGTCACATGAAATAATAAGGAGGATCTATAGCTGTTCATTGGGGAAAAAAATCTCCTATAGCTGCAAATATAATAGAGTAACGATATCACTTCTGAATCCTAGTGGCATTGATAAATACGTGCCAGTGTAAAATCTCCAGTAGTCCGTCTTCCATTTGCCTGATTTACGATGCGCGTTCACGATATCATCGAGGAAGCAACAAGCCCAAATTGCCCAAACCTTTGACGGACGGCAACTGCGCGAATGGCGGGAATGTCTACCCGAGTTCAGCCTATTCAATGGGATATTACCTACTTTCATTCCTCAGTGACGCCCGAAGTTTAAATGGGCGCAGAACAAGCTGCTGGCCGCCATGATACGCCATATAATGCACTGTGAGGTCGATCAACAAATTGATACAATTCGCCTAATTGAGCTGAAACAGGAGCGATATTCGTGTAGGAGAATCTACGAATGAACCATGAATTAATGAAGGTGTAACTTCCTCATTCCGCCATGTTTTGAAAGTGCATCGTTCATACACACCCAGTCCTGGACACAATGTTACATAAAATTGGAGGGCTCTCGTCCTCGAAAGTGGCCTTACGACCAGAAATTGGTCTCCTGCTAGATCTGGGCGGTCAACATATTCAGTTCCTCATCTTTACTCCCCCTAGACAGATTCACTGCAGTGCAGAGACCGGACCAAGGGGGCTCAGGGGCTTCCGAAAACTCATGCCGCATCGCAATGTTCCAATGAGAGCTCTGATTTCCTAGACCCTCGAATGTAAGTGGGTTGATAAAAATACTCTCTTCGCGTTCTGGTCACCGTCTGAACGACAGTAAGCCAACGGGGGTCCTGCGGGTGTTATCTTATCTTCCCTTCTCGGGAATCAATTGAAGCTATCAAGCCGACGGCGGAGCCGCTCCCGCCACTATCATCGACTATCGTACCCTTGCTTTCCAACACCTCTAGAAGAGGCAAGACCGGGCCAGAACTCGTCAGGATCTACACCATAAAACTCGATAACGTCAGGAACGTTGATAACGCATCTCTACCTCGCACATCTACCAGACTATGGCCACTGAACTCACCGCTGCACGCTACGGGAAGACCAAGGTTCGCGTCTTCCGCATCGTTCGCGAAGGAAGCTGGCACAACATCGTGGAGTACAATGTGGAGGCCCTCGTGGAGGGTGATATAGCGACCAGGTGCGTGGCCAGGAGCTATGAATGAGATGATGCTCATCCGACCATCTTTAGCTACACGGAAGCCGATAACTCTGTTGTTGTCGCCACTGATTCTAGTATGTGTTCTCTATGTTCTAGGTGATGAATGAAGTGTCATACTTATCGATTGTGAAGTCAAGAACATCACATACTGTCTGTGAAATGCTTGTGGGATAGTTCGAGAGACTGATCTGGCACTCAGATTTGGCCAAGGTCTCTCCACATATCCTCCATCGCCGAGAGGTTCGCACTGCACCTGGGAACCTTCCTCGTGTCCAAGTACGCGCACCTGTCGAAAGCTTTTGTCACCGTCGAGCAACTCCGATGGACTCGCATTCACGTTGCTGGCGAAGCGTCTCCTGAAGGCCACCCACACTCCTTCTATCGCGATGGAGATGACAAACGTGTGGTGAATGCCGTCGTACGTCCCAAAACACCTCTCTTCTTCATGTCAATCTTAATCTAGAGTATCTCAGGTCGATGCAACAGGAGGAAAGGATAAGCTTGTCGCAACAGTGACGTCTGGGGTTGCTGACCTGCTCGGTAGTTCCCTTTATTTATTCATTGAGATAACAGCTTGATTCATTCCGCGTGCTTCTTCCAGTTCTCAAGTCCACTGGATCTGGGTTCACAAACTTCTACCGTGACGAATATACAACCCTGGTAGAGGTGGATGACCGCATTTTCTCCACCTCAGTGGACCTCACGTACACCTTCGCCCCACTCCGAATTGCGGCGCCTACGGACGAGAAGAAGCTCGAATTCGTCATGCCTCTCCAGAAAGGCGAAGGAGGGTATGCCGGTAGTGTGTGGGATGAGGAAGTCCCCGGTCGTGCCCGCGCAGCCACGCTGGAGACTTTTGCCGTTGACGAAAGCGCCAGCGTACAGGTATGTACTTCCTCGATGAACTTTTTATAGCTGAAATTTTCACTACGTCCGATAGGCTACTCTGTATAAGATGGGCCAACGTATCATCGCGGAGAATGCGTCTGTCACCTCGGTCTCTTACTCACTGCCAAACAAACATTACGTCCCCGTAGACATGAAGTATATTGGGGTGGACAACCTTACGCCGTCTAAAGCTGAGGTTTTCACTCCTATCGCCGCCCCTAGGTATTTTCGTTGGCATATTCTTCGGTGCTTCGCAGCCCTGATTCTTCCCCTCACAGCGGCCTCATCAAAGCCACGATTTCTCGCACATAATTTATCCTCGTGCATCGAGGCAGCCGATGTAACGAATGTACATCACCCCTTTCCCCATATAACATGTACAGTGTCAGGAAGGCTGTATACACCGCGAATTATAGAGGGCCAATCACTGCTTGCGATTTGATCGTCGACCGCGAACTCAGGCTTACCGCGAGCGCTTATTTATTTTCCCAACGCGGGAGTCGTTTTTACCAATGCAGAAGTCGTGCAAAGGGGCGAAAAAGTAAAAGTCAAGGCAGTCAAACGCAACAGTGATATTGACACCGTAGAAGCCTCATGAGAATGAGCAGGGGAAAGATGAGCCTGTCGTCTCAAGAAGCGTGGCCTTTGAATCTGACTCGGGAACCGCCTTTGCAGTAAACAGTATGTAAATAGACGGGTTCGCTCTTGAACTTTTGAATGAGCCTGGGTACATTGTCGGCCTCGCTTTCTTCATCTCGGAAAACAGCGACATATATTGGTGTAGAGGTTATTAATATGTATACGGTTGGTGGCGCCTTTCAAAGATTTCCAACGTAGTCACACACTGGTGGTACTGTGAAGGACTCGTGGCTTGTGAGCTAGCCGCGGACGCATGGTCTTGTTGGTTCGGGTAATCTGAGGACAGATAGGAGCATAGACTTACGTGGCTGCCTCTCAAGATGTCGAATAAATGTTTTAAATGAAATAATATCCTGCTATGTATGAGCGCCAATTTGTGATCATAGCAAGTATGTGATCCCGATGTGATCCTTGGGATATTCACTCACTAGATCTCCATAACCAAGTGCGACTCAGATCGGTATTCTGAAGCTCTCCCAGTCGAAGATAACTAACCATGGAAGACTCTGCCCAGGACTGTCAGAATGTGTCGGATCAATTACCATCTGCGCACGTAATAGTCCACGTACATACATAAACCTTAAAGCTGCGACTCGGAATTCATCTTGCAGTCGCACACATCAGGACGCGCACGACAGGACGCGCACGAGACTTGCAGGTACTTACTCCCTCTCAGTGACAGTAGCATTCATCTCTCGTATCAGCGCTGACTCGGTGGCGTTAGTGTAGGTGCAACTCTGCTACCCACCTCCGCCATAATGTACACAGCATTTCGTTCGTCAGCTTATCTTTTGGTCCGCATCCTACGTGCCGTCATCCCAGCATCTGGGAGCTCAGAGGAGTGGGACGCAGAAGTCCCGCCATTCAGCAGCAAAACTGGTGATTCACACCAACTGCTCATATCGACGTGGCATTGGTACGTCGGTGGCTCCTACTCCTCCCCGACAGATGTCCAAAATTCTATGGTCATTCGCATTCAATGGCTCAAGAATGCGAGTGGTTTGGAACACGAGTATTTAGTGATTACTGTCAAACGCCAGGGCGGGGTGGAGGCCACATTGCGGATTGAAAGGCGACCGTCTCAAGATCAAATCGTTTCTGAGGCGTTTGCTGTCTCCTCAGAGCTTCTAGAGGTGACGTACAACTTGCCTTCTGACGGTTGAAAATGCGTCTGACTCTCACTCAATCCACAACAACAGACCCTGAGCTGCAAACAACGGAAATCCTTATCTCAAGACGTGGAAGAAGAAAGGGTCATGATTCGCCAGGCGGCACGAATGAAGGTCCCGAAACTGCATGACAAGCGGCAGGACCTTCAAGCCAATGATACTGTCATCCACGTCCGCAATGAGGCTGGTCAGGTGTCAGGCTGCAAGGAACCAGCCTCCCTCGTTGCATCATTTGGTGAATTCCAGAAGCCTCTTTTGCTGCGCGATTTCGTGTTCGCGGCTTATCAGGCATCTTCCTTCATGGACGGCAATTTGGCGCTTTTGAAACAGACATTTTGGTTCCCCAGAACCGTTGTCACGGCGATCATCCAGAATTATCACCCTCAAGAAGTTCAATACGGCGAGGCTTTTGAACGCCGCGGGTGCTATTGCCTCAAGATGGACACGGAACGCCCCTCATTCATTCTTAATGTTGACAATCCAGAAGAGGTCAGCAAGATTTCAGCAAGATTGCTTCAGGATATCGAGAACAACGATACGCATGTAGGATGCTTTTATTCCTCGAGCGTGTATTCCTTATATATTCGTCTTAGATCCAGGAGAAGTACATGGCTGGTCCAGGTGGAAAAGCCCTCGAACAAAAGCGTGCAGACGAAGAAGAAGAGCGTCGCATTGCTGCTGAGCATGCAGCCTCGCGCGCGCGTGAAGAAGCTTCCACTTTAGCTGAACAAAATAGGCAGCTTGAAGAAGAGTTGGAACGGTTGAGGGCCGCAGCAAAAAAATAGTGGCTGGTTTGTGTCATCCCTGGGCGTTGGGGCTTCCGTCATCGTGCGTGGAATGCCTCGCGGCACGACTCCATCCCTGTCTTCCCATGGACGCTTTAAAAACCTACCTTCGCGGGTTCTGTGCAATGTGTATACCTCGTGTCGAGTGACGGGCAAAGGTGACACCAGCACTAGTCCTAAGGTTGCCAGAAAATCTCATCACTGATGGTGGCGCCTCAACAGGCGCTTCGCGAGGTGTTATCAGGCGCCCATCAGCTGCCCGCCAACGCGGCTGGCCAAATCTTCCTCTATAGGCAGCTCGGCGATTGCTCACATTCTCATGCGCGATATCCTCAAGGTCTATATTCACACAGAGAAGCATGTCCCTGCAATAGAACGGCTGCAGGACGGTTTTCACGTATCGCTACAGGGTCGAATGAGGGAGGACCACTTGCGCGCTAGTGGGCAGAAATGGAGCACTAGGGCTAAATATCCGCTTATATGCGATTCCCCATTCAGTTTCATTTTGTCCATGCGCCTGAATACAGGCAGTAGAAAATCCGACCTGCCATGATAGGTTGAACCCAAATTTATAAAGGAGCCTGTCCAACGCATATATCACCCGATTAGGACCCAATTGATCCTACGAGGTTTCGAAATCACAAAAGTTCACCTCACGTTGCCTCTGTCTTGGGCTTTCCTTTTGGGTTCTCCGAAAAGTGTGGTGGCTCGAAACGGAATTCTCTCCTGTGAGTGCTGAAGCCACCAAAGTGACACAAGAAACCTTCTCGTGTTTCGGGCGCTCGAAAACCGTAGACTCTTCATCCTGCTTAATATTTAAGCATCTGTACCACAAACCACCTCACGCCACTTTCTCCTTCGCTTCGAGTTCTCTGTCCTCTAAACGGCACGTCGGCCACCAATGGCAGCTCCAGTGCTACCCCCTTTCCTTCACCCTGATGCTGACTCAGGGCGTCAAATTATCAACGTGTGGTGCGGTCTTGTGGCTGAATTCTATTCTGACCCCGGGGACGTCAAGAGAATGTTTGTGGAACGCTTAGATTGGTTCAAGAACAATGAAGGCCTGAAGCACGAGTTTCTTGTGCTCACTATACACCAAGTCGATGAACCGGAGGCAGCAGTGCTGCGGTTCGAGCGTAGACCGTCCCGAGAACAGCTTTCACGGGAAATTTTTGCGCTGGTCCCGGACAGGGACGACAACGAGGTGATCGCCGGTCTTCCTTTGTGGATAATGAATTGACTTTCTATTCATATAGAAGCTTAACAAAGAGACAAGAAAAGCCCTGGAGAAAGATTTCGAGGCCGAAAAGCAAACTCTACGTTCGGCAGCTTTGACCAAAGCGCAGAAGAAAACTGACAAGAAAGGCGACTGCGTTCAAGCAAGCGACACCGTCACACGTGTTCACAGCGAGAAGGGGCAACTCACGGGCTGCAAAGAATCTGCAACACTCATCGAATCCTATTCATTCGACAGTATACTTCCCCTCCGCGACTTCATATTCGCTGCCTCCACTGTGTCCACTTATTCGGAGCGATATCTTGTCTTCCTTCAACAATGCTACTGGTTCTCTCGGACGACAGTGCAGGTAATTCTCCAAACTTATGGCCCAACAAGCAGACGACAGGGCGATGCTTTTAGCATCCGCGGAAAGTATACGGCTAGGGGCGGCTTCAGCCTGGAAGTCAATACCGATAATCCATCGGAGGTTAACAATATTTCGACCATTTTTGTAGACCGCCTGAAGGAAAATGACGCGCTGGTAAGCATTCATACTCAATATACTGGTCTCAAAGGAGGTCTGACCTCTTGTTTCTTTCCTAGATCGAGAAGAAATTTTGGGATGGCGCGGGTGGGAAGGCAGCAGAAACGAAACGAGCTGATCATGAAACTGAACTAAGGAAGAAGGCGGAGAAAGATGCTGAAAACAATGCACAGAAACATGCTATCATCGAAGAGAAGTTTAGAAGGCTTCAGGAAGAAGTGCAACGGTTAAAGAGGGAGACTCCCGAAGCGAGGAATAAAGATTAGATTTGAATGCACTTATCTACAACTTCGTCGTATTCTCGGCATGCTTGGAATTGATAGTTCTTCATCCCAACTTTGACCCGATAAATCCAAGTAATGTACTTTTGCGGCGAGGCACAAAATACCAGAATTGGAGATAATGGAAGAACAGAAGCGATTTGAAGTTGACCTTCTCACCTGAAAATCCAGGCGTTCAGACCAAATACACCGTCCACTGTGAGTGGTTCAATGAGAGGCTCGGATCGTAAAGATCACGAAATGGTTTTATGCGTCTTCTCGCTGGATTTGTCTGTCCATGTGCGCTAGCGCGAGCCTCGCCTCGCCTCTTGAGATAAAAGGAGAGAGCATGGCACGGGACCGAATCTATAGTGCTGAACTGTCAAAACTAGACAATGGTGAAGGAACGCAACCACAGCTTTCAAGACCTGTATACATTCAGCCCCTCCTGTCCAGCGGTCTCTGACGTTTGTTTTCAGGATGTGGGATCGGTCATGAACATATGTAGTAACGAAATTTAGAAAAGTGTTAAAACGTATGCCACTGCTCTGATGGGACCAGGATACATTAAGGATATGTACACCTTTGATTTCCATTATTCTCGACCGTCACTTGAATCCTAATGCGGTATTCGTATCACCAAATGGGGAGCGGAAGTAAAGGGGAGCGTGATCTCGACCCGTATGTACTTATTAAGAGAAGACCACCTAGGTCAGGATCAATCAGGAAATTATGCGAATTTCGACGTGACTTGGAGCTTTCTTGACCCGTGATGTAGCCATGAGACGTCTGGAATCTAGTACTGATCCCATTGTTCTCTGGTTTGGGGCCTGGCCAAGATGGTGGAGATTGGCAGAAAAGTGCGCCAAAGCGCTCGTGAATCCGTTTTTTTGCTCCTTAGTCCCTCACAACCTCCGATTTTACACCTACATGTGTGAAATCGAGGAGACATGAGGGACGAGAGCACGAAGACGTCAGATCGATCATCGGAAAGATGTACACAGCGCCTAGCATCCTTCCCTCTCAGCATTCTTAATTTCACCAAAGCGCGTCAATGAAGCCGTCGTTACGTACAAATGGGTGGCACTGTGGGCATATCTGATCTAATCGAGCCCTGATCGTTATAAACAGGTTGGTGGCCACCCTCACGCTTGCCACTCACCACGATGCACGACCTACCTGCAGATGGTAAGACCCATGGTAATTTTCTAGCGAAAACTGACGCGTGTTCTGCAACAGAATCAGCGAATGCCGAAGTACATTCCTCGGAGATGGTCACAGACGTTCGCGATGCCTGCTTCAATAGGGAAAACGCGAAAAAGGTTCAAGGAACTGCCGAGGCGCCACCCAATATGATCGAAAACGCGAAAGGAGAAGGTATGTTGTCGATGTATGAGCGAAATAAGGGCCTAAGAACATGTCGTAGATACCAAAATGAACGGTGTCGACGCTCAACCACCTCCAAACACGAATGCCACCCAAACGAAGACTTCAGAGGAAGGTAGCGACGAAAGTAAAGGCGCGCGCCACGACGAAGACGTTTCTCTGGACCCCCACAAATCATCTTCCAACGAAGAGAACGCTGCTAGCCAACAAGAATCGCTTGAGGTAGCCCCACTTCGGAAGACACGACCATCCTGGGTATGCCTACTCTATAGATATGCATAGAATAATCCTCTGACGGCAATTTGTAGGCCCCAAAACCTCTGCAAAGTGCGAAGAGGAACGCGTTTCAACTTCAAATGGTTCTGGGAGGGTATCAGAAGGAAATAAAGACGCTGAAGACGCACAAATGTCTTTGAGTAAGGAAAAAGGAACAGAAACGAAAATCGATGGTGCGTGTCCGTTCTATGGACTCAATCTATCGTTCTCTTACAGGTTTTGTAGGTGATAGTATGGAAGTCGACAGCCCAGATCACACCCCAATCGACGACACTGTGGAGGCGCCCAAGCCTGAAACGAAGAATGCGCCGAACGCTGAAGAAAGCGAAGTCGTTGCCTTACAAGGTTATCCATCCGCCAACGCCGAAGACAGGCGTCAAATGGAACATACCTCAATCGTTGATGAGGCCGAGAGGCGGCCAGAAGGAAAGAACGACATCGAAGATGCGCAAATGGCAGGTCCAACCGTAGACGGTCCAGAATCAGTTTTAGAAGACGCCAAACTGAATTGTACGCGTCCTATTCGCAAATTATACAGTAATCTTATAAATCTCGCAGGCGACCGGGTGAAAATCGATTCCGCTCAACCCAACAACATCGTCGAGAAAGTCAAATCCGGCCCAAAGACTCCAAAAACGCGCCAGGAGTTCATCGAAGACATCGTAATTCGCTTCGCCGACTCCAGAAAACGCCACCTCTCTGCTGATGCCTCCGCCAAAGAGAAAGATCGTGGTCGCCAGAAAGTACTAAACGATAAGGAGACGCGCCACCGACTCATCTTCCAGCAGTGGCCGCGCGCGCCGAAGGGTGAAATCCTCCGCAAGGAGAACAGCGAGCCGGGGAAGATGGCGCCGAACGGCCAGCAGCTCTGGGGCGCGTCGTTGCTCGACTTCTACATCGTGAGGCGGATTCCGGACTTGATGGGCCTAGCGACATTCACGACGGGCAGCAAGATGCTCGCGTGGGTAAGGAAGCACGGAGAGGACGAGTTTGCGAAGGAGTTTGTCCGCAACGCGGAAAAGGAACCGGACCCGGAGAAGATCGAGCCGTACGACATTGCGAAGGCGATCATGGAAATGGAGCAGGCACTGCGAACGCGGATGGGCAAGGTAGACATGGAATGGGTAAGCTATTTTTCGGTCGCGCGACCTCCCGTGTTGAACAATTTTACAGCATCCAACGGGATCAGTGTTCCAGCCAGACGCTTATCCTCCAGGGTGGTCAAGGGGGCCTTTATTTGAAAACGCGGACCCGTACGTCCCTAGCTTGCGAAAGTACATCCCGCACACTCTGTTGCCCTCTCGACTCGTCGTACACGACCCGTGGAACGTGCTCACTGTGGCGTACAAGAATCGTGATTGGTGGAACGCCAAGAGAAAATGGTCAGAGGAGGACGACATGACGTACATATACAAACTCTCCAGCAATGAGAATACCCCGTCGAAGAAGCAGGACGAAAAAGACAGAATAGCGAGGGAGGAGAAGCGCAAGAAGGTACTGGAGACATTCCTCGCGGACCCGCATACACGCAACGAGCTTCCAGACGGAGTGATGGTCCAGACAGACAACAAGTCAGGCCATTTATCGCCGATCTATATTGTTTTTCCGCCTGAGCCCGAACGTACGCCGCCGAAGGAGGCTCATCTCTACATGATGCCGTCGCACAGGATTGGCACGGGAAACCATTCCCATGTGTTCAAGGCACGCTGGGAGTTGCCACGATCCTTCCTTGTGAAGGAAGAGCTCTGCATGACGTGCGTAATGGACGATATGGCTGAGCAGCTGAAGGAACAGGAGGGTGATGAAGCGAAGTCGCACGGGATGTGTGGCGTATATGTTTGCAAGGTTGAATCGAGACCGGAGGTGGTGACGACGATGGCGAACGAGGACGGCGAGGAGCAACAGTACATCCTCGAAGAAGGGCACTACTCCGAGAAGATGGTTTACGAAGGTTCCCTTCGCGTGATTCTCACTCGAGTCAAGTACCAGAACCTCGAGCGCGGCCCATACTGTGCGCATATCCGGAAGGAAGAAAGGGCTATCCACCCCCTCACCGCTACAGTTAGCGTCGCTGCGAAACTGTCGATAGAAGATGATTACCATCTGGGCAGAGAAGTCAAAAACTACCAGGGCTTCCCTCGACACTTCTGGGAGCATTGGAGCGGCTATAACCTCATCCATCCCATTCACGACCCCGTCCCCATCGGTCCTCTGGCACCACAGTTCTATGGGTATTATGTTCCCGACGATGACGCGATGGAGGAAGAGGCGAAGCTGGAGGCCGCTCACCAAGTGTCACAGGAGCAACAAATTTCGGCCGCGACGCAGGACCAAAACATGGAGGTCGGAGATGGCGGTCGCGGAAACCCGGATGCAGCAGAGGCAGATGATCAGGAGAAGGATGATGAATCTCCTTCCCTTGGTGCTGGAGAGGCGAAAGAGCAAGGCGATGATAGTGGAATGGATGTCCAGAAGAATGGGGATGGAAGTGCCGATCGTGATTCCGGAGAGGTGGCGATGGATGCTTCGGACGAGGACGTGCAAGATGTCCAAATGGCCGACGCAGCAGCTGAGGACTGCGCCCGTTGTTCTGAAGGCTCGAAGTCGCAAAACGAGAGGCCGGCAGACCAAAACACGAGAGACACAGTTGAAACCCCTGATGGTGACAGAGAAGGCGAGGAGAAGGTGGAGGCATCGAAAGAAGGGCAGGAGGACCAAAGCAACGATGACTCAATGGCTACAAAATCCGATCCCGTCTCTAAATCCCCGCCTGCTAAACCCAGAGTTCGACCAGAGTACCTCAGCCCGATTCTGCTTATCGAGAACTGTGGTCAACCGATTGAACCAAATTTGCTAACGGTCGACGACAAGTACGTACCTGTTCCTTCCCCTTGTGCATCCACAATCAATAACAGTTTGCCCCTGGTTTCCCCAGGCAAGAATGTGTATCCATGGTTCTCCGCTTCCATGATGCGGGGTACATCCACGGCTCCGTCGCCCGTCGAAATATCCTTCGCGTTCCTGGTCCTCTGGCGGCCTCAGCCTCCGAGCGGGTTACGAACGCCGACAACACTGGCGACCATGGAGTCAACTGGAGTTATAGGCTAATAGATTTCGGGAGAAGTTACAATGCAGAAACAAAGTCTGCAGAGGAAGTGAGACGCGAAGTTGTGACCGAAGATATGGAGGTCACCAACTGGCTTTGGGGACTTGACACTCTGCACTGAACATCGTTTGCGCTTCACTGCACGAGATCGTACGATTAGATGGAGCAGTATATGTCATAGGTGGGATAAACCCACAGTTCTAACATGGGGGTGAATTGACGACTCGGACGCATAGATTAATACAGCCACTTTCCTTTCATATTGCACCCTCGGAAAAGAATGGGTTTCAAAGCCCGAAGGCCCGACTACAAGCATTGCAAGGAGTTGGTAGGTATTAAAAAAAAACCTACAGAACTGAAGTGACGCTATTCTATAGACATGGGTTATCATTTGGCACTCACAGTCGAACTACAGAACGTCGCTGGACAAGTTGGAGAAAGGGATCAACGAGGTCATGTCCAGAAAAAGATTGCCTCGTGTTGCGCAAGTCGAGAAACACTTACCACGCCAAGCCTTGTTCTTCATCTCGAACATTCGGGGTCACATCACCATCGCTTTGACTCGGCCCCGAATGTGCTTTGGCATCGTTGACGGTTAAATGTCCTTCGCCTTCTCGACCCATGGACAGAGACCCTTTCTCGTCCCCAATCGTAATCGTCCAGCCACCTGATTTTGAAATTAGAGCCAATGCCGGCGATTGCCAGAAATTATAGGTATAAAGTGCGGAGGGCACGAGTGTACACTAGAGGTGAGTTCGTCGCCGAAAAATGGACCTTCATTAACACGCAGTTCAGAACTTGAAGGACCTGACGGAGATGTTGTCATGGGGGAACCAGATGATCCCGTCTACTACCGCCCAGCTGAGTATGGCGACCGTCTGCCCTTTCGCTGGGGTATGTGAAGTCCCTGAGTTCTCCCTGAGTTCTAAAGAGCAATTTTGACCATTTCTTAGCGCTTAAAGACCTTGAGCTATCCCGTCCAACAAACCCTTTCATCTTTCATGAACCAAGGCCGAAGACGAAGCACTACTACCGATCGATATCACCTTTCGACCAACTACCCAATGAGCTCCTCTGCGATATTTTCTTGAAATTCCTAGAAGATCAACACGAACGGTTCCCAGCCAAGAATCCTTTCAAATTGCAATATCCACCGAATCGTAAACCTTTTGTGGATCCCTCAATTTTGGTTATGGTGTGCCATCGGTGGCGGCGTGTAGCCCTCTTTCTCCCGGCTCTTTGGTCGACGATCCGCATCTCATCTCCTAATCTCGTCCACACGCAACGCCTTCGACGATGGCTGGATAATTCCCGTGGCCGGTTGCTCTATCTTTTCCTCCACGATCGTGGTGACTCCAACGCGATGACAGCTACTATTTTGAATCTCTTCCTCGAACACAGAGAGCGGTGGAGAGTTGTTGATTTTTCTGCGGAACTCCGCGATGGACTCTCGTCCCCAATCTACGTCCCTATCGCTGCTTTTACGCAGGGCTTGTCACCCGCATCGTATCGGAGGCTTCTATCCGCTTCGATCAACATCCCTTCCACGCAACCTGCTCTAACCTTCCCTCCACAAAACCGTACAAGCCCTCTCGTCCATATAAGACTGGACGTGCTGCGCAACATGTGGCTAGCGATACACGAAGCACCAAAGTTGCGCTACGTCAAATGGGGCATATTCTGGATGACCACCCGGCCACGCCCCGCACCGGGCTTTAGCAGCAATTTCAGCGAAATCTGCATCTCTCATGTCATCGGCACCGTCGATATCATGAAGTTCTTGCAGAGCTTTCCTTGCCTGGAAGTTTTTGAAGCGCCTCGGATCGCGGACCCTACAAAAGCATTGCAATTTCCAACGACGCATGTTCACTGTCCTTCGCTTAGAAGCTTGACGATCTCGTCGTGGCTGGACACTGATCCTTTCTTTCGGAGCTTCGATGCACCTGCGCTGAAGCGTTTCTCGGCATCTTTCAAAGATACTGCCATTCCTTTCCCCATGGACGCCCTAGGCGATTTTTTTGCGAGGTCAAAGTCCATGATAGAGTACTTATCTCTTGACGGCGAGCATCCAGAGGAGGATTACGTCCAATTTATGACCCTTAAAGCACTACAGAACATAAAAGTTCTGCGGGCCCATTTTAGAGCTTCCGATGCAAGCATCTCTTTGTTCACATCCACGACGAGGACCCACACATCCGGTTTCCGCATCTGCACGACAATGCTATGAATGTTTGTGGCGCTCTGAAAGGTGCCTTCTTGTCTTTCCAGATGATTGTGTCCCGAAGTGGATATACGGATGATGCACCTGCCCACACGGGAGATTGTGCCCAGCTGACCAAGGTTACTTTCAACACGACGGGCCCGGCAGACGATCGTGAAAACTTCATCGCTAGTTTGCAAACACTGACGAACGAGTATTTCTCCTACTTTCCGCGTAATTATCCTCTATGCGAAATTAATATCTATTGATGGGCCTTGTACCACGTAGCGAGCGTATGCCATGAACCATGTTTCAAGAGATTTCAACCTACTTTTTGAAATTGTCCACAGCCAATTCCGGGTTTTCCATATCTGCTTTTTGGATGCCGCCTTATATTTTTCAGGTGTGCTAGGTAGCAGTCTAATGCTTCTTAGACGTGTCTTTCAGAAAATAAATTTCAGTGGCGTAGTATACAAGAGAAATCAGGCAGAGCAGGAACCTGCCGATCTTCGACGGTCTCGGTTGATCAACGCCACAATTTCCAAAGTCGACTAAGCACATTTCCCCGGAGCCTCATGCTCAACATTCAGTTTGATTATCATTAGTGTAACTTGGAAGACGAGACTACTAGGGAATATGCGGGTACGAAAGAAGCAAAACAAGGCATCGCGATTCGTAAGAGAGGAAGAGGTCGTCGCAAGGTCATGTCAGTCATTAGCGGGTCGTCAGCAGAGAATAAAAAGGCGCGAGTGAGAAAGAACCGAAACGAGATGACGAGGAAAGAATACGACAAGCATTGGGAAATAATAACGATATAGCACGAGGAAGTAAATAACGAGAAATCGTGAAAGGATCAGCTACAAATGGATCTCGGCGAGAAAGCAGCCATGAAGAACGAAAAGAAGGGAAGCCGAAAGCAAAAAGGCCGTGTAATTGGGCAAGGCAAGACCCAATCAAACTCAGGACTCAACGACGTCCGAGTAGTCCACCAGCCCTCCTGGTCAACACCCTCAGTACAATGACGCACATCCCGAGGCTCATCAGCACGAGATAGCCGCCAGACAGACGAGGCAATCCACCAAGAATAGCATCACGCCTGATCGCCCAGGTGCTCGTGAGGAACGGTTTGGGACGTGTAGGGTTCAGGTCTTCCGACGACGGAGCTTCGGGCTTGACCTTGCCTTTAGAGTCATGTGCAGATGAGGTGTCTGGAGAGAGGAACCGCGAAGGGTTAGGCGACGATGTGGCAGAGGAGACGTCCTGGTCCGGTGCTGAGGGTAATTCGGACTCCTCCTTTACCGTTACGGCGTTCTTCGAGCTTAGGAATGCAGGTGTTCGCTCCTCGCCGACGATAGGTTCGACACAGGAGCCCCAAACCTTCTTCAAAAGACTGACAGTAACGGGTAGAGGCCATGGCGCAGGCGTAAGGTCGATTCTCCTCGAAGCTTTGAACATCCTCTCCTGCTCCTCCAATCGCCTGCGCTCTCCTCCAACCTCAGCCTCGCGTCGGCCGACTTCCTCCTCCCTCCGTCCAAGCCCCACCTCTTTCTCCTTCAGCTCGACCTCCTTCTCCTTCAACGCCGCTTCCTTCGTTTGCACGGTCTGCTCGCGCTTGCCCACCAGAGCCTCGCGATCCTCAAGCTTTGCGAGTCGGTCAGCATCGTCCTTTTCTCTCCGTTCCAATAGGGCAGTTTTCGCTTCATGGTTGGACACCCTGTCCTTGAGTACCTTCTCTTCTGTCGCCAAAGTCGTTGCACGCTCGGTCAAGATGACGTCTCGTTCAGAGAGTGTGTGTTCCTTCGTCAGGAGGGCGGACTCGTGCTGCTCCAGCTCGCTACGGCGGACGTTGATGGTCTCTTCCAGTTGCCGAACTGTGTCTTCACGTTTTCCAACAGCAACTTCTCGCTCTACGAGTTTCTCTTCGCGGGTATCAAGGGCAACCGAACGTTCGTTGATACCGTCTTGCTGGTTGACCTTCGTCTCCTCCTCGCCCTCAACAGGCGGAGGCTCGAATAATCCCAGAATCCCAGCCCTCCTCGTGCCATTATCCTTCTCCTTTCCACGTGTCGCCATCGTTCCTCCAGCACCAGCAGCCCGACCTGCCTTCCTTCCGATCTCGGCCACGGACCCAGGACCAACATCGCGACTGGTGCCCTTCTTTGCGGCACCATTCCCACCTTCGCCCCCAATCCGTTTGACGGTTTCGCCGAGCTCCATCTCCCAGGCTTCCACGCCTGATATAGGCGTTGGGGCAGCATCTTGGCCCGTGCGGAGGAGCTCCTCGACCGTCTTCTCCTCTTCCTCGTCGCCATGTTGAACGGTCCCAGTGCTCCGTCCACTGTCACTCTGCGATGCCTGGCTCTCGAGGGCGGTGTCATATCCCTCTGTGCCGGTGGTCGTTCCTCCAGCCCCGCTCTCCTCGTCGGCACTCTCATAGCCCGTATCGACCTGTGCAACGCCAACAAGCCTCCTGGGTCTTGGATGGTGCAGCTCTGCTTGGCCAACAACGGGCGGGTACGGCAGCAGCCGTTTGCCATGGCTCCGCCTTCCGCTTGCCGGTTTCACCTCTCCTTCGACCTGTCGAGATGGACTAGGGTTGTGGCGTACAACGTAGACTTGGGTGTTTGGGTCTGGGTGTCCATGAGGGCTGCGGTGTTGTTGATGAGTCGGAGAGCGGAAGCCCAGCTCGTAGTCGCTCGCGCCGTACCCTGTTTGCTGTGGGCTCATGGGTAGAGCATAGCCTGCGCCTGTGTGCGACGGAGTCAAGGCCGTAATTGCTTGTGGGTAGGGATAGGCGCCACCTGGGGAAATAAAGGAGTTAGAACACAGGGGTTAGGAGTGAACGCATGACTTGACGGAGGAAAAGTGGATAATTTAGACAGGAAAAAGGAAAATATGCGCAAAGAGAGAAAAGAAAGGTGTATCCAGAAGAATTATTATCGAACGTACCAGGATGAGTTGGCGGGAAAGGCAGCATCCTGGGCTCCCTCCCGTTCATGTTTTTCTTTGCAACACCCGTAATCGTCGAATCCCCTTCCTTTTCCTCCACTGCAGCATCAGATTCCGTCCTTGCGATCGGGTTATCCAACATCCCAAACAGATCGCTGACGTTTCCTCGCTGTGGCAAGGGCCTCGAGTGCTTCGAAGGTGAAGCGGACGCGTTTGAAGGTCGTCTATCTCGCTGATGCATCTTCGTCGGAGACGTCGATCGAGAGCGTTCCTCTTCCTCGAGCTGCGTGGTCTTCTCCAAAGACTCCACCATATCCCTAACTCTGCCGCCGCTCTCGCTGGCAGAGCTTGAATGGCGGCTCCTGGTCCTCCTCACGTCGCTCGAGGTCGAGGATGACGACAGATTCCCTGGATCTTCATCCGGCTGCGTCTGAGAATCCGGGGTGTTGCCGAACCCCCAAATGCGACCACGCAGGGTGCTCTGTCGTAGGCTTCGCGACGAGGCGAGCAGGGTGTTCCGCCAGAGTTGGTTGATCCCATATCTGCATCCATAGATTAGACACTGTAGACAAGTCGAAAGGATACTTGGCACTCACTGGACGAGATCGTTCTCTGAGAGCCTCATGAACGCCTTTCCTGTGATCCTGTTCTCCCTCACAAACGCCGCGATGTCTTTCGCCACCGGTTGAGGCAGATCGACATTCCCTGCTCGCAGTGTCGACGCAAGGTAAGTCGACAGCTGCGATGGCATCCACGCCTTTGGATCCTCAGGTAAATCCAAGTTCGCTGGAGGAGATATCTGAGGCGGCCCAGTCGAGGAGGGCAATGTTTCCGCACGCTGGCCCTTGCGTCGCGGCGTCTCATCATCGTCCTCTGGCTCGCTGGTATTCCCCAGCCCAAGTCCCACTCTTCTCATATGCGTCGGAGAAGGCGAAGGCGAGCCCGTGTATCCGTACCCGTAACTCGCATTCCCCGTAGGATTGTTGCTAGCATTCGGGGGTGGAGGAAGCGGTTGGGGTAAATCTGAGGTCAAACTCCGGCTGTACCGATGCCTCGATGGTTTGTAGTGCTTCGTTGGCGAGTGATTGGCCTGCGTAGGCGATGGCGACGTTGGCACGTAGTGATGTACGCCAGTGGAGGACGTCGTTGAATTCGACCGTGAAAGAAGGCCAGATGATGTTGTCTTGATCGCGTACGGATGGGGATTCGGCCGCTCTTTCTTCGGGATTGGGCTCGGAAAAGGAAGGGTGGGCGACATTGGGGACGGTGAGGGCACGGTCGTCATCGTCGTCGTCGACAGCGTCTAGCGAGACATTTGGTGTCAATGTTGTGGTTCGGAAGAGGAATGTCACACGACGTCACGTAGATCACTCATGAGTAACGTGACACCGAACTGACGTCAACAAGACTCCGGTTTAAAAGGCTATAAAATTCTTTCTTTCTTGAATAACAAACCTGTAAGATTGAAGGAACAAAAAATAAGACGAGAAGAATCAGTTTGCTGAAAGAGAGGCCTAATCGACGAATGGGACAACCGATGTGCATCGTGGTTGGTTGTGAGCAAATTAATATTCTTGAATTTAAACCAAATTTGAATTGAACTAAGTTGTGGGGCGTCAAATTATGCGAATGGCTTGCGAGTGGCTATAGTTTCGTGGCTTCCAATGCCCGTGTTTGACACTATCTTCGGACGCTGGTCCAGGCAACAACTCCAAAGTTGATCCCCAGATCCCCGATCGTGACATGTAATGAATATAGGAATTGTGGCGCACAAGCAACCAACGCAATTTCCGAAGTAGGGCTACCTCACTTTCCTAATTTCCATCCTTACTTGGCTCTCTAATCCCTTCCCTTTTTGATTAGGCGAGCAAGTAGGAGCCCATGTAGGAACACAAGTAGGAGCTAAGTAGGTTGAACAAAGCAGGGCAGCTTTACTTTGAGCGTAATGCAACATTGATATGACCGGAAGTGAGGATGTGATGCCTGGTTAAGTAGTCCATTTAAGCTCCATTTCATGTGTAGAACCTCTTCACTGTACCTTCTAGGAATGACAAGTCTCTTTATGTTTCCACGGTAACAGATGTCCTTGTAGTCCGTCGTCGAAAGAACAAGGCAAGGTCCAGGACGATACCTATAATGGCTTCATGGATTAATCCATATTCCCGATTCTCCATGCCCCCGCCCATCTTACCGTATGCGGTGCCTTAAATCCCAAACACGGCCAGACGTGAACCCCACCTTCGCCTGACACCGGGATCATAATATGGTGGCTAGGAGGATCAAATTTGGAATAGTAGGTCCGCCTAGATTGAAAGCTAGAGCGAATCCAAAATCTGATAAATCCGCCACTGTGACGCTTATCCGGCGCTTAACGTTGTTGATTGGGCCACTTAACGAATAATCCCCATACCTTGCTTTTCCTCTCGAAAATATATCGTGTTTCCGTAAATTTGATTTTCCCTGCCATACGACCTGCTATTGATTGTAATAATCATAACTCTCATCTCTCAGTCCAAGTCGTATGTCGGGCTCGCTCTTACAAGCACTTTGGCATATGGGAAGGGAACAAACCCTCGCAAGTCTGATCCAGAAATTGCAATCTGTGCAAACCGTGCGCGTGATCGATCGATTGATCCTTCGTAGTCTTTCTCTCCTCTACCTGCCGTTCGCGGCGTCATGTTGTTTGTTTTTGTCCCACTGCAGGTGTTGGATAGATCGGAAACGCGGTGGGCTATATTTGAAAGAAATGGGCGACCAGCGACGCGTTCTCTCTTTTTCATATAGCCGTACAACCAGTAGCCCGATAGAAAAATGAACCAGACCCTTTCGTTAATTTTCTTCATTCTCAGCAATCTATGCCTAGTGTCAAGTGGACAAATGCAAAAGAAATGCCTTCGTATTGGTACTACAATTTCGCCGCGTCAATCGCATTATGATTTCCACAACGAGGCACACTGCGATATTTAAAGCACGTCCGTCTGAGGCTCGTCTTGGGACTATTTTTGGGTCCCTAACTCCGGCACGCAACTATTCTAGAGGGCGCTCAGTAGGAATATGTTTCACGACGATCCTCCTTTCTCTACTTGATTCTCACCGAGGATGTCCATAAAACTGGAGAATCCTCTAGCTTTACATCGCCGAGGGCGCCGAATGCGGTATTGAGAATGACAAGTAGAAAAAAAAACCTCTGACTCGGTCAAATCGGTCGTGCGGTTGAAACGTCTATTAGTATATCATTACAGTGCTCTAAAATCCATCAGTTGTTAGTCAATAAGGTAAGCGGAAACCTGAAACGAAGGCACGTGAACAGCCTCCTGGATCAACAACGTCCACGCAGCCAATCAAACGCGACGTTCGCCGTCAAACCAGAAGCCAGAAGCGCCAGCCGCTTAGCATCAAGAACGCAGACAGCTTCCGCAGGAGGTCAACGGCGTCCAATGAAATGGCTGGTCCTAACCGCCAAAAAGCACAAAGTCGTTAATGAAGATGTCCTATTAGACACCATGTATCGGGCCTTGGTCTTGCATCTCTTGCGAGAGACAGATGAGTTGAGATAAGATTTATTTCATGGAGTCGATGACTAGAAGACAGCATGGTCAACGAACAGACTGCGAAGGGACTTGCAGTTGGTAATTACATCGACTCCAGCCACCCCTCCCTATTTCCTTCCTTCAATCGAACATCACAGATTCAGTGGAGACGGTCGCCGTCGTGGAACCTGCGTCATGGGCGGTGCAGGCGCAGGTTGCTGTGGCTGCGGCTGCTGTGGTGGTCCCAGAATCCTGCTCTCCTTCGATTTCGAGCCGAAGAGAGCTCTGAGGTCTGTCGGTAGGGCGATGACTGTCAGCGACAAGTAACTCGAAAGCGATGACATGACTACGCACTGAGGCAGGCGCAGAACGGGTTCGATGGCCGCTCCTCCTCTTCCTGCTGCTGCTGCTTTCCCTGCCGCACATCGACCGGGAAGTTCTTGGAGACGCTCTCTGCGCTGTAGAGGCTCACGCTGGAGGCGTCGCTCGGAGTCGGGCTCGGTGGCCCGGCAGGCCGGGTAGTCATTCCCTGCGTCGTCGCGGGCTGCTGGCTGTTCTGAGGTTGCGTTATGGATCGTGTATTGAGATTCAAAGGTGCGGGAGGTTGGGAGCGCGGGCGCTGCGTCGTTCCGGCCAGCGGGCGACGAGCTTCCGCGGGAAGGGCGACCCGCGTCTCTGGAGGCCCCTTTGAGTAGATTGGGCGCTCCGGCGTGACGGGGTATGAGGGACTCTGGAAGGCCATGTGAGGCGCGAGTGGTGGAAAACCAAGCGGCGATGGTCGTCGCGGCGAATAGGGTTGTAGCAGACGAGGCGAGGGCGCTGGCCTCGCGGACAGTGGCGGGTTTCCGTAGGTTGTGTTCATAAGAGTCGTAGACCGGTCGTTAGAAATCGGAGACGAGATGGTCTAGTGGGTTTCCCCAGGAGGTGGCTTCGGGCTGTTCGAACCAGCGAACAGAGGTTGTGTCAGACGACAGGGCGTTGGGCTTTATACGATCAGCTGCAGGCACAGCATTGGCCCTGAAAATAACCGGAACAGCCACCGCTTGTTATGTTTTGCTCCTGTTTTGGGCGATGAAACGGAGCATCGCCGTGGTGATGCATCGGTCAGGTCCGTTTCCGACCGACGGCACTAGCCAGAAGGAGGCCGCAAAACTCTGACATCGCCCACAACATTCTAATTTTAGTTGGAAAAACAACTGGAAGAAAATGCTGAAAGACAAATCGTCTTAGTACGCATGCCCCGCCCGATTCGAATAATGACCTTGGAGAAACTCGACGTCATGGCTTCAGGAGACGACCACAAGCTGACGAAACGTCAAACTAATTCTGCCTTCCTTCACTTTCGGTTCTCTGCGGTCGCACGATCTACGGGTCAGCAACTATTCGATAGGCAGAGTTGCGGGCCTTACTTGGGGATTTCATGCTTCCAATACTTTTGCGTCTCTCCTTGCATCACGACGAGAGATCCTGGCGCCAATATCCAGCTTTTCCTGGCAACAAATAGCTGAGGCGGCTCTTCGGTAGACTCAGTTTCCTGGTAATCTGCTGGACATTTTCTGGAGGAAGATGATTCAGATCTCGGCGAGGTACGTGGCCTAGATGTTAGATCTCTGAGCTCGACGTTCCCAACGGAGGAAGGGCTGGCATGATCGGCCTTTCGCCTTTGCGCTTTTGGGTCCTGCGTCATAATAAAAGTCCTCGGTGCACCTAGCGAGACGCTGGCGATCACCCTAAGGGAGCCCGATACGATATTGAGGAGGAGTTCAAAAGATTGATTACGGTTATGCACTCACTTGTTTTCTGGGGTGTCGCGATGATTACCAATATAGATTGTGCCGTCCTCGTATAAGTTTAGCATAACGTGATTGAATTTGACGCCCAATTTATCCTCAACCTGGTCTTGTATCTCTCGAAGGACTTGGGGATATTCGTAGTTCATGTCAACAACCTGGCCGCTGTACTTTAGAGTGAGATTTGGGTCTGTCGCGTACGCTGTAGGGCATCTTAATTGCAGGTTTCGCAACGCCTAGTAAGCGAATCTTTACCCGCTATTTTGCGAGACTGGATCACTTCTCGTCCGTATACTTTCAACTTCGGTTGATACCCTAGAAGGCGAAAGTGTCAATCGAGGCATACACACATTGAGTATGAAAAATACAGGTTTCAAGAGACAGCAGCTCTTCATACCAATCCTCCGCTTTCTTCTCCGATATGAAGGACGGGACATAGTAAACCTCGCAATCAGACATGTCTTTCATTCGATGCTCCGCAATGCTTGTAACTTGAGCAAATCGTTCTATCGTATCTTCTCCAGAATGACTGAGCTTCACGCGCTTGCCTGGACGCGTCATAGTAAGAAAAGCCGTGTCGCAGATGTATTGTGGAATCAAACCAATCGTCGGTCCCGAAATGAGCTAACTGCTAGGAACGATCGGGCCGGAATGATTTACATAATATCTGTAAGCCAGTCGAACTTTTTGAACTTTTGACTCAGCTCACCGTTCGTCAAGGTCTCTCTTCAACCTTGCTCTTCGTAACCTGTATGGACTTCAAAAAACCTGTCAAGACAATTGATCCATATGCCGAATTGCCCTTCCAAAAGGTAATCGCAGAAAAGGACATTTCTCCACACCAAGTCTAATAGCAACGGGCAGGGACAACGCCTCCAGTTCACTACATCTGCGCCATTCACGCCAACCTATGTAACATCGAACCTTTCATTAGCGTCGGATCCAACGGAGATGTACAATAATCGGGTCAAAGGCCGACAAATTCTTCTCGAGAACCCCGCCAAGGAAAGCAAAGCAAAGAAAGAGCTTGACAGGAGACGCGAGATCAGGAAGAAGGAGAGAGAGCGGAAGAAACTTGGGAAAATCGGGAAACGAGAGGCGAAGGAGAAGGGCGTCTGGAAATTTGATGAAAGTCAGGCCAAGTAAGCAAAACTTTCGTCAGTCATCGCGTCGAAATTGTTGACTGACTGGACCTATCGATCTTGCCTAGATTTCATCTCTTCCTTCCTTTACACCAGCTCTGGATGGGATACATGTCGGAACTTCTTGGGCTCCAGCGGCAACCCGCGCAGATCAGTTCAACCGCCGCCGCCGCGAGGGCCATGCCCGGCTCAGCTGGTATGCATCCCAAGTTGCTCAAGGCGGATTTTCATGGTTCGATCATGACTGGTACGTCAAAAGCTAGCGCCGAGCACTCTCATAGAGCTTCTGACCCGTGTAAAAGTCTCCAAAAGCAAGAATCCATGCCTGGTAGGCCTTTCTGGGATTGTAATACACGAAACGGAGAATGTATTCAAAGTGGTGACAAAAGATGACAAACTAAAAGGTAAGCACGCTTCTGGTAATCTTTTTGCGATTACATCGTTTCCTCATTTTCTTCGGACAGTCCTCCCCAAACAAAACTCCATTTTTACGTTTGCCGTTCCGCTATACTCCACGCTTCCCTCCTCGCATGACATCAACACGCCTTTTATCCCACCCCCTCCTCAAAATGTCGATTCCACGTCGTCATCCTCCATCAAGACCGTCTTAGATGCTCCGAACATCCAGTTCGAGCTCTACGGGAACCAATTCAGGTTCAGGGCAGCTGAACGCGCTGGGAGAAAGTTCAAGCACAAAGAGACAATTGAGCTCTGAAAAGCTCATGGACTCCTCTGCAACCGTGATTGAAAAGGGTTTTTGTCCTTAGTCCATCTTTGATTTGGAAGAACTTGCTTCCCGACTGAATAAGGCAAAGGATGATCATGCCTTTGTTCTCCTCAAAGAATAGCGGAACGCAAAACCGCGGCGTTTCCTTATTTTCTCTCCCTCTCCTACCACCTTCTCTTACGGCATTTGCATCGTCCAACTCTGCTACTCAACTTCATTCTACATACTCGGCTTCAAAATCGCAATACAAGTTGTGAGCAAGAACAACGCGCTATAGAATTGCCTTGGAGTGGCTGCGCGAAAATGGTAAGACAATGCCACCAAGCCATTCTCCCATCTTTTTAACGATAATTCTATAGGACATAGTCTCGAACAGCATTGAGCTACCCTTTGAGATTCTGCGAGCCATATTTCTCCTGTCTTTGACGCTAGCCTATCCTACCGAGGCCGCAAGTTTCCATAAATACGTCCTCGAACCGTCCTACAAGAAAGAGCCGCTTTCGTACACTCATGTCTGTCGCTGGTGGCGAGCCGTCGCATTAGCTGTGCCTGAGCTCTGGATGGCGGTCTCCGGCACGCGTGATTGGGTTGGATATACGTCGCCTGGTGTTCTGCGCATTTGGATGGAACATGCCCACAACAGCCTAACCATGCGGGACATAGGACGCGCCATACATCCGTCGCAAGCCTTGCATCTCCACCTAGGCAATCCGCCGTCCACGATGGAGAAATATACGCCACGAACTGTGAAGGTCCTCAAACACTTCTGGAATCAAATCACGCTGTGTCGCTCATTGAGCCTAACCCTCGACCTATACCTTATACCACACTTCTACGACCTCATCAAGGACAAGAACAATCTTCCAGCCATGCCACTTCTCGAAGATGTCGAGCTTGTCTTCATCTCTCGTCCTGCAGGCTTCTCAGCGCAAGGCAACGCCATCATCTCCTGGCTTAAGTCCTTGCCCGCCCTCCGCCGCTTGCGCTGGTTATACACCCGCCGCATCATCAAGTCCAGCCCGCGGGTGTTCCTTGGGAATCTGCCCTTCGAGAAACTCGACACCCTCTCCCTGACGTGCGCGATGCCCTTCAAGGTAGCCCTGTGCTATATCGGGAGGTGCACCTCCGCGACGACCGTGCACATCAACAACCTGGAGACATTCAACCCCAGCGCGTTCGAGCTCCACCAGTTTGACCAGCCGATCCTCGAACTGCCTAATCTAAGGTCGCTGACGCTTGAGGGTGGCGAGGACCCGTCGTTGGCGCTGAGCTACCTGACGCTGCCAGGCTTAAAGCATCTGAAGGTCATCAAGCTTATGCAGCGAGGTCCCATGGACGGCAGAGAATTTGAGGCCTTCTTTCGACGCTCTGGTTGCTCGCTCAAAAAACTTCACCTTGAGGATGGCGATATACCCTCTGACAGCATGGTTTCTTTCCTTGCTACACCGGAGGTTCAGAAAATTAAGGAGCTGATCCTCGTTGGGCTCTGAACCGTCCATTGCGGTTTTTGGTTTTTGGGCCTGAAAAACAGAGGTGAAAGATGTAACACTCTTCGTTGGTGTCTAGGTGTCTTTCGAATATTGTTCCATTTTCTGGCATTTTATATTGTTCATTTCTACCAACAGGAATAGAAATACAGATGGTTTAGTTGTACAGCACAAATAACATCGTATATGTGATGCTGTGTCCAATGATTTGGATTCGAAAGCGAGAAAAGCATTGCCACATCTACGCATCTTCTTCATTTTAGTTCTTTTAACCCTCCTTGACAACCTCCCTAACGCTCTCAGCGAAGATTGCACAGCCTTTCTTCAAGTCCTCCTTGCTGACATTCAACGGCGGGATGAACCTGATGACCTCATACACGCTCGTTGTCAAGATCAACATCCCCTTCTCGATGCATTTCCTCGCTACGCGCGAAGCCATGTTTGCGGGGTGGGAGCTGTGCTTCGCGTGGGGCGTGGCAGAGGCGGAGATGTTTGGTAGAGATGCAGCAGAATGAGAGGAGAAGTGGTGCGTGGAGACGTCGGGCGAGGCAAATTCAACGCCGACCATCAGGCCACGCCCGCGGACGTCGAGAATGTGTGGGTTGAGGGCTGGGTCGTACTTGAGGGCATTGAGTGCGGAGAAGAGTTCGGTGGAACTGGGAATTTCATATTAGTTAGGGTTCCCAACAAGAAGTAGAGAACGCCTACCGAGCTTGCACATTCTCCATCACGTTCTCCTCGTGCATGACGTCGTTGACGGCGACGGCTGCAGCGCAGGAAACGGCGTTACCAGCGTATGTTCCTCCCATGGAGCCGGGCTTCAGCTTGTCAGTAAGCTCTCTACGGCTGACGACACCACTAATTGGGAATCCATTGCCGAGGCCCTAGAAACGCCAAAACCAGTTTATGACTTCTTGTACGGCCAACAAACACAACCTGCCTTAGCCATGACGAGGATGTCTGGTCGGACACCGCTCTCAGAGATAGCAAACCACGACCCAGCTCTTCCGAACCCGCTCTGCACCTCGTCAATGATAAGCATAATGTTATGCTTGTCGCAGATCTTCCTCAATCCTTGCAAAAACTCAGGTGGTGCAGGAACGTAACCGCCTTCTCCAAGCACGGGTTCGATGATAATGGCCGCCGTGTCGGTAGGTGATGTTTGTTGGGCGAGTAATAGCTCGAGTTGATAGAGCGAATTTGAGGATAGAACCGAGGCAGGCGTGTTGAGAGGTAGGTTGGATTGATGCCAGTAAGGGTAAGGAATGGAGTATACTCCAGGCTGAAGGAGTGTTTGAGACACGCGAATATCAATGAAGATATGAGAATTTACCATGAGAGGATGGACTCCGGCAGAGTAAATGGTCTTGCTTTTCGTGACAGCCATAGCACCGAAGGTACGTCCATGGTACCCTCCTGTACGAGAATCAGCGTAAAGAAAAAAGGTAAGCCGTGACTATAAACTGGCCTTGCATGCATATAACGTTTTGTCTCTTTGTGAACCACCTGGCCATCTTAATGGCAGCCTCAACAGCCTCAGACCCAGAGTTCCAGAAGAAGAACGAATCAAGGGATGGATCGGGCATAATGGGCAAGAGACGCTCGATGAGCCGGAGATAGGGCTCGTGCAGCGAGATGCTACACTGGAAATCCTGCGTCAGAAAACCGAAAAGCGATGAAAAAGAAAACGCACTTGGGAATGAACGAGCTGCATGCACTGATCAGCTGCCGCTTTGCTGACTTTCGGATGAGCATGCCCTAGAAGAAGCAAAAGCAATTAGTCCATCTGTTGTGAGCGTTGGCCGTTCTGAGCCCGACAGGTCGGCTCAAGGAACGAAAAAAAGGCCCAATGGACACCCTCTGTGTTCAAGATCCGACATCAAATGACACCCGTACGTAAACCATCTCTCAACACTTGAGCGGCTTGCGATGTGGGGTTGATAGGAAGAGAGATGGAACCTACCGAGGTTGGTCACCCCGATCCCGCAGGTGAAGTCCAACATCCTTCGTCCATCATCGTAGACGACGTACGTGCCTTCGCCCTTGGTCATGATACCCTCAGTGATCCGTCCGAGGCCCTTCGTAACGTGCCTCACGCCGAAGTCATGTAGATCCTCGGCGGGCTGGGTGCTCGTCGTCAACTTCCTCGATTGGCCAACATGGACGGTGGGCTCTGATGATCTGAGAGCGGGGTAAACGCTCCTCAAGCCTTGAGACCTGCTCAAGCAGGGTCAGCATTGGTTTATCTGAGATAATGCGGGACTTACAGAGCTCTGTATCCCTGTTGACGCGTTGCAGAAGCGAAACGAGCTCTGAACATCGTGTCAGACGGTGAGGGACGTGGTGGAAAAGGAAAAGACAACTGGGTACGAACAGGAGTGGGAATTGTTAGCTATTTTCGGCCCGAGTATTGCTTTCCCGCCCCAACGTTCACCCAGAGACCCTGCCCCGATAAACGCTCGATATATCGTGGGCCTCGTGGGCCGTGATTTGTCCTTCGAGATATAGATAGGCGCTAATGAGTTCATTGAGTAGGACATTTCCACGAATCATGAAGCAAGAAATGACGTTCTGCTGTTTTAGAGGAAACAAGTTGATGTAGGACCGGGGAAGCTCCTACTAGGTCTTGTCCCCCCAGACCGCCCTGAAATCCGCAATATTTTGGGCCTTGAATCCGCAAATTTGGACAAGGCTTCTGACCCAAAAAAAGGAAATTTCGGGCCGCAGGCGCCGCTCTGGTGATTTCCCTGCTCCCTTCACCCTATGAGGCATTTTTGGGGGATAAAACGGCGATGGACCACCAAAACTCACAAGCAGAAAAAGAAAACTTCGATATCGCAGCACCCGCTTCAGGCCAACCCAGGGTCCTAAAATCCGCAAATTTGGACAGGGGTTTTTCTTTTTGTCCCTCGAATCCGCAATTTTGGACAAGGATTTGGCCATTTTTCGGCCTCAAATCCGCAAATTTCGCCCAAGACCTGTCAGGAGCTTCCCGGGTCCTGTTGATGTTCGGGCATGCTCACCAGCTGGTAGGTGAACAGCATCGAAAGCAGACAAAAATGTTCTCCGTCTCCGCAGCCGTCCGTGAACGCACTCACAATTTGGCTGCATGCTAGAAATAAACGCTGCTTACCTTCCTCTAGTACCAAAGCCTACGTTGAGGTGTTGACGGCGTAGGGGGAGTCCGAATTAGGTGAGTTCAGTGTAGTGTGAATGAAGGCAGCATGCACTAACGGCGCTGGACGTTGAAAAGAGCCAGGACGATTACGAGGTGTTACGAATCGACCAGGATGAGTCCAGGTGAGTTGTGTCCATCATGGGCAGATCATCGGCACGAGCACAGGTGGCTCACGTCTGTGCGTACGCACGTTGCAGGGTTCACTAGTGTCGGAGGGGCTATCAAACGGTTTGAGTCCAGATCATAAGTCTGGGATGAATGTGAGTGCTGATGTACTAGCGAAATGAAATTGAGCTCACCTTCTCCACGGCTCGAGGTGCTCGTGAACGGACCCCCTTCCCAGATGTTCAACACTCGTACCATGGAATTCGTCGACTTCGTCTGAGTTGGATATCATTGCGCAGAAGTGCCTGAGTCGAAGGTCGAAGACTAGAACGCTACGTAAATAATTGGATGGCTAACAGACTCGACACGACCGTCTGTCAAAAATTAGGTACGCCAATTCTTTTCGTGAGACAAGCACGCAGCAGCGCTTACTTCTGCCGATCGCTTCTCTAGGTATTGGGGCCAGTCTTCCGCGCTCCGTTGGCGTTGGAGGCTCAAGCGCCGCAAAAATTAGTGCGCTTTATGTTCCAGATGCCGCCTTCGAAGGAACTGCTGCCATGACTCTTCAGCTTCATCTGACATCATTTGACCACCTTCACGCCTCGACGTGAAAACGAGTCTTTTATCATCGTCGGCGGAATAACCAGTTTAAAGCGTGAATCCACGAATGTCTTTCTGACACTGATTGCGGCTCACCTCCAGTGCCCACAACTTCAGGTTCGTCATCTCCGTGCATCAACTGACTTCTGCCGCGGACAATTTCTATGCTCTTCCTCCCTATACAGGTTTCTTGATCCCTCGGCATCTGTTCTCATACGATGATTCGCTTGAGGTGCTTCACTTCTGCACTTCCTATGACTAAGGTTAGCCCAAACCTTTCTCACCAGTCGCCTTCCACAACTTGGGCACCTCAGAGAATGCCGTCTGACGTGATTCGCTATGACCTTCAGAGCGTCAAGACTTCGCCCTCCCATTCCGCATTGCAGTCCTGTTTCGACCGAAGCGTGACTTTCCTCCCGACTTTTGTCCCCTCGTAACTCTCAGAGTTCAGAATTCATCCCAAGAATCCTCACGGCTAGCTGGGTTGCGTAGTATTGAGCTTCCTGAACTCATGGCCATACAGGTCCGACTTGTTTTTGATTGCCTTCCAACGTGGGAAGCGTCGCCGACTGTCGAATAATTGGTATGACTAGAATGAACCGGCCATCCGACTATATATCGGCCCTGCTAAGTATCTCTATCTCAAGCCCTTTCCTTCCTTCCTTCAGTGCGAGATGTTTTCTGCCATTCTCACTGTCGCGGCGCTCTACGTCTTTTCATGGGCTATTTGGAAAATCGGTCGAAGATTCTACCGCAAGTCCGCACTCGACAACATACCTGGACCATCCGCGAAATCACTCTGGCAAGGTTGGGTGAAACGTCACATCTGCCTGTGGTTCGTTACTGATCAGCGCCCTAGGCGTTCTGCCTCAAGTTTTCAACGACAATGCTTGGAGTTTCCAGAAGGAAATGGCCGAGAAATGTATGATCCCTCTCTTTTTCCGACGGATGATTTCTTATGAGTTCTACGCGTCATAGATGGCGGGGTCGTCAAATTGACAGGGCTGTTAGGTGTTCGTTGCATCTGCCCATTTATCTCTCTGTATCGGCCAATAAAATGCCCAGGACGTTCAACTGTATGTCTTTGATCCCAAAGCCATGCACCACATCGTCGTCAAGGTATTGGGAAAGGAACATTTCGTCTTCGAATACTGACAATTCGTGAAGGATACAAACACCTACGAAGAGTCTACGAGTTTCATAGCCTATGACGCACTGATATCTCAAAAAAACAGATTCATTCGCCCTGATGACCTCCTCTATTTCGCAGATTAAACTTGGCGTTATTTGGACGCGGCATTCTGGCGGTAGTCGGTAAGCAGTTCGAGCTAAGGGATTGCTGCCTTCGGCAAGTCATGCTTACTGCTGTGCAGGGGAACAACACAGGAAACAAAGGAAGATGTTGAATCCCGTATTTTCAATCGCTCATATGCGTCAAATGCGTACGCCTTCTCCAAAGCAACCACGAAATGAGTAAATTAACAGCTTTCCCAAGTTCCTACTTTCTACAGTGTTGGTCATAAGGTATGGCACGTTCTTCATGAGTTGATATTTTGTCCATAAAACTATTGCAGCTACGGGATGCAATTGCGAAGAAAGTTGAGGCCGGCCCCATTGAGGTAAGCAGATACTTTTGGTCGCCCTTATGCCCAACCTCTCGCCAACAGTGCGTAGGTTGAGCTAGTGTCCTGGATGACCAGAACCGCTCTTGAATTGGTCGGCCAAAGTGGATTCAGTGTTTCGTTCGATCCCTTGACGGAGGATGGGATCCCTCACCCTTACACTGTGGCCGCAAAACAAGTCGTGTGCGTCCCATTGATTCACCGAGCGTGCCGTTAGTAACGTCATTCTAGACCTCTCACCTTCAGATTTTTCGTTTCGCGGATTTATCTCCTTCCTTTACTTATCAATATTGGGACACCAAAACTTAGGCGTTTTTTCATCGACCTCGTGCCATGGAAGGACCTCCGCGACCTTAGAGATCATGTCGACATTCTTCACAAGACTGCGGTGGAAATCATTGAAACTAAGAAGGCAGCACTTGCGGAGGGGGACAAAGCAGCCGCAAGGCAAATTGGGCAAGGAAAGGACATACTCAGCATCCTGTGTAGGTCTATGCATGAATTTTGGCTCTACAGATTAATGCAGTTGCAACAGTGAGGGCGAACATATCTGCTTCAAAAGAACTATCTGAAGAAGAGTTGGTAGGCCAGATATCGTACGTGTCAAAACTTCCTTTATTGCTCCTACGCCTGAAATATGCAGGACATTGACTTTTGCGGCTATGGATACCACTTCCTCCGCGTTGTCGCGTACTTGATGCCGTCTGCCGGGAAACACTACGATTGTGCGTTGTACTACCCTTAATTTTGCCTAACATGCTGACCGCCATTTTTCAAGATACCCGCCCATCACTTCGGTCGCAAGAACGTGCGCTGCTAATAATTTTATCCAGCGTTATACTTACTCAATTGAGTCACAAATAGCACTCGTCAAGACTCTGTTCTGCCACTTTCCAATCCTATCAAGGGGCTGGACGGCAAGGAGATGCACGAAATTTTCGTTCCCAAAGATACAGATGTGTTTGTCAGTATTCTCGCCTCAAACAGCAATCCAGATATCTGGGGACCAGATTCCTATGAGTGGAAGCCTGAAAGGTGGCTCACGTCTATGCCGGACGCAGTCATCGAGACGCATGTTCCGGGAGTGTATTCGCATCTGTGGGTCTCAGCTATTGAACTCTTGACGTACTCGTCTAACTCACAAAAAATTAGTATGACTTTTCTTGGAGGTGGAAGATCTTGCATGTAAGGCTGTACTGAATATTTCGGTCTTCCGCTACTAACTGTCGGCTTCTATCTAGTGGCTTCAAGTTTTCTCAGCTGGAAATGAGTTGGTTTTGTCTCTGATTCGAGTTCTGTCTTGCCGACTGAAACTATTATTTCAGAAGTTGTATTGTCACTCTTAGTAGCGTCCTTCAAGTTTTCGCCATCGAACAAAGAAGTAGTCTGGAAGATGACTGGTATTGTCACGCCCACTACAGTAGGTAACAAGACGCCAACTCCTGAGTTGCCTCTCGTCGTCGAACTCGTGGCGTAATATTGAAATAGTAATAATAAATGATTAGCGGTTGTACCCGTATACGACTACGTTGTCTTTTCGCGATATCTACGTAAACGATGCTTGAATTTGCCCTCAGGAGAGAAGATAAGTATGACCCTCACCGAGGTTCACAGTGCGCTGACTATTGATGGCGACCTAAACTTGTTCAACAACTGTCACATCCACAGAACTGTGGCGTCATGTTCCTACCTTGTCCTGTTTGTTGAACCTTCTTCCTTTTCTTTCCACCCAAGAGGAAGGTAGATCGAAGCGAAATCGTGCATGCCCCGGGGTATGGATTCGTAGGAGGGGGAAATTAACGTCCGGAGGGAAGGGGTTGCCAATGTGATTTCTCTCCAGTGACAATAGACCTGTGTTGAGACGATGGAGCTATCGCGGAAAAGGGCCGGTGTATAATCGTAGAATTCGCCTTTCGATGGTGGCCCTATGTCGATATAAGCTTCGAAGACGAGAGTAAGAATCTCAACCGGCAAGGATGTGATGTTCCCCTGAAAGCACTGTCAGTGAAGAGCTCAAATTTACGGAGGTAACAGTCCGAGCCACAAACCTCTGTTGAGTAAACTTCCATGTATGCCATTTTGTGAAATTCTTCGAGACAGCATCGCCTTGAAATAAATGTCGTATTGTAGCAATTGTTTATGAGGGCCAGATTGGGGAAAAATTCCCTGGTGATTTTGAATACATGAATTTGTATCTTATAAACTTTGAAGTCAAATTTAAGATATTGGCAGAGGCAATTTGATATACACACACAGGAATTTTTAAACACACACACGGCAATTTTATACACACACACACACAACAACTTTACATACACACACAACAATTTTATACACACACACAACAATTTTATATACACACACACCAATTTTGTATACATACACACTGATTTAATACACATACAGGCAGATTTTACATACACACACAGCAATTTTATGTACACACATGCAGATTTTATACATACACACATCGATTTTATACACACACACACACACACAAGACGTCCCATGACACACTCGGCTATTGGCATTTCCCTTGCCAGGCAGAGCTTCAAGCCTCTCAGCAGACTTGGCAAGAATTTGGTGCCCCGGGACACCAAAATTTCTCCCACGGGTCTGCTGGGGCAGAGTTGATGCCCTTAAAGGTGCCTGTGATGCGCTTTCACATGCATCTGATGCGTGTCAATTTGGCTCTGCTAGTAGTAATGCTGGTGTATTTCGGGCAATTCTGGATCGAATTTCATGAAATAAAAACTGTAATAAATAGTAGAATATTGGGAGCTTTCGGTATATACTCTTTATGTTCAAAATTACCCACATCTGGCAGCTCCATGGCCAAATCAATGCACCTCACCACAAAATTATAAAAATGTGGTCTCACTCCTCCATCCCCTAAGCATCTTGATAGTCCAGAATTGCCTGAAATACACCAGCATTACTACTAGCAGAGCCAAATTGACACGCATCAGATGCATGTGAAAGCGCATCACAGGCACCTTTAAGGGCATCAACTCTGCCCCAGCAGACCCGTGGGAGAAATTTTGGTGTCCCGGGGCACCAAATTCTTGCCAAGTCTGCTGAGAGGCTTGAAGCTCTGCCTGGCAAGGGAAATGCCAATAGCCGAGTGTGTCATGGGACGTCTTGTGTGTGTGTGTGTGTGTATAAAATCGATGTGTGTATGTATAAAATCTGCATGTGTGTACATAAAATTGCTGTGTGTGTATGTAAAATCTGCCTGTATGTGTATTAAATCAGTGTGTATGTATACAAAATTGGTGTGTGTGTGTATATAAAATTGTTGTGTGTGTGTATAAAATTGTTGTGTGTGTATGTAAAGTTGTTGTGTGTGTGTGTGTATAAAATTGCCGTGTGTGTGTTTAAAAATTCCTGTGTGTGTATATCAAATTGCCTCTGCCAATATCTTAAATTTGACTTCAAAGTGTATAAGATACAAATTCATGTATTCAAAATCACCGGGGAATTTTTCCCCAATCCGGCCCTCATAATTGTTTGCGTCGCGTAGGAACATCGACGTGGCCAACTCTCGCCATCTGTCCCGCAGAACAAAAGACTCGCTAGCGAGCGACGTGTACAGGATTGCCGAAACAATTAGTCGTGATGCTCGGCGTTTTCATTGTCTCGAGCGCGACCCGTAAGTGCCCAAAAATGTTAGATGACAAGGTTTCCACTCACGAAACTTCCTCCGAGTAGTATGTCAATCTTGCAGTTGGTGAACACTCTAAGCATTTTACAACCTTGTATCGAGAGAAAGGAAGGGATAAATAGAGAAATGAGGCTTGAAGCTTGAAGATGCTAGCCCGGGCGCCTTTAGCACGATTCAGGCGTGGTGTTGAAACAGAATACACGAGTACGTCGAGATTCAAGGGTGGTAGAGAGGAGGGAGGAAACGGAAGGAAAAGAGATGATTAGAACGGGAAATCCACATCAAAATGGTAGTGCGCAGTTAGGTTGACGGACCCGTCTTTATACGAAAATAAGAGCCTCTTAAAACCTTCATCTGACTCCTCCGACCAGCCGACCAATCTCTGCTGCCAGGACGTCGGCCTCCAGCACAACAGAGGCGGCAGCGGCCGGCCAGCATCCAACCGTTCCTAGATCACAGAAAGTATCATTTTTTTGGTGTACAAAAGATCGAGGCCTACGCAAGGAATGGCGCAACGATGGGCTTGTGAGATAATCCACGATTTCAAGGTCGGAAATGAGGACTTCATCCTTATAGGAGCAATAATCGCCGCCATATCTTTCGTCAATAATAAGGGCTTCAACGCAGGGCGACCTCTTCACGAAGTTGTCCAACGCAACCTGATCACGGCGGAGTATTGCAATATTCAGAGACCGAAGCGACGGTGCTGTGAGATATCGTAGGAACCACATGGGATCACACCCAGGGGAAAGCTTGAGCGAGGAGAGGTTGGGTAGGGTGATATGGGGAATTGCATCCCTTGGTGTACGGGTCTTCGGTGGCTGACGAAGGATGTCACTCTCGAACTCGATGGTTGTCGCAACGGGGCACTGCGATAGGTAGGAAAAATGTCTTCGAGGGAGGACGGAAGCTTGACGATGATTATCTGAAGCTGGCTCTATGGCATTGTGTGTCAGCCACTAGCAGCTGGTTGATGGTGAAAGTCGGAGTTCAAAACCAACCAAGCAGCGCCGCATCTCTCCGAGTCGGCGCCAACTTGGCGCGGATGAATTCTGCACTTCGTACGCGGCCAATACCAAGTCACTTTCAGGGATACATTAAACCAAAATCTAGACGCAGCACCAGTGAAGAGACGAAGAATAGTTGCTATCTCGACATCCCTGGAAAGATTGATGATATTCTCTTTGAAGGGACGAACAGGATCAAGGGTTGGATTAACGAACATGGAGTCTGGTGTATGTCATGGAAGAAAGATAAGATAAGGGTATATTGAAAGAGTTTAAACCACAGAAGAAAATACGAGGCGTATATGGAGCTAGAGGTTCGTAATATGTACCTAGTCTTTAGAATGGATAGTCCGAGTCGATCTGGTACTCCGGAGAGAGTTCGATTGACCCATCTTCGTAGGAGAATAATAACGTATGCAGCTCCGGATCCAACTCGTCCCACCACCCAACTAACCTTTGATCCCAATTTTCCGGAATCCAGCAGAGCAGAGGCGGAAGCGGTCGGCCGCCCTCCAAACCTTCTTGGATCAGAGCCGGAATCCTCTTCTTCGTGTACAGCAAGTCGAGCCCGACACGCGGTATGGCGCGCAAGCAAGGACTTGTGAGGTAGGCGATGATTTCTTGATCAGTGATAAGGGCCTCGTCTGCATAGGCATAATCCTCACCATACCTCTCGTCGATGATGAGGGTATGGATGCTGGGCGAACGCTTCACGAAATCTTCAAGGACTTGCTGATCACGGCGAAGTATGGCTACCTCCAACTGCTGAAGGGAGGGTGCTGTGAAGTGTCGCAGGAGCCACAGCGGGTCGCACCCTCGCGACAGTTTGAGAGAGGTGAGGTTCGGAAGCGTGTGAGCGGGAAAACGGTGAGATGGTAGGCGAGTTTTCCCTGGATTCTTCGGAGTTTCGCCATGAATTGTGACTGCGGTAGCGGAGGTGCACTGGGAAAGGTAGGAGAAAATATTCTCCAGAGACGAGGGTACGTCGATTACGACAGTCTTGAGCTGGCTCCAGGGAAGGCCGTGAAGGGACATCTCGTATTTCTCGGTCCAGATAAGGTGTTGCAAG